TAGCATTAATAAAGAAGCGTAAAAAATAATTAACTAAAGAGTATTTAAACCTATAATAAAGTTATTAAAGCTTTATTTTTATTAGAAATATTATTAGCATATTATAACTTTTTATATTAAGGAAAATCCATAAATATCCCTACTTTTAAGTAATTAAAAAAGTTTTTTTTAAGTATTTATTTTTTTATTAAACTACTTTATTAATAATATTTTTAAAAAAAAGAAAGTTCTTATTTATATCTTAAATATAAAGAAAAAATAAAATAAGCTTATTTATAATATAAAACGTTAATAGCTTTATTAAAGTATTAACTTATATTATATTAAGTAACTTAATAAGTAAGCTTAAGCTAAATTATACTTATGCTTTGCTAACTTATATAATGTTTAAGTATATAAAAAATATTTAATATTATAAAGCTTAAAATTGCTTATATTTAATTATTAAAAATATTATTGCATTTATATTTAATATAATACCTTAATATTATTAATAAAAGTATTAATCTTAAATAATAAATATTTTTATTATTAAGTAATCTTTAAAGTTAATATAAATATTAAAGCTATTTATACCATTAAAGAAATTATAAAAAAAGGCTTAATTTATTAAAAAAGTATAATAAGTACGCCTCTTTTTATTATTATTAATAACTAAAGTTATTATAATATTAATAGCTTTAAAATTAAAACCTTTAAAGCTAATAAGAAATATATTAAACTTATTATTATTAACTTATTATTTAATATCCTTATATATATAAATATATATAGCTTTAATATATTATTAATCTTTAAGTAAATAATTTATTAATTAATATTCCTCTTTATAATATATAAAATACTTCTTTTTCCTGCATTATATATTACCATTATTGCCTTTATTAAATTAATATTTACCATTATAGCCACCTTTATAAGGTTTTTTATTATAATTACTGCCTTTAAATTAATAAAGTTAGCTTAAGTAAAAATTTAATTAAAAGTTATTACCCTTAAAAAAAAATTAAGGATACCTTAAGCATTAATTATTATTATTATATTATTTATTAAGATAATATTGCTTTTTAATATTTATAATAGCTAAATTATTATTATCTTAATTATTATAATTATTAGCATAGCTTTATTTATAAGCTTATTAATTATTTCTTATAATTATATATTATAATATAAGGTTTTAAATTTTTAATGCCTTAATATATTATTATAAGATAAAGTAAAGTTACTTAATATTTATTAGCATTATTAAGATAGTATAATAAAATTTAAAAATGCCTTATACTGCTTATAAAATTATATTTTATAAAGGGTTATCCCTATAAATAATATACTTAAGTACTTTATAATAAAGCTTTATCTTATTAATAAGCATTTAAAGAATATTTATATAACTTTTATTTAAGTTTTTTTATTAAAAAGTAAAGAAAGTTAAAATATTTTAATTTATAAAATAATTATAATAATTATTATTTATATTAAATTAATTCTTAAGTTTTTTATATGCTTAAATAAATAAGTTTTTTTAATTAATAACTTAAGTATAATATATTTTTATTAATTCCTTAAGTATATATAAAAAAATTGCCTTAAATTATTAAGGTTAAATTTATAAGTTATTGCAAGCCTTATAAAAAAGAAGGATTTTATTATTAAGAATATTATATAATTCTTTAATAAACATTTTATCTTTATAATAATATTTACTTAAGTTAGCTATTATATTTAAATTAAGTAAAAAGTTTTTTATCTTTATTAAAGATAAAAAAGTATAATAATTATATATTATATAAAAGTTATTAATTAAAGGAAGGTTACTGCCTCCTTTTAATAAATTAAAAGGTCTTAAAGGGCTATTATTGCCTTTGCTATTACTGCTAAATAGGCCAGGCGATTTAAATAATCCAGGATTAAAAGAATTATTATTATTAAATAATTCCTTAGCTTTTATTAAGGCATAATTAAAATTAAGAATAATATAAGTTTTTAAATTATAATTTTAAATTAAATTAATTTTAAATATAATATAATATTCTTACTTTTAATTTGCTAGCTATTTAAGATAGTTTAATGCTTTAAGAATATATATAAATCCCTTTAAAGTATTTACTTTTTAAATATAAATGCCCTTAACTTAAAAAGTCTTCTTAATAATATATAGCAAGTCTTTATTAACTTGCTTAAATATTAACTTAATTTAATTATAAAAATCCTTAATAAACGCTTTATATACCTTATTACTTAATATATATACCATAGCTTAAATTTAGCCTTAAATATAAATATTTAAGTATTATTTGCTATTAAGAGATCCTAAGGAATTTATTTATATTAAAGGATTAAATATCTTAATAATGCTTTTAAGTATAGGAATATAATTTATTATAATTAATATTAATGGACCATTTTAACTAGCAATATTGCTTACTATATCTACTATATTATTATTATTTCTTATTATTTTAATAAAGTAATAATAAGGATATATTTAATTTAAAAAAGGAAGTAATAAAAAGGGGAAATAAATGGTATTAAGGGAAAAATAAAAAAGTTAAGAATTACTTTTATAACTTAGCTATTAAAAGGCAAATTAATTCCTTTCTTTATATTTATTTATATAATAAGATATAAATAAATATATTATTAATGAAAATAAATGTTAATTTAATTCTTTTAATTATGGCTATTAAATTTAAAAGTTATTATTAAGGTTATTTAAGGTATAATAAATGCATATATATTAAGAATAGGAGAGTTTGCCATAGTTTCTTGCTATAATAACTACCTCTTTATATATTAAGTATTATTATTATTATAAACTGCGTTATGTAAATTTGCAATATTAATAATATTAATTAATATAATTAAAAGGTTATCTTTTTAAGCTTTGCTAATTTATAATTGCCCTTGCAATTATTAATTAATATTAGCTGGGTTATGTATTATAATATAATGTTTAATTAATATAATAGTTAACTATTATTAATTATAAAAGGAAGGAAGGTAATAGGCTTAATTATGCTAGCTATTTTATATATAACGCTAGGGCTGCTGCCTATTGGGTATCCTAACGGGCCAAAGCTACCTAATTTTAAACAGTCATTTATATAAACAACACTCATTATTCCTACAAGATATATATTTTTATTATTAATTTCTTATGCGTTAAATATTTAAATAAGTAAATTAATATAAGATTAATATAAAAATTAAGGATATAATTAATATTAAAAATAGCTTATCTTATTAAACTTTTAATAATTTTTAATTATATTGCATTACCTTTAGCCCCTTTAAATTAATAAAATTAATTAAAAATAAGGAATTAAATATAATTAGCATTAATTAATGTTAACTTTTTATTAATTTATTTGCCTTAATATAGTGTTATGGTTGATAAAAGTTGAGTGAAGTTGGAAAAATCCGCTACTTAGTGATATCCGCTACTTAGTGGTAAACTACGTTATAATAAAAATTAAAATAATTTTTATAAAATATAATAATGCTATAAATATAAATTTAATTAAAACCTTAAGTTCTTTTTATTTATATTAATATATATTATAATTTCTTTTTTTAAAAACACTTTTATTAAATAAGTTTATAAAATATTATTATAATTAATAATTAACCTTAAAGCTGTTAATTTTAATAAAAGTTAAAATAAAGAAATGCTTTACTTTAAAATACTTAAATATGTTTTATAAAGATATTATAAAACTTTTTTAAAAAAGATTAAAAATTAATTTATAATAAAATAAATAAAAATATAAAAAATAATAATATTATACTTTATTAAATTTATTATTTTATTATTTATAATAAAATTACCTTTAAAAGAATTAAAAGGAAAGTAAAAAACAAGGTAAAAAGAAATATTATAATATTTTGTTTAAAAAGAGGGAATAAGGTTATATATTAAGCTATATGTAACTTTATATATAAGCTTAAGGCTACTAAGAGATAATTGGAAAGCTAAGCAGATAGCAGATAAACCAATGGACGGTTGATTTAAAAAACACAGTGTGGCTGAAGCCCTCCTATCTTGAGGTAAACTATTTCCTCAAAGGTTCAGCTTCATCAAAACGTTAAGTGAGTTGCCTAGGTACCCCCCATCATCTTGCCCACCATAAATATCTGCATTATCTACTCCAGGTCAGGTCATCAGTAATGCCTAAGCTCACAAGCCAGTTGCAGAGCAAATAAATTGGAAGAGAACCGATTGAACTTTCTAGACTTATATAGCCTTTGAATCTTTATGTGCAAGCGATGGTTCCAAGTCACTCCCATGCCCTCACGGAGCACACGGCATGAGCTGTTTGCAAGAAAGATTCTGTCTCCAGGCCTTGCTGAGGGACTCCTGCTACTGATTCAAACAAAGCGAAGATGTAGCAGTACACCTGGAACGACTGGGATCCCATCGGCTCTCGAAATATCGCTGCATCAGTTCATTGTTATGACCTGCCGCATTCGAATTCTGCATGTGCTGTAAGCCCACAACGGCCTGTTGCAAGCACTGTGATTGCTGGGCTAAGAGTCTCTGGTCAGTGACTACATGACTTGTAACTAGGAACTCGACATTGGCCCTGTCTCTTTCCTCTGATAGCCGCTCAAATTTAGGTCTCAACCAGAATCAGAAAGCTAAGGCCATGGAAACATGTGCAGGTATGGAATTCTGCCAAGATGTGTCAACCTGAAAGCACACAACGCCCTCAGAAGATGCCAAGCCGCATTGATTATGTGAGATTGGTCTAACTCGCCCTATGTCCCCTGTGATGTTGTCCCGTGCTCAAATTCTCTACGCATCTACAACGGTAAAGCCTGGGCATCACAAGTGTATCGGTTCAGAAAGCATCACCAAAAATACAACGCTCAATACCATTTCGGTTTTGCTATCTCATTGGCCTCCCTCAATACGCCGCACCAAAACCCGCTTACTCACTTATGAACAGCCACTGAGCCTGTCCATCATCCGATCCGGACATTCACCGCCCTCACGCCTATTCACCGCTCTCAAGCCTTCTGATCCCTTCCAGCCATTTGACCAAGCTGGAACTCATCTTGCCGCGCCATTGATCCAGCACGACATCCACAGTCAGTCCAGGACGCATCTCATCCAAGAAGGCAGGTACACTCGCACGCTTTTGGTGAGCTGCCTGTCCAAGAGCGTATCGGATATCCTGGTCCGTAGCTCGAGCTTGGGGTTGAGCGTATCTCTTGATGCTGTCGTATAACTTGCGCTCCTGGAATATGCAGCAAATCGCCAGGACCCCGGGAATCTTATTCGAATCGGTCAGGTTCTCAGGACCCAGAGTGTCAGCAACAGCATCCACCATGGCCCTCGGGCTGCGCCGAATGATCAACTCGTAGATGATTGTCTGATCGAGCAAGTCGGCGCCGTGTTCTACCAAGGCCGTGACTTTGTCCACTCTCTCGGCCAGAGCTGCTGGCGCACGCTCTCCGAGTGCGTGCCAGAGCGCAGAGGGCCTTCTGTCTTTTACGTTGGCTTTGGCTCCTCTCTTCAACAGCAAACGAACAGTGGCTGAATCTGAGTTCCGCACAGCCATAGTCAGAGGGGTGCGACCCTCACCATAGCGTATGAAGTTGTCGTTGATGTCACATCCGAAATCAAGAAGCGCACGGATGACCTTGCGTTGTAGGACCCCACGCTGTCCACTGTTGGTTGTAGTGTTGTCCTCTTGCAAAGTGTATTTCAGCAGAGGCGTGTGCAACTCACGTTGACGACGCCGGAGCTGCTTCCTGAATGGGGCATCTTTATTCCCGTCTTTGTCGCTGTGAGCAAATGGTTTTGCTCCAGCCTTCAAGAGTATGACAGCCACCTCGAGGTCACCTTGGGAAAGGGCATTCCACAATGGTGTGTAAGAGTGAGGCCCATCCTCACCTCCACCCTGGACGTCTGCGCCGACGTCAAGAAGTGTTTTGGTAGCATCAGGGCTCCTTGACACCCTTACGGCAATATCAAGTGCGCTTTGCCCCATCGAGTCTTTCACACCCACATCGAAATTTGGGAGTGTAGACAAATGACGAATTATAGAGGGCAGTCCCTTGGCAGCGGCGGTGTGAAGCGCCTGGCTGTCGCCATTTTCACTGGTTCGAAGGGAGGCATTGTGAGCCAAAAGAAGCTTGACTGTCTTTTCATGAGAATGGCAAATCGCAACGTGTAAAGGTGTCCAGAACGGTAGAACATTCTGCCACGAATTGCATCCACACAAATCTAGCGATTGAGCATCGACGTCGGCGCCTTGTTGTAGAAGCCATGATACCACGTCATCGTGGCCGCTGTCCGGGTCAAATTCTCAGTCAGCTTGTTTCTTCGGTCGCTTGTTAATTGTACAAGGCAAGGGACGACAAGGACTTACCCTTGCGCGGCCAAATGAAGAAGAGTGAACTCCAGCGGCAACCGAGAAGCTCGCAGTCGGTCCATCAACCATCTGTACTGAGCACGCCCGCTCCAATTCTTGTTTACGAAAGGTTTGGAGGATCCAGTCTTCGCTGCGTCGAGTAGAAGTAGGGTATCCAAACGGCCGTGAGAAGCGGCCCAGACTGCAGCATCGGCTTCTTCATTCTTGATGTTGTATTCGTAGAGACAAGGATTGACCCAGGCGTAGAAATGACGGCCCGTCAGAGCAAGAGCAGCAAGGTCGTGACTGCTAGACTCTGCGGCGACTTTTCGGACGAGCTCGAGCGGAAGGCGATAGATTCCGGGCGGCATGGTGAGGGCCTCGGGGATGATCGCGACACGAATGGATCGCGCTTGACGATGGAGTGAGGGAGGTGGAGGGTGATCGTTGCGTGTGGTGGCCTGAAGGCAGGCAGCTGTGGAGTCCTGAGGGTGAGTAAGGTTGGGTACTTGCAAACGCCGCGTTTTGAAAGGGAATCAAAAGTGAGGCATCTGTTGAAGAAGAAAGCAGATCTACTTTCCACGGGTACTCACTTGCGTTTGCTGTGACCACTGTCCCATGGACCATGGGAAGGCTTACTCGAGTGTCTGGAAGCCCAGGGCCACCGAAGTTGTTGGTCGCTGAAATCCCAAAGGAATTCGATTGGAAGAAGTCCACGAGTTGTTGCAAGTGTTGCAAGTGTTGCAAGTGTTGCAAGTGTTGCAAGTGCTGCAAGACGTGGTCAAGCAGGACCACGATATGCATCCCACTCAAGGTAGGCAGGCCAGGGGAGCGAGGTGCTTGAAGCTTCCAGTTGAGAGTCAACCACCCACAGTTGGCGAAGGAAGGAAGCTAGGAGAGGGTTGGCAAAGGAATGAGAGAGTTAACGTTTTGTCGGACGCTGTCGTCTGAGATGCAGCTGACGGGTGCAAGACTCAGATTGACGGGCGCAAAGTGAAGTGATGCTTTTGGTATATTCATTCTCGGGCTACGGACAAGCCCTCATGCTGATATATTACGTACATGTCTAATCTGAAGGTGTCAACCTTGAATCCAGCCTGGAACACCTCGGTCGGACCTAATGACCGGGTTACCGTGCCAGACGCATTTACTCCCGCACTCATCGTCTCTGACCGTTACATGCTATCCACTCATAACGAAGAAATCCTTCCTACAGCATCAACAGACCAGCGACAGCCGCGACCACGAAGCCGAAGGCGCCGGCAGTGTTGACCGAGGCAGCCGACTTGCCGAGGGTGCTGCCGCTGGACGAGCCCGAGTTGGTCGTCGAGGTGCCGTTGCCCATCGTGATGCCGGCGTTGGCGGCCGAGCCACCAGAGGCGTTGGTGCAGTTGCCGGTGGCGAAGTTGTTGGACACCTGGTCCAGCTGGGCGGTGAACTGGCCGGTGAGCTGGCCGGCGATCTGCTGGATCTCGGCGGGGGTCTTCTGGACGGTGGCGTCGATGAGGCCCTTGGCCGCCGTGCCGATGTCCTTGGTCTGCGAGAAGACGACGTCGCACAGGCTGGCCTGCTCGACCTCGGTCTTCTTGGAGGCGAGGTCGCTACTGAGGCTCTGCGCCGCCGTCTGGACGGGGCCCAGGGAGCCCTGCAGGCTGACTGCGTCGTTGGCCGAGATGGGGGTCGTTGCTTGGATTTGTTGTGTGCCCTGGGTCAGGACGTTCTTGAGGTTGCCGGCGTCGGTGGCCAGCTGTTGGAAGTTCTTGCCGTCGAATGCCTTTACAGTCGTGTCGAGTTGTGACAGGGCGTTCTGGGCGTTTGTGATTACGGTCTGGATGGTGGCCACATCTCGCTTGGGCAGGGTCCAGTCATCGGCGAGAACTGATGCCGCGAGGGCGAGAGTGGTGAGTGTTGCGGTAGCCTTCATGGTTGCAAGTCGTCAGGAATCAGTTGACCGAAATTTAAGAAATGTCCCAATGCTTGAGCACAGCTCGTGGAAGTGAAGATTGAGGTGCGTATATTTGTAGTGATGATCAACATGGGGAGCAAGAGAAACAACCCACCGAAGAAGGTTGGGCGGCAAGGCATATAAGTGCCATCGCCAAACATCCAGACAACCGACATGCCTGCACAACCTGGGAGCTGCTGAGGGACTTGCCCAAACAGGAAATCAGAGGAGAACTCGCTGGCTACGGTTTGGATCTGACACAAGTTTCGGGGGGCCGTGGGTCTTGGCAGGGAGCAGAGCTGCAATGTTTCCGCGCTCAGTGGTATGGCCTCAAGATCCCCAAACCCCGTCCGATCAAGGACTCGCGCTGCTCAACTCGCTAGGTGTTTCAACAGCACCATACTTCGGACGACTACCACTTCGCAGCCAGAATTGGCCGGCACAGCCGTCGCCACAGCCGCCCGGAGATTCGACTGATATTCTAACGACAGAGTAGATAAAACACAGTGGCTGTGTGAAAGCAACCAGATGATGGCGATGGCATGCCGGATTGGGGAGGATGATGGGGAAAGGGGTTCGACGAGCAGGCTTCAGGGAGGCAAAATTGACAGCTTGGCTTTTCGCACGTACGATCTCGTAGCCTGGGATGTGATGAAAGAACGAGAAGACTGATGTTGCGGCAGTGGGGGTAAACTTTCACGCACGTGTGTATTCATCCAACATTGAAGGTTTACTTTCGGTGGTCAGCCGCTCGAGTACGACTGTGGTCAACGGAGGGTTTCTATCTGCTACATTGATTTCACAACGGCCATGCCGGCTTTTTTCAAGTTGGCAAGAAGCGCTTATTGAGAAGCTTATGCCGATATGGGTTGCCTCACTGACCGGCTCATAGAATACATGAACTCCTTTTGCAAATTGAGGGACTTGGGGAGCCAAGAAAATCCCAAGAAATATGTCGACCATCAACACGGTTCGGCAAGTGCCATTCCTTGTGCCGGCTGTCTCATACCCGCTTTGTGTGCAGATCGATGTGCGGTGGTACCCACGGTTCTCAAGTAATTATGTAGTCCTGGTCGATGACGTTGGGACCGGCCATCATCGCATGTCGAATTATGCCATGAACTGTCTGCACACTCCTCTCCCAAGAACTGTCAGCTGCTGTGGATGAAACACTGCCGTCAACAATTAGACCAATAAGTACAATTCGCAACTCATTATCACCATGGCACCGTCCGGCCTTGCAATAATCATCGGCGCCGGCCCGACCTCTGGAGCCGGCATCGCGCGCGTGCTGGCCGACCCGGCCCAGGGCAACCTCGCCGTCGCCCTCCTGGCCCGAAACGCAGGCAACCTTGCCAAGCTCCGCGACGCGGTCCGCCAGTCGTCCAACGGCGGCGTGCTACACTCGTTTCCCACCGACACACAGCCTGACAACCTCCGCCAGGCGTTTAAGGACATCGCGTCCCACCCGGACTTCTCGGACCTGAACCTCAAACTGGCCATCTACCACGTCAAGCACAGCAGCAAGGGCCCCTTCCTCGAGGGCTCCGCCGAGGACTTCGGCGCCAGCCTGCAGACCTACACGACGGGGGCGTTTGCCTTCGCGCAGGAGGCGCTAAAGCTCATCTACGCGCAGCAGGGCGGGCAGACCCTCCTCGCCGACACGGGCGGCGCCAAGAAGGGGACCATCATCCTCACGGGGACGCTGGGCGCGGTGCGGACCAACGAGGGCTACGCCGCGTACGGGGCCGGGCGCGCCGGCGCCAGGATGGTCGCGCAGGCCGTGGCCAAGGAGCACTCCCGCTTCGGCGTGCAGTGCGTGCACGCCATCGCCAACGGCGGCATCGTGGACGAGGATAGTGATGACACCAGGACGGGGAGGAAGATGAGCGCCGAGGCCGTCGGCAGGACGTACCTGTGGCTGAGCGGGCAGGAGCCCGCGCTGTGGGTGCACGAGCTCGACCTGAGGCCTGCGCAGGAGAAGTTCTAAGGGGTAGTGGTTCTGCCTTGGGAGGGTGCCTTGGGGGAGTGCCTTGGGCAAATTGAGGCATGCCTAAATGCTTGTCGCCTGGACTCGAAACACTCGACGAGCTGAGCGTGCAGCAACGGTCTGTGTGCCTCGCGATCTTCACACCATGCGGAGCTTTGCTTAATTCAAATACCAAGTGGCGTGCTATTGCCGTGAGCGATATGCACCACGGGATCATTTGTCAACCCAATTATCGCAAGCCTCGGGTCTCTGAATTTTTCGACGGCTGTCAGGGGAAGCCGCCGAGGTAGTTAGAGAAGCTGGCTATGCGAAAGATCGGACGGCATCTTGCTCGCAAGACTGTCGAATGTCCAGACTACCAATCATCGTATGATGCTGGCCCGGCTCGAAACCAGCTACCGGACGTGAGACGAGAAGGGCTCTATGACCGGCCCATCGGCCAGAGCGATTCGCTTCAGGGTGCCGCTGTGTCAATTACAATAGGATGAACTTGGGACAGTCCGAGCTTTCAATTTTCAGGGACCTTCTCCTTTAGGCAGACCTCACGGTAGTAATACACTGCGCATTGGGATGGAAGAATTTATTCGGAGGCAGTGGTGCATTTATGCTACTATTACAAGGACTTGATACAAAGGTGAGGAGACGAACAATTCCTAGAATCATTTTCCTATTACTCAATGCAAATACCAAGTGATCGCATGATGGTATCATTGTGTTGGGTTGTCAACGGCAGCCTTTCAACTGAAATTCCTCGAACGAGGCGATTATTTACAGAGCTAAGCGGTGTCAATTCAATTTGCTTGCTTTGATTTGCTTTCAGAATTTCCAATTCTCATCTGCAATGCTAGATTACGCATTCTACTCCGTAGGCTCGATGGCCGCGTAGTGCAAGTATGCGCCCAACAGCTTGATGCCCTCCACATAGTTCCTCTTGTCCAACTTCTCGTTGATCGAGTGAGCGCCATCGTTCGAGCTTCCCATAGGCAGCAGCAGCACGTTCTTCCCCGTGGCCTGCTCGAATGTCAGGGTGACTGGGATGCTGCCACCTTCGCGGGTGTAGTCAGGCTCGACACCCCACACCCTCTCGACGGCCTTTGCGGCGGCGCCAAAGTTCCAGTGCTTGGGGCTCGCGACCCACCACTTGCCGGTGTGCTGGGGGTATACCTTCAGGGTATTCTTGGACTTCAGCTTGGCGAACTGCTCCTTGACATACTTCTCGACACAAGCGTTGGTCTTGTCGACGTCCATGTCCGGCACGGTACGGATGCTGAACTTGCCGATGACCTTGGCGGGGATGACGGTCTTTGCGCCGGGGTTGAAGAAGGCGCCTTCGATACCGTGCAGAGACAGGGAGGGGTAGCGCCACCGCGCCATCAGGGTAGACTTCTTGTCTTCGAAGATGGTCGTCTTGCTGCCTAGCGAGTCGTGCAACGTCTCCATAGTAAAGCTGATGTTATCGTAGAGCGTCTCCTCGTCAGCGGTGACCGGGGCCACTTGCTCCATAATGCCAGGGATCTGAATCTTGCCATCGGTGTCAACCAGGGAGGCCATGATGCGTGTCAGATCGGTCATTGGCTCTTGTGCTGTGCCGCCAAACACGCCGGAGTGCAGGTCGGCGCCGGGTCCTGACACCTCGATGTTGTAGTAGTTGCAGCCGCGCAGGCCGTAGGTCAGGCAGGGCTTCTCGGTGCCGAGCCAGTAGTTGTCGCTAATGCAGACAGCATCGGCGTCCTTGAAGTACTTGTCCTTCTCGGCCATGATGAAGTCGTCCAGGCCGTCCGAGCCATACTCCTCCATCCCCTCGAAGCACATCAGCAGGTTGACGGGGAAGTCAACGCCGGCCTTCTGGTGCGCCTCGATGGCATTCAGCCAGCCCAGGACAGGCCCCTTGTCATCTGTGGATCCACGACCGAGCATCTTTCCGTCCTCTGCGACCTTCAGCTCGAAGGGTTCCGTGGCCCAGCCGTCTGACTTCTCGGCGGGCTGGACATCGTAGTGGCCGTACACGAGGATGGTACGCTTGTTCTTGTCGTTTCCGTAGCGGGCCACGACAACGGGCAGGTCAAGGTTGTCCTTGCCATGCTGCTTGCCTAGGGGACGGAGCTCGACCTCAGCACCGAGAGACTTCAGCTCCTTCTCGAGGAAGTGGGCCATGCGGATGACATCTGGCCGACGAGCATCCTCAGCAGAGATAGAAGGAATGGCGACTGCAGCAGCGAGACGCTCAATGAACTTGGGGGTCAGCGCGTCGACCTGGCTGAAGAAGCCGTCAAGTTGAGGAGCACCAGCCATCTTGCGAGCTTGGTGTGCGCGGATAGCTTCGGTCAGGTAGCTTCGAGATTGTGGTGGGAGGAGGCGGGGTCGTGATGGACGAGAACAAACTCCAGAGATCAGACCTGGGGTTGTTGTTCGACTTGTGAAGGCGGACGACAGTCGAGGGAGTACTCTTGCTGAGCAATACGGTCGAGGGAGGAGGGATGTGCGGGGCATTTGAAATGGGAAGCTCACAAGACGAGGATACAATCGGCGTAGCTGTTTGCTGAGGGGCGAGGTGAGCCGAGGGGTGCTTGATCGACGGCTGTGGCCCGACAGGGGTGGGGGTCCCCTGCTGACACTCCCCACCAGGCAACCCCCACGGTGAACGTCTGTCAACATAAACAGACACTACCAACCTCAAAACACGTGTATTCCCAATCTCAACTTCCAGCCTTTTCACGGCGACACAACCATGACTGCATTGCGCCACGCCCTCTCGACAGTGCTAGCAGCGCTGCTGCCTAGAGCTGCTATAGGCCCTCTCCATTAAGCCAGCGTATACAAGTGTATATATATCTATGGGAATGCGTTCACGCCCAAAGCCAGTGTGCTCACTCCTGTGTTGCCTCCTCCTCCTTGCTTCACCCGGCACTGATCATGGCCCCCAGCAAGAAATGCCTTCATCGTGAGCTCACTGTTGAAGTGTCCCCGCACGCGGATGAGGCCGGCTTCGAACAACTAGACTGGAGGCGACGATTTGCTGCAACGATCCCGTCTGGACGTGCTCCACCTAAGGATCGAGCAGCCTCCAAACCAAGTGGTAATGGTGCTCCTCAGGGCCAAGATGCAAGCGCACTTGCATCTTTGTTTCCTGCGCCGCTGGTTCTTCCAGGAGATGAGCTAGCTCTAGACCCAACCAGCCCGGCCCAGAGCCTGGCCTCTTGGCTGAGAGGCACGTATCGCAACAAATTCACCCCCGAACGGAAGACGCTGTATGTCGCCAATGTACCAGCCGTCTCTCAAGAAGTTCGTATGGTGAGCCAGTGGGCACAGCCTGAACTTGCAGGTAACGATGAGGCGACAAAGGGAAAGGCGGACGTTCCGGACCATATCAAGGCGCCCAAGCCGGACGATGTAAGGGAGTACCTCGGCGCCTTTTACCACGGGCTTCCCGTCAAGAAGTTCAGTCAGACACTCGAGTTCACGGCGTGGAAATCAGGGGACAAACGTCGAGCCAAGAAGGACAGCGCGTCGTCCTTTATCGGCCTCCGCTGCGGATCATCCTGCACCCGCATCAGGACGAGGCCTTGCCCGGACGGCACGTTTGCGCAGCAGCTCAACCTGAACGACATCCTAGACGCCGCCATCGCAGCCCTGCCCGACGACGCCTACGCGCTGCTCTTCCTGGTGGACCACGACCTCTACGAGGACGAGGACGACGACTTCTGCTGCGGCCGCGCATACGGCGGCAGTCGCATCGCAGTCGTCTCGTCCGCACGATATAACCCGACACTCCTGCTGTGCAGCGCACACGACAGCATCGACCTGGACCACACATGGCCAGCATCTCACTGCCGGTCCTACGTCGCACGGCTGTGCGGCTCCGCCGCGCCGCGCGCGACCGCCCCGCGGGGCAAGAAGCGCCGCCTGGACGAGCACGAGGACAAGGCCGTGGCCTCCCCGCTCCACGAAGCCGTCCGCGCAGGCAGCAGCGTCGCCGCTCACAATTCTGACCCCGGCTCCTCCCTCGCCGGGCTGTGGCTCTGCCTGCTGGCGCGCACGGCCTCCCACGAGCTGGGCCACTGCCTCGGCATCGCCCACTGCTCCTACTACGCGTGCGTGATGCAGGGCACCGCCGGCATGGCCGAGGACTGCCGGCAGCCGCCGTACCTGTGTCTGGTCTGCCTCAAGAAGCTCACGCACGCGGCGAGGGAGGCGTCCGCGTCGCCGGCTGGCTTCGACGAGACGGGGTATGTGGTTGAGACGTACCAGGCTCTGGCCGGGTTCTGTGAGAAGTGGAAGCAGGTCAGCATGCTCGCAGGCTACAAGGCCTGGCTGGATGGCATGGTGGGCCGGCTGCGGGATGGTTCGATCAAGTTGTGAACGGTTATTTGCGTTGTGCGATGATGTCCTCGATTCGATGTCAGCACAGCTTTGATTACATGGCAACCCGGCTTAAATGTCGCTTCCGTATTGCAAGAGGCGAAATTTCGTCGTACACATTGCTCTTTAATGAGAAATACACACAGTTTGGCACGCTTGTGCAGCTCGTTAACCTATTGACTCGCAAATTTGGAAGGTCACAGTGCAGCCAGGACAACAGACGGCTACCAGCGGCTGAACGTTCACGCAGACACAGGAGCACAGCAGTGCAATTTGAACGGTCATGAAATCTATTGCATAAAAAGACTGTTTACTGCTGTCAGGGTATCACGGCACGCCTCCCGGCGCCAATGTCTGTCTGTCTATCGTTCTTTCATCTCCTCTAATCATGCCAGCTGCTCCTCCTCCTCATCGATACTGTAAAGGATGCGGCACTTGTACCTCTGGCACACCTTCTCGCGCCCCAGGTTCTTGAATTTGGGCCCCATGGGCCCCGTCACGTAGTGGTACTGCCCAAACAGCCGCCACTGCCTATCGTCGCCCAGACTGTACAGCTCGTCGCCCCAGGGCCCGTCGAAGTGGAACCACGAGGTCGGGGCGTCGGGATTTGAAGCTGCTGGTGTCAGTGACGTGGGTGCGACGGCTTGGCCATCGCGTTTGCGGAGGGTTGCGTTGGCGTGGGCGTCCATGACACTTGCGTCGACAGGGTATGGGATTGACCCGTCCGTGATGATTTCTTTTGCAACTGCGCCTTCGTCATCCTCCGGAGGCGGTGGGGCCACAGTGTGGTTGTAGAAGTACGCATAGTTGTTCAGCGATGGGTCCCAGAGCGGCCCCCGATCCGTCTGGTCCTTGAGCATGTTGAACGGCAGGACATATGCATGGTCTCCAGGGAATGCATACATGGCGTGGCTGCCCACAGCTGAGTATATCACTGGCCTCTCGTTGATCTCGCTGACTCCGTTTATGGTGGCGTTTAATCTCTTCTTCTCGAGTGCGGCCCAAGCATATGCCTGGCCGCCTGCGTGCTCGCTCAGGAACATTGCGCGGGGCACACCGTTCTCGAAGCGCACCATGCAGTGCTCCCAGTCGCCGACGTGGTTGCCGAAGCGCATCTCGAGAACGGTCTGGCCTAAGTTATAACTGTAGAAGAAGAACCAGAATGCATCGACGATGCCTGAACCCTTGTCTACTACAACCAGAACAGCTGGCGCTGCCGAGTACCCGCTGGCATCGGGCTTGTGACCAGGCGTGTCCGGAGGCGGAGGGAATGGCTTTTGCGGGTGGTCGCCAGAGAGGAAAAGGCGACGGCGAAGTTTGGAGAGCATGTCTCTTCTCTCATTGTCTTGTGGAGCAGATATGCGGCGCAGGGGGGTGTCCTGACTGATGTCCCACCAAGTCGTATCCTCGTAATTAGAAGACTCGCTTTCTTCACCGATATGGCGACCATCAGCAGGGTCGACTTTCACCCCGTTGTCGTCGTCTGCTGGGTATGGCTTTGGCTTGCCCACATCGTTGGACAGCCACTCTGGTCGCTGTTCGACGTCTTCGTTGCTGGTAAGGAACACAAATCCTGGAACACCGTTCAACTCGTACATGTTTGTCAAGGAGACTGGCTCCGTCATGTTGACAGGGTTGTCACCGACGAAGGGTGCCATGTGGCGGACATGCTCGGCAATGTCTGACGGCCAAAAGTGCTCCTTGGAGTATAAGTGCACGAGCGGCGCATGCTTGAGGACGAAATCGGGTACATCCTTCAGGTTCTTGGTCTTTGCATGCAGCCCCTCCTTTCCACCTGCTCTCCTGCCTATGTTTTCCCACGAATTAGGTGCCGCTCCTTCATTTAGAGTCCTCTTTTTCAACTCCAGCTCGACTTGGTAGTCAATCCGCGGGTCCCGGGGTCTGACCGGGTCGTCCCAGCGCATGTGGTGCAGACCGCAGACACTGAACCACCTGCATGCCTGCCGGTCTATCCAGTACGGCGAGGAGGCCACCCATGCTTTGTCTCGCTTCTGGTCCTCGGGACTGGGCGGGGTTGGGTTGAGAGTCCTGGGGACGAACCAGGTGATGAATGCGAGGGTAGCGAGGAAGACGACCACAATAACGGCGCGGCGGAGGTGATACATCGCAATCTCCCCGGTACAGGAGCGAGTCCTGGGCGGCAGGAGCAGTGCTTCAAATACAATAGAATCAGGCGTCAAGGGGGCCGCTCCTCGGAGCGGTGGGTCGTTCTACCGGCGGTTCGAGGGACGGCTAGTGTGGAGGAGGACCATGGCAGGGTCTCGGACGCGCCTTGGAGTAGGGGATGAAAACGGGAAGGATGAAGTCTGTTCAAGAATGAAATTGGGGAGGGGAGGGGAGAAATGAATGAACGGAGGCTAGCACATTGTGCCTAATCAAAAGTGGAATATGTGGAAGAGGTGACTTCGAAGAGAAGTGAAGAGTGCGCGGATTTGACGTTCTCGAGGGAGGTTGGCACAAGCAGTACTAGTATTAGACTAAGTGAGCGCTGGACCCTGATGCCTTGATCGGCTTCCGAGGTTGGGGGGCCAGGTGGGCTCTCTGGGCAGGGCCCTGAGTCGGGACGGGGCACCTGCATAGTTGCATGCTGATGCAGGATGGGGAAGTAAGAGTGACTGACTCTCCCATGTGGCGAATGCGGGGCGGGCGGGTACACGAGACATCATCACAGCCGGAAATAGACAGAGAGGACGGACAGCCCCTGACTGAGGCCACACCCGCCCCTCCACCACGACCAGTCTATCCCACGCCTGCCCACGAGCAGCTCTGTCGCCAGGCTTTCTAGCCACACATCTGTCCACGCGGCCGGACAAGACGTCGGGAGGCGCTGCACCTTCTGCCGGTATGTACAACAGAGCTGTTACTGACACGATCACATGCTACCAGGTGCATAGGCCAGTAAACCATCCACCGGCCAACGTGGCTCGAGTAGACTGCTCATTCGAGACACGACCAACGCATTGTGGCTCACATGCAGACCCTGGGGAAACAAGCTTATCCAACTGCCGATATCCTGGTCGGTAAGAAAATTGGGTATCATTGACTGGTCACTCGTGCTTGATCGTGGGGCGCCGGAGGCTACCTCAGCCTTAATCCTCTTCCATGGCCGAATCCTCCTCAGCCTCGTCTCCATCGTCTCCACCGCCGCCCTCTATATCTTCCCATGTACCTGGCGTCCTAGTGGAAATCTCTCCAACCTCGTCCTCGCCCTGACTTTCAGGGTCCTTATCCCCAAACCTAACCACCTGCTCCCTGTTCGTCCACCGGTTGCCGCGCCTCCTCCTTGTCTTGGGCCTTGCCGCTCTCTCCTCCATCAGCCTCAGCTGTCTCCTCCTGTCTCTGATTCTCTTCTTTTGCAGCTGCGCCTCCTCTGGGTCGTCCTCCGCATCCACAAAGAACCTCGTAGTGTCCTTCGTCATGGTTGTGACCTCGTCCATCTCTCCCCTCTTCCGCTTGATGGCCATTATGTTCTCCAAAAACCTGGCCTGTGGCTTTCTGAACCCGTGCTTGTCGAACGCAACAGGGATCTCGATTCCAGACTCTTTCCTTAATTTTCTGTAGCGGTCGGGGGCCTGCCGGCGCTGAGGCGCAGCCACGTTCGTAGGGTTCTTGGGTTTGAGATCCGCGGGCGTGGTGAGGATGCGCGCCGACGTCGCGGCCATGAGGTCGACGTCGCCAGACAGGCTGCGCAGGTACGGCAGGCCACGGTCCGCAACCTCGTCGTGCGCGCCGAAGATGAGCTCAGTGCCGATGTTGCTGGCCCAGCTGCCCGAGAAAATCCGCCCCTTGTAGGATATGACCGGGCTATCGGAGTGCAGGTCAAGTACCTGGATGTCTCCAACGCTCTTTAACTTCTTGCTTGGCTGGGGCTGTGTGATCTCAGTGACCTCTTCCGCTGGCCTCGGTGATACTCGCGCGGCCGGTTGCGACGAGCCTCTGAGCCGTGGATCGATCATATCTCTGTCGCCGTCTCCGCCATTCTCGTCCACGGTCTCGTTGCCGTTTGGTTCGACGGTATCGCCTCCATTTCTGTTCCCATCGTGGTTGTTGTTCTCATTCTCGACGTCTGCGTCCTCCTCTTCTCTTGGGACGAGGTCCTCGTCATCCTTGTCCTCCTCGTCCGCAAGCAAGATCGCGTTGGTCTTAGTAGGACGGAGTCGCGTGTTCTTGTTGGGGTCTGCATAGACGGGGTTGAACCATTGCCTGTAGCCGCCTCGGTTTTGGGAATGGAATGTGTCTTTGACCTTCTCAAACATGCCTGGATGCGAAAGGTCCATGGTTACATAGTATGTCTGTCTGGGCGTCAGCTGCTGGCTATTTTCCCCTCAAAAGATGCTGTTCTCTACCTCTTCCTCCGTGGTGGAGTACTCGAACTCCCACTCATCCTCATCGTCGACTGGCTTGGACGACTTAGCGAGAGGGAAAGAAGCGGCGCTTTCTGGGTACGTTCCCGGCCAGCCGACCGGCTGCTTAGCAGTCGGCTCAACGACCGTCCGAACCATTGCGTGTCGCGAGACTCATTTGACAGTCAACTGATAAGGTGTGACGCCCACGGTGGCATCGGAGTCCTCGAGCATTATCGTGTACGCAGATCCATGCGAGTCGGGCGAAGAATGGCTGGATCAAGTCTCGGCTTGCTCGAGCAGTGACGGAGCTTGGAGTTGGCGCCCCTATAAACTTTGGCGGTGGTAGGCGGCAGAACGCCCATAGCCGCGGGGCACAGGGATGACACACCCCTGTAGCTCCTGGCCCCTGCAGCACTGTAGATCGCCCCTCCAGTGACGATACCGGCTCAGAAATTCGATGTGAAAATGGGTGATAAGTCTTGCGAGTTTGAGTCACACTCTTTTTGCATGGTGAGCCTTTGTTCTCTTTTCGACACTCATTTTCGCATGAGGTATATGCAATCATACAATTTGCAAAAATGCCCACCGTCCACTTGTTAGATTACGTCGCGGGAAACGTGCGCAGTCTCGTCAACGCCATCGAGAAGGTTGGCTACGAGGTCGCATGGGTCAAGACTCCCGAAGAGGTCAAGAATGCAGATGTACTACCGCCCCAATTCCCCCCAGAAAGATTACATTCATATGTCCATGCTCATTGATGTCCTCAGAAACTCATCCTCCCCGGCGTGGGCCACTTCGGCCACTGCCTCACACAGCTATCCTCGGCGGGCTTCCTCCCCGCCATAAAAGCCCACATCGACGCCGGCAAGCCCTTCATGGGCATCTGCGTCGGCATGCAAGCTCTTTTCTCTGGATCTTCTGAGGATCCGAACTGTCCCGGACTGGGCTCTATAACGTCTTCGCTCTCACGCTTCGACGACAGTGACAAGGCTGTTCCGCACATTGGCTGGAACGATGCTGTCGTGGAGGGTGGCGTGTCCCTTCATGACCTGAGGCCCGGGTCTAAGTACTACTACGTCCACAGCTACCGATGCCCGTACGAGAAAGGAGTTCTAGAGGGACAAGGCTGGACGGTGGCCACGGCAAGCTACGGCGGTGAGACGTTTGTCGGTGCTGTGGCAAAGGGCAACATCCTCGCCACGCAGTTTCACCCCGAGAAGAGTGGTGTCGCAGGCTTGAGGACCCTCAAGTCTTTTCTCACCGGCGAGGGTGCAAAAGCTCTGGGCCAGGCACCGCCGCAGGCCACAGCGTCGGTACAATCCAACGGAGGAGCAGTCCCACAGCCAGGCCTCACAAGGCGGGTGATCGCCTGTCTCGACGTGAGGACAAACGACACGGGCGACCTTGTAGTCACAAAGGGCGACCAGTACGACGTACGAGAGAAGAGCGACGAGCGCGGCGTCCGAAACCTGGGAAAACCTGTCGACATGGCCAAGAAGTACTACGAGCAGGGCGCGGACGAGGTGACGTTCCTGAACATCACGTCCTTCCGGGACCTGCCCCTCAAGGACCTTCCCATGCTGGAGATCCTGCGGCTCACGTCACAGACCGTCTTTGTGCCGCTGACCATCGGCGGGGGTATCAGGGACACAGTCGACCCCCTGGACGGGAGGAAGGTGTCTGCGCTGGACATCGCGACCATGTACTTCCGCAGCGGCGCCGACAAGGTGAGCATCGGGTCGGACGCCGTCACCGCCGCGGAGGAGTACTACGCCGCGGGCAGCAAGCTTTCCGGGACCACGGCCATCGAGCAGATCTCGCGCGCCTACGGCAACCAGGCCGTCGTCGTCTCCATCGACCCGAAGCGGGTCTACGTGGCCTCCCCGGAGGCGGCGGGTGCCCACCACGCGTCCAACACCATCAAGACCAAGTTCCCGGGCCCTGCCGGCGGCGAGGAGTACTGCTACTACGCCTGCACCATCAAGGGCGGGCGCGAGACGCGCGACCTGGACGTCGTCCAGCTGGCGAGGGCGGTCGAGGCCATGGGCTGCGGCGAGCTGCTGCTCAACTGCATCGACCGCGACGGCACCAACAGCGGCTTCGACCTGGAACTGATCCGCCAGGTCAAGGGCGCCGTCAGGATCCCCGTCATCGCCTCGTCGGGTGCTGGGAATCCGGCCCACTTCGAGGAGGTGTTTGCCGAGACGACGACGGACGCGGCGCTCGGTGCGGGCATGTTCCACCGCGGGGAGTACACGGTGAGGGACGTCAAGGAGTGCCTGGGCAACAAGGGCCTGACGGCTAGGGGATTTGAAGGCGAACTGTGATGGATTGGCGCAGACTCGTGCATGGCGATCGACAAGCCCCTCAGAGTGGGCGAGTACCTTTTTCCCCCTCGAGTGGTCTCTAAGATTGGGTTTTGAGGGAATTAGAATCAATAGAATTGCGAGAGCATCTACTTAGGTTAACTGTTGGTTTTGCAACCGCATCGCCTTTCTTGTTGACTAAGATCTGTTGCCCCTTTTTTTCATGTGTGATGGCTGAATAGGTTGGATGCTGTTATACTCCCATGCTCCTGATGCTGTGCTTGTAGTCCATGCTGTTGCCGGGATCATGATAGATTACCCTTCAATTTTGTTCAAGACCCTCCCCTTTTCAGAAAGCTTTTAAGAAATCCCCAGAACAGAGACAATCGAACGATACCACAAAGCCCGCACAGACAAGGAAATCATCGAGACCCGTCACTCCAAACCAAAATATCATTCCCAGGAATCAAACGCAGATTGCCGACTAATGTGAGTGTTGAAAGTCGCAGAGAAAGAAAGTTGCTGGTCCATATCCTACACTTCCGTGCCCATGAACACCCACTCCTTGCTCGTCACGTCAATGGCTCCCGCCCAGTGGTCGAGAGTCGTCAGCTCCAGGCCCGCCCACTGCAGGCCCTTTGTCAGCGTCTTGGCCTCGTCAGTCTCGATGGACCGGTCGATGCAGATGACCAGGTGGGAGCAGCCCAGGGGCGACTCGGCCAACTCCATCAGTGCCACGAGAGCGTCTTTCAGATCGTGGCCGACTACACCTGCGTCGAAGAAGGTGAACAGGGTCCTCTCGCCGCGGGCGTAGTCCTCGACGGCGAAGGCGCGGAAGCTAGCCCCGCCCTGGTAGTCCCAGATCTCCATCCACGAGGTGGCCTCGATGTTGCCGTTGGCACGGCCACCGTTGCACATCGCTTCGGATCCATCGCAAGGTGGCGTGAGCTGCTGACGCCGGTCAGGCTGACCATTGCTGGTGTAGGAGCCAAAGTAGCCAGAGTCAACGGAGGCGGCGCTGCTGCCAGTGTAGGAAGCAGCGGATGGACGGCGATGGTTCGCGCTGGTGCTGATGCTGTTGTTTGCTGGATGATCGTGTTGTTGATAAACACCCGTCAGGCCGGAGACCGATGGGCGACCGTTCCTCTCACCGAAGAAAGTGGTCGCCATGGTCTCGCAAAAGAATCTCTCACATTCTTCCCTGATGCGAAGTGTTGCCCCCCCTCGTCGGCGACGAGACTCGCTTTTGGATGCCGTGGACTGACGCTTTGCCGGCTTGGGCGTCAGGGCGAGCTCGTTGGACGAGGTGATTGCGGCGAGGGGGGGACTTGACGGCGGGGATGGTAATCCTGAGATGGGGACCTCAGGAATACCACTCGGCCCCTGCAGCCAGGGTAGTGCAGTAGTGGAGGCCCTTGAGCGAGCCGGCGGCGTCGACGACGTAGCAGCTGGCGAGAACGTTGGCCTGGCGGGCCATGTCCTCGCCGTAATTACTACTCGACAGATTGGAATTTATAGTTTTCATGGGCGCCATTGTAATATGCCACCGTGGGGGATTTCGTTTGGAAATGGATTGGGTTGTTGGTTGATGGATATGGACGGCTGTACGACGACGACGATTTGTCGAGGTTTTGAGTGACTGATGGATTGATTGATTGATTGATGGATCGAGTCAAGTGGAGCTACAGTAGGTGTTGGTGTTGGTTTGGATGTCGTTGACTGCTTTTGCACGAACAGGTGGAGACAGGCGAGATGCGATGGTCTTTTTAGGGGGACGGATTGGTTGGCTGATGGATGAGGCTGAATCGAACGAGGTCGGCGAGGGAGACGGAGAGGTCGGGGCTGATAGATAAAGAGGGAAGCGGGAGCGAGGGTGGATTGGGAGAAAAAAGGGCGAGGGACCACAAATTGGGTGTGGGGTCTTGGCTAGCGTCAGGCTTGCGCCTGGAAATTTCGAGTCATTCTGATGAACCGTTCTTTGTCTGAACAGCACTGTAGCCACGCAGTGCCGCTGTACCTCGGTCCCTACTGTACGGTGCCAGAGGGTGCCCAGGCGCCCAGTGTGAGCCGAGAAATCCCCCAAAACGCCCCCAAGGCAGCGAGGCCACAGCATGGCCACGCACGTTCGACCCGCTAAAAATACACGAATGGACAGCATGAAGCGACCTGGCTGTGTCTGATTGACTTTCACGTGGCCACGCTGGTGTCGGATTGATTGGCTGGCAGCCGGGAGGATCCCCAACCTCGTCGACGTTGCAGTTTCGAATTGACTGTGCCAATACACGTCACACAGTTGTGCAATCCAACTACTGTGTACTGTATCTGTACACAACGTGTATCTATTATCGTTTCGTCTCGACCACAAGCAGCCAATGTCACAGTCTACCTACTACACAATCGCGGAAATTCATACCAATCAAATCAGTCTCCCAGTAGCCTCCATCACCCTTCAATCAATCCAATCCAGTCTAGTAGAACTCGACAGCCAACCTCTTGTTCGCCGAGTTTACCACAATTGTCCCCGACCCGCCGACAATGTAGGCCTTCTTCTGCCCGACGACCTTGTTCTCATAGTCAATCGCCGCCTGGTTGGGGCCTCCCATCCAGTTGCCCGTGGTGCTCGCAAGGCACTCCTTGCCGTCGGACCTCTTCTGCCTCGCCGCCTGGGGCGCGCCCGGAAGGATATCATTGGTGAAGCCGATCGAGTTGTTGGTCCCGTCCGTCGACCGGATCATCGCGGGGCCATCATAGCCTTGCTGGAGGCTGATGTTCCCCCATGCCTTGTGGTCATTGCTCGCAGACAGCTGGAACTCAACCCATGTCGCCGGGATCAGCGTCCCGCGCTGGACGCGGCCTTTGAATGACTCCGGAAGCTCGACGAAGGTTGACGCCCCGGCCTTGAGCTTCGTCGGCTTTTCCGGGTGGTCAAAGTTGGCGCCTGCCTCCCCGTTGCCGTTCCAGTAGTTGTTGAAGAAGTTGTATGTCTCTTCCTTCTTGCTCTTGTTAGTCAACTGAATGCCGGGCTTAGCTGGGGCCGCCGCTGCCCTGGACATTATGTTCAACTGAATCTGTGGGAATGCCTCTGCTTGCGCGGCCTCGGACTCAGCTGCGACAGAGTCGGTCGCGGCAGACTCAGCGGCAGCAGGCTCAGCGGCAGCTTCCTCGGACTCGGGTACGGCATCTGATGCTACACTGGCCGTCATAAGGGCCGCCTGGCTCGCGGGTCTGTCTCGTCTTAGTAAACAAAAGACGATCGTTGACTATTCCGCAAAGTAAAACTCGCAAGGACTACCTACTTGGTACAGTAAATCTTTCCCACAGATGTCAAGCTCCCATTGTTGGCCAACTTGTTCACAGTCGCCACACCACCCATGCTGCCGTTGTTCGTGGCAGCCCCGAACCAAGCATACTTCTCGACAAATGCCTTGCCGTCGAGGTACTTGAGCGCCTCACGCTCAAACTTCTCAACATCCCCCTGGCTCGGCACAGCGCCGCCGAAAGTCGTGCAGGCGAATTCGTTCAGCCAGATTGGCTTATTGAACGTCTTGTGAATGTCTTCGATGAACTGCTTGAGGTTGTTGACATCCAGCCCGTACCAGTGGACCACAATGAAGTCGATCTTGGCGTCCCCGCCGAGCTGCTTCAGGAAATCCTGCAGCCACTTCTTGCCTGCGTCCGAGTTGGTCATGGCTGGAGAGCCCAGCTTGAAGCCGTACTTCGCCTTCGCCGGCAGGACGTGCTGCCTCCACAGCTGCACCGCCTGAGCGACGGACATGTTTGCCTGACCAGGGTGGTCCGGCTCATTGAAGCCGATGAAGTGGCTGACCTTTCCAAGACCGCCCAAGAACTAAGAGAAAAATATTCAGCATCCTGTGTGCTAGGAAGGGGGTCGGGTGGGCAAAGTAAGTGAATTACCTGGTCAATCTTGCCAGCTTCGGCAGCCGTGCGGACCTGAGGGACGTAGGTAAGGCCAGCTGGAAAGCCTTCGGGCTTCCACATCTCCCAGTTGAAGAGCCAGGTGAGCGTCTGGTCCTTGACAGCAGCCTCGTAGGGCTTGAAGGCGGGCCCTTTGTTGTCATAGGGCCAACCGAGACCGCGCTTGGAGGGTGCCATTGTGTTTGGATAAGATAGAAAAGAGGTGAAAAGGCTGTTGAAATTATTGTTGAGATTGCTAATAGGCTGAGAAGTGTTGATTCTTGGTTTGGTGTGGTGTCTGGATCCGCATCTCGAGTAGTATAACAGCTTGGGACCAGTCTTTTATATCAATTTCTCTTGCCTCCCGAGGCAACTGTCTTTCACCCGTCCCCGTCACCCCCGACTGCCCGGATCAAATGCGTTGGAACGATCAGCATCGTAGACTGGCCCTGTGACAATCCTTTGGGGTCGAGATGGCTGCCTCGGTGCGACGGTGGTGTAGACTCTTTGAGCATCTCTTCTAAGAGTACATGGGCTCATGTTCAATCCTTCGTGTGCAGCAAGGCTCGGGTGAACCGTGTATGTCATGAGATATCACATTGGTTGAGTTTCGTGGCCATGGTACGGTCCTATGGGTGTGACTGGTCAGCTGGCGCAGCACAACAAGGCTGGAGTATAGGGCTGGGTCTGATGTAAGCTAAGTAGCTGGACAAAGTGCGTCTGACGCGGAACCGACCGCGTGTAGACCGAATAAGCAGAGAGGCGTCGGAAGCTAGGCTTGCCGTTTTCTGTGATCCTGTTGTCATCAAAGCCGGCTCTAACCTACAGATGCATTCTCCCAATCAGGACAGGGGCTTATTATATTGATGAGTAAACTGGGGGCTGTTAGATTCGCGGCCGCTGGGGGCGGGCGTATTCAGGGGCGTATTGTCCGAATTTGTGAAGCACAAAATTCCTCCCGCCACGGTCTGCGCTGAAGGGATTGGCATCGTGACTACTGCGCGCCTCCCGCGTGATCCCTATGTAAGCTCTCGCAACTTCCATGGCCCCCAGCTTACACTTTAGGCAGAGACAGAGGCAAGAACTCAAGGCGGACACATATGTCATTAAAAGTTTGGGCTTCGAAGAATACAATATAGAGTACACAAGCCCCCAGTAGCCTTCATGAAGGGAATAATTAAAGATCATTCCAACAATTTCAATAACCCTCAACTATCTGCTTCACATTACTACACCGACAACCACTTCAACTCAAAGACTATTTCATACTCATTGAATCGAATTTGATTGATACTTCACCTGCCCATCATGCCTGTTATCACCGTCAAGAACAACTCCTCTCACTCGCAGAGCTTTCTGGTTCATGGCTTCCCCAACAACCCGGGGACCATCACCGTCAAGGCCAACGGCGGCACCGTGGATGTCAAGAGCCCGGACAACCAACAGGTCTCCGGCGCCATCATCGCCACACACGACGGCCATGAAGGCGAGCAGGCCGAGGTCACCTTCAACGGCTGGCCCGAGGGCAAGAACCAGTACTACGACATCAGCTACATCGTCGGCGGCGGTGGTAACCTGACGATCGAGCAGAAGGGTGCGCCCAACACGCGCAAGGGCGATGCGACCTTCATGCAGGACTGCAACACGGCGTGGCAGAAGCTGTCCGCGGACAAGAAGAAGGCGCTGCAGCGGTTCGTCCACCTCGACTCCAAGGGCAAGGTCTCCCGCATCGACGCTCCCAAGAACGACAAGGGGCTCGAGGACTGGGTGAGGACTTTTGCGCATGGTGTTTACGTCGGAGTCGGAGCTTGGAAGGATGACAAGGGGAACGCGGAGGACAACGAGCAGAGCAAGGCAACCCCTGGGGGTAACAAGGACTTGCTGGTTGTGTTCACTGATAACAACGATAACTAGACTAACTATGCCAGTGTGGGCTTGGCAATAGGTATTGGGTTTGCTTTGCACATTATATGTATGTCTCCATTTGAGGTAAAGGATCACAAATGGTAGAAGCCTGTCGTTACCAAGTACATCAATCAGTTCTACCACAACGGAGTGCTGCAGATTCATTGTTTCTGTGCTGCTTCTATAATCGCACATCGCAGTCTCACACACATTGATTACCATATTTGTGTTGAGTAAAACATCTTATATAATATACTGTAAACCATGATTAACTCGGATTATTTAAATCAATTTGAATTCATTGACTGCCAAAAATATGCTGGATTAAACAGAGTCCGTGGCTGATTGCAGTTAAGTACTGCATAATGAGAGACTGCCCATTAAGTCATTTCCAGTCCGTCCATCCAAAATGCTCCGTCCAAAGCGATTCATGAATATCGCATCCCAAAAATAGCAAGTACCATATTTTTGCCCTACCCTTAGACGTGAATCCCTAGTACTTTTGGTAATAGCCAGAAGGACCGGGCATAGAGGCGCCTGATGGGCCTCCCCGACCTCCATATGCTCCTTGGCCTACCTGGCCATATGCTGCCTGACCTGGTTGACTTGCGTATGCTCCGTATGCTGCCTGGCCTCCCTGACCTCCGTATGCTGCCTCACCTGGCGGACCATATGCAGCCTGACCTGGTTGGCTTCCGTATGCTGTCTGACGTGCCTGGCCTCCGTATGCTCCCTGACTTGCTTGAGCCGCCCCTCCTTCCTGTCTTGTCTTCTCGCTTGTCTTGGTAACAGCAACGTCGCCGTATTTGTAGCCAAATGGGTATTTGACCTGGTAGGGGTAGCCATCTCCTGTCCGCGAGCGCTTGGGGTGGTCCGGGAAATATCCCGTTTCGACTTTAGATGTTGACGCTACAACAACTGACCCGCCTAGATGGCGGTCTACCTCTTCGAAAAAGCTTGCCAGGACGGCGTGAACGTCTGGGAAAACAGCACCCACCTTCGGCGTATACTCTTTACCGCTCTCATCCAGCACCATTAATTCTCGAGAATAACCCTCTGGATCCCGCAGTCTCTTCGTGATGCGGCTCTCGAGTTGTAGGCTGAACAGGACTTGAGCTCTTGACATTAATACAAACAATTAGCCGGATGTGCACAAGACGTCCAATTTTCCCAGTCTGCCGGGTGAGGAACGGGATAGTAATAAGGTCGGGCGACACTCACACATAGTCTCGACAGCCGACGTACATGTCCAGGCCACCGATTGTCATCTTTGTTGAGAAGCCAAAGCGGATCAATCCTGCCCGTGAGAGTAAGTAGATGAGATTACCGAGTGTCGTAGAGCCTGTGCTGTCGTTGAATCTTGCATCCAGCTCCATGCAGAACCTCAATGATCTGGGCGGCCCTGCATATTCCTTCAGGTTCAGATTGACGTTCGAGGACGTGTACAATATCCCTGTTGTTTCATCCAACATTTCGTCCTCGCTAGGATCTGGCACGGCCTCAAGCTTTGCGCCGCGCCAGGAATGATTGTTGCAAGGTCTGAAATCGAACTTCAAGAAAGCGTGGTTGGTTGCGACATCGTCGACGATGTTTTCCTGGGCAAAGCAGAGCCAGGCACGTGAAAGCCGAAAGTCTTTATCATCAGAATCCACAATCAGCTTGCTGAGTTCATTCTCCTTGAACTTTGTTAGGTTGAAGTTGCCCTCTCCGATCCAGTTCCGGTCTTTGGGTTGTGCGGCTGGCTGTTTTCCTTTTGAGGAAGATCCGTGGTGGGAAGATCCATGGTGGGAAGATCCATGGCCTCGATGTTTGCCCTTGGAGGAGGATCCATGGCCAGGCATTTTGTATTTGTTCAGCCCTATACGGCGGATTTGTGTGGCTCGTCGGTTTGCGTTTGAGTCGTGAAGCAGAAGGTGTTTGCTGTGTTTTGGTGGTTTAGTTTTTTTGCTTGTGGTAGATAATGGAGTCTCTTTTGGATTGTTTGTTCTTGTCGCTGCTGCTCAGGTGAGGTGTTGTGTTCAAGTCTGAGATGCTTTCTGGCCTCAAGAAGAGTGGATTTATATACTCGACAAGAAGAGATTGACTCACTGAATTTGATGCCGTTGAGCCAATATTGACGACTGTGGCAGTGACTTACGCCTTTAATCTTGGTATGATAGAAGGCCGTAAGATGACCAACAGTTGCCGTGACTTGGGATGGGCTCTTTCACTTCGCGACTTAGAAGGGAGCTTATGACTTATCGGATCTCATCTCAACATTATCGGACGCTGAAAACGCCAGCGGTAGCTGACATGAACACAAGGAAGAAATCCAAGACGACAGGAATGAGAGCTAGACCAGTAGAGATTATGGGGTATACGATCAAGTGTTCGGAGCCCCTACAGATTTACAATAGATATAGCCATCTGCTAGAATCAAGCATTGGATTTTCTTGGGAAACCATGAACTATCAATAAGCAAAGGCCAATTCTCAGTCTGTATACCTCTATGTGAGCCAATACATCATTGAGCGATTGGGAGGACATTCGTTTGTCACCCTAGAGTTGCAGAAATGGGTGAATGACGTTCGTAAACTTCAAAGAGAAAATCAATCATCGTCCGTGATTAACTAAAAACGGTGTGGTTACCTACTCGTCGGCTGAAGATGCCTCCAATCACCACATCTCGTCCCGAGTCTGCTACTGTGTGGTGGTCTTCACCTGCTCAGAGTCACTCAGCCTCATCGCCATCTTTGATCAGTAACTGACGTAAAGCAACAAACCAATAATTTCACATGTATGTAGACAATTTCTGAATCATGCAGGCTCTGTAGGGTTGCTCCAAGTTGCCCGATACCTGCGACTGGTACGTGACGGCCCTCAACTCGCCCCAGCGGCAAACTCACGACACTGGTCAGATGACGGAGGAACTGGGGAAGAGACATGCTCATGTTTGTGGGATAAGAACAATAGTCCACCACAGTTTTTGAAACAATCAAAGTTTCCAGCATAATGAGTTGCTTGGGCCTTGGGAATGGTGTCAGTTTTGGAAGGGGGTGCAGTGGGGCTTGAGGGAGAAAACCCCAACCCGCCCTCACAACAGTTCCACCCAGGTGCAGCAGACATGCAGTTGGTGGGAGGATCACCAAGCCGCCCTTGACTGCAAGTATCTATTTGGGTTACGTACCCACCCAAAGAGGGGTCCTGCATGTTTTTGGTCCCTTCGCACCGTGCTCAGTACTTTCTGATCTGCGCGGGACCTGGACGGACCGTCACACAGGCTTCAGCCGCACCTTCCAGCATTAACAAGAACTCAGAGACCCCAATGTGCCAGTCAACGTCAGTCGCCCACAGGATGCCACCGTGAGACCGCAACCCCGGAGCGTCTAAGCGACCTCCTGTCTCTGCCTCTGACTCTGCCCGCTGGGCGCTTCTAAGCAGTTCTCACCAGAGCTCTAGCTTGTCTTTGCCGCTTCTTACTTCGGTTGACCCAGTCAAAAGGCCTCTTGCGAGCCGGGCCTCGGGGCTGACTTGAGCTTGGATTGTGGTCAAGCCCACTGGACTCCTCCTCATGGAGACAACCCTTGCCAAGCGTCCTCACACTTACCACCGGCATGATGCAAGGGTGTGCGCCGGGGCTCGCCTCGCCTCGCCAGGTCTACAGAGCTCTCGACAGCATTCCCACACGCAATGCGCGCGCCCCGGATAGAAGGTCGTCGGGGAGGGTGGGACGCTCGACACTGGTGGATGGTCCTGATGGTCTGACCTCGCATGGGAGTGACAAATCGTGCTCGCCAACGCCTTCGGAGATCGACGCTCTGGAAGAGTCGTTCTGCGACTTTGGACTCGAGCCCAGTCAAGTCGAAGGGGACTCCTCTCAGGGCAGCTACAGCGATTTGCAGACCACCACAACCGTGACGTCGCTGTCCTCCAAGACCACCTCTACCCTTTCTGGGCACCTCGACTTGTTGCAACCTCTGTCAGGTCTGACGTGTGATTCGGGGGGCAATGCAGTCATGCCCCTGGGTGATCGTCTCCGCCTGGTCTGGCGTATGTCACCCACTTCATTCTCCAGTCATGTCGTGTGCTGATCCGCCCGGCAGCTAAGATTCCTCGGATGATGTTCAGCGCACCAGCCGTTGTGACCTGGGAGGTGACTCGGGTCGCTCTGCACTGTGATGTTGATGTGGCCTCGCTCGACTTACAATACGACGAACGTATGCTGGACTTGGATACTATGTGGAATACGCTCAGGAGCCACCCCTCTTTCAAAGGGAAGAGCTTCCCGCCAAAATCAGATCCCCTTGCCTGGCGCGACGGGCTGTACAACAACTTCGAGTCCGAGGGCGATGCCCTCGTGATGCTGACCGCGACGATGCACGCCTCAAAGTCAAAATATGGGCCTGCGATGCAGTTGGAGCTGCACCCACTCAAACGCGAGCAGGGCTCCCGGCTGCTTCGTCGGTTCGGTTCTGACCGATTTCTTGAGGTCCGGATCCCGTGCGTTGAGACGTGGCTGGCCGGCGAGGAAGGGTCAGAGGCTCTTGTTGCTCGCTGGCTTGCCAACGAGTCTCACCCCTTTATGGACCGCCGTTGGTCAGCGTTCTTTGTCCGAGAAAGGAGCGAGAAGTCTGAAATCAAGGACTTTGTGTATGGGCAAGAAGAATCGAGAGTCATTTTCAACGAAAAGGTGTTGTTCTTTGCGGAGAGTGGACGACACTTGCCGAGTGCTAGAACAACAATATCCGCCCTATCAAAGAGTATAGGCCCGCCAGCTCGGACGGCTTGCTCACGGACTGACATGCTGAAATGGCTCCTGAACTTCAACGAGAACCACGACAGGTCATATCTCAAGCTTTTCTCTCGCATTGCGCTTGGTCAGTACCATTTGCCACTCGTCGCCCACATTTACTGATGACCCGCCGTCAGGTTTGAGCAGGACAAATCCCACAATTCCATTGCGAGAAGGCCAGATACGTGAGAGATCAGAAGACATCCTGTCCCCAGATGGCGAAGTCATGAATGACGGTGCCGGGATAATCTCACCGAGTCTGATGAGGAAGGTACGAGATGTTCTTGGCCTGCAGTCCATACCGTCTGCGATTCAAGGTCGTTTGGGCAGCGCAAAGGGAATGTGGCTGATCGATGCCACTGACCCGGGTCATGAGGACTGGATCGAGACGTTTCCGTCACAAAGAAAATGGAACTGCGACCTGTCCAAAGAGGCTCACAGGATTCTTGAGATACGTTCCTATTCCATGAATCTGGTCCCTGCCAGCCTGAACAAGCAATTCCTTCCAATATTGGAAGATAGAACTGCGGATGTTGGTGCGCTGCGCCAAGTGTTCGTCAAAAATCTGACCACGAGATCAGAGGAGGAGGTCAAGTCGTTGAAAGAAGCTCTCCAACATCCTGAGCTCTTCAGAAAATGGGTTCGGGGACTCAGTCCGCGAGAGTCATTCCGCATTACGCCACAGGGGATGCCCTTCCTGGCTGGCCTTCCCGAGAGCATTGAAGATATTATGAGCTTTCTTGTTGATGGAGGGTTTGAGCCGATGCAACTCAAGTTCCTCCAGGACCTCGTCTTTCAAACACAAAAGCACAGAGGCGATTCGATGAAAGACGAGCTGCACATCAAGATCCCCAAGTCGACCTATGCCTACATGCTTGTCGATTTCAAGGGGATTCTGCAGCCCAACGAGGTTCACCTGTGCTTTTCTTCGAATTTCGATGACGGCACAACCGAACTGTCGGACCTTGACGGCATGGACGTCCTCGTCGGCCGATGTCCGGCCCATCTCCCTAGCGACATCCAGAAGGTCAGAGCGACCTTTAAGCCGGAACTGCGACACATCCGTGACGTGATCGTCTTCTCCTCCAAAGGCGACATACCTCTGGCCGCGAAGCTTTCGGGTGGGGACTATGACGGCGACCAGGCCTGGATTTGCTGGCTTCCTGAGCTCGTTGCAAATTTCAAGAACGCGAACGTACCTCCGAAGCCAGAGTTCTCGCCGTATATAAACAAGGACAGAGACACGCTTGGTGACTTGCGCAAACTCTATGGAGAAGAGCACTACATCGACGCCATGGTAACGAGGGCAATCCGCTTCAGCCTCAAGCCGAAGTTCCTCGGCCCTTGTACTTCCTTCAAAGAAAAGCTGTCCTATCACCTGAACAGCCTGAGCGATGAGCGCGTCATCAAGCTAAGCTGGCTTCTCAGTGAGCTTGCCGATCAGCCGAAGCAGGGAATACTCTTCGGACGTGATGAATGGATACGTTTTCTGGACGATGTCGTAGGGACACGGCGACACTTGTCAACACCGCTGTACAAAGACAGCAACGGCTCCAGGTCCATAGGTCCTGGTGCGAAGCACATCATTGACTTTCTTTCCTACACAGCTCAACGTGTCACCAATGCCGTGCTGAAAGATCTGCATAAGTTTCTATTGGAGAGCCAAGCCAGCACCACCGATGTGGACATCGTAGGCTACTGGAACCATTTTGCAAGGGTATACCAGCAGCAACAGCCCGAGTGCTTTTCCGCCCTGTACCAGAACTTGAGGTCTGACCTGCAAGAATGTCGGGAGGAGTGGAGCAGGTTGGTGACCCCAAGCAACTACCGCGCGGCCGTCGGGCAAGTGTACAAAGTATGGAGCGATATCAAGCCGCGGATCCCACAACACGTAGCCGGGGGCTCGGACGCGGCCTGCTTCCTGCTGCAGGACGGCCTGGTCCACCCGGAGCTCAGCCAGTGGGAGCTAATCAAGGCGAGCCTCGCCTTCAAGCTCTACTCGCGCCAGAGCCGCTTCGTGTGGCGGATGGCGGGCCGGCAGCTGCAGGCCATCAAGGCCCTGTCCACCAGCTCCAGAGGGCCAGGGGCTGTGCCGGTTGTGGTGGTGCCGAATATGTATGCGGCGCTGAAGCCTGACAACACATATATCAAGCGGCTTATGGCATCCGAGGAGGAGGAGGGTATGTGCGGCACCGATGAACCGCTCCCGGTCCGGAGACGGATTAGTTGAGCTGGTGTGAGAAGGCTGCTACCCAGTATTTTCGGACATCAGATCATGGGAAACTAGTTTAGTGACGCCTTCTTCCATTGTCTGGCATTCAATCAACTTGTCTACATCGTGAAAAGGTCTGTGTGAGTTTGGCGAACGTCGTCGGTCAAGGTGGGTCTTCGCCGGAGTTCCGGCTCCGGGTTTATGTGATGTGCGTGCCTCTGACCAGCCGCAGTTTGCTCAGCATTGTGGGTCAGTTTGTCTTGCTGCCAGGCCTCATGGGCTAGTGAGCTGGCATTTCCAACGAAACCAGGGTCAGTAATGGGTTCTGAAATTTTCATTTCGGGAATTTTTCACTGGCCGAAGTGAGCTTTTAGTACACCTAGCTAAGTAGGTCTAATAAACAGTTGCTCAGTGCCATATGAAGAGTCCGGGGCTACATGATGTTGTCTGTTGTTAATAGAAGGAGGTATTGGTGTAGTATGTAATGTTTAGATGTGCATGTTTGCAATAAAGCTAGCTTAACCACCCTAGCGTCGCTGTGGTGGGGCATAGCACAATAAAGTAAAAGAAATTACTAGACAGCATTATGTAGCTACTACGTAACGTATATTGGGCCGCCTATCTTTCTTACATCTCCGCACACAGCACCATATAAGCCGATCGAGAGAGCTCCCAATATAAGCAGTCCAACCACCAGGAAGTAAAACACGCCGTCACCTAAGTACTCTCTAGTACTTGGGCTTGGGTGGGAAGGGTCATAGGCGCCGCCCTTGATCGTTTGGCCCGGTGTCCAAGTCGGCACTCTCATGGAGCTGGTCAGCGTGGGCAACATCGGCGTCAGTGTCGCCGTGTCAGATGCAGCCCAGGTGATGGCCCACCCCTGATGCACCATGACGATCTTCCCCAAGTTTGTATCTGACGAGTCCTCGTCGTCGTCTTCGATATTCCGTGCGAACTTCCCACATCGATTACTAGGGTACAGTGAGGTTGCGAGTGCGTACCCGTCGAAAAAACATATATGAGAAGCCGCTGGAGCGTAATAACAGCAGTCAGTGACTGGAATTTTTGAGAAGCGAGCTTACGAAGACAGATAGGATGAAATACAGGGGGTGGGGGGGGATAGAGGGAGGAAAAGAAAGCCCGAGCGAACCTGTTACAGCAGAAAGCCGTTGATGCCGCTGGAGAGCCGTCCTCAGCCATGGCATTGTACACCCATCCTTCCGGACACACACCCGGGCTGAAGCTGAGGCGACTTTCCGGTGTAACTTCGTCCCACCCAGAGGGATAGCAAGTTGCGGCCGGCTCAGAAACCATGATGGGAGTCATAATGGTGGTGCCGCTCACCACGGACTCTGGCACGGTCGTGGTCTTCCATTGGGTCTTGCAGTCTGATGGCTGCACAAATGGCGTCCTGATGGCGAGTGGCCCGGTGGATGCTGTGGTCATGGGCTCCGTGGTGCTGAGAGACATGGTTTTTCTTCGTGGAAGCGCCGCATTGGAGTTACCTCCTGGCACGGAGCAGCATGGCGCAGCTGTTGTTGGCTGGGACATTTCTTAGCGGCCATGCAGCAGGGGCATAGGGGTCTGGGAAAATCAATGAACGGCTCCCTACGCGTTGGCTTCGCGCCTGCACTGTGAAATTGACCACAGGAAAAGTCTTGAGATTCTAATCGCCTGCGGCAGAATTAACACGTGCCTCAAAGATTTGTTGTCGCCATATTAATTCCTGCTTCAATGCGGTGGAGGCAGCCTCCCCAATTGCCTATCCTAAGGCATCTTCAGAACAAATGCAGTCGAGAAACTTAGTACTAGGTGGCGATCATATTGATTTGATTGTTTAAACAGGTGTACATGGATGTAGCTGCGTACATAATCGCACTGCCACGATTGAAAAACTTACTAGACTGAAGTAGAGTTGAAATCCGGGTTAGGCACATCCGTCGCCAACACGGTACCGTTGCTGAACTCCGTGCCATTCCTGAAAATCTCCACGCGTCCCGGATGACACCCAGGCGGTGGGTCGTCAATAATCGTCCCGTTGGCGAAGATAATTCCATTAAACTTGGACACCAGGGGACGTGAAGGCATAACCAGGCTTTGAGTGGTCGGAGGCAGCAAAGGCGACCGTCGCGGGTTGATCTTGCAGTTCTCGCTGATAGTATTCAGGTTGAGACCGATGGCTAGAGTATAGAGCTCAGCGCTCAGCGCATCCCACTGAGGCTCGTTCCTGAGCACCATGCCGATGTAGTCGACCATGAGGACATTCAAGTTATGGAAGACCTCGGGGGAGATCGCGTCAACGCCGCGCCAGTACAGAGCCGGATTTGTGGGGAGAATGGCGATTCCTTGAAGGCTGTAGGTGAAGGTGGAAGTCAGGAAGTGCGGTGAGCTGAGCCACTGGCCCACGTGGAACTTGTCCTTCTTGGCCCACGAGGCTATGGCCCAATCGGCCACCTCTTTCGTGTCCTCCAAGTTGGGCCAGGCATCGTACCAACTCATTGCGTCTTTCTTGTAGATGCCCTCCATGGGCAGGGCCATCGGCTCCGATGCATATTTTAGGTGCGCCGTGTCCAGGAATATAAGAACGCATCCCTTCCCGTTATTCATATTCATCAACGTCCCCATCTTCAGCTGCTCCATCGAACTGGTGCCAAGGTTGGGCCAGCGGTTCTGGATGCCCCTGAGCTTGTCAAAGAAGTTGTTCTTGGCATGACCACGTCGATCAGCTTCCGGTGCTTGATCTCGTTCTTGATGCCATTCATCCAGTTTCCCGAGCCGAAAGACAAGGAGGTGATGAAGCCGTACGAGTCGCTGCCCGTGATGACGAGTGTGACGGGGACCTCCTGCTCTGGCACCTTGTACTCGCGCTGGCCCTTGTCCATCCCGGTCAAGTCAAAGACCACACGCCTGGGGTACGTGTCAGGGATATGAGTAGTAACGCGCACGACAAACTTCTTCCCGGTGTCTCCAATGTCGTAATATGCCTCTCCGTTGTCATCCACGGGGTTTTTACCAGTCTCCTCAGTATAGTGTGCAACGTTTTGCCGCGCCCTGCCGGAAGGAATATCGCCCCAGTCCCACTCGTCCATCTGGTACTTGTGCGTTGAAGTGAGTTTGAAACGGTGTGGGGTCAGGTTGACGATGGTGACATATTGTCTGCCCGTGGTGGCCGCGTTTTCAGGATCCATCAGATACCACCGCATGTACTCTCCAACACGGTCAGAAGGTAGGGCGCTGTAGGTCCTGTCGTCCGCGTTGCAAGCGTCGTCAGGGTCTACCTCCTCGTCACCGCCGGCGTCATCCCTGAAGTCACAAACGTCAGAGGGACACCAGCCGCGAGAGCAGGTAAGTCGCATAGCTTCTCATCATTGACGTCTCCGATGGGCTTTTCAGTGAACCCTGGCTCTCGCAGAGGTGGTTTTATCAGACCACCCGTGTCGGTACACTGACAAACGTGGAGTGGGCAGAAGCCAAAGTTGCACGCATAGATACATAGACCCACTTGGGATTCAAACCCAGCACGGCTTGTGCCTGCCGTGCACGCCGGCGGGAGGAACTCAGACACGGTTGGCACGATGATTGGTTGCTTCGTCAATGAACAATACTCCTCGGGGCAGTATCCGTAGTTGCAGGCATTGCCGCAGAGGCCCGAGGCCCTCCCGGTGAAGCGCAGTCGGTTTCGTATTAGGGGCTCCCAGAGCCTGGCACAGGCAGGCCGACACTGGACAGTAGTCGTATTTGCAGTTGAATTCGCAGAGCTTGGTGAAGCCCTTGACACCCGTCCCTTTGATACACCCCTGCTCACTGCGAGATCGCGGCATCGAGACGGAGCTGGACCCGGTAGCGACGGCGCTCCCGACCCAGGGGCTCCAATTTGTGAGTCCGTCGTGGCAGCTCGCGGCACTGATGGCCGTCCCGTCGACTCTAGCGAGAGACCCGCCGCCTCTCGATATCTGGACGCTCACGGCCCCAGTCTCGCCGTAAAGTTCGACGCTGCCGTGGTAGACACCGACGCCGCCATCGGGAATCGAGGACCACTTGGGCTGGAATGTCTTGCCGCCTACCGTGACTGTCGCCTGTGCGTCGGCTCCGAGAACAGCTGAGAAGAAGATGTTGTCTTGCATGACGCTTTGCGGCGGGAACTCAAGCTGAAGCTGGCTGTCCGTGTTGCCGGTGGTTCCGCCGTCTGAGCAAGCACCGGATGGGCTTGTGCGATACCAGGTGACGAGACCTTCCTGAGTGACGGTGGCTTTTCCGCTCTTGTAGTAGTCGATCCAGAAAGGTAAAGTCAGACGCCAGCCATCGTGGGGCCTGTCGTTGGCATAGTTGTACGGAGCTTTTCCAACATCGAACGCACTCATGGCGTGGCTGTACAAAGGGCCAATGTGGTGGGACTCCCCATAGTCATTCCATGAGATTATCTGAACATACCTGCGGTCGTAACATCAGCATCAGCCGGTAAGTCACGAATAGGGGTTCTATCACCTACTCGGGCTTATTAAATATAACTTGAATCCACCTGTCATGCCACATATCGTCCCCGCGCCACATCCAGTTCTTGTTGAACCCCGGCATATTGGCGCAGAACCAAGGGGATACTGGCATCATATAGGGGTTCTTCCTGTCGAGGTATTGGAAATAAGAAGCGTCGACGTAGGTGTCCATATCTTGAGCGCCCCAAGGCCAGGCAGCCCAGCTAAAGAGCCCATCGGCCACACCGCCGGCGAGCCCTAGGGCTGGTTTTGCACCTTCGGAAGACCAGTCGGGGATGAAGAAGCAACTGACTTGGTCCTTGATGTCGATCCAGTCTTCTGCAGTTTCTGGGCCTTCGAAGGTAGAGACCAACGGTTTGCCGTCGCTGTGCTTGAAGTACTCGGCCTTGGACGCGTACTTCTTTAGGTAGCTGGTGACAGTGTCCTTGGGCCAGGGGCCACGTCCCGCGTAGTCGAAAGAGAAGAAGAGCTTGAAACCTGCGCTACTAGCTGCATTGAAGGCCCGTTCAAGTGACGCCTCGTTCATAGATTCGCCATGAGCTATATTGAGTGCGAACGCATCTGTATGAGCCTCTTTAGCGAGCCTTATATCCGTCTGCCGCTGTGTGTGGAAAACGAAACGCTACCCCCCCTTGTCATTTTGACTCACGCTCCCCCTTCTGCGAGCCAGAGTACGCCCACCCAGCTTCCAGCGTTGGCCCACCTAGTACTTCCTTTTCTTAGTATTATATTAATAAGACTAGGTACTTTTTTAAGTAAGCATAAAGTTTACCCTGTATATAAAAAGCTAGGGTAGCTATTTTTTAATTTAAGCAATACTTTAAAAATATAAGCCTAAAAAGCTTAGAGCGCCCAGAAGCCCCTAGAGCGCCTAGAGGCCCCCAGAGCGCCCAAAGGGCCCCAGAGGGCCCCAGAGCGCGCAGAGGGCCCTAGAGCGCGCAGAGGGCCGCAGAGGGCGCACAGGGCCGCAGAGGGCGCACAGGGCGCAGAGGGCGCATAGGGCGGTAGAGGGCGCCGAGGGCGCCGAGGGCGCCGAGGGCAGAAGAGGGCGCAGAGGGTAGAAGGGTAGAAGTAACTTTTAAGTTATAAATAGAGGGGTAGCTATAAAACCCCTTTAAGATAGTTATAGCTATGCTTTATTAGTAACCTTATAATATTAATATTTTATAATATGTGCAGCTAATTTCCTTGTACTGGGTGGGTTAACGCTGAAAGCTGGGTGGGCGTACTCTGGCTCCCCTTTTGCACAGAAAAAAAGGCCTTGGCGCGCGCTCCTTTGCCTAAGCGCGCCCGCGTAGCGTTTTCGCGCCTTCTTTGCATATACAGTGGGGAGAAAAAAGTCTGGCCCACAATTGCAAACCCACTCATTAAAACGCGTTACGCATAGATAGATCCTTTAAATAAAAACTTCTCTCTTGCAATAACTATGCCTCCTAAAAAACGTTCATTTTTAGTAAAGATATTTGCAAATCATAGTATTTTTTATAAAGTTAGTTTAATTTAAAAAAGTGTTATTCTTGCTATTATAAACTGCAGTAAATTTATCCGCCATATTATAATAAATGCATGCATTAATGCTAGCATTATCACCCATTATAAAAATAAATAGTTAAAAAAAAAGATACTTAAAATAAAGCTATGATTTAATTATCTTATATTTTTTAATAATTGCTTTTTATATTAATTAAAGTTTTATATATAAAAAATGTTAAGGCAATTTATAATTAAATTTAAAAAAACTTAAACATTAATATAAATAATAATATTATCCATTTAAGTTTAAACTTATTTTATATTAACCTTTAAAAAGCTGTAAAGTAAATATTTTTATTAAAGGATAATATAAAAAAGCGTTATAAATTCTTAAAGAAATAATTAATAAAATTTAAATATTTTTAAAAGTTAATAATTTTAAGTTTATCCTTAAATATTAACCTTAATAAATCTTATTTAACTTATAATACTCTTTTTAAACAATTTTTTTAATAAGTATATTATATAAAATAATCTTATAAAACCTTTAAAGTTTATTTAAAAACTCTTTATAAAGAAATATAAATTAAACTTAATTAATAAAAAGAATTATATAAAGCTTATAATTTTTATAATAATATAAGATTATATTTATATTAAAGGGAAAAGTAACCTTATTATAATAAAGCATAATATAATGTTAAAATATAATAAATTTACTTAAAACTTATATTTTTAAGTTCTTTAAAAGCATTTCTTTCCCTTATATAATGAAATGTTACGGTTTGAGATTTGCCCATTGTAATTAGTTAGCGGGCTTTGGCCCTATAAGAATAGGCTTCGGCACGGGTGCAGACGGGGAGCAAACCTCTTCCTCTGCACTCTGAATATAAACCTCATTCAGGCACCTTTCGGCAGACAACCTCAGGCCAGCCCATAACATGAAATAAGGGATTTCTAGCGGGATAATGCAAAGATATACATAATAAAGAAGGTAATTAAATAGTTTTTAAATTATAACATTTCCTTAATTAACTAGCTAGCATATTTACCGGATTTAAACTTAATTAAGTATATTTAAAAGCTTTTAAAAAACAAGATATACGTTATATTTCTTAATTTATAAAAGCGTACTTTAAATAAAAATAATTTAACTTATTTTAAGCAATGCGTAAAGATAGAGTAATAAATAATAAATTTGTTGGCTGGATCACGTATTGCAATACGACGTTTGGTTGGTGTAGTGGTTGATTGTTGTTGACTATGGAAGGGAGGAAGGCAGAAGGCCTGGTTGCGCTAACTAATTTGTATGTGGCGACAGGGCTGCTGCCTGCCGGGCATCCCACCGGGCCAAGGCTGCCCAAGGCCAAACAACCCTCTAGACAAACAACACCCATTATTCCCACAATATTAAAAGATTATTAATAACTTTATTTTTTTAATGTTATAATAATTATAAACATATAAGTTTACATGGGATTAATATATTAAATATTAAAAGCTAGTTTTAAATAATTAATTTTATATAAGTTAATTGCGTTAATTTAATTCTTTTATAAAAATATGGTTAATTTAAGTTAAGAGGTAATTATATGTAAAGAGGAAATTAAGGTGGTATGTGCAAGACTTTTTGCAGCTCATTATAATATGCACCTTGCATTTCTTGCCTTTTTTATTATTACTTATATCGCTATTATAATTAAAAAAGTATAAAAAAGTATTGCTTTATATATATTTATAATAATTATAAATATAAGCCTTTTCTTTTTGCTATAATTATTTTTTTTAAGAAGTGGAAAGTAGCGCAAACGCTGCGTGGTTGCGCGCGGGCCAAGGTCTTTTTTTTGTGCAGAAGGGGGAGCGTGAGTCAAAATGACAAGGGGGGGGGGTAGCGTTTTGTTTTCCACACACAGCGGGTACTGTCCGTGTATCCGGCCGTGTTCCCCACCTACAGCAAATGATTAAGTCAGCCATCTGTTCCGAACGAACATGAAAATAATTGAGTAATATGCTGACCATGAAAGTGGCAATTACCGCAGCAGCCTGGACGCGAAGTTCCCCAGCGACTGTAGCAAGTAGTATCTTGAATCTCAGGACGATGGTTTCTAACAAAAAGGAGAGCAATGAGGATACAAATAATCGTCTTTGGAGCAAGCTAGTATGTGTAATCGGGAATGAGAGTACATGAGCACTTATACATCACGATTTCACCTTGACTCGGAGTCACCACTGAGCCGCGCGACCCAAAATGGCAGGAAGGGCCAACATCAGACACCATGATGCCTTCTACGGACCTAGTGAGCCGATTCAACCTTCCGAGCAAGGCACAACCCAATCTCATTTACCGCCTTGCCAACGGTTGGCGCAAGCGTAAGGCGCAGTTACGGCGTGACTCTCTATTCCCGTCTACAAATTTCTCTAGACCAATTCCTTAGGACAAAAGCCAAGAAGTCACGATGGTGTTGGTTGTGTCTGGCTGGCCCTGCAGGATTTTGCGTGAAACGCCGCTGGAGGACTTCAAGGGAAGCTCCCAGTCATGTGTGACCAGACTCATGGTAGATTACATATCGACTAATAGCTTCATAGAAGCTGATTGGCCTTGCTATAGTTGACAGGCCATGATGAAACATAGTTTAGCACTTGTCATTACCTCCGAGCTTTGCTCCGCTAAAAGAACTTTCGTGATCCATTCTACTCCTTTGTGAGTAGGACCACTTGGGCAACTTCTCGCTCTTTTCTCTTCCTTCTGCTAGTCTACCAAATGTTTGGCTCTGTTAATGCTCCTTTACATTGAGTTCGGGTCATGCGGTCCGTACTGCAGGCTTTCATGGCCCACACAAATTGTCTTGGCCAGGCGATGGCTGGTCTGGGCACGTCGTTGATAGAAGTTTGGAATAGGAAAGGCAAGCATCAGAAAGCTTGGCTATTTACTGAGCTTCCTATTCGGTCGGGTACTGTAACAAGGGCGATTTAGAACCAACGCACGCACCAACATATCCAGGGTCTTGGATGGCTCTGGTCGGAAGTATCAATCAGCATCCACCTCGAGGAGGAACACCCTGCTGCAGAGGTGAGCTGATGAGCAGAAGGGTCACTAGGTCCGGCGCCTGGGGTCCAGAACCGGAGGACTGGGAATTTTCGATGGTCAAGAGCGAGAAGTTTCCCGACCCATTCTACCTCGGGGTGGAAGGATACGTCCGGGAACTGCGCATCTCGAACTACAAAACTGAGGACCACTCCGAATACAGCACATGGTTGTCCTCTTATACCGCTGAGAGCCTGGCCAAGCACACATTTCGACTGTAGGCAGAAGAGAGCCCGCCGTTGTTAGTGCGAAAGCTCGAAGATTCTCGAAACTTGGATTGGCCCCATATTGCGGCAACGGGTCGCTTCGACAGAGACTACGCTTCAAACAGACCTTTGAAGATGTGGGCTTTGCGTCTCACATCAGAGGAAGGCCTTCTGTTGGAGCGGACGCATGACCCAACTGACGGTTCGTTCTTATACAAGAGGTTGGGCATCTTCATCATTGAGAATCCATCAGCTTTTTATCCTGGGAATGCACTTACAAATCCTGTACAAGGTCATTACGAAGTCCTCCAACACATGTTTCTCGATCGTGAAACTGTTATATTCATTTATATTTAAGTCATAGGAAATCTCATCCCGAGTTAAGATACAGCCTTTCAAAAATTTTTAAGCTATCTGACGGTTGCAACTCAACGGATGACATAACATTGAAGCTCTTACTAGTATTTACTTTATTTATAGTACTATATCTCTTACTTATTGCGGCGTAATCAACGTGCTCTTCGCAACGACAACCTGAGACGAGAAGAACAGTACAACTACATAAGTACCTATGTATACGCAGTGATTGGGTGGTATTCTCATCAACATATGGATCAACTGTGTCACATAATGAGCACGTTGAAACTTGACCATCACTGGCCAGGGCAGTGGTTTGTAGGAGCTGAAATGGATTGCATGGGGTTCCTTGGCTGGCTGCCCAGCCGCTGCGTCTCGTGTCGTCTTAGTCACATCACATCAGTTGGCTTGGGTCTGGTCAGCATGGCGCCATCTCGCCGTCACCGTCAGTCATCACATGGCAGGGCGAGTGTTATCAGCTTGCCGCGATAAGCCGGGGGTGTGGGGAGCGGGGGCAATTGTTGTACTCCCAGCTCAGGTCTCTCTCGCCATCAGACAACAGAGCTTTGAACACGGTAAAACAGCTGGCATTCCAGATCAAATCAGACATGCTCTGCCGTTGCATTCAATAACTCGTATGGTTGTGTCGAGCTGTGATAGGCCTGCAGCGTGTCGTTGTGCCGCTCCAAGCGCAGAGGGGAGACGAGTTGAGGCGGGTCACTGTGGGGCTCTGCTAAGCTTTCGGTAGTGGTTGCATCCAGCCCCTCATTGTGCGCCTGGTCCGTGACTTCATCACCACCCACGCTCCGCCGTCCAAGGACTGTCCGATGATCAGCCGTGCCCTTCCTTCTGCACTGACTTCCGACCTCGCCGATGCGGTATGCCATCTGCTACCTGCCCTCTGCAACCTGCAACTTGGGCCCTGCTCAGATGCTTCCCACAATGTCCATGACCTGAGACTGCCTCTGAACTCTCCATCTGCCATGACCAGACCATCGTCAGTCGACTCCTCGACTCCAACCCGATCCAGTGTCCTACTTTCTGTGTCGAGCCTCCTCCCTTCGGCTCCAGAATAGGCACATTCTCGGAAGAGACCTGCACGCTGTACCGCACGGTGGTATACTGTACTGTACAGCCCCGCTCACGGTAAACCAGCCCGCTTCGAACAAGGGACAAAGCAAAGCCCCCACAATGAACGTCTTCCGCAGCAGCGCCAGCAGCAATCAGAGCCCAAAGGCTGACACGGGCCCTCTGTTTGCGACCTACCTCCTCCCAAGCCTCAAGATCCCCTTCTTCCGGCGCCGTCAGAGCTCGGCTACCGCCTCGTCCGCGGCGACCAGCAATGATGTGCCCTCGCTGAGCAGCTCGCCCACCTCGGCCAACTCCATAGATGACCTTCCATTCTCCCCTACCACGAGCATCCCCGGTGTCGAGACCTACTCCTTCCATCTGGACGACGACAAACCGTCGTCCCACGCTCCCCAGCAACCGCCCCGCTCCCGTCGCAACTCGGACCGCGGCCGCCTGTCCCGACCTCTCCCCGACGTCCTCCGATGCACCACCTGCGGCACAGACGTCGCCTACGGGCTGCAGGTCGTCTCGAAAGGCTTCACGGGCCGGCACGGCCGCGCCCTGCTCGTCTCGCCCCCTCTGCCGTCCTCGACCCCTTCCTGCCCCGGGCCGCCCATCAGGAATGGCTCGTACCCCTCCGCGAACCCGGCGTCGCCGCAGCACCCCAACCCCAGCTCGTACAGCTCGTACAGCTCGCTCGCGCGCGACGGGACCAACCTCGTCAACGTGGCCGTCGGCACGCCCGAGAAGCGCAGCCTCGTCACGGGCATGCACGTCGTGGCCGACATCACCTGCGCGACGTGCGGCGTCAAGATCGGCTGGAAGTACGTCGACGCGAGGGAGCACGCGCAGAAGTACAAGGTCGGCAAGTTCATACTCGAGACGGAGAGGGTCGCGCTTCACCGTACCTGGGAGGATGCCGCGGACCATGGTGACGACGGTGCGCCAAGGGGCCATTTCTATTCCTCTTCCGCGCCGGTCGAGTCTTTTGGCGGTGGGAGGAGGGCATCCGGGCTCGGAGGCCGGCGCAAGGTGAGCTGTAGTTCCGAGGAGGCTGGTGTGGCTGATGGCGGTGACCTCGATGAAGAGGATGAAGAGGACGGTAGTCTGGAGCAGAGCGACGGCGAGGTCATGTTTGACTCGGAGGATGAAGATGAGTGTGAGGACATCTTCGCTGGCACCTGGGATGCCGCCACAGTTGCGCGGCGACGGGGGTCCAGGGTCGTTGGCAATGGTGGTTATACCAACGCTGCGAAGAAGGCTGGAGGCCGTCGCTGAATGGTGATGATTCTCACTGCTTGTCGACAGAAGAGCAGCTGCAGCTAACCGACACCGGAGGCTTGTTTACTACTAATCTTAGAAGTGGCTGTCATAGGACATCAGGGGGGCGTTTGGGTTTGATTTCTATACCATGATACCAGCATAGTACCAAAGGGAGACAGCACCGCACTCCCTGTAATCAGACTGCTTTATACAAGTTATGCATTTCGTAGCATCCCCCTTGCGCTGTGTTGTGTATGTCATATATTCGTTAGGGCTCCTAAAGGTATTACAAGTCCCCTAGGTTGAACCTACTCTGGCCCCCAACTTTGAAATGCTCGAGCGCTTGAGCGGCTTACTATAGTTCTAGCCTTCCTCTTCTGGATCCGACCATCATCCATTCTCCGCCCAAAATCCATCCGACGATTTGGTCCTCCTCTACGCGGCAATCGCTCCCTTTGTATGAACGACTCAAACGTCCAGCCGAAACTAGCAAATCCATAGTCCCTATTGTTGATCCAATTCCTCGCAATGCGTGTTCCCAGCCTGCCGTTATGTGGCATATGTCTACTCATGTTTCTTGTGACTCCCTAACAAACACATTAATAATTCCACTCATCTTGCACTAAAGGGACATACGTTACCTGGGTTTGTCTCAAGTTCCCGCGCGGAATAAAGCGCCGCGCGCTGCCATGTGCCACCTCGTGATTGAAGCCGATCTCGTCCATCAGCCTCAGGATATCGGTCCACGGGATGCTCGCCGGCTGGGCCGCCGTCACGGGACCCATCAACAGCCGCAGCGTCCCATACGCGCGCTGGCCGAGCTCGATCTGCGGCCTCTCGTCCTGTTCAGGGGCAGGGGCGGGCGCCGCGGCCCCTGGCTCCGGCGGGCGCGGAACCTCCACCTCGACGTTCCTCGTCAGGGCGTCGTTCCTCCGCGCCCTGCTGGAGATCAGCCTGCTGGGCCGGTAGTCGTCGGGCGCGGCGGGGAGGATCCCCGGGTCGGAAGCCCTTCTCCGCGGCCCTCTGGGAGGTGTGTTACCGGTGCGGAAATACGTCTCTAGCGGGTGGGCATCGTCAAGCACATCCTGGACCTCCTTCGAGACGGCCCTCTCCAACCTTAGTTTCTCTTCCAACATGATCCAGAACGCTGACAGTCTGTCCTCCGACCGGCTCATAGTCTGCGACAGGGCAACCTGCTGGGGCTGGACTTCTTTGCTGTAAGCGAGGTACTTATCGAGAGGGGTCTCGAGAATGTCTTCGCATAGTTGACCCAAGACTGTATCTCCCAAAGGCCCCGTGGCGATCGCTCGGTTTTCGGCAGCGTTGCACAACGCGATCAGGCGCGAGATGGGCTTGGCGAAGCCCCAATCCTCTCGCTTCGCGTTTGTTGGTAGAGTGTTCGGGTAGACCTTCGCGATTGTCTGCAGTGCCCTCGCTATGGAGCCCATGGCGTGGAGATCTTCCACATACTGCCTGATATAGTCCGATATATAGAGCCCCAATGTCTTCTCGTCTTGCATCAACTCGTTGATTTCAGCCACAATCGTCCAGAACCCCAGGGCGTTTCTGCTATCATCGTTTTCCAATGCGTCTATGATAGCGACTAAATTGAGCACGGGGAGGAATTTTGGTTGCCTAAAGTACCTGGACTTCTTAGTTGTCATGTCCATCGCGAACATGTCCCTCAGCCCGTAAGAGTTTTTCATGATTTGAATGAGCCATTTATGTCGGTCTTCGTAGAGCTGTGCCATGAGGACCAGATGGTAGTAATTATCCCTGTACGAGTCACTCTGTTCCATGAGCTCAGACTGATGACCATCGTACGACTTGGCCGCCTGCACATTCTTCACAATTAGCGTATAGACACGACGCCACATGTCGCACGCATCCATGATGTCTTTGAGGGCGGTCCCCAGGTGTTGGCCCCAGCCTGCGAGGGTCAGGTCATTCATCCTCGACCATGCCATCCGCCTGTCCCCCGGCATCGCCCGTAACATGTCGATTGAATGATTCCGTGCTAGATCCAGCTCTTTCATGAAGGCAAGCGGGCTTTCCTTCATGTCCTTAAGCCTCTTCTCGGCCCGGCGCAGCTGCCGGTCGGCGAGTGCCTCCAGATACTCCCAGTCGATAGTATACGGCTTGGAATAAGGGACGAGGTCGTAATGCGTTTCTAAGAAATTTTCGAATTTGTTCTTGTCTCCGAGTTCGTCCAGATCCGCATCATACTCCGGCACTACGCTTCCGAGGCCATCATCGGATTGGGGGTCATCCTCATTCGGCGCAGAATATCTTTGGTTGGTCGAGATTTCCTGGCAGAATCCTTCCAGGAACGTGTAGATCTTCGTTTGCACTTGCATTGTACGCCCGGCCTGTGGTCCCGTGCATAGCCCAAGCCCCAAGAGATCTTGCATTTCACTTCGGCTGTTGACTTCTTTCACGGTCCCGTAGGTCTCCGGGGTTCCGTGGAATGCTAAATCGACGATGTCCATTCCCTCTACATATCTTGGGGCCTTCCCCAATGAGTAGTTGAGAGCATTCCGTAAAGACATGTTCTCTGGGCTTCCCATATCTGTTGCCATCGCGAACATCCTCGGCTGGTCCTCGCATCTCGTGTGCAGAAGCTCCAAAAGGGTCTCATTTCTCTTGCTGAGATCTGTCAAATTGAAGCTCGGCCACAGCAAGTTATTGAAATCCGTAGTCGGAATGGGCCATGGCAGCCTCAGCTTCAGGTCAGCTATTTCTCGTGGCCTGTCGTGCGGCGTTCTCCCGTTCGGCGTTCTCCAAGCAGCTGGTCCTTCCAAGTCTGGACGATGCGACTCCGGCATGTCATACCATAATTTTTGCAGAAGTTTCCTTTTCTCGGTTTCGCTTAGGTTTCTCCATCGATTGCGGATAATCCTCTTCTTGGGCTTATATATGCTGTTCCATCACCTATGTTAGCAAACGTTGACGCATTTCATGCGTATTTTCGGTGAAATTATCCGAAGCCATCGTACACATAGCCTGATGTCATGCGTAAGAAAAGTGAAGAGACAAGAACAAATACCCTTTAAACCTTCTCCACGATTGAATGACAGAATCAGCCAGTCCCAGCCGATTGGGAGCCTCTTGCTCCGAGGGTGCATCCGCCATGCTGTATTACCTCTACCTTAAGCGTTAAGTAATGAGTTGATGTTGAATTAAACCGATTACTGGACAAGCATGAATTCTATTTTTTGAGATACAATGTGCGAATGTAACATATTTGAACTACCAACATCTAAGTATGGGTCCTGTTACAAGAGGTGGTTATCACCAGCTCTTGTTACAAGGAGGTGTAGGGCCTGTCGCAGTTACACATTATTTCATTTCTTTATTTGCACACCGTTTGCGGTAATTTCGTAACATCGGCAATGTCGAATGACAATGAAGGGGTGTCCCACTCATATTGGTTGTCATACGTTTCTTTGAGTTGAAAGCAACCAAAGTTCACTCTCGATCAAGTCAATCAAGTTGGGATCATTCATACTGACTCGGACGGTAAACAGTATATACATATGGTCACTTAAATCTTGGACTGTTTCAGTCGGTAGCCACAACACCGAGCGACTCTTAGTCAAGGCGTTAAAGGCGCTTGGATGAATTATTAGACTACCTGGTACAGTAGTGATAGTACTCTCGTGTGCACTTCTTGTTATGACTGTCACCACAAAATGCTTGATTTAAAAGCAAAATACGATTCTGGTTCCCACTACAGTTCCTCTGCGTGTTCGCTGTCGACCGTCTTGTCCTTTCCATCAGCGAAAGGCCGGTTGGTATTTTCTTTGAAGGAAAGGCTTTGTCTGTGGCCCTCATAGCCACTGTTAAACAGCAACGTCAGTGTGAATTCGGGAAGGGCACAATGGCTGACGTACAAGAGGAGATCCATTTGGTCGATAGAGACACCCTTGGTCTCCGGCAAGAAGAAGAAGGCCCAGGCCATGGCGATCAGCAACCAGGTGCCAAAGAAGAACCAGGTACCGTAGCCCATAGACGTGAAGATGTAAGGCAGCGACTTTGTGATGATGAATTGAGTAAGCCTGATTAGGTTGTTGTTAGACATTTTCCAGACGGTGCGCGGGTCGAAGCAAAGTACTGACCAGTTGCAGCAAGCAGTCCAGGTTCCGGTGATAGTACGCAGGGCGCCAGGGAATATTTCAGCCGATACAATCCATGGAATTCCATTGAGGCCGAAAGACCAGCTGTGTATGTAGCTGTCAGCTTTGAATGCGTGCGGTATTCTCCAAGAAAGCGACATGTGCTACTCACAATACGGAATAGATCATGATGAGTGCCGTCGCGGCTTGGCCACCAGCGGCCGTCGATGTGGACAGTTCTTTGCCGGCCTTGATAATATCTGCTGGATGACCAATTTTGACGTATGCGCCAATATAGAAAAGACACAAAGAGCAGCCGAGCGACGAGGCAATCGTAGGGACTCGGCGACCCCACATGTCAATGAGGAAGATGTAGAAGATCAGAGAGGCAATGGCTAGAAGCACATGTCAGTGACCCGAGCCTACAATGAAATCGGAGTCTCGAGGTTCGAACCTTTTACCAGGCCATAAATACCGGTGTACAGCGTGACGTCTGTGATTCCAAGAGAGCCGAACAAGGTGGGAGAATAGTAGTTGATAGCTCCAGCACCCCCGAAATTCTGAAGAGCGAAGCCGCAGAAGATGAGCCACACACGATTCCTCATGCCCTTCCGGCTCAATTCGCTCATGGCTCCACGGAAGAATGCCCACCGGCCGCTGCCGTACTTGCCGGAGACGGCGGCCTCCTCGGCGAGCCTATCCCGCATCATTTGCACCTCTTCTTGTATGTCTGATTGGGTATAGTCAGCAAGCGCCGGCCGCCGTTGCAAGGAGAAGACTACACGTACACTGGTGCTCTGGGGCGAGCTGACGGAGATACTGCAGGTTCTTGAAGACCTGCTCCTCCTTGTCATTCCGCATGAGCCACAGGGGGCTCTCGTGGATGAACAAGCAGCCGCCCAACAAGAGGCCGGCTGGGATCAGCTGAACGGCCATGGGGATCCGCCAGCTTGCTGCGCTGGATGAGTCCATGTTCTTTGTGATCCCATAGTTGATCCAGAACCCCAAGACGGACCCGACTTGGTACACGATCTCGAAAAGACCGGTCAGAATGCCACGGATGGACGGGACTGACAGCTCGGCGATGTAACTGGGCACTGTTGCTGTGATGATACCGCATCCGAGCCCCGTGAGAACGCGGCCAGCATCTACTTGTTGTCAGCGTCTGGCGGTGGGGTGAGACAGAGGCGCGAAGGGGGGTCCAAGGAGAGAGGAGACCGTCGCAAGTGCGTGGTCCCATAGGAATGTCAAGTGACTGCGAGGTGGCCTGATTCACAAAAGAATGAAAAATTAAAAGACCACCAAACTCACAAATATACGAAAGCTGGCTGGTGGCTGCAGTCATCAGGACCGCGCCGACAACGAAGATAACCGAGCTAACTTCCAGTGCCCATTTTCTTCCAACACGCTCTGTGATCAAAAAGCAGAATATGGCACCAAAGAAAGCTCCAGCCTGGAATGCGGAGGTGATGTTGCTTGAGATACTGTCCGCCACATCATCCGTCATGTTGAAGTCTCTCTTAAAGCTGTCTCTCGCAATTGTCGTTCCGATGAAGGCTGAATCGTAGCCAAACCTGCCATGTTTGAGTGTGGGAAATAATGCTCAGAAAGGGAGACTGCAATTGGGGGTGACAAACAGCAATGAACCAAACGAAATCACCGCTGCTTCGAGATATAGCCGCCAATTGTACACCTCCTTGGGCGTTGGCCTATCCTCGACTGCGCGAAAGCCTCCCATGACTAGTTCTCGTGGCGGTGGCAGTCTGGGACTCGGTGCTCTGTCTGGGTCTTTCGATCTCCGTACGACGACCAGGGTATGGGAAGCGTGAGTGGCAAGAGACGGAGGGCACAAACCTTTTTAGTATCATCAGCTGCGAGCGCCCCACGCTCGGGTCCAGTCCCGGGGGACTGGAAAGACGTTGTGGCCAGAAGCCAGGGGGTTTAGTCACGTTCAAGGAACAGAACTCGTCACGAAGGCCTCTGCATTCTCAGTCGAGACGCAACCCTTGCCTGCAGGGTACATACACAGCAGATGGGTATGCGAGCCTAATTTCCTTACCCGTCCCTGATCCAGCATCCATGCAATTCCGTTCATGCCTCGTCATGTCTACCATCTAGCTGGCTCTCAACCCGACTCCACGCTCTGTCGCAGGAAGAGGCTTCTGCCGAAGTGGATCATTTCAACTGGTCCATCTCCTTGATTCTGGGGTCCGGGGGAGGATTGCCTACATCCCATGGGGAACGTCGGACGCGCTGAAGCTGGGGCCGCCCAGCCCACACATTGCTCTCGTGCCTTGCGAATGCCGAGCCGACATGCGAGCCGACGCGAGCAGCAACAATGATTCGTTCGCACCGTTGGGACTGGACCCTCCCTCACAAACTGTACGGCATCAACCAAGGGGTCGCCTGCCTCCCAGGAACGACGCGCATTTCTACAGAGCATTGTCAGCCTACTATGCTTCGACTAAGCCTTGTCACTCAGCGACGTCAAACCCAGGATCTAAGGACTGCTCTAGATCTGGAACGCGGCTCTGGGCTGTCAGAATGTCCTGTTCTCGTCGGGCTCGCCGCCGCACCATGCGTCGTTCCGACGGATGTGGGGCTGTGGAAACGCAGAGAGAGGGGTTCCTCGACAACAGCTGGATCAACTGACGTTTCCTCAAGAGATTCCAGCGTCTGCCCCGTAAAATGCGGTTTTATAACACCATCACAGTCGGATGGCGAAGTCGTCAGTCGGCTGTGGGCCTCGCGCTGCGGCGCCTCGTGCTCGCCAGCATCTGAATTCAAAGGGGGCCAGACCTGATTCAAAACGCCCGTAGTGCGCCTGTCTTCCGACGACTTCGTGTCAAAGACATCTACCATTGTGACTGTGTCCCTGTGTCCTTGCTATCTCAAACTCGTCAACTCCCTCCGTGAAAATGGGCTCAACAAGATCGTTCCCTCCGGGCATCCATGCCCCCAGCCTGACGTGGTTCAAGAATGATGCCAACCAGGAGCTCGACTGGGACTTGCAGAAGAAGCACATCGAGTTCCTGATAAGTTCTGGGCTCGACGGAGGTATGTGCACGTTCTTGCGCTCTTCGTGCAACTACTGACATGGGCCCTTCCCGCAGTTGTGATAGCAGGGACCAACGGCGAGTCCGTCGTCCTCACACAGGAGGAGAAGGCTCGGCTCGTGAAGCTCACCCGCGAGGTCGCCACGGCCCTCGGCCGCCCGGACCTGCCCATCACCCTGGGCACGTCCGGCCAGTCGACGCGCGAGGTCATCGCCGAGACGCGCCGCGCCAAGGAGGCGGGCGCGGACTTCGTCCTCGTCCTCGTGCCCAGCTACTTCCACTTCGCAATGAACGAGGAGGCCATCGTGGGCTTCTTCGAGGAGCTGGCCGACGCCAGCCCCGTGCCCGTGCTCATCTACAACTTCCCCGGCGTCGTGGCGGGCCTGGACGTGAACTCGGACATGCTCGAGCGCCTCGGCCGCCATCCCAACATTGTGGGCGTGAAGCTCACCTGCGGCGGGATCGCAAAGGTGGCCCGGGTCAGGGCGAGCTACGACCCCTCTGACTTCTGCGCCCTCGCCGGGCAGAGCGACTGGCTTGTCCCGGCTCTGTCTGTGGGCAGCACCGGTGTGATCACAGGAGTGGCGAACCTGTACCCCAAGGTGTGCACAAATATCTACGACCTCTTCAAGGCCGGAAAGGTCAAGGAGGCGGAGGCGGCCCAGATTGAGCTGGCCAAGATGGAGTGGGGCTTTGGTAAGGGGGGCATCAACGGCACAAAGTGGGTGGTGGCCAAGATCCTGGGCTACCCTGCGGATAGCTGGCACTGCAGAAAGCCGTATCCCAAGTTTGAGGACGCGAAGAAGCAGGAGTGGATTTCAGGGGTGGTAGAGCCTCTGTCTCAGACTGAAAAGGCCATCAAAGTGAGGAGCTTCTAGTTATTACTATAAGAGCCGCCACCAGAGACAGATATCATTATATAATCTGACATGTTGATGACCAAGGATGACTGCGTAACGGCGTACATGTGTTCAAAAACTGACCGGCCCGAAATGTTGTCTGCAGCAGACAGAGAATTCCAGCTTGCATATCCTCTAGACCCGTGCCATTATAAACATGATGGGTGAATGTGGTTGAATAATGGTACAAAATTCACCAAGGAGGGAATGGTCTCATCCAATCAAGGCCACCAGTCCGGCATTCATGATAGGACGACGGCCTCCTCAATGAGCTCAAGAGAAGAAGTTGGGTGTGGAGAAATCGTAAGCCAAACAAAGTCAAATTAGAGGCCTCCATGTTGCTTTCGTAAAAAAGATACAATTATGATTCAAGTAGATTTATGCTGTTAGCTCGTGATGGCAGTCGTAGGCTCTCTTTGATTGATGACCCAGTCCCAGGTATCCTAGGCCGTCATAGTCGTCGTTCAGTACATCAACGCCGCTGTTATCAGCCATACCTTCGGCTCTAAGCCAGATGTTATGCCACCTTGATCCCCCCACTCTTTCAGTGTCCAAGGACCTTTCCCCTTCAGATCCCAATCACTCTTGCGAGATTGCGAGTCGAGAGCTCCTCAAGAGTTGCAGCACCTAGCCGAAGTCAAACCACCGTCGGTGCACTGAGTGCAGAACTGTGGCGCGATGAGGATTAGCTAATAGAACAGCAAAAGAAATTAATGCTTTCAAGGACAAGGGCTTCCACTTACCGGGTAGTTGGGGTCGACAGCTTGGCAATAATTCCAATCTGACGCAAAGCCGGCTGGGGCACTGCAGCCCCAAGAGTTGCCTCTGTACTAACTGACACAATCTCTCTTAAGTCGCTGCAGCCGCATCCACTGCAACGGCAGTGAGGCACAGGAGAGAAACGGCAGAGAAACGCATAGTGCCACGCGGACTTTAGCTTTAGTCTTGGATTTTTAAAACTTTGGGAAAAGTATTGAAGCAAGTGAAGAATGTCATGAGTAGCGGTGAAATAAGATTTTGTTGGGGTTGCCTGTTTCAAGCAAATAGGATCACAACAACGACCCTCATCTGATATTTATACAGAAAATTGATCAGAAGGATCGCGACTTATACCAATGTTATTGAGACCGTTCTTTGCTATGTTGTATCTCGTCAGCTTGATGTAGAGGGCTTTTCAGCTTTACAACTGCTAGTGCTGACATAGATGGAGTCTATTTAAATTAGAAGACCCAGATGATTTCCGGGCTGTTCGACTGCCCTGGACGCAGCATAGCACTCCCCACGGCTGCCTTGGCTGTTCATGTTCGTCATCCAAAACAGCCTTGTCTTTTATTCTCAAGGTAAAAAGCGCGGCCAGCGGCCCACATCTCTAACCTTGCGTCACCTCCGTCTCTGTCATCGCGCGCTGATGACGGAAGGCTCATAGAAACATCACTGGACGTAGACTTTCTGACTGTGTGTATAATATCGTCTACCAAAAGTGTCTTGGTCGAATTATTCGACTTCTCGACTGCGGACGAATGGACCAGGACTCTCGAGTCGTCCCGAATTGCACACCGGGAATATGAACGGACACAAAATGACTGCGAATCACCTTGCAGCCCTTCTCGTAAGCAAACCGAACAAACAGGTGCAAAGTAGTTACATCCGTTTCGAGACAGCCAGGTCGAGGGGAAGGCCGTTATCTTGCGGATGTCACTTCGGCTGCAACCTGCCACTGGTCACTTCATGCCGTGCAGGTCGGCTGCGGGTCGAAGCACCCCGGTCTCAAGTGGGCCACTCAGCGCATCCAGAGTTGACAAGTCAATCTTGTCTGAATGGAGAGCACTCTCATGCACCGTGTTCTCATCAATGCGGAGATTCTCCTCTCGGCTCACCTGATTACACGTAGACAACCTCGGCATCTAGGAGGAGGGCCAAGGACGTGGCGATGGTTGAGTCCGAGTTTCTTTTTCATTCAAAGTCAGGATTCACCCCGTCAGCGAAATATATGCCGGAAATTATATTCTGGTGATTTTCTTGCATAGCTCGGTTTGACAATATGGGTATAAACTCAGACATGCCTAGCTCCAATGGCTCCAACCAGCCTGATAAGATAGACGTCGAGGCACTTTCCAATAAGTACCTGGAAGAGAAAGAGAGACGACAGCGGGTAGACGGTCTTGCCCCAGAATGTGGAACTTGAGGAGTCTGAGAGCTTTTCATCTCTTGCAGATGATCCGTTTGTTGACCACGATGCTTTGAATTCCCAGCAGCAGGCTTTAGAGGATGGTCAGCAAGTGCAGGTCATCATTCTTGGTGCCGGTTTTGGCGGCATTCTCTTTGCCGCTCGTCTCGTTGAGGCAGGTATAAAACCTGAGGATATACGAATCGTCGATGTTGCCGGAGGCTTCGGCGGCACTTGGTACTGGTAGGCTTGACGATGCCCTCCTTCTCAACTTCAGTAGTGCTGATATGGTTCTTGGTAGGAATCGGTATCCTGGAGTCATGTGCGACACTGAGGCTTCAGTCTACTTGCCTCTGCTGGAGGAGACAGGCTACATTCCGACGCACAAATACTCGTATGGGGAAGATATCAGAGGCCACTGCGAGCGAATAGCGAAAACATTATGGCTTCGCGGATAAAGGAATGTTCCGAACGGCGATCACCAGAGCTGAGTGGAACGACGAGACTAGGCGTTGGTCTGTGAATATGGAGCACAATCGCGGCCCAGGGCATCGAAAGGTCACGTTGACGGCCTATTCCCAATTCTTGTGTCTCTGCAATGGCGTTCTGAACCATCCCAAGGCTCCAAAGATCCCAGGTCTTGAATCTTTCAAGGGCCAAATGTTCCACGCGGCCCGTTGGAACTACGATACTACTGGAGGCTCGCCGGCCGAGCAACAGCTGAAACGGCTTCAGGGGAAGAGGGTTGGCATTCTAGGAACCGGCCCAACGGCAATACAAGCCATACCGAAGCTCGCTGAAGCCTCGGAAGAGCTCTACGTTTTCCAGCGAACACCAGCTTCTGTCGGCTATCGGAACCAGCAACCGACCGACCCAGCTACATGGGGGACACAGGTTGCAACCAAGCCAGGCTGGCAGTTGGAACTGCTCACGAGCTTCGAGCTGCTATGCCAAGGAGAACTAGCCGAGCATCGATACCTGACCGACGGCTGGACGAAGCTGAAAACATTTGCGGCCTTCACGGGCAGGTCAGACGCTCCCTTTCTGACGAAAGACAGAGTTCAAGAGCATACCAACAACTTTATCAAGCAGGACGCACCATTCCAGGAGCGTATACGCCACCGAGTGGACGAGGTAGTGCGCGATCGCCAGACCGCGGAGGCTCTGAAGCCTTGGTTCCACACCTGGTGTAAGCGTCCTGGCTTCCACGACGAGTACCTCGAGACGTTCAACCGCCCCAACGTCCACCTTGTGGACATAGCTGACACGAAAGGCGTCACTGGCGCATCCCCCAAGGGCTTGGTGGTAGGTAAGCGAGAGATCGAGCTGGATGTGTTGGTTCTCAGCACCGGCTTTCGACCGTTTGTCAACCTTCAAGACCCGGATCCGGGGGCGAAGTCCAACACAATTATCATCGGTATGTTATTTCTCTTCTGAGTTCGTTCATAAGTCCGCTGACCTGAACACCTTGGGAAAAGGGCGTGACTCAATCCCCATGGCGGATAAGTGGGCAGCCAAGGGAGCCGCCACATTGTTTGGCTCTATGACACGCTCATTTCCGAACCTTCTTCTGAGTGGCACATCCCAGACGGCAATAAGCTCAAACAACACGGGCCATCTTGACGCGCTCGCTCGCCATGCGGCTTACATCATCACCGAGTCTCTCAGACGAGCCGACGATGCCAGTCGACTAGCCATCGAGCCTAGCGAGGAGGCAGAAGAGTCTTGGGCGGCCGAAATTCTCAAATACGACCTATTTTCCAGCCCCATTGCTGTATGTACACCGGGATTCTTTAACTGTGAAGGAGAGGCTTTGAAGCCTGTATCGGAGGAAGAAGAACTCAAGAGGCGACGTGGCGCCGCTTACCTGAAAGGACTTCCCGCATTCCGGAAGATTTTAGATGACTGGAAGTCCGACGGGGAAATGGCAGGGTTAGTTGCTAGGACCTGAAAGAGGGCCGGTGATAGAACATGCCTTGGTGCGGATATCCTGGGAATGAATCGGTTGTCTTTTCATAGTTTATGTGAGCTGGCGATTCTTATATGTCTAGTGTTTTGAGTCCATTATTTCTCTTATGCATCTAGGAAAGCGCACAAACCACCAAATTGGAACTGAGTTGTAGAAATGCTACGCGCTATCCAAAAACACACGATATCTCAATGGTATTCTCACTGAGCTTTGTGACATTCGACGGAAGGAAGAGCCTGATATTGGGAGGTGAAGGGCATTTATACCGACTTGGGGGCCAGCATTGATTGTTATGCTAAAGATCATTGTACTAGCCCCTAACAAGTGGAGGAAATGACGACGAAAGATGTTGAGGCCTTTCCTCCCTCCTGGGATTCCAAGCATACAGTGGTTGCACTTACTCCCAGAGGTCAGATCCCTTCTCTCCATTCTCCTCTCCTTCTTGACTCTAAACCTTTTTGCAGAATTTTCAAGGCCTCATGATTCTTGCACGACGATCTCATCCATGTCGCCTCCAGAAGTACCAGTTCTAGACTGGTCGTGGACTTCATCCAGCCAAACAATCCACTCAAGGTCGACGTCGCACTCATTTGGGCCAATGAACGTCATGAGTCCTGAGAAGATGGGTAGTCTCTTCACTGCGTTTGACTCGCCACGAAAGCTCTCCTTCTTGTCGATGGCCGCTAAGATATTCTTGATGTCGGTGGTGCCGATCCTAGTCAGGAAGAATGATGCGTCAATACATGTTACATTTTCTGAAGCGAAGTCTCGCAAGAAAGGTTTTCTTTTTTTCATAACTCCTAGTCTGGTTGAGAAGAATTGGTAACATACGCAATCTGTCCATCGCCATACTCCAGACGTCTGACAGAGACAAGCAGTCGGCCATGGCTCCAGACATCGACGAAGTCATCACCATCAGTGAAATTGGTTCCCCATTTGTAGACGTAAAAGGCGCACTTTCTGTCCGCGGACGGCTCGATTGCGGCTTCAGCCCACTGGGAATCTCGGCCGATCAGGGAAAGACTGTCTTCTTTAGGGTATTCAAGGTAAATTTCGTCGTCTTCGAGCGAGCACGTGTCCGTTTGTCCCGTGTCATCGCCCTCCAGGAGGCGAAACTCGGCGATTCTGCGCCGTCGAAGCGCCATAACCGTGGAGGAGGCTTCCTTTTGTTCGGCCACAGGCTGTGGAATCTGTTTATTCTGATGTATCCTCGGCCCTCTTTGTGTCTTTGTGAATTCCGAGGGTGATGGTCTCAAAGTCGATGAATAGAGTACAGACTGTGCTCACAAGAGCGTTCAACTCAGAAGAATTCGTAGTGTCAATTGCCTGCATTCACCACATATCTCTGGTAGTGCAGTCACAGGTAAATGGCGGATTTGATGGGATGATAGAACAACTTCTAACTAAGAATCGCCGGGGCGACGAGGGGAGTGAAGCTTGGGGTCATGATATCCATGTGGGCTAAGTGCAGCGAACGACGACATCTTCGCGCCCCTTTTCATGCTGGTACCAACCTGAGGTCTCATAGCTCTTCAAGCACCTTTGATATCCAGGACTTCAGGCCGGGATCTGGGATTGAACCTTTCGAAGGGGTGCTGCGAGCCCAGCTGTCTTACTTTAGATTCAATGAGCCAGTCAAGCAACCAGACCTAGTTTTTGAGATGTGAATCTCATATTTCCTCCTGAGCTATCTATCAGTGTTCGTCTATACTGTTGGGTACAAGCCTACCAGGGGGAGGGGGGGTCTTTGTATGGGTCACGCAATGCAATCATGTTTTGAGATCTAAACAAAATTTTGAAATTATAATGCAATACTAGCAAAATACTATCAAAATACTATTAAAAATAAATTATGTTAAGGCTTTAAATCATGTTAATATTAACTTTATATTAAAATTGATCTTATGTCATCCAATATTAATATAAATTTATGTCAAGAGCTCTGGTTTAAATCTTATTAATTCCAAACTTATTTTTATTTTTAGAAATCTTTATAGTTATATAAATCCTTTCATAATAAATAGATAAGCTAGTAAAAAATAGATAAATAGTTGGGTTAGGGACGAGGAAAAAAAAGCTCTTTTTTTAATCTCCCATAAGTTAAGGGGTTTACATATAGTCCACCCCCCCCATATGGACTATTAAAAAAGTCCTCTTCGCCACACCACCCCTTTAATTAAAGTTACTTTAAATCATTATCACCACCCATAATAATGCATTTCTTTATATTTATAATATCTTTAAAAGCATTTATTTTTATTAAGTTATTTTTAATTACGTTAGCTTTAATTTACACCTTATATATATACTTAATTTTAATAAATATAAAGTTTAAGCTTATTTTAACTTTTCTCCTCTTTTAAAGTGCTATAGCCATTAATTTATCTTTAAGAACTTAATTTTCTTATAAAAATATTTATTATTTCTTAGTTTTTTTTATTATACCTTTTTTATACCTTTTTAAAAAGTAGTTATTAAGTTATAAATAAGTATTTTTATAAGTTATAATTAATAAAAGTAATTTATATTTCTTAAGATACTTTAAGAGTTAAAAAAGCCTTTTTTTATAATATAATAAATATTAAAATAATTAATTTAACCCTTTTAATTCTTATAACATTATTAAAAATAAATATAAATATTGCTTTATTAAAGTTTTTAAGCATAATTATACTTATTAAGGGTTTAATTATATTAACTAGCTATAAATTAATTCTTTGCTACTTAAATTATATATACTTTTCCTTTAATGCTATTAATTTTGCTTATTAATAGCAATAAAGAAATAATTGCTTCTTAGTATAAGTATTATTAATATAAAAGTTTAAAAGATTTGCTTTCTTTTTATAAGCTGCTTTAAGGTTAAAGAATATATTTAAATTAAGGAGTTGCAATATATATAATATATATAAAGGTAAATAAAGGTAATAAATCTTATTTAAAAAGCATTTTTATATAAACTTTATTATATAATGGCTTTTATATTTATTTATTATTAATAAATATTATTATTGGTTTAGCTTCTGTATGGTTGGTACTAGTAATAAACAAATAAAGTGTGTAATTAATTTAGCTATGGTATGAAGGGTAGGTTGTAGTAAAGTTGCAGCCTTTCCCTGTTTAGCTATAGGCTAGCTATAGTAATTTATATATGGGGCATATGATTGTTAGCTAGCAGCTAGCTGGCATTAATTAGTAGCTGCTATTAATAAAATTAGTTTAAACCTTGCACCTTTAAATTTATGCATTACTTATAGCATACTTATTGCATAGGCATGTTGCATGTAATGCCCATATATATTATTTCCATATTAGCAGTCTTTTATATATATGCATGTATATGCTTTAAAATCGTGCTTTTCCTTTAAATTATTGCTTGGCTAATTAAATTGCTTAATTAATATAAATATCTTATTTTTTAAGGGGTTATAAGGGGCTAAGTAACTTATAGCCATTGCTTTAAGGGGTTGAGTATAAGTATTTAAGTATAAGTATGTAAGTGTAAGTATTTAAGTGCAAATATTTAAGTATAAGTGTGTTTAAATGCTTTAAATGCTTAAATTGCTTAATTAAATTATTTAATTATTAATACTTTAAAACTTTAAAGTATTTAAATGCTATATTTTAATTAATTAATTATTACTTTAGCAACTTCTTTCTTTTTATTATTAAGTTGGCTAAGGTACTTAAGGGATAAATTAAGCTTAAGCTAATAATAGTTATTATTATTATATCTCTTAATAAAGAGGAGGTTGTTATTGCGGAAGAGGTTATTATTATAAGGCTTGCATTAAGAGCATTGCTAGCTAAGAAGGAGGTTATAATTAATAAAGAAGAAAAGGTGGTTGCTTTATAATGGTTAGCTTTATTTTAATTAGCTTAGGCTTCTTTTAATGTTTATATGCCTTTAATTATAGGTAAAAGGTTATTATTATAAACTCTTCTTAAGGCTATTAAAGTAATTCCTAATTATTTAATTAACTTAAAATAATTAATGCCTTTGCTATTAATATATAATTATATCTTATATATACTTTATAATAATAAAGTATTTATTTAAGCTTATAAAAAAGCCTTTAATTAATCTTTTAAAAGCATTTTTTTATTTATTTATAAAATTTGCATTAAAATTTATTAAAAAGATTTTTATTATAGCTTAAATAACCCTTAAGGCTTTTAATTATATTAATAACCTTTTCTTTATTAAAGAAAAGGGTTATTATTAATGCAAAGATTATTACTATTAAAGCAAATCTTGTGATAGCTAATTATAAGGCAAAGGGAAAGGGGAAGAGGACGTTCTTATGCTCAGAGTTGTGAAAATACAAAAAATACAAAATACAAAATACAGATACAGATACAGATACATAAAATTTTAAAAATACAAAATACAAATACAAATACAAAAATACAAATACAAATACAAATACATGTATTTAAATACATAAATACAAAATATAAATACAAAATACATTATATATAAATATTAATTAATTAAATCTAGTATAAATTCTTTTAAAATAAGCTTGAAACTAGCTATTTAAGTATATTTTTTTTAATTTTATATCTTTTTTTCCTAAAAAGATATTACATATAATATAAAAGTATTTTTTTTAAAAAAAAAAGCTTATCTTCTTATTTAAGTCTTATCTTATTTAAGTTTTTTTCCCCTTAAATATAAAGTATTTATAGCTTTTTAATAAATTTAAATATAAATAAAAAAAATATATTTAAAATGCTTAAATTAAATAGAATTTAATTAAAATTTCTTTCTTTTTTAAAATAATAAAATTTAAATTAAATATTATATAACTTGTATCTGTATCTGTATTTTGTATTTTAAATACATAATACAGATTTGAAATTTTAAAAATACAGATACAGATACAGATATAGATACAAAATACAAGGCCTATATAAATACAAATACAGATACAAATACAGTATTTAAATACAGATACAAATACATGTATTTATGTATTTTGTATTTTTAAATACAAAATACACAAATACTGTCACAACTCTGCTTATGCTACGCTTATAAGCTAATAACCAGCTCTTAAATCATTTACTTACAAATAGTAGCGCTTAAATGCTATTACTGCTTGGTAAATTAATCTTTATTAGCTTTTTAAGTAATTTATGCTTAAGATCTTATTAAAAGGTATTAATAAGAAAGGTGTTGAAAAGAAAGAAAGTTATGCTTATTAATTAAATATTAATTATTATTAAAAGGTAAATATTTTAAAAGTTTAATTAAGTTATTTATATAATTAAACCCGTAATAAATCTTAATTATTCCCTTTAATAATTTTAAGCTAATTAAATAAATAAAATGATTGCATTAATTACTTACTTTTATTAATACTCTTTAAAGTATTTAATTAAATATATTAATTAAGTATATAAATTAATTAAAAGAAATATTATTTATTAATACTTTAAAGTATTTAAAATATCTTATATTTTATTAAGTGCTTAAGGGGTTTTTAAAGGGTTATAAGCCTTAGGAATATTATATAAGTACCCTAAGAAGCATTAATTATAAATAAGGGCTTCTTAAGGGTGCTAAGCAAGGGCTTCTTAAGGGTGCTAAGCAAGGGCTTCTTAAGGGTGCTAAGCAAGGGCTTCTTAAGGGTATTGCAAGGAGGGCTTTTTAATATATTAATTGCAAGCAAAGGCGTTGGTAATTAAGGGTATTGCAAGGAAGGTTAAGGATGCAAGGGCAATATAATTAAAAGTTAAGTATTTGCTATAAACTAATTAATTTTACTTAAAAGTTAAGTATTTGCTATAAATTAAATGGAATTAAGTAAAGCTTATTATTAATTTATTTAATAATTAAGGGTATTATAAAAGGGCTTTTAATAATTAAAAAAGGTTATAATTACTTAAAGGTATATTAAGGAAGGCTTTTTAATTAAGGCTTTTTATAATTATTATTATTAATAATTTACGTTAATAAATGCAATTAAAGATTAAGTATTATTGCTATAAATTGGTTTTTAATGCTTAATTAAGCTTTTTAATGGCTTATAATATTATTATTAATATAAAGTCTTTTAATAAAATTATTGTAAGTAAACGGGCTTTTAAGGAATAAAATTTATTTCTTTAATATTTAACTGTTTATGCTTGCTAAGTAAGTATTAATTAGTGTTAATTTGGCTTTTATATAGTTAGTGATAAATAAATAAAGTATGTAATTAATTTAGCTATGGTGTAAAGGGTAGGTTGCAGCAAAGCTATAGCCTTTCCTTATTTAGCTATAGGCTAGTTATGATAGTTTATGCATAAGGTATATAACCGTTAATTAGCAGCCGGTTAGTACCGGCTGGCAGCTGCTATTAATAAGACTAATTTAAACCTTGCACCTTTAAATCTATGCATTGCCTGTAGCGCACCCACTGCATGGGCACGCTGCATGTAATGCCTATATGTACTATTCCTACAGTTATTCCTTAGGGTTATTTAGCTTAATTTAAGGGATAAAAATCTTTTGCAGCTATTTAAGTGTTATAGCATTATTTATCTAGCTATTTAGCATTGCTATAAACTCTTAATCCTTATAATCCTTAAGAGTTTTAAATTATTATTATTAAATTAATTTCCCTTTAAAAATAATAAGGGAAGGGTATAATTTGCCTATTATAGAAATGCATTTAAGAAAGGAAGTTTAAGTATATAATTTATAGCTTTTTTAAGTAATAACCTTTTTTTTTCTTATGCTTAAGAATTATTTTATTCTTCCCCTTGCCCTTGGCAATACCCCCTTTATTAATATTATACTTATTAGCTGCTTTAATGCTTATAATTATTAATAGTTAAAAGAGGTTAAATTACTTCTTAATTATATTTATTAAGACTTTATTTACTTAGCTTGCATTTATTTAATGGCTTTATATACTTTAAATCTTAGGATTTTTAGTTAAAAAACCCCTTAGCTAATAGCGGTTATATAGGGGAAGGCGAAGTTAAGGAGTAATTATATAAGCTATAAAAGATTTTATTTTAAAATGGGTTATTAGCAGCCTTAATATTACTTAATTAATTAATTAATTAAATAAGCATGTTTTTTAAATTTATAATAACCTTTATTAAGATTTTAAAGCATTAAAATGGCTTTAATGATTATAAAGATAATTATAAAATGTAATTTTTAAAATGTCTTAATATAAGGAGGCCTTTTATTAATTAATATTAGCCAAGATTGCCTTAAGCGCTGCATTAATATCTTCTTTAATATATAGCTTTATTAATAATAAATAATAATATATTTAAGGTTTAAAGAAAAGAAAAAATTCCATTATAAAGATATCACGTTAAATGCAAGAGGGTAGACCTAATGCGTATGTGGGTGTGGAGTGATCCATATGGGGGGGTGGACCATATGTGGACCCCCTAACTTATCAAGGATTAACATCATATCACAGCATGTCAAGAATGACTACATATCAAGAATGACTATATGTTAAGAATGACTACATGTCAGTGACGTGTAAATAATGCAAGGCACACAAAAAAACATACTGTCAGAACCTTGACAGTATGTCACTATTATGTCACTATTCTATTGACTTGGTCGCAGCACCTAAACAAAACCCCCCCTCCCCCCTGGTAGGAGCTGTGTTGAATAATTTTCACTGTTCATTCTCCATTTTGCATCATGCCTTGGAACAACCAAGTTGAGGGCACGGGACAAGATTCAGGAGGTTGAAAGATCCAAGACAAATCAAGAAACCGTTCATTTGGGAAGAATACGGAGGTTCAAACCTGTAAAATGAAGGGTACAACGGTACATCACTGGCACTATAGCTGTAGCAAATTAGAGCTCATCACCCACACACCCATCACCCATATACGTAATACCTACACACCTAATTCACATACCTGATTTACATAGCTGATTTATATAATTAGGGCTAATTAGGCATATAAATTAGATATTAGGTGTATGAAATTGGTGTTGGTGTTGGGTGTAGGTGTTAAGTGTAAGTGTTAAGGTGTGTGAGTTCTCACGTGGTTTGGTGCTGGTGATGCACTGGTGTACCCTTCATTTTGTAGGTGTAAATCTCTGATTTCTTTGGGAATATTTAACTTTTTTGAGTATACAAGTATCCCATTGTTCCCTTTGCCGAGCCCTTGGAGGTTAGAAACTTAAGGTATTGGCCACGTTTGAGTTAAGTGTTAGAGCCTGGACGGCCTCTGGGGCACTTTTGGACCTCTTCAATCTCAATGCTATCACTACCAAAATGTTACTTGTCATCAAAGCACCATACTATCTATTAACTGAGAGCAATTCCTGTGTCTCAGTCCCAGGTCTGCAAACTCAATGGAGTGATAACTACTTTGCTTAGGCTCCAGTCAAACGCTCACCAGGCCCGTATCTCAGATGCTCAAGGGGAATCAAATCTCTGACTTGCATCAAATTCACATCAGCTATTGAACTCTTGGAAGTACTTCCGTATGCGAGTCTCTAATCTCTACTGCCTCGTGCGGCTGAGTGATGATCACGTATGGTGATTGTGCACCAGTGTTACTTGCTCTGTCTGGTCATTTTGCGGGCTTCTCACGCTGATGGGCAACTCGACTACATGATTGAGAGTCTGCCGATTGTAGGTCGTACCGGAATAATGAGGTTCTACTTAGGCAGTGATGGTTGTGCTGCTAGTTGCTTTTTGCATTTGAAATAGCCTCTGAGTCAGAAAAGCGGTCCAAATTGGTTTCGAAACTCATGAGCAATTGCGAATTCCTTGGCTGTGTGACAAACGAGGTTGTCAATATCGTTGTGCGGGCAGGAGTCTCTTCCTACAGTGATGCATGTCCAGGGGCCAGGGAAGTTGTATCTGAGTGATATTGCCAGGACTTCTAGTCACCACTGTCTGTCAAACGGGCGTGGTACCTCCTTAGGCAGATTTCGAGGGAACAAGCAGCAACACAGAGAAAGGCCCATCACGTTTTTATTGTAAAGAACGTCTATCCTAAACAGACTGGTCCATGGAGATGAGGTCGGTGTCTAGATCCATCTGAATTATGACATCCTCGCGCCAGTATCAAGCAAAATCTTGCTTCTAGAACAGCACATCTCGACCTGCCAGAAACCAGGTACTTGCCGAGACTATGGTCTTTACAGCTGCCTAGGCTTCGTCTTCAAGGCTGCCAGCAGTTTCATCTGCAGCTACAAGGGAGGAACCTCAGACCAGGATGAGTAGAGCAGGACAACCAATACATAAGGAAGTAAATATGTAATTAGTTCGGAGGCTACAGATCATTAAAGTTCTATCAACTCTTCCCTGGCAAACTATCAGGGGAGTTCTCGTTCGTCACCCCACTCCACGCGGGCCTCGCCCTACCATCCGGCACGACCGGCTCTACCATGGCATCCGCCATCGCATCATCGTAACTCGGCGGCGCGTCATCGTAAGCCGGCGGAGCCTCCGCGGCGGGATTGCCACCGGCGGCAGGACCCGCAGCAGCAGCCTGTGCCTGCGTCTGCGCTTGTGCGGCTGTCTGCCCGGGCCGGAGCTGCGGCGGGTAGAGCGGGTCGTGCGGCCGTTCTTGTCGTGGCGGGAGCGCGGGCGCGGACTGGCTGGGGCGGGCGGACGGTCTCTGTTGTGTTTGTTGTCTGCGGCCCTTCATGGCGGCCTCGGCTAGGCTCGCTGGTGGTTCGAGACCGGAGTACACCTGGACCGAGCTGAAGTGCAGGGGCAGGAACATGGTCTGCGCCAGGTTGTACGAGGGGTCCTTTCCTTTGCCTTTGGACTTTCCCATCTTCATCATTGAGGGCAGGGAAGAGTGCGAGGTCGTGTCATCCGGGATGGCGGTCGTAGCCCCGGGCGGTTTGCCCCAGCTAACGCCGAGCTTGAGTTCTAGCGCGTATGTTCTCTTGAGATTACATGTTATGAAACTTGGCATAATGGTATTGGGTAAGGGGTGATTGTTCCACAACACGTTGTTGACTTCCGTTTCAGTGCCGACAGCATCGGCTGGTCCCTTCTGGAGTGGAATGGCGAGGCCGTGGCGAGTGGCGACCACCCAGCGTGTGGTCTCCGTGTTGACGAGGTCTTGACATCGGACAATGGTGGAGCCAACCAGGTCGATCTGAAGTGACACCAAGTAGCATTCTGCACTGGTTGCCACCAGTTTCTTGGCGAGGAGACGCAGCGGAATGGGTTTGTTACACGTGAGGATGGCAGGATGTGGGAGCCGTGCAGAAATCTCTATCGACGGAGGTTGTTCTGGGTCTGAAGAGGATGCGCCATTGGCTGCGAGGTTGTTTGAGCTAGGCTTGCGGCTGAAAACGGATTGCCTCTTTGGTTGTGAATGTGTTTTGCCATTGCTCCCTGGGCTCTTGGGAGTGAATGTGAAGGGCCGTCTGGCGTATCCCTCCTGATTTGACGGTGCCGGACGTGGTGGTTCAATGGGCATGAACTTGAACCCGAGCTGGTGCCTGATGTTCTCCCGGAAAAGACCTGGCCGTTGGATTGTCACCTTGACATAATATCTAATCTCTGCCTCCCTCGGGAAGCCTGTGAAGCTCGGAGGCAGTGTCTTCGTAACGTGCGGGTAAAGTAGCTGCTTGCTTCCATCCATCAACCTGATGCCGCCCATGCCGAAGAAACTTGGGCCAGCAAAGCCCCCAGCACCAGCCAGACCGCCAATCTTGACCATCGCGTTGGGATCGCCGCAGGCATTGTTGAAGGGGACTTTGAAGCTGAAGGGCCACTCATGTTGACCTGGATTAAGGACGACCGGTGTGGCGTAAGCAGGGACATTCTCGCCGGGAAACACTTGCTGGACTTTGTAGAGAATCTTGTGGTTCTCATGAAGGGTTTGTGAGTTTTCCGTGACAGTAGTCCGTCGTCGATTTGCGCCACCAATTTGGAGGTCAGTTGCATCCGGGGCACCCAGTGCTGTTTTGGACTCGCCCTCAAGTTTGACGATGACGGCCCCGATTGACTCGGGCCGGCTGATTCCAAGTATGATCTTGCCGGAAATGACATCCAGGTTGGTGTAAAACTCGGGCGGGTTTGCCAGAGCTATACGGATCGACATTGTGACGGGTCGGGATTGCAGCGGTTACAAAGAGTGGGTGCGATGCCCTGGTTAGGCCTTGCATGAAAGCCTTCTTGGGGCTGTCCTTGCTATCGTCAGTCAGAACCACATTCTCCCCAGGGAAACTCGGAATCAGCCTCAGGATTAGGAAGACGAGATTCCAACCCCAGCATCGGTCTGGTGCTCAGGTAAGGCGGCAGACAGTTCGTACGAGTGACAGGAATGCTCTTGGTGTGTCGGAACTCAAATGTAGAGAGATGTAAGGATATCATGAGGCAGGATCCAGAGGCGTCGGTGTCAAATCAAGCAGGTCGGCGAGAGAAGCTCAAGCTTGGTGGCAACTGGTTGGGCTGGCTAGGGCCGGGACGACGCAAGCAGGCGTGCTTCGCCTCACTGCTCCGTCTGACTGGCGACTGGGGATGGGTCGGGAGGAAGGCCTCCAACACAAGCACTGGGCGGACTCAAAACGGCTTGGCAGTCGAAACAGCTCTCACAACTTGTGCAAGACTCAGTCTGGGATGCTGTCCCTTGCCTGCTAAGCCATGTAGATGCGGATGTACTGAACAGGAACCAGGCCTTCGATGTCGTTGAAAGGTGGGGTTCAAGTTTGGTGCTTCTACAGCATGATCTTGGGTCTTTCTTCGAGCCTGTTCTTGAGGCCACGAGGCAGTGGACTGATGCATGAGACAAGGCCAACTGGGACCAATGGAAGAAGAAGGCTCAGGCACTTGTCAAAGAGAGGCTTCCAATACAGGCTGTTGCTGTGACCGTCAAGTCGAGCGATTGACGGCCCACTTTCGGTCCCAGTCGGCCGGGCGCGGAGCTACACCCGTAGTGGGTGCCGCGAGGTCCCTAACGGCGAGGGGCCGTCCTTCCGTGGTCTAGTTATCGATAAGAATATTTTTTGGTTCGAGCGACTACGACAGGAAGACGATAATCTTCTATTGCTCGCAATTATTCACACATCTTCTTGCACACGGCTTCCAACAACTGCCAGTTCCAGTAATGAAAACGACATAGTCCAATTTGCCCGCCCGATCTCCTCCCACAACATGGGCAAAGCATCCACCAAACGCAAAGGCGCATCGTCGTCGTCCTCCACTCCCTACGAACGCCCCTCCAAGAAGTCGGCCGGGGCAGCAGCGACGAGCAAGAACAATGTCTTCAAGTTCAACACAAACGTCGGTCAGCACATCCTCAAGAACCCGGGCATAGCAGACGCGATCGTCGAGAAGTCGTACCTCAAGCCCACCGACACGGTCCTCGAGATCGGCCCCGGAACAGGCAACATCAGCGTGCGCATACTAGAGAAGGCCAAGAAGCTGTACGCCGTCGAGCTGGACCCGAGGATGGCCGCAGAGATCACCAAGCGTGTCATGGGCACGCCCTCGCAGAGGAAGCTCGAGGTCCTGCTGGGCGACGCCATCAAGCTCGACTTCCCGCAGCACGACGTCTGCATCTCCAACACGCCCTACCAGATCTCGAGTCCCCTCGTCTTCAAGCTGCTCAGCATGCCGAACCCCCCGAGGTGTTGTGTTCTCATGTTCCAGGTATGGCCTCATTCTTCTGCCCCACCTCCCAAACTATACGAGTGCTTCGTGCTGATCGGTGACAACCACCCCCATCGCAGAGAGAATTCGCCCTCCGCCTGACCGCCCGCCCAGGCGACGCCCTCTACAACCGACTCTCCGTCAACGCGCAGTTCTTCTCCAAGATCACGCACATCATGAAGGTCGGCAAGCAGAACTTCAAGCCCCCGCCGCAGGTGGAGTCGTCGGTGGTCCGCATCGAGCCCAAGCTGGGAAAGGACCGGCCCGCGGTCAGCTGGGCCGAGTTCGACGGCCTTCTGCGCGTCGTCTTCAGCAGGAAGAACAAGACCGTGCGCGCGAGCTTCGGCACAAAGGAGGTCCTGGCCATGGTGGAGAAGAACTACCGCACCTGGTGCGCCATGAACGACGTCCCCGTGGACGACAGCGCCGTCGAGGACACGGGGGCGGACGACGGCGACGATGAGGTCATGGGCATGGACGTGGACGATAACGCCGACCCCTCGGCTGGCGGCGGCGAGGACGAGGAGTGGGGCGGTATCATGGACGTCGACGGTGGTGACGACGAAGATCACGTGCCCGCCTTCTTCAAGGAGCAGGCCGCGGCGGCGAGGCCGGATCACACCGCCAAAACTCCTAGCAGGAGGAAGAAGACCAAGGCCGCGGAGCTGGTGCGGTCCAAGGTGCAGCGGGTGCTCGAGACCACGGACCTGGCCGACGAGCGCGCGGGCAAGCTGGACGAGAACGCCTTCCTGAGGCTGCTCTATGCCTTCAACAAGGAACACATCCATTTCGCATAGGGGGAAGTCGAGGGGTTGACGAGAGGGACAGGGGGATAACACTGGCCTGATTCATTTTGGCATGGCGCTCTCCCAAAGTTAGAAGAAGGACTTCATTTGACTCATTGTATTGGCGTTGAGGTTTAGATAATGTGGCGCGGGAAGAGCTTTTGCTTGGTCTTAAGGCGATTTCATGATACCTATTGGAACAGAACCAGTCCCTCAAACTGGGGCGAGAAATCAAAGAGAAGAGTATTGAAAATAGTCATGATGACAAGGGACCTCAATAGGCTTGAGGCGCGTTTTGCACTGGTTTGATGAGCCGGTATTAGTGTCTGCCTGGCGAGCCTCATATCTGCTATTCCCTATGCCTTTGCTCCCGCTCAGCACGAGCGTGAAAGTTCGCCAGCTGAATGGACACAAGAAGCTTGATACAAATAAAACCATGGAAACGTTGGTGTTGGGATATCTCATAGTACTCGAGCTAAATCTATGCTGTTGTATACCCTAGGACAAAAGTCAAGTTTATGCTGCTCTGGTTTATTCCAATCGTGTATGATCCCATATCCAGTCGGCTATTTCCCCATATCCGCTATGTGTACACCATGAAAGAACCAAAAAAAACCAACCAGAAAGGCGCCTTTCACCTAGCCATGCCATCATTATCATTCCAACGGGTAATCGTACACTCTTGTCGCCAAGTAGTTCTCACACCTCTCCCCAGCTGCCCATCGGCCCTGTGCTGGCGATCATGCTTCCAGTACCGATGCTGCCGGCACCATCACGTGCACCAATGTCCCAGTAATGCCTGCTCGAATGTCTCGATGAGACACTCATACTGCCCCGCCGTCCACTCCTCTTGGTGCTCTGGCTAGCGCAGCTACTGGCGTGCCGGACAAGCTGGCTTGGCGCACCTGCCGGCACGCTGACCTTGAATGACGTCCGTCTTTGATGCGAGTGGACACCGCGGACGAGGGGGTGATGTTGTCTGACGCGGGCTGCTGCCCTAGCTGCGGCGTCTTGAGCGGAGGATGTATTATGGGCGGCCGATTGTGTGTGCCCGGATTGATTTGAGGCCGCGGCGCGAGACGAGGTGAATCGGTTGCGCAGATATCGGAAGACAAGCTTGATGTCCAGATCTTGCTCCCACTCTTGTTGGGTAAAAGTACCCGTGAGCTTCTCAGCTCCAGATGCCTCGCCTGGACCATCTGCAGTCTTTGTCCTTGGTATATCCATCGGTTGTGCATGGGGAACTGCCTGTAGCGTTGGCTGAAACTTGGGCATGGAAGGCATCGTGCTCTCTTCAGCATTCGAAGACCTCCGCGAAGGAGCATGCCTCTTAGCCTCATTCGGTTCACTGGCCGTCGGCACAGCCTGAAGAGAAGCATATTGTGTGGGCGTGGTCATAGTCTCGGGAATAACAGGCAGTCCCGCGTAAGGCAGCGGCATCTGCTGCATGCGTGTGTACGTCGAAAACGCACCCGGATGGGGGTGAGCGGATAGCTGATTGACCAGATCACCGAGCTCTCGTGCCATTCTGTCCAGGAGTTGAAGCTGCCAAGATGACTCGGACTCTGCCACATTGCTTCCAGGTGCAGCAGCCCGGGGCGTGGATGACAGATCGTCTGTGTCGAGATCCAGATCCTCAGGGAGTGCCTCGCCGAAAAGAACGCACAAGAGTTTGTCGTCGATGCCCATCAAGTCACGGATAACGCTTCGTGTAATGCGCGTCCAATAACCTGCTTCCTCCGTCTCTCCTGCGCCGAGATTCATCTCAGATGCATCCTGGTCGTGCCACTCGGTCCCTGCCATGGAGGCATCAGGAGTTGGGTCGCCAACCGTGCTCAGCGCTGCGTCCTCGGCCTCAGCCTCCACAAATCCTTGGCTGCCTCTTCTAAGCCTGTCCGTCAGAGCAGACACAGTCGACTCTCTCCTGCGTCTCGTCTCCTTCTGTATCTCTTGTAGTAATACCCGGCTCTGCTCGAGGCGCCATTCCTCGATGCGCCGCCTCCTATCGGCTTCCTGTGCCTCCTCACTCTCCAAGGCAAGTTGCCCAAGCTCAAGACTTTCCCGTCGTCTCTTTACTCTGCGGGGATTGTATCGCTCGAATTGGTACATAGTCTCCTGCATCTCTGTGGCCAACCCTTGGGTGTCTAGTCTGAAACCACCCAACCCATCGTGACCTGGTAAAATAGTGGTGGACTGTGTGTTTCCTCCTTGCTGGCCCCTATGCAGGAAGTCTGGCAAGTGGCTGTCAAGACTGTCGAACTCGGCATCATCCTCGATGGCGTCGTCCTCCTCGAGGACATCGGAGTTGGCAGGTTCGGAATAGAGGTTGTCGGAGTGCGCGATTGTTTGCAAGCTCCCAATGTCGCTTATCCTCGAACGGCCAGGTGTGGGCTGGTCGTCTTGTATTGATGAGAGATAGGAGACGGAGGTCCCAGAGTCGGTGGCAGGGGAGAATAGGACCCAGGTTTGCGACTCGTCGCGGGACTGTGTAAGTGGAGGGCGGGGTGCAAGCGCCTCTAAATCCGCCGAGTTTGGGTCGACTGCGCGAGAAGTGCGTCGTGCGACTTGTCTCGTAGGTTGATGGAAGGCCATTCTGTACAATATAGGATGAAAAGAATTAGGTAGATCGGGGAGCGATATTGCAGTCGCGAGGTCGAGATGCCGTGGGGTTTAGATAAGGAGGGCGAACCGGATACGGCGAGTTCGCTCTTGGTGGGGCGCGTGATGCCGTGTCGCAGGGCTGCCGTGCACAGCAGACGCGAGTGCTCGATTTGCAGCAAGTTTGTATCAGGATCGAATGTCGAAGACAGACAGCAAACTGCTGTGTCAAGTGAGGGCGGCGATATTCAGGACCGAGATCGCATGATGAGTGGATCGTGCTCTATCCGTCGTCTTCCGTCCCCCGGCAGCGGCTATAAGTGAGGCGCACCACAGCGACGGGGAGAGGCAACAGTGGTGTCAAGGAGCCACTTTCGCTGTCGAGAAAGGGACTGATAGTGGAGACAGGATCGAAGGGAGCCGACTAGAGCACGTAGCTATGTCGGGTTTGTACGGGCGTAATTCGGGACAAGGGACCTGGTAGGGATGTCGTCAAGAGCACCAAGAATGACTAAAGGTGTCTGATCAAAGAGCAACCCTGGAAGGACTGAAGGTTGAAGTGGCTGATGTGACAGGTAGAAGAGATGGCAAGTTGGTTCGTTAAAAGGTTGGGTAGCGAAGCACGAGGTCGAGCCGTGTCTGTGTCTACAGAGACGAGCACCACGTGTACGGTATTCTGTAGTCGTAGAGTGCCAGGGGGAACCGGAGGATAGACAAGAGGGAGGAGTGGTGATGAGTAAATGATGGGGTGGATAGCCCCCAACAATGCAGTGATGTGGTGGTGTATGGCGCTGAGTAGGTCAAGGGAGCCCAGTCTACGAGTAGTATACAAGCCAAGACTAGGTATTTCTGTACGGTCTGACGGCAGACTCGACGCGGTACCGGCGGATTCGATGTCTGTCGGTCAGAGAGGAAGGTAGGTAGGTAGGGAGGCAGGAAAGGGAGGGGAGGGTGGTGAGACAGCTGGACGGGTTGGGCTTGTGCTGATGTCGTTGACAAGTCGCTTGCTTGTACGAAGCGTCGACCCCCCACCAGTGAGATAGCAGAGTGACTGAGATGAGGGACAGCAGATCTACCTGACTGTACTACCCAACGTGGGTAGGTAGATACCCAGAGAGTCTAGGTACCTGCAGTTGGCTGCCCCTCACCGGCTCACAACCGGTAGTGTTACCTGATGACGATCGTTTCACACAGATGACGAGCACCTCCTGTCCTCGTCCATCCAGCCTTGCACCACCTGGGCAGCTCGTTGCTCTCGGGAGACAGGCAGGAGGGAGATTGGATTTGCCATCCAAGCGTTCTCCGGCGAGTCGCGCAGCTGAGCAACAGCCCACGTATAATCTTATCAAGCACAAGCTCCCGCGCCTGCACTCTGGCATTGCACGCCCGGGAACTCGCTCTCGTCTTGGCCCCTTTCGGCCTTGGAACGAGTTCCAGTCTGCAGCCATGGCCCCCGAGAGCTCAGACTCGACGGTTGCGACCGCAATGTCGGTGGGTGTGTCATCAGTAGGCCCGACTCGTGGCATGTTTGCAGCGTGTTCCTGTTCCTGTTCCTGTTCCTGTTCCTTTGTCCCAAGCTGACAATCACCTCACCTTGCCACCTCGTCCCATCATTTCCCTCCCGCATACACTGGGTGGTTGGGTGGATGACCAAGTCTCAAACACCACGAACCAGCAGCCTGTACTGCATGATATTGGGGCGGGTCCTCGCTACCCCCGATCTCCTTATCTCAAATAGCGGGCCATCTTTGGGTGATAAGATGGATCAGGCCCACACTTCCTGTCATCAGCACCCTTCACACCGTCGATGTGACCTTCCTTCAGTCCGCCATCTCTGACCGAGAATCTGCTTACAGCCCAGGTCTGGAACGACAACCTGTCTGGCTCTGCCCGACACCCTGCTGCATCTCCGTGAGAGCGAGATTTGTTGAGCGTCGCGGTGACTCATCCAGGCCCCAGATTGCATTGTAAGCACGGAGGACTGAGGAGGGACTTCGGGATCTGGGAAGGCAAATAGACCTCCCCTTGGTTCACAAACGCCGAAGATCAAAAAGCTTGGGTGCAACCTTCAGATTCTGCTGTCTCGCCATCCGACTTACTCGTGGAGTCGCCGAACTTGTTGCAGAATTTTGCCCTATGATGAAACCGGTGGGTAGCCGCAGGCTTGTCTGTCGTTCCAGACTCGCCGGCTCGGGGGATGAGCGTCGTCACGTCTAGCAATGATATCACACGAGCACATATAGTCGACTCTGTATTGCGGTTTGCAGGCATTACATATTTTGCACAGTAACTTGCCCAGAAGAAGTGACTTGAGCCAACCAAATGGACCTGAGGATCATGCTCTCACTAGTGTCTACTGGGTATCCAGCAGGCAAATGCCATCACAGTTCGGCTGCTGCCGCCAACTCCCGCAGGTCTCGAGGCCGGTACCGGTGTCGCGGGGTCCCAGGTGACTGGTCCTCGAGTCCCTTGGAGGCTTCACACGCAAGTCTGCTGGAGTCATGGGCCTTGTTAGTGCACGCCCTCCCACTTCATGACGACGGTTTAAAAAAGATTGTCAAGGATGTGTCCACTTCATCGTTTTGCACATTTCATTGCCGCTGTCACTAGCGCTGTCAAGTGATCCGTGTAGTAAACCCCATGGATTAGAATCCGATTTGACCGAGTCGAAGCTACTTCTTTTCCCCGGAGGAAAGAACATCTAGCCTGAATCAACGCAGCCCCTCGACCTTTCGCAGTAAACCCTATTTACGCCAGCCCGGATCCCAAATGCAGTACGGTTTTGACTTGTCATGCAGCACAAAAGAAGAGAAGCCCCTTAAGCCTCGGAGAAGGCCTCGGGGAAGCGCTTCATGTTCTGCTCCAGGGAACCGTGGTTGGTCAGGAACTGCACGTAGGCACCGTCCACCTTGACGCGGCCAGCGGCCTTCTTCTCCAGGTACTCCTCGCGACGGAGAGGGGTGAAGCCCCAGTTCTTGGAGATGATGATCTTTTGGCGACCAGGGAACTTGTACTGGGATCGGCGGAGGGCCTCAAGGGCGGTGGCACGGTCTGGTAGTGGCGTGTTAGCAAGGGCTCAGGCGTTCCTTCAGGGTACAAGAGTGATCGAGGAGTCTGCACATACTGGAGTCACGAGTACGGACAGACATGATGATCTGACCGATGTTGACACGGGCGACAGTGCCGTTGGGCTTGCCCCAGGCACCACGCATACCAGTCTGCAGTCTATCGGCACCGGCACAAGACAACATCTTGTTGATACGGACGACGTGGAACGGGTGAGCGCGGACACGCAGGTGGAAACCCTCCTTTCCGGCGACCTTGACGAGGTACTTGTTGGCGCAGATACGGGCGGCCTCGAGGGCCTCAGAGCTCAGCTGCTCATACTCGTTGGACACGAGGTGGATGCAGAGAGGGAAGTCGTCGACGGTAGCGCGCTTGCGGCCAAGATCGTAGATGCGGATCTTGGGGTCGGGGACACCACGGTTGAACCGGGACTTGGGGTAGGGCTGAGGGTCATCAAGTTAGCGATATTGTTTGTAGTCCCATCGTGTTGAAGTGCTGCTGGATGGACTCGTTCGATGGAGAGCTACGGATCTCTGCGGGTTTGCGGAGGCTGGTCACTCGACGGCCTCCGTACCCTCGCAGCAGTCCGACAGAGGTTCAGTATCGGAAAATGCTGTCTCGGTCATCGAAGCATTCCCCGTCTCTTTCCGTGTCTGAAGGACACCTCAAGACCGTGACTTTTCTTTGTTCTTTCCGATGCTCCTCTTTTTCTCCAGCCGAAATCATCCTCTCCAAGGGCGCAGCGCTCGCAGGGCCGTTGCTCACCTTGTTCTTGCAGTAGCGGTAGCAACGAGCGGGACGACGGGCCATCTTGACTGATTGATGTCTTCTGGACTTGTATGTGTCGTGACTTAGGTGTGCTTCGTTGCGTTTGCTGAGTGTGGTGTAGAGGGTGGAAATGACGGGGGGCGTCCCTCTTTTCTGTTTTACTGTCTCCTGGCCTGATTTCAAAGCAGCACAGCGGCGAGCCGAATCTGGCAGCGCTCTAGTGCGCCGCGCTCCCCCCAATGTGCCGTAGTCCGCGCTCCAAAGTGCTCCACTTATTCACGTGAATCTACGGTAGGGTTTGGTGGGTGAACATGCACTGTGATTGGCCTGCGTCTCCACTCTCCCGCCCAGCGAAAAGTTCCTGTCTGGTAGTCCCAGACTCACAGGCCCTTCAGCTTACTTTTCAGACGACGAGCGAGACTGAATTCCTTGTCAACCCTCTTCCGACAACCCATTCCCATCCATCGACCAGACCCAGATCACCACCAGATCACCACAATTCAGTCAAGATGGCCCCCAAGAAGAAGACCAAGACCGGTGACACCCTCAACTCTCGCCTCGCCCTGGTGATGAAGTCGGGTAAGGTCGTTCTGGGTTACAAGTCCACCCTCAAGGGTAAGTCTGCTTGATGCGTATCTGTGTGTCCCAAAATTGTGCACTCTGGCTAACGTGCCCTCGCCGTAGCCCTCCGATCTGGCAAGGCCAAGCTGGTCCTCATCGCCGGCAACACCCCTCCTCTCCGCAAGTCTGAGCTGGAGTACTACTCCATGCTGTCCAAGGCTCCCGTCCACCACTACGGCGGCACCAACGTAAGTTTACCTTCATGAACAGCTGCAGAGAAAGAGAAAAAATCGGGGAAAAGAAGGCAGTACAATCCTTTTTTTACGGAGGACACGGCAGCACTGTTGTCTGGCCCGTGTCCCCAACCCAGCGAAGGAGAGACCTGTTTTCTCTGGAGGGTGAACGCTTTTGGCTGACCTCTTCGCTCAGATCGAGCTGGGTACTGCCTGCGGAAAGCTCTTCCGATGCTCCACCATGGCCGTCCTCGATGCTGGTGACTCCGACATCCTCAGCGAGCAGGCTTCCTAAAGTGTTGCTTGACCTCCTGCTAGGGTGGCAGGCGTCACGGTCACGGCGTCCGGTTGGGCAATGGCGATGCGAACACTTGACACGCAGAGTCAATTGCTACATGGCATGGGAACGGAAAATTTCTTCTACATACAGGGCATGATACCAGGTTGTCATTCATGACAGACCACGAAAGGATGAGGTGTACCAGCCTCTCAATGACTTTAGGGTAGCATTATGAGATCTGCTTCACCCAGCATCAATCCACACCTGGCCGCGCCGCCGTCATGGCAGTCATACCTCTGAGCTTCGAGCAATTTTTGCAAGTCAAAGTGAACGTCTCTGAGCCTGCCATATCATGTCCCGAGCTCTCCTGGTGCTGCTGTCAGACCATTACCTGGTGTAGAAACAGAGGGTACACCACTTAGCCAGAATACCTATTGCGAGGGCCCTCTGCGGCCCAAGCAATCCCTTCTATGGCTACGCCCTCTACTTGCTGCACCATTACCGTTCTCTATCCGAGTTGTCCCATTTTGCCGAGTGCGCGGGCACAGCAGCGCAACTGGAAGACAACCGACTGTAGCACGATGTCCGGAAGATACCCCGATGCTGAAAAGCCAGGGGAATGTGCCTGGTCACCAGAATTGCATTGTGGCCCGTCTCAGTCAGATGAGCTCTACGCGCAAAAAATTTGAGTGTTTTTCATACTTCACAGGCTCTGTCCTTCCCGTAAGCCCAGCTGCCGCGACACTCATTTTGGACGAGAATATACTCGGACGGCAAATATCCCCGGGGCTAGTGCGGTCGATGCCAACGCTCTACACACCGCGCGCCGTGGTAGATTTGATACCAGCAGCCACTACAGTCCGGTGTTTTCCCTTTGCCACTCGTGATGGACTTAATACAACTGGTAAGTATCGCAATTGCAAGATAATGTGCAAACTGTAGGCGAACATCACATCAGAGGCTTCACCCCGAGGCAAGAGCTGTGAGCTAATGGCCTCTCGAGTGCTGAGATTTGCCCTGCCAGTGGATATAACAGCCGAGCTAGAGGCTGAGATTCTAGACGAGCAGTCCTGTCAGTGTCTAAGACGCAAAATGCCGCCATTCACCGAACGGACAGAATCACTGCTGGTTGAGAAGTGCTGATTAGGCGAGGGTCTGTTAGACTAGCTTTTGCCACAACTGCCGCTGGTTGTTCGGATCGTACTACGAGACTTTTTTTTTTTTCATGGCAGAGTTTCCATGCAACCAGAACAATCTTTCGAGGTAGTCTTTGTTGTCTGTTACATCCTCCCAGTCAAGAAGCGGCGACCGACGCGTCTGCCGCAGTGTAGCGACCGGTTATAAGTCACCGGCTTTCGTGTTTTAGGCCATTAAGCTGGTCGGCAGAGGTGTGGTTTCATGCTCGGGATCCGCTACAAGGGACTCGTCTCCTGTGTCCCATATGCCATGGCATGGCAGACGAATAGTACGTGGGCTTCTTCAATGGTATTACAGTGCCGCCTGCCCTATAGGAGTCGTCTTTGGTTTCCGAGGCCTAAATCAAGTACACCTTACCAGCATTGAGGCTTGCGTTGCCGGAGCGGATGAGGCCCCGGGCTGCGGCATGGAGGGCAGATGCAGACAGGATGTAGCAGGGCCTTCGTGGTCAAAAGATGATTACGCGTGTGCAGGCGGAGCATGTCAGTGTCTGCACTCGCATCAGCGTTCGTAAGAAAGCGAACGTTCCAGGCAAACATGGTTCAGCATCCGACTGGTCATGACCCAGCTGAAACTGTTCACAGGACTGCTCCGCGCGAGGTTCTCCGAAGGAGGGTCTTCGAACAATGTCAACTGCATGAAGGAGCTGGCTCTATGAAAAGAATAGAATTTTGTTTGCTTCTCGTGCCGGCGTTGCGAGATCCCCAGTCCCCGGGATAGAAACATCACCGATATAAAAAGCTGCCTACGTGATGCCACTTACTGCACAGTAATACAGCACTGGTGATATCACCAGCCAAAGGGTCCAGTCCCGCATCTTGACCGATGCAGTAAGGTGAGTTACGTGCCGAGTCGAAGCCGCGCATCGAATTGCGCGCTTGACCCTGACTTCCTGGTCAGCAGCAAGCGGCCTGTGTCCATGACGGACTTCACCACCCTCGCTCGAACCTCGCCAGCAAAGCGCGGAAAACACGGACAAGCCCGAGGTGGATCTATCTCCGCCGAACCCGCTAGAGCACTGAGCACTTCTTGCGCAGGGCTGCACAAAAATCTGGAGCTGGTGGTGGGGAAGGAAAGAGGCGCTGGAAGGCAGTTGGATGTGACCCATGGCATCATCCTCATTGATGGTGCAGCCTCGGTATGTTCGCACCACGATGGGGAGCCCGCCTGGTGGCCCTCATCCTCATGGGATGTCAGTATGGTCATTGGCTTTTTTGTCCCGACTATCGCGAGCAATCGTACTACAATAGTTGTTTCCCTCCTTACGCGCACAACTGTTATAGCTACAAGGGAAGGTCAGGTGGGTTGTATATCCAGGACAATGAAAAGTGTACCTCGGAGAAGGTCCTGGTTGATATTGACGAGCCACCACACGAACCGAGATTTGATGTCGACTTCTGGCCGAGTGCGACATCATGCACGCTTAGTCACGTAGAGCTTACAAGGAGATAATTGCTGGGACGTACGGTATAGCCGGGGCGTTCCTGTGCGGCATAAACATGGAGATGAGCCGGCAAATGAGGGCAGTAGGGGAGCAGGAATCCTCGTTCGCTGAACACTCGTCGAGTACGGACAAGCACAGCGCACTGACAGCCTCACAGGCCAGCGGGAGCGGATGCCCTGGGTCGAAGCGAGTGAGCCGTGCAATATGGCAGCCAACCGGTCAGCCCAGCATGGAAGATCCGAACCTTTGGGAAGGCCAAGAAACGTTGCCGTCGGTCGAGTCTGTGCATTGTGTCTGTGCCTGGGCCAGGTCGGGCTGAACATCAGACTAGGATGTTGCTCGCAAGGACTTGGGCTGGTTGAGTCACTCCTGTGGTCGTTAAACGTGCATATTCTAGTCACAGACGGTACTCTCGGGCGTCTTGCTGGGGTATTGACCCAATAATCAGTCAATAGATAGCATAGAGCGAGATACAAACGGCGGTTGATGTCTGCTGGCAAGGGCTCCCCAAGGCTATCTGGCTTGAAGGTACCGTCCCGAGTCAGAGACAACGAACACGCCAGCTCGCCACGGCGTGGTGCTCGACAGACATCATCAACACACCGTGTTTACCATTTTGTGTTATGTTTCGCATGGTTTGAAGAACATGCTCTAGCAGTGTCGTCAGTCTATCATCCAGAACTTTTAAAAAAAATGATATGTTGTTCGGTTGTTCGCGCTCCTGATTGGAAAGGAAAAGGGGCAGAGCGCTTTTCTGGACTCTCCCTCCAGGTGACCAGGTGAGTGGGATGTCAGCGTGGAACAGCACAGGCCAATTGACCCCCTGCGGTTGGGGGAGTGCCGAGACGGAGGAACCCACTCGCTTCTCCCTTCTGTTTATGCAGCCCATACCAGCTCGCCCGTAGACCCTAACACGGCGCTAACAGGCTCTTGTCCCTGGCACGACTGGTTGCTCTGCCGATCGCTGCCCAGGCCTGGACGTGCAGCCACTGGTGCTAGCGCTGCTGCTCCCGGAATCCCCAAGGTCCCCAAGTCGCTTCCGCTTTGCCCCAACTCTACTGTGCTCTCTGCTCTGCTGTGTTCTGCTGATCCGACGTGCCTGTCTTGGATTGCATCGAGTCAATCGCGTTCTTCGAGACCTGCCAGCGCCACCTGCGTCTTCCAGAATCCAGTCCTCATTGCTGAGCACGCATGCTCAACACAAACCACATCAAACAGATCTTGTCTTCCAGCATCCTTCACACACAGGGCAGACAGACCCCCCGTCCGCACCCACAATTGCATCTCTATCTTCGAATCGCTGCCCACTGCAACTCCCCATGGCATCGCGCTAGTCGCAATCCCATCCTCCCAACCGGATATCCACTTTGACAGCATCCAGAGAAGAGGAGCGTAGGTACGGACCACCTCTCTCACCGCATCTTGCTTAAGCATTGCCCGCGCTCTGCAACTCCTGTTATAACCGCTACTCGCGATACCTAGCGTGTTTCTCTAACTCTTTGTTTGTTTCTTTCTCTTCAGCCCAGCCGAGACATTCTCGAAACACAACATCAACAACGAGATAACATCCACACAACCACATCATGTCAACCGTTGCGGCCAAAAAACCGCCTGTCACGGGCCGGGACCCAAATTCGACTCTGACTTCGTCGTCCCCCACGCCCTCGCGTGCCACGCCTCGCTCTTCCACGCCCACCTCTTCAGCCGCTGCTGCAGGCGGCAGCACACAAAGCCATGCCAGATCGCGCTCTTTCCGATCAGGCACACCTGTCTCCGCCCGCGCTGCTGCAGGACAAAGGCGGGAGTCGCCCCTCGCGAGCGCCAACGGCCCCGCCAGCAACACTGCCACTGTCGAGGCTGAGGAGGCAGCCCGTGCCGAGACGGTCGCACTGCTCGATGACCTCAAGGACAGGCTAGCAAAGGCCGAGACAACATCCGAGGACTACAGGAAGCAGGCAGAGGTGCTCCAGTCCAGGCTCGACGAGACAGTCAGCGAGCAAGTCAAATATGAAGAGAAGTGCCACGAGCACGAGGAACAGATCGAGGCTCTGCAGAACGAACAGCGCGAGGCCACCAGAAAGATCAGAGAGATGGAGGCCATTTATGAGGCAGAGCGCTCCTCCATGGTCAAGGAAAAGGAGGAAATGTCAAATCGCGAGGAGCAGCTGCAAATGATCATCGCTCGACTGAAGGACTCTCTCAACCAGAAGATGAGCAAAGAGGACAACGATGACGAGGTTCGGTCAACAAGGTCCCGTAAGTACCACCACAGCAGAGGCCCATCCACCCGTTGCCGACCCTTGATTATCCGGGAAAGGTGCTAATAGTTCCCCAATCAGTAAACCCAACCTCCCCTGGTATCGAAGGGGGCAGCTTTGCACCGCCTGCATCTCTGCAGCGCAGCGACTCCAGGAACCAGTCGAAACTCGTCATGCAGAAGGACAAGCTTATTGAGTCTCTGCGTCTAGAACTGGCAGAGGCTCAAATCAAGCTCGTCGAGTCCGAGAACCGCGGCGGCGGCAGGCTGCAGGAGGTCGAGAAGCTCCTCATGGAGACCCGCATGGCCAACGCGCGTCTCATGGAGGACAATGAGAGCTATCAGTTGCTGCTGCAGGAGAAGACCCTGAACGGCGACTTCAAGAACAGTGACTTCAGCTACATGGGCGGGCCTCAAAGCAATGACGATGCACTGGCCGCTCTCGAGGGCAAGTCCGGCGGAGCCAGTCTTGCTGACGAGCTCGGCGACGCTGCCGACGGAGAGGAACAGAATGATACCGTCCGCCGACTCGAAGCCGATGTGCGGTCCATGAAGGACCAGAACAAGGCGTTGACGCTTTATATTAACAGAATCATCGAGCGCCTGTTGCAGCACCAGGACTTCGAGCACATCCTCGATCAGACCGAGCCAGGGGCCAAGCCGGATACCAACAAAGACCTGCCACCACCACCCAAGGAAGCCTCGGGCTCTTCCGTGCTGCAGCGGGCCAAGTCCATGGCGATTTCCAACCCACCAGCGGCCACCAAGCCCCGACCAAGGCCCATGTCGGTGATGCCAACCGCCGCTAATCTCGCGCAGTTCTCCAACCCCGACACGGCACCTAGCATTCCGATCGGGATGGGGCGCTCGCAGTCCACGCGGCGTGTGCGGCCCATGAGCGAGCAGATCACCGGGGCCGCCTCTGTTGTCAACCAGATGTACAAGGGGCCAGACGGTCCCCTGTCCCCGATCTCACGGAACTCCCAGACCTTCTTTAGCACGCCGCAGCGTGAGCGCAACACCTCTGGTGCCACGGCCAGCTCTGTCCCTGGCAACTTCCCCGGTATGCGCTCAGAGACGTCGAGCGTCAGCGGCGACTCGTCGTCCCAGATGACGAATGACAAGGATACGGTCAGCAGCACGCCAAACCAGAGCCCGCCCCGCGAGAAGAAGGTCACACAGAAGTTCGACGCGGGCAACAAGCCTCGCCCACTTAGGCTGGTGCAGGAGAACAACGAGGCGCAGGCCGCGGCAAACAAGCGACAGAGCTGGATCGGTGGCTGGTTCGCAAAGAAAGAGGAGGTTGTGAGCCCGAGGGAGTCGGCGATCAGGGAGTAGGGCGTCCCACGCCGAGGCTTACGAGGCACATTATGATATTGAAAATGGGTTAATACGCTGCTAAATGACATTGGACGAACAGAATAGAAGAAGCATCAAGCCCGATTCGCGTCGAGAGCTAGTGATGCAGAACAGAAAACGCGCGGGCTTTGACCAGGCTGGAGCTGGTCGGAAGTGTTTGGTCTCCATGTCGGGCTTAATACATTTGGGTTGGACAACAACATTGCATCAGGGCCACACTGTCTGGAGTTTCCTTTCTTACAAACATCCTGTGTCGGTCCACAATATACGTCTAGTATCACGGACTGTCTTTGTTGTCTTTGTCGCAGGATAGGATACCCCCCTCAAGGCACCTCATGTCAGGATAGCCTCCCCCATCTCATTTGGATAGTTGCATTTCAGCACCACAGACTAGGTAGAATAGGAGATCTTCCGGGCATTATCCAGGCGCTCCCGGCAGTCCTGGGTCGAGAGAGCGAAAGTAGTGTAATCGGAACGGCATGCAAACAGTCATTGTATTCCCAGTGATGAACTGGCCCTGTCCTCCCTTTCCAATCGTGACGGTCGACAGTGACGTCTGCCACACGGCCCGAGGCCACATGACGGCGACCTTGAGCCACGGTGGTTTTGCTCCGTGCTTACTTTGAGCCGCGGTTGAGGTCCGACGAGAGCACGTTACATAGCAGGTTAGTGTCAGGCAGCATCTGAAAAGGGACATGATTTCCCGTCGCACAAGCTTCCGTGAAAATGTGGTCAGTCCAGTCAGCCTGCTGGCGAATATGAAGGGCAGACGGGCTGACGTGACAGATAGAAGGACAACCGATGGGACTTGTCTGGTTCATCCGTCCACCTATCCGATTCTCTATCTCTCTAGCTGTGTATTTCACGGCTGCAACCTGCCTATCGACACGCACCGACTAATCTATCTTGCCTGTATTGTCTCACATGCTGCGCCTAGGCAGATTGTCTCTCCCATCGCCTGCTGGCTGGCTTTGCTTGCCGGATGAGACAAACTTACCCTTCCCACACCCCTAACAACTGCTGACTGCTGTCCCACCACCTTCTCGGGGCGTGGGGGTGTTTTTTCTTTCCCTTCCCTTCCCACCGCCAAAATCAGGCCAAGCAGGAGCAAACACGGGGGGTCGGGTCGGGTGTAGTGGGCGGGTGCGTGGTGTGGTTTTGTCCCACTGGCACGATACCGCGAACACAAAAAGGCCCAGGCAGCCAGCCAAAGGGGGCCGACGGGGCTGACCAACCCAACAGACAGACGGGCGAGATAAGTGGCTGGGCCCATGCAGCCCGCAGCCCATTCCCACGGGGCCAGCCTGTCAGAATCTCGGGTTCCTGCGCAGCTGATCACGATTGTCGTACCCGGGCGGGCGGTCGCCAATGCGATGATGCAAGTTTGGTTTATTAGCCCGCACGTCTGTGTGTCTGTGTGTAGTGTTCCAACCCATTTCGGGCTCACCTCATGACAATCCGGGCCACGGCCCCCCCCCCCCCCCCACTCCTACCCCCGAGGAGAGAGCGAGCTAGGCGAGATGGGAGACCCGGTATCCTGGGGATTGGGGGACACTTGGCCGCCCGCCTGTAGCAAGCGTCGTCTTCTATTGGACGGGCATGGCCTAGGCTATGACATCCTACTTGCTGCGCTGAGAGCGAGAGCAGAGCAGAGGCAGCACACACGGTAGATCGATCGGCTTTGTGAGGTGGCGCGCTGGCGTTCCCGATCACCTGGACCGATGGTGGTCCTATCGTGGGCCCCCTTTTTTGAGCTGAAGCGGTATGGGCGAGGAGGCCAGTTGGACGAGGAAAGCAAGATGTCCCGGGGGACCTTGCGCTACGTACGGACGGCTGGGGCCTACTGACGAGACGAGCGCGCCAGGCCGTGGACGGTGAGCTGTCAGGTCCATCGAGCCAGCGAGGTCCGGCTGGCTCGTGCGAAGGGAGAAGCTTGTGTGTGCCGGTGATGGCAGCAGACAGATAGACAGGTCAGATGAGGTGAGATGATGTGAGACGGCATCTGCCTTCTCGTCGGTCCGCTGGCCGGACGATCATGGTGCGTGTTCGTTCATTCACATGGAATATTCGTTCGGCTTTGCCTGGTTTTTTGCCTGGTGCTGTGACCTACCTACGTGGCCGAGCAAGCAGTCTACCCTTTAGGCTTCCGACTGCAGCGATTATCAAGCCTGCAGCACCCAGCCCACCTCTCAGCCTGCTTCACGATAATCTTTGTCGAGGAACTCGGGACTGCAGCCCACACACAGAGAATTGCAATGTCCTTTGTTGATAGATAACACGATAGATATCTACGTGAAGCTATCGGACGTCCGCTACTCAGTCCATACCGCACAAAGCCCTGCAGCACCCTGAACAGCCCGGCCCCGTCACCACGTGTCACTCCGCCGGTGGCTTCGGTTTCCCCTGACTTGCGAGCACTCCACCCGCCCATGAGAGCCGCTGCTTACCGCTACATTGAAGCCTCTTTTCCCACTCCTCCCTGGCTTTGTTTTGTTTCCCTGCCGGAAGCCTTCCCCTAGCAGGGCCGAGAAGAAATCGTCTAGGGTCCCACCGGGACCTCTGGAGCCCTGGATGGTAGGGCGCTGGGGCGCTGGGGCACTGGGGCACTGTCTGGGGCACTGGGCGGTCTTTGCTTCCCCTCGTCCCAAACGGGCGTGGAGACCTCGTTACTTGCACAAAACCAGAACAGGAAAAAAAAGGCTCTGATGTCCAGCGTGCCGTTTACCACTTTGGAGAAACGGTGCAGAGATTTTCAACAGATTCACATCCTCCCGGATGTCTCGGGGCTGATCAAGCCACCACCTCTCGGGTCGGGCCAGCAGGCCAGTGAGGGAATAGAGGCAGATCGTCTAGGAATGCGAATGGCTTTTGTCGCAATGATGAAGATCTGTGCCGCCTTTTAGCAGGACTATCTGACTGCAGTATGACATGCTCCCCCGCGTAACCTGCGTGCGTCTCGCAGGGCTTGGGCGATCGATCTGTGAGCCGTGGCAGACAGGCCTGTGCAGTTGCAGAAGGGGTTGTATTTCTGGCAAAATGGCATCCATCAGAGGGAGAATTGGGAACTGCCAGGCTGCCACGTTTCGAGGCTGGCCTGCTGTGCCCCTACACCCCAGGCGGGTGAGACGAGTTTGGTTGGTTGATGGGGACACCCTCGGCACCGTTCCAGCTTGCCAGCTGCATGTTGAGTGTTCCTGAAGTCTAGGAATAGTCCCCTGGCGGCTGTGTTAACGGGGCCGTTGTTACCACGACTGCCACGCTGCCACGGCAGTGCTGACGGTGGGGAGTTATTTTGGGGCCCCTGCGCACACACTCTCTACATTGTTCCTGGCCACTCGCAGGCACAGCAACCTACCGATCATGCAGCACGCAGAAAAGAGGCTCTCACTTCGGGGTTTTGATCTTGAAGCGCTGAGGTGATCGTGGCGGTCGTTTGAGCGCTGACATCGCCATTCAGTATCGTGCCGACCCCGGGAAGGTCAAGCGGGAGTGAGACTGAAGCGAGGTATAATTTCCGCTTGGGTGTCAAACAGTACCAACAGACACCTTCCGAGGCGCTGCGATTTCAAATCAGGAGATTTGGGCACGAAGGGGTGTGTGGAGCGCAGAAGCACAATAGAAGGGGAATGGAAGCGGCAGACGGCCAGGGGTTCACAAGGCGGATGGTCTGGGTGGTGAGGGAGGAAAACGTCCGGCACCTCTGTCCGCACAAGGGAGCAGCCCAGCCAGACGTCCAACCACAAAGGAACATGGTGCCGTTGGCTGGGTACCAGGTGAGTACCGGACAGGCACATGAGACGGCGCCCAAGCCACGGGTCTAAGCGATGTTTATGCCGGTGGCGGTTTTGTATCAGTGTCGGTGCCCTCCGTTTCGATCTGTGTGTGTTTTTTTTTTGGTCCCAGCAGCCAGCCAGCCAACTCTGTCACCGAGAGACGGAGTCGAACGCAGAATAGCTACCAGTGGACAACCTTTCGGGTCATCATCTCAGCCACCCTGGCCCGCAGGATCCAGGAACCATACCTGGCGTTCTGCCATTGCCGTGTGCTGTAGGATTTACTCCGTAGACCAGCGTCGCATCGCAGACCGACTGCCTGCCTGTTTGCCGGCCTGCCTGCCAGCTTGCTACCTGCAGCGAGTACAGTGCAGTGCAGGACGTGGACTACGGCGAGGCGAAGCAAGGCCCGGATCGAAACGTCGGGCGGGAGTAGCTGACGGGTGATGACCACTTCTGTCCCACTCGATCCATTCCATTCCATGGCATGCCATGCCAGACCACGCCAGAAGACGCCCGTGGAATCAATCACTGGCCCGCCTTCCAAGCTGGACGTTGTCGATACGAAGGGTCCCCGTGCTCAGATGTCCCAACAGCCCTGCTTTTCTGACACAGTGCCTCAATCGTCAAGGCGTGAGGCAAGGAAGAGCTCTCGGGGCCCGTGGGCCGTGGCCCATGGCAACCGGGAAATGTTTGCTGCGCCTGGTCTCCATGGGATGTGGGCTCTGGATAGAGTTCGTCGTGTTTTGTGGGAAGAGTTTTTTGACTTGCAGATAGCAGCACGCGACAAGTACACAGTGGTAACCGAGGCCAGTCATGCCGACTCAAAGGAAACGGGAGTTTGCTCAGGACGTTCAGAGCGGTGCAAGGGTCGGGCTGCCGTGCGGCTTCAGTTGCCTACGCAGGCAGCCGGCCTTCTAGACGACCGTTTTCGGCAGCCGGATTGTGCTACACACACAGAGTGACAGACACAGAAAGAGGCGCGTCATTCACTGTTTCCGAGCCAGCAGGGGAGAGGAGCCCAGACGTCGAGAAGGCGGCCCTGCCTCGCCCTATCCGAACATGTCCTCGGCAACGGAGGGAGGCACCTACTGCACAGTACCTGGACCACCTCCCGTAGGTACGGTCAGACGGGTGCTAGGGCACCGCCAAGGAACCCAGGTACACACCTTCTGGCACCGAGACCCATGTACATCTCCGTCCCCCATGCCGTACCCACGCCTGTACCTCACCGTACCTTGGGCCCGCAAACCCGGCAGGGCAGAAACGGCTGCCAGTCCCCTGCAAGGCAAGTACTTTACGGACAGACTAGGCCTATACCTGGAAGGGCTGGACTACCTGGCTACCTACCTACAGTACATATCGACTACTGCACCATGTAACAGCCAGCCCAGGTGCCAGTGTGCCATCGACATCATCTTTTTGACGGGACCCAGTCCGTCCATGCCCCATCCCCCGTCCCCCATTCCCCCCCAATCCCACCCTACCGTACAGTAGTCGACTTCTCATGGTACTTACTACTGCACTGTCCCTCGCAACATCCACACAACGCTCTTTCTACTACAACTACCACCACCACCACCAGATCCCACCCCTTTTTTTGACTTTATTCTACGGAAACACAAGAGACAACGGACACACAAAGAGCACACCGGGTGGCATTTCATGCCTTTGTAACATACCTAGGTACTACTGCATCACACTTCGCATCGCATCGCATAGCATAGCAGCGCAGCGCAGCGCTTCGCTTCGTGCATCCATCCCTCTCTCCAACGTTCCCCAAATCCGTCGACCACAGCAGCGGTAGCTTTGGATCTAGGCCCAGGAGTGACCTCACCACCCGCCATCTCGCGGACACGACCACGGCCACCACCTCCTGCCAAAACCCACGGCCTGCTTGGCTGCCTGCAAAGCGGGCATTCCTTTTCTTGCAGCCTCTTTTGCCCACCTTCGAGCGTGGATATCTGGGTATCCAACCTGGATCCTCCTGCACCTGTCTGCCACCACTTCATTGGCCCGCAGTCGCTGTCAAACTGGGTACGGCACGGCACGATCGACGCGAGACACGCTGGTCTACAACGAGGAATCAGGATCGGCCACGATACATGCGCCCCGGCCACTCACAGCTGCAGTTAATCATGATTGATCCGCCTCGACACATCATAACCTATCCAGCGAGTTGAGACACAACTACACTCTATACCAGCCCGCGTTCCTCACCACCTCCCCCAGCCATTCTCTGGGGCTCCCTCGAATGCCATTTCGCACCCACCGACCAGCACTGTCGTCAAGATGGACACGACAACCACCAGTGCGGCCGAGCCCGCGGCTGCCAATGCCCATGTGCCAGCTCGGTTCAACCGCGAGTCGTCGAGCGCCTCCACAGTGAAGGGCGATACCAGCAGCCAGACGTCTCAGCCACCAACGCAGACGTCCACTTCCAAGTCTTCGCCGCTGGCCTCACGTGAAACCTCCCCGGGCCGCGCGCCGATACGCTCGGGAGCCCCCAGGACTGCTTCTGCAGCTGGCAGCACGAGGTCACGCAAGAGCAGCTCACAAGAAACTAGTCCACAACGAACACACTCGAAAACAGCAGCCCCAACAAGTGCCCCGGCCGGTGGCAAGATATCGTCTACCACAACGCCGAGCCTGGGCCCAGTCAACACCGATGCGACTGCCCGTGTCGCAGCTCCTCAAAGATCACCCGTCACGGCTGAGCACTTGAAAGAGAGTCCACGTTGGCCAGTCTCTCCGCGGCTACGCTCTCCGCCCCCTACGGCCATGCTGAACCGTCCCAATCTCCCACCGCCACGCAAGGGTGAACTAGAACCACCCGCGATCCAGGTCCAGCGCTCATCACCTCCACCGCCACCTCCGCAGCAACAGGAATCGAGCCAGAGCGACAATGACGCTGACGAGGCCCACCTGCAGCCTGGTACGAGGACGCCCGCACGGGGTGCCAGTGGCAGCAATAGTACGACCGCCTTAGAAACCGTAGAAGAGGTTAGCCCCTTGGCATCACCGCAGGAAGGCGAGGGCGTGTCGGAAAAGGCGGAGGATCTCACAGCGTCGGAGGCAGGGTCACAAGCCGACCATCTTGAATTTTCGGTCCATGGCGCAGAAAAGTCCCAGGCGCCATCTACCACCAACGACAGCAGCAGCGAGAGTGGGAGTGTCAAGGGTGACAGGAGACGTACGGCCGCCGGCTTGCCTCCGACCTTGAAGTCTCGGCAATCCAGCGCGTCTACCAAGAAGTCAAAACCCTCGGAAGGATCCGTACAGCACATGACCGTGGAAACTGAGACCGTGACCTCGATACCGCAACACTCACTCGCCCCTGTGGCTGTGAAAGAGGGGACAGGTAGCACTCTGAGGACGAGGCCAAGCTCGGAGACGATACGGCCCAAGAAAGAAAAGACGGCCGAGTAGGAAACAGCCAAATATTGGGTCTGGCACGGGTGAGACTCCATGTTCATCACTTACCGTCTCTGTTCCTCGGCTTCGCCATCATCAGTCAATGCGATCAGTGTCCTCGGCAACGGATGCACTGATCTCGCCGACGAAACCATGTGCTCAAAGTACATATGATGATGCGGTTGTCAAGTCCGAAGTTTCGAGTCCGCGGCGATCTTCCATGCCCGTGACTCGCAGCTACAACTTCAACAGTATGAGCTCCAGGCTAACCAAATCTCGCGCAGCATCGTCCAAGGCAGACATTTTCGAGGCGAAAATCGCCAGTGCTGTCGACGAGGCCGACTCTTCAGACTCTGAGGAGACCTTTGTCTATGACTCTAACCCTCCAGACAATAACGATCGGCCCCGACGGTTCCACTCGAGAACTCCAAGTGCGACTTCGATGGTTAGCCAGGTCGACAGGAACGGCCTGCGCTCCATCACCACCATTATGGACAACGCCGCTGCAAACGCGGGGACTAAGAGGAACATGAAATTTGTCAACACTTTCAACAGCAGTGGAAACGAAAGTGCCATGGCAGAAGACGATGGCAAGGGCACGGCTCGTAGTGCTGCAGGCTCGGCCCGAGGCACAGGTCGCGTTCATCACCATCATTTGGGACGGTGGGGCCGCAACGGCACCAACGGTCACACGTCCTTGTTTGACAACGAGGCCCCTTTCCACATCAGTAACACGACAGCCCAAAGGTCCAAATTCTCAACCAACAGCAACAGCTCGCGCCAGCCATCTGGGCCACCAAGCCCGAGGTTTCTGAACGCTGGCCGGCTAGCATCGACTAGCAAGCGCGGTACGCACGCGGTCAGCTATGACCTCGACGACACCACCGGCACTGGAGCGGATGATGAGAGGACACCTCTACTTCATGGATCCGTGCGATCATCCCGGTCGGGCAGAACACGTCGCGGCCAGCCAGTGACGCTGCGCTCACTCGAAGGGCAAACCTATCGAAGGAACCCTTCCGTGCTGAATAGGTTCGCTAGCTGCCTCGTTCTCACCGTCATGCTCTTGCTTGTTGTGTCCGGGGCCATCGGCTTCATGTTCGCAACCTCCCAGCCTCTCACTGATGTCGAGCTCATTGCCATCAAGAGTGTTGTTGCCGCAGAGCAGGAATTGATATTCGACATTGAGGTCAAAGCTCACAACCCCAACGTGGTGGTCGTCACGATCGACCAGGCAGACATTGAGGTGTTTGCGAAGTCGCCGCATGCGGGTACCGACTCAGGCGGCGGATGGCACAGGCCAGACGACCACCAGGGCTCTGATTCAAGGTGGTACTCGAACAATGGCAATGCGCACGCTGGGGAGGAGTTTGATGGCCCAGTGGATGAGAAGGCTCCTAATATGAGACTTGGGACGATTGGTCAACTCGACAGTCCACTTTCGTTTGAGGGTTCCTTCTTCAACCACGGATATTCGGATTCCACGGGCGAGGTTAGGCTGCGTGGGCCAGGCAATGGTACGATAGGTGGCACGGAGCGCTGGGAAAGAATTTTGCAGGATGAATTTGACCTGATCGTCAAGGGCGTCCTGAAATACTCGCTGCCTCTAAGCCAGCATGTCAGGAGCGCGACCATCTCCGGACGCACCACGATCAAACCGAATGCTGCGAACGACCCTACCGGTAACAGGACGGAACCCATTACGAAGCCAAAGAAACCGGAGTGACAAAACAACTTTCGCTCAGCTGGCGCGGGAGGAGAGGGAGAAAGTAATGAGCAACTGTACATGGCGGATGGTCTCAGGACACAAGCGGAGGAGAATCTCTGCATCACTGGACACCACTAACGTGGACTTGTTTTCTATGTCTCAAATACCCCATCACCAACCGAGGCACTTTCGGAACTTCTTTCATCTTGTTCTTTATTGTATTTTCAGCGTTGCATGGGTCGGCATTGCATTTCAATCTTGGGACTACTGGCGAGGCGTTCTGACATGACCAAGCGAAAATGGTCAATAAAAAGTTTCGCAAAGCACTTTAACGGCCGAGCACAAAAGCTTTGAAGGGCATACCCGAAGCGATAGGGAGCCAACAGCACTATGTCCACTGCAACTTCACAACATTCAGAAGCCAGGGGATGATTTCGCCAATGCAAAATGCATGCATTGTTTCCATCTCAATTTCTTTTCAGGGTCAGGATCATCGGAGCACGATGGAACAGTGTGAGATAGGCTGGGATAGAATTGGAAAGAGACCGGAAGCGAAGGTCTGACTGTATCACATCTTTGAGGAACTATTGCATCCCCATCACACATCACACATTGTGTGCATCCAATACTTGTATCTCGGCAACGGCCACCGACCGAACTAGGGATCAGGCACATAAGAATACAGTGATATACTCAAAAGGCTCAGTTGAATTCACACTGAAGGAATAAAGCAACACTTGGGTACAGCATCGAGGGGGAGCGACGGATGGCCTGGAGACACAAAATGCTCCGGAAACTTCCGCGGGCTGGGAGCCGAAGGGGGGCCGGCAAACCTTGTGGAATATAGGAGGGTATATCAACAAATGCACAATGAGTGGTATATCCACGTTTTGTCATCCTGGTGATTTGATGGGTCTGTATTCCTCTCGCCACGTCAAGTGAGATGAGGGCTTTGCAAGTCTGGTCAAATCAGCAGTCAACCTGAACGCGCCCACCACGGCTTAAGATGGTGTTCTCCGGATAATAGTATTCCTGTACTTGCAAATTGCCCTTTGCTTACAACGTCCTCGGGCGCCTGCGACCATTGAGTGTGATGTGTTCAAGGTAAGTGACGGCATTAGTTACATCTCTCTTTGGTGTTTGCATATCTCGAGTCAAGCTCGCGAGCGGCCATCACGGGGGCTTTTACATAAGTCTAGAATACGAAGGTCGCCAGCTCTACCAAACATTCGACTATTTTCTCTAGGGGTGGCATTGCTTGCACATGGCTGAACAAGTGCCCAGTGCATGGGCCTGGAATAATGTCCTCAGCACATTGACACGGCGTGTTCGTCGTCGCTGGTCTCAACACACCTGGCCTGCAACGCGCTGCAGCTGGGGCAGTGCGATATCGCCGTCTCCGGAGGTGCAGCCAGTCACACCGAAGAGCCCCGCCTGGCCATGCTCTTCACCGGCCAGGGGAGCCAGTGGCCAGGAATGGGAAGGGAGCTCGCCAAAGACTACCCCGTCTTCCGAGAGGCGCTGGAAGAGCTGGCCAGCCACTTCGAGGGTCTTCTGCATCAGCCTCTGCTGGAAGTCATGTGGGCCGAAGCCGATAGCAAGGCCGCAACTCTGCTCCAGGGGACACAGTACGCCCAGCCCGCGTTGTTCGCGCTTGAAGTAGCCCTGTGGCGGCTCTGGGACAGCTGGGTCGTGCAGCCGCAAATCGTCCTCGGCCACAGCGTCGGCGAGCTGGCTGCCGCCCACGTCGCCGGTGTCATGGGCCTAGATGACGCGTGTAGGCTTGTGGCAGCCCGAGGTCGTCTGATGCAGGCGCTGGACGTCAAGGGGATGATGGTGTCCCTCGAGGCGAGCGCTGCCGAGGTGGCTGCCGCGATAGAGTCGCTGGCTCTGCAAGGCAAGGCTGATATCGCCAGCTATAACACGCCAAGACAGACGGTTGCTTCCGGGGATGTGAATGCCGTCGAGGAACTCTGTTCATGTTTCACTGCCCAAGGCCGCAGGTCGGCCACGCTCGACGTCTCCCACGCATTTCATTCTCATCACATGGATGGAATCCTGGCAGAGCTGCAAGCCGTCGCCGAGAACGTGCGCTTCAGCCCGCCCAAGATGGCCGTCGTGAGCAGCTACACGTTCGGTTGTGGCCGCGTCGAACTGCCTACGTACGCCTTCCAGCGGGATTGCTTCCGATCTGGCAAGTTCCGGGATATCAACAGTAGTATCGGTCATGGCACGAGTGAAGTCAAAACTAGCGCTGGCGTTGACGAGGCCAAACAGCAGGCGGGCAGGTTTGGTTTTGGTATCAACTGGCTACGGGCAGACGTGGACGTTCTCTGTCCTGGTGCTGTATGGGGGATACTCTGCCTAGCAGGTGAGGTGACCTGGGCCGAGGAAGTAAAGATTGCCTTGTCATCCGCTGGCGCAAAGCTACTCACTGTCTCGCATCTCCGCGACGCCAACGGGCTGGACGGCCTGCTCTGCTTATGGGACTCGGATAATGATGTTCTTATTCAGACGCGTGATTTGACTGCACAAGCACTATCTCAAGTCCAGGAAGTCACACAAAACACAGCTGCTCCGCCGGTAGTGTGGATCACGCGGAACGCCGTTGGCATCAATACCGACGACAGAGCCGAAGGTCTCGGGGCGGGACCGTTATGGGGCCTGAGGCGAGCTGCTTGCAACGAGCACCCGGAGATGAGGCTGCGCTTGGTCGACTTGGGCAAGGGCGAAGCCAACCTCAAAGTACTTGCGCATTGCCTCATGCTGGAAGCCGAGCCTGAGTGCGCTGTGCGCTACTGGCAGGTTTATATACCAAGGATGCAGCGCGTGGAGACATGGTCCCCCGAGAAGCAATCTTCCGACCTAAGGCTCGTCCGGAGAGACGGAGCCGTGCTCATCACAGGTGGCACGGGCGGCATTGGCCAGCGCGTGGCCAGATGGCTGGTGGAGGCCCATGGCATCCGCGACGTCGTTCTGGTCTCGCGTAGAGGCATGAGGGCACCTGGATCCGAATCACTCGTCCACGAGACGGCCCAGCTCGGTGCTGTTGCTACAATAGTGGCCGGTGATATAGCTGACGCAGACAGCGTCCGGGATATCCTCTCTCTGTTTAACGACGGTCGTCCTCTGCGCTGTGTGATACACGCGGCCGCCGTCATAGACGACGGTGTGATCTCGGCCCTCACTCCGTCGCGGTGCGATGCTGTATTCGCGCCTAAAGTTGACGGCGCCTGGAACCTGCACCAGCTGACCAAGGATATGGATCTGGATCTCTTCGTCCTGTTCTCGTCCGTGTCGGGTGTCATGGGCACTGCTAGCCAAGCCAACTTTGCCGCTGCCAACACTTTTCTCGACTCGCTCGCTTACTTGCGCCGTGCTGAAAATCTACCGGCTACTTCTATAGCATGGGGCGCTTGGGAAGGCGAGGGAATGGCGGCCCAACTGAGCAAAACTTCTCGCGCTCGCTACGCCCAGCTCGGTCTGGACTCGCTCACTTCGCAGGATGGACTGGGACTACTAGAGCAGGCTGTACGCCGCGGCAGTGCACTTCACGTGGCAGCCGCATATGACTTGGATCGGCTTCGGAAATACTATGAGGCCATAGGCGGCATACCTCCGCTGTTGCAGTCACTGCTTAGCCAAGGAAGGGGCCAGAACCAAGTCGATACAAATGTCCAAGACTGGGATCTGCGCGAGGCTTTGAGCAAGACAAACACTCAGGAACACGCATCTATTATCTTGGGACTTGTCCGAGCGACAGTGGCCAAGACTCTGGGATTCACGTCGCCAGACGATGTCGATGTTCACCTACCCCTGAGGGAGATCGGGATCGATTCGTTGACGGCGGTTTTGACACGGAACCAACTCGTATCTTTGACTAATTTGGCCTTGCCCGCGAGCATTATCCTCGACCAGCCTAATCTGATGTCTCTCAGCCAGAACCTGCTCTCGCAGCTTCAGCTCCAGGAAGAGTCACTGGCCGATTCCAGCGAGCCAGCGTCCGGCAGCGCGACTCCTCCTACTTCGACGACTAGCACCACGAGCATTGATTATGCAGCAGTTTGCAAGGGCTGTGTCGACCCAAACCTGACTTTTGACAACGTGACGGCAGGCGAGTGTTCTGTGCGACTCGAGCCTGCTTCCGTTACTGGCGCTACAGGCTTTGTAGGCGCCTTTATCTTACACGAACTGCTGGACATGGGAATCATCGCCTACTGCCTAGTACGTGCCAGCAGTATTCAAAAAGCTACGCAGCGGCTGGTTGCAACCCTCTCAGGCTATGACCTTTGGAAGCCTGTATACGCTCCGCTGCTCCGCGTTGTGGTTGGAGACATGTCGGAAAGCCTGCTCGGCCTTTCCGAGACCTTCGACGACATAGCAGACCAGGTGGATGCTGTCTTCCACGCAGCTGCACTGGTGGACTGGATGAGGTCAGTGGAAGACTACATAGGTCCCAATGTGATAAGCACTCACGAGGTCCTCCGTATGGTCGCACGCGGCCGCGCAAAGGTGCTCCACCACGTCTCTACGGTATCAACGCTACCCATACACGCGGGCTACGGCGTCTCCAAAGATGACCACGAATACGGCTACGCCACGTCCAAGTATACGGCAGAGCGCATGGTGTCAGCTGCGCGCTGGCGCGGCGCGAGGGCTATCGTGTACCGCCTGCCATTTATCACCGCTTCGGTGTCTACCGGCCACTTCCGGCGCGACCGCGGCGACTTCCTGCACGGCCTGATCGCCGGCAGCGTCGAGATTGGAGGGTTTCCCTCACTTGTGCTGCCACTCACCGAACGGGGCCGTTGGCACGCATCGCGGCCTTGATTGACAGGCTTGCTGACGAGGATGAAGCAGCGGCCATGTTTAAGAGTGCTCCTCCTGGAAACCACGTCCTCGGGAGAAAACATCATCCAGTGCCAGTGGTGAATCAGCATTCCCTGCGGAAGTACCTAGGACAAATTGGTCGTCCGTGCCACGCTACTTCCTACAAGTATTCGGCCAATATCAAGGTCGTCTCTTTGGTGTGATTATACACGAAGGGAGCGTTTAGTGCTTTAGAGAGAGGACTTAAATTGTGTCTAGTGGCTTACTGGATGTTTAAGAATTGTATATGTACCATGTGTATGTCTTGAAACATCTGGTTATTATGCCCAGGCAGCTCAGTTCGATTGCTCTTTTTAACATTTCAGCTCTTCTAGAACCCCATGAGACATTGCGTTATAATTCGTACGTTTGAGACTTCCCAAGCTAAATTGGACTTTGATGCACTCAAGTATAAGCAAGCTAGTCCTGATGATGTCTGGTCTATGATAGTATGAGTGGGCAACACGCCCCCATAGAATTTCATGCTATCTACCCGAGTGCGGCCCAACTCTTCCATACTCATCTTTACCGTTATTGTTCCTTTATATTAAGTTGAAATTGAAAGTGTAAGACGACTTGCCCATGCCTCATGCTGCATTCTATAACGGAAAGCCCACAAGCAAGTGAACAGGACAAGACAGAACGACACGCTGCCACCGACTTTCCAGAAATATGACTCAGTCCTATCTGTATCCACAACACCTTGCAAGTTCATACCAAAGTATGAAGTGAAGAATGATAGGGGTAAGAAAATGATAGTGACAGCAGTGAAAACAAAAATGGCTTTATGTTGAGTGTCAGCCATGATCGCAAGCTCGTTCTGCTCAATGGAGCGAAGTTGGAAAAGCTGAGAACGTAGAAATATATCAGCAAGACTTGTCGGGTAGGTTCTTATATGAGCATATCCTCACCGAATTCAAAGACTCGCGGAGGTCAGCGTTGAGCCTCTTGCACTGATCAAGAGACTCTTCCATCCTGTTCTGGGCGAAAGCGATCCTGTCTGCAGGCGTCTCGCCGTTTTCGTTGTGTGGAGGATCGCCCACAACATTACCCTGGAGGTCAAGGCCGTCACAATCTTCCTTGAGCCTTCGGAAGAAATCGAGCTTCTTGGTGAATATCTCTCCCAAAATATTCAGCTCGTCGATGCAAACCAAGTATGCCCTCACCAAGTTTATTGTCTGACTTCTTTGCCAAGGTTCATACCTTCTTTCTTTCTGTATTTCACAGTCAATCTGGCAGTCTGAAGTAGCAGGAAGCTCAAAAGCATGTCTCAACTCACCAGTTCATGAACGATAGCATCGTATGCATCCATCAGGGAAGGCACACTGTATCCTTGGCGGATGTTGTGTGGTGTGGTTCCAATCTCAGTGATGAGGTATACTAGGAACCATTCCACGTCTTTCCGGTACCATGTCTCTGTGCCGGTCTCAGAAAACTCCTTGAAAACCTGAGCAAACACAGAGGCGAAGTTTGACTCAGCCAGCTCTTCCCGTGACATATTCAAATAGTACGGCAGGTTGGTGTTGAGGTAATTCACTCCAGCCGCCGGGGACATTGTTAGAAGGAAGCCTTGGGAACCGTCAGCTTGCTCTGAAAGAATTTTCTAGAAAAGTGCGTACCGTCACTGCGATGGAAGCAACGGAATGGGCTCCTAGCAATGTACGCATCCTTGTAGTAGGCGTGTCTTGCCAGAGACTGGGAGACATTCTCAAGTTTGGTCGTGCGGACACCCTCGGAAGGACCATTCATATTCAAGTGGCTGCCTTCCGAGATCTGCCACGGCAGATCGGCTTTTGCCAATTCCCAGAAGTTCACGCTTTGGCCGACGTATTGTGCCCTCCAAAGGATGTCTTTTTTCAGCTTTTCACTGTTGTTGCCCGCGAAAACGCTTCGATCGAGGACGTCATTAACCTGCTTCTCCGATTTCAGTATACGCAACAGATCTCGTGAGTCCTGAATATGCTGGGCGTTTCTTAGGTCGAGCATCTCGATTTCGAGATAAGGCCAACCTGCTCGGCCAGCCTTGGTGAATGGACGTCCCATTGTTTTCGACCCAGTGTGGAAGAACAAAGCTTCCACCGACTGATACTTCTGTCAGCCCAACAAGAACTACTACTATCTTGGGTGTAACTCACAGAATGCACGAGCCCAACACCGAGTGGAGCATGTCTATTCCCAACTTTTAGTCAGTCCAAGAACGTACCGATAGGAACGTTTGTGCTGTTGCTGAGTTACTTGCATCCATCGCACTGTGGCCCACGAAGGTTTTGTTTCAAACACTGCCAATCTTTAATACTACTGACATCTTACAGACTGATTGCAAAGAGAACTCACCCCTTTCTATGTCACCCAAGCGTACTTCGTGCCGCTCTGCGACGCCGTCTCCAAAATCACACACAACGACCCTGATATCCATCCGGGGAGAGAAGAAGTGGTTGATGGCGGAATGAAGCTTCGCCTCGGGAGGCAGACTCAGTTCGACACTACCCAGAAAGATGCTTCTTAAGACCATATTCAGAAACATTCTACTTTCGCGACGTTTGGCCCATTTCCGCAGCTCAGCCACCGTCTCAGCGTACTGTCTCTGCTCGGAACGAAGCTCCTGTTGGGCCGCCTCTGAGAAATCTGGAGGAGAGTCTCGAGCAAAGTTTCCCAGAATTTTAGTGGTGCTGACGGGAACGTAAGGGCGTGCCTTATCGGAAAGTTCGAAGGTCTGGACCCTTTTGGGAGCCATCTTTGGGAGCGTCCCTCTTTGATGGCGCCGCTGAATGCACGGGATGGTGACAAGCTACTCGAGGCCGTATAAATCATGACGAAGATCAAGACGAAGATCAAGGACCTCGTCAAATGAACTCACGGCGGTCCCGGAGTCTTTATCATTCAGTCAAGGCTCTGGGGGCACCAAGCCACCATGTTCGATTGGACGACGTGATGCTACGCCCGCCGCCAACGGCGTAAATCGTCACAGAATCATGTTCCACCAGCGCTTCGTTTCCGGATTGCGCATGCAACCAACTTGCACGTCATTGCACTTTCCATAATTTATGCCTGTCAGCACTTCTTACGCCCTCGTCTGCGCCCATTCAGGTTCTTCATAATCACTGTCTGGCGTTATCACTTGACCAGCCGCACCCGTATTCGACATCGCTTAGTGGGGGTGGCTCTCCTTGCAGCCACGCTAAACCTTTTCCGTGTCCCACCGCCAAGACGCGAACTCGTCACGCTTCTATTATCGTGTCTTACGATTTCAACGTATCAAACCAACCCGTGCAGTGTATACAGCTATGCGGATTTCTACTTGCGCGGTCGTCATCCCTATCCTTCAGAGCCAGTTTTGCAAGATGCTGGTGGTCCGGCCAGTGGAGCACCCGGACGTGACCCAGTGCGTCACAATCCGCATTGACAGTCTGGGGTCTTTGGTCATTGGACGACCGCCTCCGTACCCCGGATTTTCAGAAGATCAGGAGGCCACGATCCACAGAGATATTGACAACAGCCCTCATGTACACCATCTTAAGGTGATAGACCCTGACGATGAGCACGAGATAATAGCTTATGCCAAATGGGAGGTCTACGAAATGGGACGCCCGGACCTAGAAGAGCTCAGCCAACCGATGGAGGAATCGGCCAAGGCAGTTGATCAGTTCGGGCGCCTGAGGGAGGCTGCACATGACTATTTCTGTACTCGAAACGGGGAGAAGGGAAAGCTACCACACCTGCGTGAGTCAATGCACACTCTGACTCGAGACCTGGGAAGCTCACAGTACCATACAAAGTCTTGGCCCTGCTCGTCACAGCACGCCAGCACAGGCAACGCGGCGCTGGCAGCATGTTGGTCCGATGGGGAATAGAGCTGTCAGAAAAGACCGGTCTTCCGTGCTATCTACAGGCCTCTGAACAAGGACGGCGCTTGTACCAACATCACGGCTTCGAGGAGATAGGCACAGTCGAGTTCAACTTGTCTGAATATGGACTGGATGGGATCGAAAAGATGACAGAGATGACTAGGGGAAGCTGGTCCAAGATCGTCCCTGAGCAAGGAGGTCGCCAGCTACCTGTGTAGTGCTATGGGGAGAGATCTGGCTAAGAACTTTTCCAGGCCACAGGTCTACGAGGCAGAAAGATGTGATTCGCACTGAAGCCTCATCCGAACATGACTACTTGACACGAGTTAAAATTTTGATGACACATGCGACGATTTCATGGAGGGCCAGGGGCTCTTGTACAAGTCGGCTGAAGATGTCGATGCGTTCTTCTGTTCCAGCGCGTCCACTTCTGATGGTTCATACCCTTGTTTTCATGGACACCTAGTCGCAGCGCAGTCAGCAGTCCTAAAATGCAAGTCTGGCCCCTTAGGAAATGTGTCAGATCGACCTTGAGGCTAAGCTTAGAGTTTAATCACAGGCTGGATACGCGTATATGGCGTGTTACACTCCTTGATGCAGCCTGAGGTTTCATGCCGAGACGCAGGACATCGCCCGCTGCCAAGACAGCAGCCCTCGATAAAGCATGCGGAAATCGTTTACCAGTCCACCACCACTGGGCTAATGCAGTGGGTTTCAATATCTGTCTTGCCTCGTCTGACCATTTCTGCTCCAACCCATATCGGACCCTGACAGGTTAGTATCAGCTAACAGAGTATTTAAAGATGGCAGATGCCATCCTATCACTTTTGTGTCAGTACTTAATTGCCCTCAGAATAGTCCTGGCAGCTTTTGCAGACAAGGTACATCCAAAACAACTTTTCTGATCATTTTGGCCGAGCCAACACGAAAACATTCCTTCTCCAATTATTCCCAATCGCCCAGCCGAGATGCGATTCGCCTCCACAGCCTTCACCCTCGCCGCCATTCTAGCACTTGGCTCTGCCTTGCCTGCAAAGGACGGCCCGAGCAAGTCTCAGATTCAAGACGACCTTTAAGCACTCGCAGACGTCGAAGGCACCGACGTTAACCCCAACCTGGAAAACGGGACGATTCTCATGGACAATATGTGGAAGGCTATAAGTGTTGTGAGGGGTTTAAAAGCATGATTATAAAAGCATTTATCTCCTAAGAGTAGTTTAAAAGGAGGAAACAAAAGAAATTTAGCTATTTAAGCATTTTAAAAAGTAATTATAAATTAGGGTTAGGGATATATATATAATATACTCCTTAATTAAAAGGTAATTCCTATCTTATTAATTACCTTACTTTTTTAAGCAGCTAATTTATACTTAAAAATATTAATTATAGCTTATTAAATAATTAATCATTTAACCTTTCCTATAATATATATACTTTATTATTTAAACTTTAACTATTTATAGCTTTATAATATAGCTTATAATTAATAATTAAACCTTTTTTTTTAAACTTTTTAATTAAATTTATATTTAAAAATACTTATTTTTATTAATTTTACGCATCTTTTTAACTATATTAAAAATAGCTAAAAGCAATAAAAAATAAGCTTTTAAGCCTTAAGCTATTCCGTTTCTTTATATTTTTAAAATTTTAAAAAAAATATAAGCATGCTTAAATTAATAAAAAGCTTATTAATAAGAATAATAAAAGCTTTAATACTTTTATTAAAATATTATTAAATAATATACTTGAAAGTAAGTTTCTTAATTAATTTAAAAATTAATTTTAAAGCATATATTAATTCTTAATATAACTTTAAAAAATCTTTAAATATATATAAATAGCTTAAAGCTTAAAATAAAATGCCTTTTTAAGGAAAAAATTAAAATAAAGTGTAAAAAAAAGAAAAAGGATATAAAAAAGCTTAAAAAAATTAATAAGCATTATATTCCTTATCTCCTTTATATTAAGAATTTTATATATTGTTGGCAGGTATAGGGAATTACATAAGAAATAATATCGCGCTAAATTCCGGCTGACTATAAAAAGCTAGCTTTTACGCTTATTCTAAACATTCTTTTAAGAAATCAACTCTTCTCTTTTCTTATATATTTAGTACTCTAATTAAGCTTTTCTTATTTTTAAGAATTTTTAAAATATTTATCTTTTCCCTTTCTTTGGTTCCCTTTTATTTCTATTTTTTCTCTTTATCGCGTTAAAGCTCCTCCTTAAGTTGTCCTTAAGAGGGTTTAATAAAACTTATCCCTTATTATTTAAGTGGCTTGTTTTTAATATAATTATAATAATAAAGGCAATTATTATTATTATTATATTTAAAGTAATTTTTATAAGTTACTTTTAATATTCCTTTTATTATTTATATTTTATTTTTATTATACTTAATTTAATAATTCCTTAATATTTAAAAAATTTTAATATATTTAAAAAAAAGCCTTAAATATATATAAATATAAAGAATTTAATCTTGCTTATGTTAATTATATTTTTATAATTTCTTTTAATACTTAAAAGATTTTTACCTTATAATAATAGCTTTTAAAGGTTATAAAAAGTAAGTATAAAGATATAATAAAATGCCTTAAAGCTTAAATTATAATTACTTTAAAGCAATATAATAAGGTTAATATAAAGGCTTAAAAGCTTTAAAATTAAGTTATTAATAATATAAAAACTATAAAAAAGTATAAAGATTATATTATTATTATAATTAAGGCTTTTAATTTTAAAAGTAATATTAAAAAATAAATATTATTAAATTTTAATTTAAAATTATAATTAAGAATTTAATTAAAGATTAAAAGAGTTTTTTAAAAAGGTTAAGAGGTTATTATAATAATTAAAAAAAGGTTTTAAATTAATTAATATATTATTATAAAGATTAAAAGATAATTTTTAATTATAAAATAATTTTTATATAAGAATTATATTATAATTTTTAAAAAGTATAGTTTTTAAGATTTTTAATAAAAACTTAATAATAAGAATAATTAATAAATAAATTAATTCCTTTTTACTATTTCCCTTATATCTTAAAGATTTAAAAAAGCTTTAAAATATTTAAATTAAATATATAATAAAACTTTAATAAATTTATTTATAAGTATTTTCTTAATTTTTAAATATATAATATTAAAAGTATTCCTTTTAAATTCTTATTTTAATTATATTTACTAAATATTTATATACTTAAGCCTTATTTTTAATTATTTATATTTATTAATAATTAAGTATATAATTATTTAATTATTATAATAAATAATTTAAGGCTTACTTAAATTTAAGGTTATATTTTTAAATAAGCGTTTTAAAGTTATTATTTTTTTAATTATAAGCTTTAAAGCTAATAATTTAGCCTTAATAATTAAAATTAAAATAATTGCTTATTTATATGCTTTTTAATATATAAGGCCCTTAAAAAGGGTTATTATATATCCTTAAGAAAATCTTTAATCCTCCTTATTATTAGCAAATAAAGCATTTTTAATTATTAAAAGCGCTTAAGCTTTTTAATTCCTTTTAAATTATAATTTAAGGAATTAAATAATATATAAATATTAAATTTATATAGTTTGCTACCTTAAGGTAATTTAAACTTAAGTTTATAAGAAATCTTAATAATATAAAGTAAGGGAATGCTATATTTAAGTATATTATAATTGCTATATAAAAAATAAAATTAACTTTTTCTTAAAATTCTTAAATTTTTTATTTTAAAGCTTATTTAAAAAAAGGCTTAAGCTCCTCTTTAAGCATTAAAATAAATAATAAAAAGTTTTTACTCCTTAATAAGTTATATTTATTTATTATCTTTTTAATATATAAATTATTATTAGCAGATATAGAGAATTACATAAGAAATGATACTACGCTAAATTCCAGCTAGCTATAAAAAGCTAGCTTTTACGCTTATTTTAAACATTCTTTTAAGAAATTAACTCTTCTCTTTTCTTATATATTTAATGCTTTAATTAAGCTTTTCTTATTTTTAAGAATTTCTAAAATATTTATCTTTTCCCTTTCTTTAGTTCCCTTTTATTCCTATCTTCCCTCTTTATCACGTTAAAGCTCCTCCTTAAGTTATCCTTAAGAGGGTTTAGCAAAACCTATCCCTCATTATTTAGGTGGCTTGTTTTCATTATAAAGAAGTATTATAATATACTTTTCTTAATTTTTAAGAATTTATATATTTAAAAAATTATTAAAGCCTTTTCTTAATTCTTTATTTTATATATAAACTAAATCTTATTTTTAATTTTTATAAAGGATTTATATTTATCTTTAAGATATATAATTAAAATATTATTTATATAAAAGAAAATTGCTATCTTATAAGCCAAGCTAGTAAAAAGGCATAGCTCTTTTAAAAAGAGTTTTAAGCTTAAATTTTATAATATATAGCTAAAATCTTTATATTAAAAAAATAAGGAGTCTTTAAATTTATAAAGTACCCTTAAAAGCACTTTATATTTCCCTAACTCCTTAAATCCATTAAGTAATTTGCAATAAATTTAATCCAACCCTTTTTAGCTAGCATTTAAGAATATAATTATAATATTAAATTATTAAATTTTTAAATTAAAGTATATAATAATTATTATTATTATATAAAATAATTTTGCTATTAAGGTTGTAATATATATATTTTTTATAATAAAATAAGGTTATAGGTTTTTTTAAATATAAATTTATGCCTTAAAAGATTTAATTATTCCATCCTTATTAAGCTTATATTTATATACTTATTTTAAAAATAATGGTATTAATTTTGCTTTTTAGCGCTTAATAATCCTTTAAATATTAAGCTTAATAAAACTTTATATTTTTAATGCATTATCTTAAGCTATTTATTTTAAAAAGGGCTTTTTTAAGCCTTTATATAATTAGTTTTAAAGGGAGATTTTTATAGTATTATTGCATTAAGTAAAGCCTAAATTTAATTTTAAGGGCTTAAATGGCAGCTATTACTATATTATTTAAGGTTAAAAAATATAAATTTTTAAGTATTCTTTATTTCTATTTTTTAAGCTAATTAAATAAGAAAGTAATTATAAAGTTACTTTAAAAAATTATATTAAGGTAAAATATAATTATATTTATTAAATATAATGATTAATTAAAGGATTCCTAAGGGCATTTATTTTAATTATGTACTTAAAAAGATCTTTTTATAAGTTTAAACCCCTAAATTTATTCTTATATTTTCCTTATTTATATTAATTAAGGAGATTTTTAATTTCCTATAGCTTTAAGTATATATAATTTTTAAAAGAAAAGTTTAAGTTTATTAATTCTTACTTTATTAATAAAAGTATATTTTTCTTTATAAAAGCCTTATTTTAGTATATTTAGGGTTTTTTTAAAAGTTAAAAGTCCTTATTTTTAATTTCTTAAGTTCTTTAAGAAAGTAATGCATAATAAACTTTATTTTTTAAATTTAAAAGTTTTTACCCTTAAGTTTTAATTAAAAGTATTAATTTTATCTTTTCTTAATATGGAATAAGTATTAAATTTATTATTTAAATTAATTAGGTTATCTTTTATATAAGGTATTAAGGGTATAATATAAGTATAATCTTAAATTTCCTTAGCATTAATAATTTTAATATTTAATAATTTTACTTTAAAAATTAAAAGGTTATTTTTTATTTTATTTATTATTAATTTATAAAACATATTCTTATTAAATTATATATTCCTTATAAAGATTATTTGCTTAAATAAAGAAATTTAAATTTAAAAAATATTAAATGCTATATAATTAATTAAATACTTAATATAAGCCCTTAATTCCTTTTTTATAAGGCATTTCTTTATATTATTTTTACATTTCTTTTTAAGTATATATATTTTGTATTTATAAGTATAAATACTACCTTAATAAAGCAATAAATAAGTTATAAAATAGCAAATTTAAGCTAATTTAAATTACTAAAAATAATAAGAAAATTATACATATAAAAAAGTATTTAAGATGCGCCCCCTTTTTCTTAAAACAAGCAATATATTATGTAATTAAGCTGTAATTTATATTACTTCTAGTTAAAAGTTAAAAGGTAAATTAACTTTTAATAGCATAGTTAAGATATATTTAATTATTATCTTGTTAGCCCTTTTTGCAGCGCTATTTGCTTTTAAGGTTTAAGAAGGAGTAAATTTTAAATTAATATTCTTTCGTTTTGCTTATTTAATATATTTAATATTTATAAATTAACTAATTATTATAACCTTAATATCTTATTTAATTTTATAAATATTTAAACTATATTATTATTTTACTTAGCTTTTATAAGTATAAAAAGTATTAAATACTTATTCTTAGGTTTTTAATATAAAAAGGAAGATATAAATAAATCTTAAGAATTTATTTATTATTATAAGCTTATAATTTAATTTATTTAATGCTTATAAATAATAAAAAAGGTTTTATAAAATTTAAAAAAAGAGTTTTAAGCTCTTATTTTTTAATAACCTGCATTAAATTACCTTTTTAATAAAGGCTTTAAAGCAATTCTTATAATTAATTTATTTAATTCCTTTAAATTTTATGCCTTAAGTATATTTAATTAATAATTTAAAAGCATTAATTCTTAAATATTTAAATTAAAGATGCTAAAGGGTTATTAAGTTCTTTTAATCCTTATTTAAATATTATAAAGGCTTAAAAGGTTTTATTAAGTTTATAAAAAAATTATAAACTTATATATATTTATAATGCTTATAAATATTTATAATAAAAGGTAAACATAAGGAAATTATAATAATATATATTTAAGAAAGATTAAATTATATTATTAAATAAATTTAAGAAAAATAATGCTTTATTTAAGTAATTTAAAGCATAGCATTAAATTAATTTTATAATATTAAATGCTTAATTTTTATAAAAATACTTTTAATATTATATTAATATAAAATTTATTTATAATTATTATATTTTTTAAAATTAAATTCTTAATTCTTTTTTTATTTACTTTATATAATATATTTTTAAAGCGCTTTATTTTATAATTTAAGATTTTTAAAAATAAAGGTTTTATTTTAATGGCTTTTTTAAAGGTATTTAAAATTAAATAATTAATAAAGTTAATTAAGTAAATAGCATTATAATTATTTAAAATTATATTTAAGGATAGATAAGGCATAAAATTTAGAGTTATATATATTTTTAAGAAATTAATTATAATTAATAATTATAATAAATTAATTAAAGCATAAATAAATTAATAAAAAGTTAATAAAAATATAATAAAAGTATTATTAATTAATTAATTTTTTAAAATTAAGGTTTTAAAAAGCATAAATTTGCTTTATAAAGAAAAATAAAATAAAAAAAGGAAATTAAAATTTTATCCTTTAATAGCTTTTAAAAATATACTTAAGGAGGTTTTTAATATTTTTAATAAGCTTTATATTTAATCTTTAGGTAAAAAGTTTTTTTAAGTAAGCTTTTAAATTAAGTTTTTATAATAATTTTTTTATAATTATATTTTAATCTTATTATATTTAAGTTCCTTAAAGGTATTTTTAGCTTTAAAATTTATTTTCTTAAAAATATAAAATAAAGGTAATAATAATTAGTAAAAGATTAGGTATATTTCTTTTATTAATTAATTTTTTAATAAAAGCATTTATATATTTTATTTTATTAATATAATTAAAATAATATATTTTTATTTCTTAGTTGCTTTTTTAATTAATTACTTTTTATTTTAAAAGATACTTTTAATTTTAATATAGTAAATATTATAATATTCTTAAAGATTAATGTAAGCTTATTATAATATAAGAATATTATTAACTCTTTAAATAAAATTTTTAAGAAATAAATTAAATTTCTTAATGCATTTTATTTAATAAGTTTTTAATGCTTAAAAATTACTTAATTAAAAGCAATATATATTATAACTATTTATAAAAAGTTATTTAAATTAATAAATCCCTTAATCTTAAGTAATTTATAAGTATAAGCTTATAAATATAAATTTATAAAATCTTAATATTATTATTATAATTTAATACTTAGTTTCTTTACTTTTTTAAAGTATTATTAATATTAAATTTAAAAGGTATTTATTATATTTAACTTAAAAGATATAAGATTATTTTTAATATTTTAAATTATTTATTAAATAAAGAATTATTTTATATTTATTATTTTAATTAAATATAAAGAGAAAATTAAGCTAAATACTATTTTTTATATTTATTTTTAAATCTTTTATTTTTTATTAAATTTAATTACCTTATTAAAAGCTAAGGTAACTTATTATTAAAGATATTAATTATATTTCTTTTTTAATTTATTAAAAGATAAGGGAGAAAATAAAGTAAGTATTGTTTTATTTTTTAAAAGCTTATTATTACTTAAACGCTTTTAATACTTATTATATAAAGCTTTTTAAATATTTTTTCTTTTCTTTTTATGCTATATAAACTAAGAATTTAATTTTAAAATTATATTTAATTACTTAATAAGGGTTATATTTAATATATTAAGGTTTATAAATTCTTAACACCTTTTAATTTAATAATAAGATTATAATATAATAAACTAAGTAAGAAAGAAATAAGTATTTAAATAAATTACTTAATTAATAATGCAGTACCCCCTGAAGCCTAGCGTGGTAGGCCTCTATTAAGCTCTTAATAAGCCTGCAAAAGAGCCCCCTGGGCAACCAGTGGGTCCCTCTCCCTTTTGGCGCAGCGGAAGATTTCGCAACTGCATTAATTAATAAGGTTTAAAGAAGTATTTATAACTATTATATAAATATATGCTTAAAAATAAAAGGAAATAAATAATATAAAATAAATATAATTAAAATATACTTTATATAATTTATTTATAACTTATAAAAAGGAAAGATTATTTTATATAAATTAAGTTTATAATTATAAAAGGCTATAAATATTATAAGGGGTTTAAAAGCATAATTATAAAAACGTTTATCTCTTAAGAGTAGTTTAAAAGGAGGAAATAAAAGAAATTTGGCTATTTAAGCATTCCAGAAAGTGGTTGCAAACTAGGGTTAGGGATGTGCGTGCAACATAATGGGCAGGGACGCTGTGTGGCATCCAGCGGTAAAGCTGTTTGCTCGGGCATATCTGGTTGACGAGAATTGTAACTCAAAATTCCGAGAGGTCAATGTTTCTGTCAGAATATCCAAACTGACATTTTCGATATCGTAGAGTATCTGGCCGGGGAGGTTTAAGCATGGCCAAGTAGTGCATATGTTGTATCCCGCTTAGGAATGGCTACTACCTGGAATCACTACACGGGAATATGTTTGATGGAACATCGCATCTAGGTGTAATGAACACAAGTTCTTTCTCTCAATTTCTCGACTTCTATTCGAGTGACCCGCTGCAAACCCATCGTAGTCTGAGAAGGAAAGTGACATCAGGAAAAGGATTTGTCACACATCGAAGGAACAGTTTTTACCGAGGTATCAACTGGCGATTCGACCACCGTGTAACTTTAAAGGACAGGCAGGCTACTCTTAGTCCACTCCAATATGCCTGAAAGGAGCGTTATTTCTGAGCACGACCACCCGGCCAGACTGCATCCTGTACAGTCCAGCGCTCATCTTTGACGACCCAGCTTCCTTCAGTGTCCGCTTCACATCATCATCTGTTGACCTGGTAGCCCTGTCGATCAAGTTGCGAGTGTCCGGAGAAACGATCTGGGCAATAGTGTGCCATATGTCGCCGTATGTAGAGTGTCTCGTGCGATGAAGGAACAGCCATGATATGACCACAACACAGGTCATGTTGACGAGCAAGATAACAGTGACACACATCAGTCCAATCCAGCTATCTGGTATGCTCACATTCTTGGCGTACACAATGCTGGAGTTGGTGCCAAAGTCAAAGCCTGGCAGAGCCCGGTAGTACTGTGCCTGTGCGAGCCAGAAGATGACAGACTGATAGGCTGGCGCCACGGACCCTGTTTTCTCAAGAGCTGCTTGGAACAAGGTGGAAAAGGAAGGGTTGGGATCGAAAAAGTTCCCGTTCAGGTCGCAGGATGGGCAGAAATAGACCGGGAAGTTCTGAGGCCCTTGCGAAGTGAGGACCCCTCCCTTCACCTTGTGAACCATCTGAATTATGAACTGGTCTGAGAAAACAGTGCCTATGCCCAGCGACGACAGATATTCGAAATTGATGGAGGACGGGAACATCTCCTGAATCTCTGCGTCTGTAAGCTTGGTCGAATTTGTGATTTTGAGTATCCCGCGGCTCGCGTCGTCGCGATGAATGCCCACGCCCATAAGTCTCAAGATGCCTTCGGTAACCCACGACCTTGTAGGGGAGTCAAAGTTCAAAGTTGGCTCCCGAGTACTGTTGGCGCTGTCTGAAGTGATGTTCTCCAGATCAATTGGGAATGCTGACTGACAGACAGTAAAATTGAAAACATTTTCTGGGCTGAACTCATATGAACTCCATTCGCCATTACCAGTAGGTTCAGGAACGGATGGGCCGTAGAGAGGCCCGGAGAAATTGGCGATCATGGCGGTAACATCTGCATCTGTACCACCTGGACCGCTGGTGACGTCGAAGTTCATCACATCGGTAGCATTGGCAGCAGTGTTCAGAGCCAGGAAGACGTTCGAGAATGATCGCTGGAATTTTACACTTTGATCGGTTCCATTGAACAGACAAAGTGTTGTGGGCTTCTTGGGCAGTATCCATGTTGTGTTGGTGTCGTTTTGCACAAAGGGCACGGCGCAGTCGAAAGGAATGCTGTCGCATTTGGCGTTCCCGGGAAAGCAAGAGGAATTACTCCATGATGGTAGCGAATTCCTACTTGCTTTGCCCACGATTCTGGGCCAGTATGCACCAAGCCTGCCTGGTACGTATTGGAGAGCGCCCACAATTCTTGGACGAGTGCATGAGACACGTGAATCCATGGTTATTGCTGCGCCATCGTATTGCCGGATCGACACACGCTGCGGTGAATTGAACGGCAAGAATGCCCGTTTGATGTTTCCAGTGTCATATGTATCTTCCCCCGTCTCGGCCTGCTCAGTCAGGATCTCGGCGAAAGGTGCATATGAAGCTGGAGCTTCACGCCAAGCTTGACTGACCATATTGGTGCTGTTAGCCGGGGGAAACAGCAGTTCTGGCTGAGCTTCAATGATCGGTGTTTGGACGGAAACAGAATTGTCGAGGAGAGCAACATCTCTGAAGTCGGCCAGAAGCAAAGTCGATGTCAATTGCGAAGCGAGTGTGGTGACAAGGAGTAGTAGAAGCATGAAGGCCGGCAATGATCGGAAAAACTTCTTCGGGGTCTTCGCCAGCTTTTCTGCCAGGTCAAATGGGCCACCGTTGACTGCCCTGATGACAGAAAAGAATGCCACCTCAGAAATGACAACATCCCTTGCTTCCAGCATCAATGAAGCCACGAGCGCAGTGCATATAGTCGCTTGTAGATCGATGACGCCTCGCAGGACAAGGGAAGAGAGTGTCACCGCCTGGGCCGCATATTTTTGCAGCATGATCCAGCGCCAAAAAGACATTGCTATGTTTGCTTTCTCTCTGCAATCACTTCCACTCCAGAGATACAACAGAAAGGCAAGTATGAGGAACTCGACGACCCAGCCAAGGATCAGTATTGTAGACGTCCATCTTCCCAGCCGATATGGAACTGTGATGCCAGGGTTTGAATGCGTCCCTGCCTTTGCCTTATCTTCCCATTCCGTATTAATTTCTGTGGGGTTCAGAGCCGTGACTGTCTCTTTTCGTCGGTGGATTATTGATTTCAAAAGCGAGAACATAATTAACATTGGAGTTACCGACGTTGACGCTCCTGTGTAGTATCGTCTTGGAAGGTCACAAAATAGAAGAAATTGAGGTCCAAGAGAATCCTTACAGGCCTTCACGTCCGCTTTTACTATGAATAAATACATTCACCAAAGGCTAGAACAATAAATTTGATCAAAGTCTGACACATGAAACGCAGTCCAGCACAGTTGGTTCCAACTGTCGGGATGCGGCGGTAGGACACAGCCTCTCAGTGGCGGGACATCCAACAGAATGCGCTGGGCGCTTCGACTGCTGAAGCCCCAAATTTGGAATGTGAGTCTTATCTCCATTGGAAGCAAGGGCCGGAATTCATTTCAACGAGACCTGAAAATGTGTGCAGGTCCTCACGATCTGTATTTTGAGGCTAACGGTGAGCTGCGGTCATAATTAACAAATGATTTTCACGAGGAAGACTATCGCCACCAGAGCCTGGCGCTTTGAGTTCATGACAAACTCCTGCTTGCAACCCAAATGTGATAGCTGTGGCTCAAACGTATCGACTACTAGTGGTATGCTCGTATCATTGGGACACGTGAATTGGAGCTGTACAGCAGCCAGGTTCCTCGTCTTCGTGAAATTTCAGATCTACACAAACCCCGTCGGAACAACATTCGGTGGCACAATCGGTATCGTAGGTGCACAAGTCTCCCAAGAACCCACTTGCACCGTCGGGTGCTATCTTTGAGGCTGTTCCTAAATATTCCAAGCTATTTTGGCCATCCAAATGTTGTGGAAGTGCCAAGACTGGTACTGCTACTGTGCATCAGAGTCAGCTCACATCACCCAGATTTGGCCGAGGTTAGAGAGCTCACCAAGCAGAACCGTCAAGGTTGCGAGGAGGGATGACATGCTCATAGAATTTGCCTGCGGTGGTGAAGGTTTTGTTGCTTTCTTCGCAGTGATAAACGTAATGAAGAAGCTCTTGTGGCCGTTGTTCCCACAGCTGACTTTCTCAATGATGAGCATGTCTTTCTCTTTGCGGGGACAGAAAACTGTGACATGGCAAATGTGAATTTATAAGTTGAGTACATATGCCGATGAATATCATGATCACGTTGGAATCCTTATTTCACTACAAGCAATGCCATCTGAATTGGGTGTCGTCGGCCAGGAGCAATTTCAGTAGTAATTTGAACACAACAACCGTCTGATGCGTTTGATCCTCTTTAGATCTCAACTTCGAGTTGCCAATGAGTTCGGAAAATAAGACTATTTCGATACTGCCGACAAGGGCGGTACGCCCTTTGCTGCGGCATAAGAAGTCCAAGCCATCTCCTCAAAGGCTCTGAGCCAGTTGATCTTGGGTGTCAAGCGATGTAAATTTAGCAGCTCCGAATATCCGATCGTCCATACCTCCAATACTTCACGAATGTGCGCCCAACGCAGCTTTAGCCGCCCGCATTTCTAGTCACCACAAAACTCGCGCCTATCTACAGGTACGTATGGCTGACCTCAACGAACAGGTATCACAGAACTAAGACGATGTTACATGCGACGAGTAGTGCCAGTTGGGTCCAGGAAAGAGTACACTACCTACATAGACGGCCCGGACAAAGCCGTTCATCAGGCGCCGAGGCTCCTGGCGTGCCGACCATCCCATCCGGCCCGACGTTTGATCGAGCTGTCAGAAATGCATGACAGGAATGAAAACGTGTTGTTGTCGTATTTGCCATCCTTGGGACTGAAAGTTTAGCCGCCAATAACCCTGACCGCGCAGCTGCGCCTCATGCATGAGGACCAACACTTCGCAACTATTCGACAGTCAACCCTGACCCGAATCCTCGGAACCTGGCCAGATTCAGGAGGGACCAAAAATCGTGCGACTGGCGGCACAGGTTTACCAAGCGCTTAATTCCACAGCTCTAAGCAACCGCGTGACATCCTTGCGGAGGAAATGCAACCCGGCCGCCTGGTAACGAATCGCCAGATCAGAAACATGGATCCGAGCATTAGTACCAGGCATGAGAAGTCGCGCTGCCCATGCCCCTACTCCTGTTCCTGCTCCTGAAAATTGTATGTAAAATTTCCCTGCAATCAGCACTGAGGAGCTTTGGCGCTATCAGGCAATTTGTCCTCTTCTCGCGCGACTTTCCCAGCTTTCAGTTGATTTTATTTTAATTTTGCCCTCATTTTCTTCACAAACAGGTCAACAGCACTTGAGGAAGGAAGATACGAACAGAGGGAGCAGCTTAATTCAGAATAGACCAGTACAAGGTGATGCATGGAAGTATAAGGAGCTCTGACCAGTCTCTTCCTTCAAGCTGTCAACTCAATTGATGACGTTCTCATCGTATTGAGCATCATTTGTGCCTAAAACGGGATCCGGTAACGTCTAGTCAGATCAATTTACAGATTACAGCGATCCTAAACGCCCTCATGTTAGTTGGCCCCATTTACCGGAGACACCTTCTTCCGCCGATGTTATGGCGAGCCCCGGTCAAGTGATCAGCTACATATTCCACATTCGTGGGCAAGGCTGGCTTGCGACCGGGGCTTCATTGGTGCCAGGGTGTCAGTAGAGGGAGTTCTCTTGCAAATCCTCCTACTACAAAAACCAGAAGTGCTGGGAAAGCGCGTTCCTGAATGCTGAAGGCGCCAATGGTGCGAATATTACAGGCAAGCACGGGTCATTTTGCTGTCCAATCATTTTCGTGGAAACCGCTTTCTTTAAATTGTTTGTTGAGTGTGGGAGTCCCACTGCTGTCTGGGCAAGGCCTTTAACAATCACAGGGCGGCCCAAGCAAAACACAATCAACACACAACAGAATTTCCACCATCAATCGAGCTCGAGGCCAAATAGAGATAAAGCCCAAAAGTTCAACTACCTTCTCTCGTGTGTATTCCAGTTCAAGAGAGCCAAATGCTTCACCCTTGAAAAATGATACAGAGCGGCAGCCTTAGACGCAGCGCGCGCCTTGCAGCTCTCGGGCAGAAGCGACGTGGCCGTCGCTGGATTGGCATCATATACCTGCCCCCGGAACTGCGACAAATGGTCGTGCGCGAACTCATTCACGCGGCAAAAGGACCGTGAGTAACTCAGCTAAGCACAGCCTCCACACGCTTCAAGCTATCTCTGTCGCAAACGCTGACTTGAGTATGTACAGCGAGGTGTACGTGGGTAAAGGCAGTCGCCTTCCGGTGCTGATGGAACCCATCATCGATACCCGCAGCGTACCACTTTTCCACAGCTCAGTCACCGACACCATGGAAATGTGCGTAGCCATCCTTAAGGGCGTAATACACATATGTGTTCCAATTGGAGATAGGTATAGCGCAAGGTTGCCGATTGCGAACTAACAAAACATAGCGGCTTTCCCCGTGACTATTCGCATTTGCCTACCCACCATGAACAGAGCTGGGCCCCGGCTTATCGCAAACTCCGACCACTGATGGCTTGCAAGGGCCTCTATTACGAAGCGACCGCTATTTTCTTCCGAGAGAAACATTTTGTTCTGGGCAGTAAGCATGCACCAAAACTTTCCTCCTCCATTCATAGTTCATCGAATGCCAGGAATCCTACTGAAGCCAGAGGTTGGGCGGTCCTTGGAGGCCGCGAGCCTCGTGGACAGTTTGCCAAATCCTGGAATCAACCCAAGGAAGAATGTGAACTCAACTGACAAGAGATCCAAAGGCTCCACCTATGCGCATGCGTGGCTCCGACGGATCGGCCAGCGGAATCAAGTCAACCTTCGAAATATCCGACTGAAGATACATAAAGAGTTAACGTCCACAGGAGGCCTCAACGCTAGCGGTAGTCTCTGGTTCGAAGTTCTCAAGAAGCTCGCACGCTCAGCTCGTGATCTCAGGGTCCTCGGCTTCCAATTCGATGATGATGTTGACCTTTGGCGATGCTCCTTGTTGCGTTCTTTCCTGCGAATGAAGAGTTTTCAGAGACTGGATCAGATTGACTTCTTCCACTGCCTCCTTCCATCGAGGATAAGGTCAGAGGAGTTCCTGGCCATGATTGCCACATCAACAGGCTGCGCCTCCATCCGCTGTTTAGAGCTTTCTGACACGGAAGAGAGAGGATTTAGACTCATTCGGAGAGCCTCCCATGGCAACAACGGACAGATACTTTTATCAGAAGAGATTTAGGCTAAGGTGTGAGGGACAGTAAGTCAGGAGAACATGGTCTGACGTGACTAGGGTACAATTTCCACAAACGGTGGGGGCGAGTTTGAGGAGTGTTGGACCTGCCGACTCCAGAAAGTCTGTTCTTTCATGGTTACATGTAAGAATTGGATCATTGTTAATGGTGCTTACCCACCAGCTTCTAGATTGGGGCCTGTTGGTCAGGTAGCTGCCAGCTCCATGGGATACACTGGAATGCTTTGAGCACGGTTTGGTAGCATTAGAGTAGACACAGGTATTCGGTGTATCTTAACGAAACTGAAAATTGGCAGATTTGACCTCGGCTGTTGAGCGAGTGATGTACTGACGAGAACCATGGGCACATGATGTTGCCTAAGCTCAGTCAATGTAGAACATGGGATTAATACGCCTTGGGCTCTACATTTGGAGGATTATTACGCGTAATGAATGGCCTTCAGGTTTAATCTTCAGTAGGTCCTCCAATATCGTCACAGAAATCCCACGCAATAGCGAGTAATTCAACACAACGTCTTGTCTCGACTAAACTGAGGTCAAATGCACCGGTGACGGCGTGGTCCTTTCATCTGACAACATCCGCCGCGCGGTCCAACCCTCGTTTTACGATAGCCACCTCCCCCTTAGCTACGAACAAGACATCGCCCAGTCTTGAAACTCTGACCAACAGCTCTCTATTCGTCCGTAGCCACCCCAAGGGCGGTGCGAAATGATGCACGACGCCTTCGCTCTTGCCCATGCTTAGCCCAGGGGCATTCCCAACCGCACCCGCCTTCACAGAGCAGACCCAGCCATCAACATGTAGGAAGATCAGGCGATCCCTGTACATTCCGACGATGATATCGATGACTTCATGTACAGGTTCGGACCCCGTCAAGGCCATGATGAGCTGGTCGGTCGCTTTCGGGGGCAGCGCGGATGCCAGGAAGCACACATCCTGGTCCCCTGAGAGCCGCGTCCAGTACTCTGGCCAAGTCTTGTTGTGTATGATACTGCCAGCTGCGTATTTGCACCACTGAATATGGTCACGGCGCTGTGGACGGCAAGGTGATGGATCTCAGGCTCGAGGGCCGCTTCCACTTCCAGCTTGACTGCTTCAGCTCTTGCTGATGTCGACGCTGTTGCCTGCAGAGACTCCCAGTCATGGATATGGAATTCATGTCCTACTATGTGCATGACAAGCGATGGGTCCAAAGGATGATGTGTCCAGACGTAGGACCCACGGCCATGGTGTTGACATTTCAGGGGCGCGACGAGCTCCTTGCCGTCGGCCATCGAGTGTAGACATGCTTGATCGTTGGAAACAATCAGCAGACGTGTTAGGTCTTTATTGATAAGGAACTGCTGGACTCCTGTGACAGATGCTCGGTGGGAAAACACTTGCTGTGCGGACCATTCCTTCTTCGTGTTCTTCGACAGCTTATGGACCATGAGGAAACCGGCGGTGTCTGCGCTCACAAGAAGTTTGAGCTGCCCCTTGACGCCGAGAATGAGATCTTTGACGCTTGCCACGTGCGAGAAGAGGACACCCGCTTGTAGGCCTGTTCTGGTCTCGTGAGCTGAAACAGTGTTGTCCTCCCTGCCGACAAAAAAGGTCTGTCCTTCCGGGTCGCAAGAAATGGCGGTGATCTGGCTGAATGCCTCGTCGCCTTCTTCGAGCACCTCATCCTGGCTACTAGATGCAAGAGATGGTGACCGCACGCTGTTATGGCCTACAGTGCTGCAGGATCCCAGATACGGCAGTTCCGTCCTCCCGCGCGTATCACAATGAAGCGCTCGCTGTCTGCACTGAAGCTCAGAGCGGCGACGGTACCATCCTCCGGATGCGGTAGAGCCTGTGAAGTGTCTCAAAGTCATACAGCTCGATGGCACCGTCTTTTCGGGCAGCAGCGAGAGTCCTCCCGTCCGGAGACGAGGATAGATGGGAGAACCAGGCGGGTGTGACACGCGCTTGGATTGTGCCTTGCTCCACGTCAAAGAGCACTAGATCGGAGCACGAGAAAGAGACAGCGAGAAGTGGGCTTGCAGGGAGATTGCTAAAGGCCATGGCGTAAATAGATATGGACAGGTGCTGGTCGATGCCATCAGAGAGGCCATCCTGATGGTCGAAGATTTGGTAAGATTCCTGGTCATAGTTGTAGACTAGGACATGTCTGTGTCGGTAACCCAAGGCAAGGAGGCCTAGATCCTTGTTGAAGGCCGCTTGCTCGGCAGCAATGCCGGTGTACCAGGTGTAATGTGGCTCTTCGAGGATGTCAATCCAGCTCGTGGAGCTCGTAGAGCGGTTAATGAGATTCAGGGCCAGGATTGTGTTATTCGCCAGAGCGATCAGCAGCATTTGGTCATCGTCGATGAATGCCATGGCGAGGATGCTTTGCTTGCAGGAAACTTCCCATTGCTGTTTGCAAGTTTCCGTGTTCCATAAACGGATGAGTCTTTTGCTTGCATTGGCCAGTAGGGATTTGGAAATGGCGTATTCAAGGTGGAGGATAGGCTGCTGGTGACCCAGGACTGTTTCTTCCAGACTGGTTTGGTTATTGAAAATGGCGATCCTTTCGAGCGAGGTGCCAATATAAAAGTTGTTATCAGTAGTTGCGACCGAATTCAGGCGCTCGCGATGGACCATTCCTGAGGCCATCTGCTGTGGAGGACTTAGTGCGAGTGTACATAGACAGTCATCCTAAGTTTGAGACGAGAGCCCTGAGATAGTTAAAGTTGCTCCCATCCCACGCGAGAACTGCGCATGAGGAGCAGTATCCGGAGGGCAAAATGCTGGTATAATGTGTAGTATTGACTCCGGATGCATTAGAAGTTGTCGACCAAACTTGCTCATAAGTTTCACCAAGTTAATAGATCAGTCCTTGATTACGACCACCTCTTCTCCAAGTAATAAGTCTGTTTGGGACTTGCGGCGGAGGAAGACTTTGAGTACTTGAGCGAAGCGGAGAACCGCGTCCAGCTTCTCTCTCTTAGCTAGCTCTTCGATTCAGGATAGGACGTTGGTTTTCAAAAAGGTAGCTAATGCCGCCAGTATTTCGGGGTTGAGGGCTGAGCTCTTGTTGACTTAGCTTTTTTGGAGATAAGATAGCCTGTCCATTGGGGGGGGGGCATTATATTTTGGTAGATCATGAATGAATAGATATATGATCTGAAAACAAACTTGAGTCTCAGTGATACCCATATTGTTCATACTGTTGTCGCCGCAGCATATGGGACCCGGATCACACAGCACCAGAGATAGACTACTCTACTTCAACGCAATGTGACCCGCTAGCTCCGTTAGTCTTCAGTGTCCAATAGATGTCTTGATGGCCCTGGACTCCACAGTGTTTGCCCCTGCTTGGAGGTCACCAGCGCTTGTGTCTGCAACTGCGTATTGAGGATACGCGGTGAAGCTCTTCCTGGAGATGCCCACAGATGATGAGCGAGATCCTCACTGTCCCTTGTGACTGATAGAGTAGTTAGCCAGGGCCAAGGAAATCTACTAGGCAGGTTAGAAAGGCTGTGGAAGTCCGCCATGCCAATTTATGGATTATCCGGGATTGTAAATGCTGCTGCAATTGAAGTTCTTCCCTGGGGGCTTGGGGACGTCAATAAATGGCAGCTTCAACCTGTCTTGCGACCAGTGATAATTGTATAGCTGTGGTATGTTCTTCTTAACGTTTCAGTAGTAAATAGTGCTGTGACAAACTTGGCTGTGTTGCCAGTGAAGACCACTCAATGGCCGGCTGGCCGGCTAGGGTCAATTTGACGCTTAGTCAGACGCACAAGACTGTTATGTGAGTTTTGTTTTTTACGGGAAGCTCAGAGCTGCTAGACCTGGCGGCGAAGAATGGCAATCATGGCCTGGCAGTAGACAATTGCGTTCAGGGACGTTGCAGATCTGTTGCTGTACGCATGACCAGTGGCAAGGGCGAGCACGTTGCGGGTCATTCTTGTAAGCTTTATCGCCCCATCGTGTTGAGGCCTGATGATCCTTCCCTGGGTGAGCATCCCTTCTTACACAGTAAAGGGGCAGGGGGGCAAACTCTAGAGAATTGTGGTCTGCACGACGCCCCCCGGACCCCGCTCAAGGTGCTTGTCCAGCAGATAGTTCGTTGGTCGGCTGATAGAAAGATGGACAACTGGGCAGAAACAAGTCGCACTAACCCAGTCTTGCTGTGTGTTACCTCTTCCACGGAACAGAAGGTCGGTGAGGCAGACAATTTGCCGCAGGGGCGAATGTGTGCGGCAGCGGCAGCGGCAACTACCTAGGTAAGGACCTTGGTACCCAGGCAGGGCAAAAACCATCTAATAACTGTCTTGCTGTTCGGGCTGCCGGGGTGGTCTGTGGCCTGTGGTCTGCGCCGACCAACGAAACTGATCCACGCAACCCCAAACAGGTTGTTTCACGAATCAATCAACCACTCACTCTCGTGACTGGAAAAAGACCAGAACAACCGACGCTGTGCTGTGGATAGACTATCATGTCTGCAGCACAGAAGAGAACAAGTCAAGAGGATGGCACTGACCCGGCCCCTGACAATGGGGACCAGCCGCCCAAAAAGACAAAGCTCAGCCCGTCCGACGGTGGCGACGAGACCGCTGTCCTCCAGCGCCACCTGGACGAGGCTTTGGATTTCATCAACAGCTGTGGGCTCGCCTCAAGTACGACATCCAACCTCACATGCCACACCTGGTCAGCGCCGGACTGACCCTGCTGTTTCCAGAAGCACCCCACACCCTCCAGGCCCTCCTGGAATCCCGCCCAAATGTTGCCGAGGGCATGGCACAGCAGATCAAGACCAGGATATACGACACCTGGGAGCCGCTCTGCGCCGACACCTCTGGCAAACAGACCGGGATCCACTCGTCTGACCTCAGTTCCGCCCAGTGCTCTCACTTCCCCGCCATCGAGAGGCTGGCGAGGCTGCCCAACGAGCACAGCCTGCGCCTGGCCTACGAGCTTACCTGGTACCTTAAGGACAACTCGTACGGGGACATGAACGAGGACCGTGGGTTTGGCAACCGCCCATCGGATGAGCAAGGCGACATGCTGCTTGCCCGCCTGATCAGGGACCGCCGCGCCGCCGGCGAAACCTGGGACTATAAGCGTGACTTGGTTGACATTGACCGCGAGGCACAGCACATGGCCGGCTTTGGCGTCGAGAGTTGGTATCCCGAGTCCCGGGCGCTTCTAAGGGAGGCCCTCCGCTCTGCGAGCCAGGGATCAGACAAGGAGGCAGAGAATCAGCCATCCCCTGTCCCGAGCAAACACAAGCTTACGAAAGCAAACTTGGACATGTTCAGCGCGTATGAGAAGGATCGAAGGAGTAAGTACTTGTCATTCCCGGTCATTGGGTGGGGTTTTGCAGGCAGTACTGGAGATGGTTGACTCGCCTCAGAATATGGCAATCTGCCCGACCCCTAGCCGGAACCCCTATGTCGTCTTCCGGAATCAACACCTACAAATAAACTTTCCTCAGGGGAAGCATATAATGCTCCCGCTCACATCTACGGAGAAATCGGCAACAGCATTCTCCACCCCCTTCCTATCTCGAGTCCGCCCCGGAGAACTCTTCTGGATCGATCGAACGTGCATTAGCGATACAGGTATCCCACCCAACCAGAACGTGCTAACAACCAGCTCTTTCTGCTCGAAAGGAAGACGTCGGTGCCCTGTGCGGCGACATCCCAGGGCCACCATCCAGCATTGCCCCGGGACACTCGGCACCGAGTCGGCCGCCAAGGTTGACTGTCCGCCTGAAACTCCGGGCAGCGGCCATTTTTATCGCCTCGATCACGTAGGCCACGCCTCTCTCAATTTTATTCCGTTCTTACACATTTCTGCATTTTACAACCGTCTTCAGGCAAACTGAAACCATTGCTGGTTCTTGCTGGCTCCACCACATATCGTTGTTTGAGAGAGAAAGCGCTCTGTGCTCTGAACGACACGCCAGCTTTGGCCTTTGAAGACTCCAACTTTTGTTTTCCTTTCAAGTTTCCGCTGCAAACCAGCCAATGGGAAGTTTCCGTCAAGGGAATGGCGCGCAAGCTCATCGCACAATCGAGGCTGGACCCCATTCACTCGAGGATGACAGTGAAACGGAGGTGACTCGACTTTTAGGGGCAGAAGAAGCACCTGGAGATGGACGTGGAGCAGGTCATATTCCAAGGCACCAGGTAATCGTGGACGGGCAGGCTGCCACTGTTGCACAAACGCCTGCTGAACCACGCCCAGTGAGCGCGCCGCAGAAGGAGAAGAAGGAGACAGTCTCGTGGAAAGACCTCCCTCAAAAAACGCAGCTCGTCGTCATCACCCTGACGAGGCTGTCCGAGCCTCTCGTTCAGACCAGCCTGCAGGCTTACATGTTTTACCAGCTGAAATGGTTCGACCCAAGTCTTTCTGACTCTGTCATCTCAGGCCAGGCGGGTGTCCTGCACGCTTCTTTCACGGCGGCTCAGCTGCTCACTGCCATGATGTGGGGTCGAGTCGCTGATTCGAGTCGGTTCGGCCGTAAGAAGGTCATTTTGATCGGCCTGACTGGCACCATGATATCATGCTTGGGTTTCGGATTTAGCAAGACATTCTGGCAGGCTTTATTTTTTCGATGCCTCGGAGGAGTGACGAATGGCAATGTGGGCGTCCTCAGGACCATGATCAGTGAGATTGTGAGAGAGAAGAAATACCGTAGGTCTATGGTTTCCCAATTCCCTACCCTAGGCAACAAAGACAAAGCCCCAGAGTGCTGTTTTCAAAACAGAGATACCCCAAGACTGTGCCTCTTCACATGGCAGTTACTGAAATTCATCGCGACAGAGTCAAGGGCATTCCTCCTGCTTCCCATGACATTCAATATCGGTGTCATCATCGGGCCAATTCTTGGAGGAGTACTCGCAGATCCGGCAGCTAGCTATCCGGACTTGTTCGGCGAGACGAGGTTCTTCCTCAACTTCCCCTACGCTATGCCGAATCTTGTCAGCGCGTTCTTTCTGCTTTCTGCGTCTCTGACAGCCTGGATGTGTCTGGAAGAGGTGAGCCACTGGATGCTACCTGTTAACATAAGTACACTTGCTCACAGCAAGGCAGACGCTCGATGCGCGGGTTGACAAGAGAGACTGGGGAATTGAACTGCGCAAAAAGCTCGTTTCAGCCGTCTCTGATTACCTTTCTCGCAACAAGCTTGCCGCAGGGTACACGCCGTTGCCAGCTCGAGAGGAAGCCAGGACCAGCGTCGAGATGACACCCTCGAGGACCCCGTCACCAGCCACACCGACCGTCCCAAAGCCGTCGAAGCCGGCCAAACGCCAGCCGCGCTACACGCAGCGCCTGCCCTTCCGGCGCATCTTCACACGCAACGTGTGTCTCACCCTCCTGGCGCGCTTCTGTCTCGCCTTCCACGTTGGCACGTTCAACAGCCTGTGGTTCGTGTTCCTGTCGACGCCGGTCTACGACCCGAACAAGCCGTCAGACGGCCCAGGCCGCCACCTCCCGTTCGTCTTCACCGGCGGGCTGGGGCTTCCCCCCGCCAAGGTCGGCACGGCGATGGCGGTCCTGGGGGTCCTCGGCATCTCGCTGCAGCTCTTCGTCTACCCGGCCCTGTCGGCGCGCCTCGGGACCGTCAGGTGCCTGCGCATGTCCCTCGTGTGCTTCCCAATGGCCTACTTCCTCGCGCCATACCTCTCGCTCGTGCCGAGCTCCACGGAGCCCCCGGGCCCCAAGTCCGGCCCGGGCATATGGGTTGCTATCTCCGGGGTGCTGCTATGTCAGGTCGTCGGCAGGACGTTCGCGGCGCCGAACATGGCAATCCTCGTTAATAATTGCTCGCCGCACCCGAGCGTCCTGGGGACCTTCCACGGGCTGGCGCAGACCTGTAGCTCGGCCGCCAGGACCTTGGGGCCGGTGCTGTGTGGGTTTCTGTACGGCGTTGGGCTGGCGCATGGGGTCGTCGGTGGCGTGTGGTGGGGCCTGAGTTTGTGGGCTGCCATGGGGTGGTTGACGAGTTGGCTGCTGAAAGAAGGCGATGGGCACGAAATTTGGCTGGAAGGCGACGAAGAAGATGACGGCGTAGAAACAACGAAAACTGTCTAGACCGTGTCAGAGCGCAGCGAGCGTCAAATCCAGTGGCTGTTGACATTGTTTGGTGTATTGTGGGCTTCTAAGTTGTCACAGGATATACTATTTATTGAATGGGGCTCGGGTATTCCTATAGGCGTGTGGCATGATTGTTTCGAGAAAATAGACTCAGACCATAGATTCAGCAATGTATTTGGATTATTCACCTACATAAGAAGACTTTAAAGGGAAAATTACCCTTGCCAGGCGCTGGGAAAGGCTGGCAGAGTAGATGTCATGTTGAGAAGAGGACCTCTGTTCAAGAAGTAAATGTGCTTTACTCTGCAAAAAGTTCGACTTCGATTCCTAAGCCCAACCCCTCCCCAAGATAGGACATGCATATACGAATCTAGTCGATTCCATCGAATCCAAGACGATAGATTACCGCCCGCCGGATTGTGCTGCCGATATAGTGGGTCACTACCCATGTCTTGATATGGTGTGAACTAGTGAGTAGTCTATAGCAGCAAAATGGAGAATAGCCTCATGCAAATGCCCAATCAGAAGACTTCTATAGCTGATGTCCCCTTACATGCTGCTGCTGACGTATCGATGCATGCTTGGCATCCATTCGGCCGGAGCTGGGCAGAGACCAGACCAGGAGCACTTGAGCCAAGTGGGTTCATCTCACCTGGAGAGGGGGAGGGGTTCGCACAGGATACTCAGAACTGAATATTTGGAACCTCGGCACCTACATGATAGACCCGTCTTCCTGATCACTCATGTCTGTTACAACATTCAGTACGCTACAGGCCAATTGAGCACATTTGGCTGCTGGCGGTACAGTCATGGACAACCAGACTACCAAAGCAAGCGGCATCATTGATGCTGCGGCCAATGCAACTCGGTGGTCGTCACTGGTGTTTCTCTCTCTATCTCTACTCACGTTCTGGTATCTAGTCAATCACTTCATCTCGCCTGTCAGGGACTATCCAGGCCCTTTCTTAGCCAGTGAGTGTATCATTTCCCCTACCCTCCATTCTCAAGGTCTCTAATGACCATGAAGAGTACACGAATCTCTGGAGAACTTGGCACGCTTCTCGTCGCAACATCCATCTGGTATACCAGGAGCTTCACAAAAAGTATGGACCCATCGTGCGCGTCGGGCCCAACGTGCTAGACGTTGATCTCCCAGAGATCGTAAAGCCGGCCTTCAACGACATCAAAGGTGACTGGCAAAAGGTAAGGAATCATACTTTGTGTGAATGATGGTGACGAGGATCTGAGTTTCCATCAATAGACCGACTTTTATCACAGCAGCAGTGCGCAAGTCAGTGGGAAGCTCATATTTCAATCTTTTCAGTGAGACGGACGCAAAGAAGCATGCCAGGGAGAAGAGACCTGTCGCAAAGTATTACTCTAAGGGGGCCGTCGCAGCCTTGGAGCCTCATGTGAACGCCATGATATCCAAACTTTGTCAGTCCCTGGATAGTCGCTTTGCCAATAGCGGGACAGGCTTCGACCTGGGACCGTGGTTACTATTCTGTACGTTCAAAACTTGATGCATTCATCCAAAGCTTCATATACTCTGCCTTTGGACCGTTCTAGAGTCTTGCCTAGCAACTTATCATGGAATGCAGACTAACATGATCGAGATGCCTGGGACGTGGTAGGGGCCGTGACATTCAGCCGACCGCTCGTACCTCGACAAAGGCGACGACTTTGACGGAACCCTGAGAGACTCGGCGAGAGTCCAAGACTATTTCTCTCTCGTAGGGGCAATGCCTTATCTGGACAAATGGCTTGGCAAGAACCCCATCGTGCAAATCGGGACACCGCCCTTCGGTGCCATGACGGGCAGAATCGTGAAGTACCTAACCGATCGGTACCAAGGCAACGACAGAGACTACCACGACCCGGAGGAACCCGACTTTCTGGACCACTTCATCGAGGCTAAGGAGGCAGACCCGGAGGACGTCGACGATGCGCAGATCGTCTCGTGGCTGATGATCAACGTGCTGGCCGGGGCCGATACCACAGCCCTGGCCCTCAAGACGGCCTTCTACTACTGCCTCCGGGACGAGCGCATCTGGCAGCGGCTGAGGAAGGAGCTCCTGGATGCGGGTGCGCGAGAGGCGACGCCTGTCCCCTATGAGGTCGCGCACTCAGCGCCCTATCTTGAAGCGGTGGTTCGCGAGGCACTTCGCACTCTGCCTGGTATATCAATGTCGCTGGAGCGGTATGTTCCCAGGGACGGTCATCGACTCTCGGACGGCAGCTTTCTCCCGGGTGGTAGCACCGTTGGGGTCAACCCTTATCTGATCGCCAGGAATAAGGGGATATACGGGGATGACGTGGAAGAGTTCAGACCGGAGAGGTGGCTGCGCGATGAGGCTGCTGGCGAGACGCCAGAGCAGTTCGAAGCCCGTCTTGCTGCGATGAACAGCGTTGACCTGACCTGTAAGCACAATTCTTCTCCTTTTACAGTTCCCTATCTGTCGTGTTTCGAAATACTCCAGAATACATCGCTTGACGTTCCGGAGTAGGCAATTAACACATACTAGTTGGAGGAGGCAGACGAATCTGTATCGGCAAAAATCTTGGACTTTTCCAAGTGTGCAAGGTTCTTGCAACGTTGGTCACGTCGTACGAAATGGAACTGGTCGACCCGAAAGGAAAGTGGAAGATTATCAATAGCTGGTTCCCCAGGCAAGAGGGTGGGTTAGATATCCGGATTACAAGACGGAAGAGTGCATAGGATGTCATCTGGTCATGGCTCCAGTCCGAAGCCTGCTCAGGTGTAGAAGAGGGAAAACAAGGAACTTAAGTGCTATGACTCTTGCATTCATCATGCTTGCTGCTGTTCGCACACCCTCGCTCATGGTATTAACCAAACGAGATGCTATATACGATGTACTAACACTGTAACAGCGGATGTACTGGGCTTCCAAGCCCTGGCGTTCTGTTTATTTGTCTTGTTAAAGTTTCGTAAGTGAGCGAGAATATTATGAGACGTTCATAACTCGGTGTGAAAAAGAGACGGTAAAGCATGTATAAGCTTCCTCCATGCCTGCCAATGCATGTAGTTGCAACTTGCGACCCGCACTGTGGATGATGAAGAGATATTTGTCTTCTTGTCTCGTTCAGTGAAGGACACTTCACTCTGATCCATCAATGCGATGATGGCCAAAAACGCCTCATACGTTCTGAGGTATGGGATCGGTACCTCTAATATTGGCAATAAGTACTCCCTATTGGTGCTTGATCTTAAGTGCATGTGATACCTGCACACAATACTAGTAGGGCAAACCGTTTGGCGGCCTCCGGGTTACGAAGGGCTAAGTCTGTCACAGGGCATGAGATTTGGCATGTCATGACCAAGTCCTGCTTCTGCCGACTTATCCACCGACTGCAAATATCCACATAGACACAGTCAATGCATGCGGGTAGTGGCATTGCAGCTCACCCGGTCACGTCTCAGTTTCCGGGTATCCTACCCCTGAGGCGGGATTTCGGCAGCTGTTGCAGACCACGGCGGCAGTGCGGTCCAAAATGATTGGGAGGTGGACATGCAAGATCAGCGGCATCCAGAATCATTTGCCGCTTGTGCAGGTAGTGTGGAAGATAAAAAAAGACTGTCGAGATTGTAGGCGGTTCGGCGACGAATGAGAACGCTCACATTCGTGATCACTGTGAATGCGCCACGACGGGTGTCTTGGACTGCGACCTGGTTGAGTATTTCAATTTGGAAGATCCCGCTCTCAGACTGAAGATGAGCGAGACTGGATTCGCTTTACGTTCTCTCCAGTTGCAATTTTCAATCTCGGAGAAAAGATGGTGAAGTTGAACCTCGCAGGAGCCGTGCTGGCCGCGGCAGGTAAGACTTCCCTGCCCCCACTTCTACCCCTGCACCGACCAACTTCCTCCATGACACCCTAACCCTCCCCTGTCGCTCAACATCACATCGCCACACTGAAGCAGCTCTTTTGTCATGACAGTTTGTTTAATCCTAGACTTGAAGATATGTGTGCTGACTGATGGTGTAAAGCCCTGATTGCATCCTCTCTAGCTGCGCAATCGACCTTCATCGCCCCCACTCAATCCGTCGCCTTCGCGCTGAGCATTCCGGATGATGCCAGCAACGATGACATCTACTTCAGCATTGCCATGGCCCGCGGGCTGAGCTGGGCTTCCGTTGGAATTGGTGGGCACAAAATGCCCGGGTCCCTCATGTTCATGATATACCCTTCAGCATCCGAGAAAAACGTGACCTTCTCACCCCGCCTCGCAACCGACCACACGGAGCCAGAATTCTACCCCAGCCTGGACTTCGAGACACTATCCAACGCCACAGGCCTGGTGAACGAGACGACATATATTTACAGCGCCGTCTGCCACAACTGTCGGACCTGGCGGGGCGGCTCCCTCGATGTGAACAGCACTTCGCAGCAGTTCATCTTCGCGACGGGGCCGGGTGGGGAAGAGGGCAGCGACAGCGACCAGGCATCGGTGAAGCTTCACTACGAACACGGTGCCTTCACCATGGACATGCGGCATGCCACTGGCCCTGCCGGCCCCGCAGTGTTGAACGCCGTCACGGCGGACGACAACGAGGGATCCGTGTTGGTGGGTGAGCCTGTTGAGGGTATGAACGACTGGGTGGCTGTGATCCATGCCGTGTTTATGATAGGGTGTTTCGTCGGCCTAATGCCTTTTGGTATCTTGATACTGCGCCTAGGTGGGTGGGTAAGATGGCATGGGCTCAACCAGGGCGTTGCCATGATTGGTGTGATTGTAGGCCTGGGACTGGGAATTAAGGCCGGCACGCTTTACAACAGGGTAAGCTTCATCCTGAGAGAAAGGAGAAAGAGGAAAATGATGTGGTTTTACTGACTGGACGGCGCGACAGACCAAGAACTTCAACACGGCTCACCAGGTCATTGGCATCATCGTCTTCATATTCATCCTGGCCCAGTTCACGTTGGGTGTCATGCACCATCGAGTTTTCAAGAAGACCCAGCAGCCCACCAAGTTCGCCCCAATCCACGTCTGGCTGGGCAGGGCAGCCATCATTTTGGGGATAGTGAATGCCTTCCTGTATGTTCTCAACCCTGTTATCTCACCTTACCTCTGGACAGAACGCAAAACTGACGCGATTATGCAGCGGTTTCCCACTTGCCCTGTCTCCCCGGCACAACTACACGCTGCTGGGACTCGTCATCGCCGTCTCCTCGGTCATCCTCATCTTGCTTTCCATGAGGCTGGTGTTCATGAGACGTCGTCAGCGCCGTGAGGAGGAGAGACGGAATGAGGGGCCCACTGGGTATCAGGCCGAGCCGTGGATGGCACCTGGCTTGCACCAGCACAGCAACGCTGGCTCCTTTGAGATGGGATCTCTAAGGAAGAGCGGCAGTACTACGGTTGTCGAGGCTAGACCTCCGCCGGCTTATGCGTAGCGTAGCATGAAGAATGAGAAGAACTTGTTACGCTGACTGGGATGCTCACATGCTCATAAAGATGCTGGATCTGTTGGAAGTGAATAAAGAAATATCTGGACATGACGGGCTTTGAAGGTCTGGCCTCTGCTGTGCCTCGATTCGCTTGCGGCAGACTGCAGAAGCGAACGCCAATCGATGCTGATCATGCAGACATGGCTGTCAGCCGCAAGGCGAGCACCCGACTCATGCACATTGCGCGCAAGATTCCAACCCTTGGAAGTTACCAGTGCCCATTTTGGCGTAGTTTACACGATAGTCTGCTGCGAAACGGCGTCGCGGCCAAACTATGGGGGACAGACATGTCGTCGAGAGACGGAGTCGGATCTTGTCTAAGCCCAGATCCGCCCGTGCCTCGGCTGGACGGGGGCTTTGTGGGGGAAGCCAAGCTAGCTTAATCTCCGCCCGAGGAACGCGTGGATCGCCGTCTCTATTCCAGCCTGCAACCGCGAACCCCAAACCCCAAACGAGGGGGCCCGTGCAACTCCCGAGCTTCATTGGGCATCCCCACACTCACATGCTGCTCCTCAAGAACTGGGTCCCGAGCTCCTGGGTCCGCTCGCTTCTCGACAGCCTTGGAAGTTTTAACCTCTCGCCAACCATTCCGGCCAACTGCAACTGTTGAGTATCAGATATCAACTGCAGCTTGCGCCAACGTCCAACGTCCAACGGTTCTTGCCAACCAGGCACTATTAGTTCTTGGCTCTGCTCGCTTTGCAAGGTTGCCCTCGCCCTGTTACACTCTAGTCTCTCCTTTCGCCCCCTCACTCGTCTTTTTTTCCTCAAGCACCCTTTTATCACCCGCTCTCCCTTCACATCCATACATTATTACCTTGTATCGCTTTCGTGTGCGGATACATCCATTATGGCTTCCAGATCTAGCATCGACAAGGGTTCAAAGGTTGACATCCCAGCCTTCACCCCCACTGCTGTCGACAGCATCCCCGAGACCTGCTCCGCCGTGCGCGCCGGTTTCCGCACCCTCAAGACCAAGGACCTGGAGTACCGCAAGGTGCAGCTCCGCAAGCTGTACTGGGGCATCAAGGACCATGGCGCCCTGCTCGAGGAGGCCCTGATGCGCGACCTGCGCAAGTCCGCCTACGAGTCCAGGTTCGCCGAGATCGACTGGACCGCCAACGACTGCATGTTCATGCTCGACAACCTCGACAAGTTCGCCAAGGACGAAATTCCTGACGTTCCCTTCGTCTTCAAACCCAACAAGGTCCGCATCCACAAGGAGCCCCTGGGCAGCGCCCTCATCATCGGCACCTACAACTTTCCCTTCATGCTCACCGTCGTGCCCCTGGTCGGCGCCATCGCCGCCGGGTGCACTGCTGTCCTGAAGCCCTCCGAGGGCGCTCCGAACGTCGCCATGGCCATCAAGTTGATTGTGGAGAGCTGCCTGGACCCGGAGGCATACCGTGTAGTGAACGGCGCCGTCCCGGAGACCACCGCCCTGCTCGACCAGAAGTGGGACAAGATCTTCTACACGGGCAGCGCCAACGTCGCCCGCATCATCTGCAAGAGGGCCGCCGAGAACCTGACCCCCGTCACCCTCGAGCTCGGCGGCCGCAACCCGGCCTTTGTCACGCGCAACGCCGACCTGAAGCTGGCCGCGAAGCGACTGCTCTGGGCAAAGACCCTCTGTGCCGGCCAGGTCTGCCTCTCCCAGAACTACGTTCTGGTGGAGCGTGAGGCGGTGGACGACTTCATCACGCAGCTCAACGCCGCCAACAAGCAGGCGTTCCCCCAGGGCGCCAAGGCGAGCCCTGACCTGTGCCGCGTCGTGAACGAGAGGCACTTCATGCGGATGAAGAAGATGGTGGACGAGAGCAAGGGCAAGATCGTCATGGGCGGCGAGATGGACCAGTCGGAGCTGTTCATCGCGCCCACGGCGGTGCTGGTCAACTCGGTGGACGACAGTATGATGAAGGAGGAGTCCTTCGGGCCTGTCTTCTGTATCATTCCATTCGACAACCTCGGCGACGCCATTGACATTGCCAACAATGTAGACCCCACCCCACTGGCCCTGTTTGGCTTTGGCACACGAGAAGAATTCAACAGGCGTATGTTACCCCGTGACTCCATCTCTCAAGTTTCCACAACAGCAAGATGCTAACCCCCTCTCCTTCTCAGTCATCAACGGAGTCACCTCGGGCGGCGCGAGCTACAACGACTCCTTCATACACGCCTCGATCCAGACGGTCCCCTTCGGCGGCGTGGGCGAGTCCGGAACGGGCAGCTACCGCGGCAAGGCCTCGTTCGACGCCTTCACGCACCAGCGCAGCATCGCCGAGACGCCCGCCTGGGCCGAGTCCACCCTCCGCGTCCGCTACCAGCCCTACGACTGGTCGCAGCTCAACATGCTCAAGTTCCTGACCGAGAGGAAGCCCAACTTCGACCGCGAGGGCCGCGTCGTCCGGGGGCTCGGCTACTGGTTCAAGGTGCTGCTGGGCCTGGGCACGGCGGAGAAGAAAGGTGCGTTGCTGAGGTGGTTGTTCCTGGCCGTGGGGTGGTTTTATCTGACTGGCGGGAAGCGGACAAGTAGGCTTTGATTCTTGAGCGTGGCGCTGCCTGCTTGCTTTCGCATGCTTGTAATTGCGTTTGTCTTCGACCAGTCTCACTCTTTACGCTGCGACTTGCCGCTGCTCGTCGATTCCTCGTGTGTGCGCTTGAGTATTGCGGCAAAAGCTCTGCGTTTTCAGGATGGCACGGTGGCTGTGCAGGTGCTTGCACAACGAGGACTTGTACATTAGGATGCGGGCATGATGACGGCTTTGATGCTGTCCAGGGACTTGAAAAAAGGGCGCAAAAGTTTGGGGGGATAGCTGCACAGCTGCCGAGGGCTGTCTATACTGCTGATACTTAGCACTCACTAGGAGAGTAATAATGATGCGATTGAGTACAATGCAGTTCTGTTTCCTGCCTTGGGCACCATGAACGCGACAACGGACCGTAGCTAGCGAAGAGCGCCTCTGCAAGACGAAGGTTAGCAAGGCGTCCAATGAAGCTGTGGCGATCTGATTGGTGAATCAAACTCTTGGTAACAGGATGGAGCAAGACATGCCATGCTGTACTTGAAGCACACAAAAGAATTAACGTAGTGGGCATCATGATGCACAAGCTTCTCTGTCCATAATCAACTGGTCCATCTTCTCTAATATTACTTAGGGTGGGAGACTAAGATGGTGTGGCGAGGAGGGAGAGGGAAAATAGAGGAATAGGGGGAAAAAGAAACTCAGTAGCTCAGTGAGGAGGAGGAGTGATACTTACTTTGTGCTGTGAAGGGGCCTCGTGTTATCATTTATATTGTCTTCTTTATTGTTTTCTTTAGATTTATTTCTTTTCTTATTTCATTTTATTTAATTGTGGCTTGGGTAACTTCAAGTCTGTTTTCATATGTATCTTTTATGGTGGTGTTGGCAAGTTAATTTGTTGTGGTCCTTTGGTATTTCATGGTGGTCCTTTAATTGTTTCTGATGTCTGGTGGTGTGTATCGGCTTGGGGAACGGTGAGTCTGTTTGTCGTATGTCTTTACTATCTCTCTCTCTTACTCTCTCTCTTTCTCTCTTTCTTTCTCTCTTTCTTTCTCTCTTTCTTTCTTTCTGTGAGTTTGTTTGTTGTTGAGGTATATATGTAGAACTTAGTATTGAGAAGAGGGGAGGGGCAATGCTAGGGGTTTGTCGTCATGTTTGGAGAATGAGTTTTGAGAAGGGGAGGGGAAATGCAAGTGGGGACTTTCTTTTGTTTTCTTATCTTTTCATCTGGCGTTTGTATATTTCTTAATAGTATATTTGGCGTTTGTTTGTTGTCGTTGGCGGAGGGGCTGTGGCAGTTGAGGAGGTGGAGGGGGTGGGGGTGAGGATATCTTGAGCTTTTTGCGACTTGTCTTATTTGTTGCCCGCTTTCTTTTTAACGTTTAGCTTTTTGGGATGAACTCCTGACCTTTAGGTTTCTTGAGCTGGGGTGTGTGTGAGTGTACCTGTCGAATTGTTAGCGTTGCTGCTCGGTGGTTGTGACCACTGAGCTACTGAGTGTTGAAATCAGACGAGAACGCTATTTGAAATGGGAGGGGGGAGGGGCGAGGGGTATCCTGGGGCCTAGGGAGGAGGGATTTTGGATGGAAAGGCAGATGGGTGGCCTGCGACGGCCGAGAGGACGCTTCGGACCTCCTGCTTGTCGTCTCAATCTGCTTCTATCGCACCACTGGCCCTGACCAGGCACCTGCTGATGGCTGATGAGGGTTCCAGACAACATATGAAGAGCCTCGAGTATCAGCGACTTCCACTCCGCGGGGGTGGCTCCAATCTCGCCTTGCGATGCTCGCGTCAGTTGTGGTAAGAGGAGGGAGCAGCAAGTGGCTGGAGAGGACAATGTCTGCTCGCAGCCACACGAAATCAAGGCACAATTCTGGCTAAGAGTCTGGTCATGATTTCGGGTCAAGATGTCAGGGCCATCAGTCTGTCAGAAGAATATGAGGAGCACGCTTTGAAGATGAGTGATGGCGAAGTGTTGGCTTCCTGACCATATATGAAAGAGCGTATACGGAGAGAAGATGACAATGTCGAAGGCTGATGACAAGAGAAGAATGGACATGAAGAGAGGCTACAATCAGCTTAATATTATGTGCTTCTTCTACATGACCGTGACTGGCTTCTGCCAAAAAGCAGAATGATCGTGCTTGATTCAGATTCATCATCTATCCGGTTCCAATTCTTCACGTATGGGGTGGCTTCTCCATCGTCATAATACAAGCTGTAGCTCTAGATGCCGCTCCACCAGAACGTCTCGGGCACCTTGAAGCTGCCCTTGACGGCCCTGTCCTCTCTCACCTCACTGCTATCACTGACGATCACCTCGTACTTGCCCTCCTCGACGACCCACTTGCCCCTCTCCTCATCAAAGTAGCTCGCAGCATACTTGGTCTCGATGTCGATGTTGACCGTCTTCTCCTCGCCAGGGCCAAGCTCAACCTTGGCGAAGCCCTGCAACTCCTTGATCGGCCGGTTGACCTTGGCCTTCTGCTTGGGCGCCACATAGACTTGGACCACCTCGGCGCCCTTCACCTTGCCCGTGTTCTTGACCTTGACGCTGACGCTCAGCTTGCCGTCCGCCTCAGACACCTCCAGCCCGCTGAACTGGAAGGTGGTGTAGCTGAGGCCGTGCCCGAACGGGAACAGCACCTGCCTGTCCACAAACTCGTAGTACCTGTATCCCACGTAGACGTCCTCGCCGTAGATGGTCCTGCCGCCCTCCGTGCGGAAGTTGAGGAACGCCGGGTTGTGCTGCAGCTTGATGGGCCAGCTGAGGCTGAGCTTCCCGGACGGGGTGACGTCGCCGAAGAGCACGTCCGCGATCGCGTTGCCCGTCTCGTTTCCGCCGTACCAGGCTTGCACGATGGCGCCGGCCTTGTCGGCCCAGGGCATTGTGACAGGGGTACCAGACTGGTTGACCACGACGGTGTGGTCCGGGTTGGCCTCTACAACCGCTGTGATGAGATCGTCCAATCCCGGGGGCAGATCCATGTTCTCCCTGTCTGAGCCCTCCGTCTCCCAGTCCGCGTTGAGGCCCGCGCAGATGATGACCTGATCGGCGTCCTTGGCCAGCGCCGCAGCCCTCTGGATCTCTTTCTCAGCATCGATGATCTTGCAGCCGCCTACCCTCAGCCCGCCGCCGCCGAAGAGCACATTCCCACCGGCCAGCTTCGACGTGGCAGCGCTGCCGAACTGTACTTTGAAGTGATACGTCTCGCCCTTCTTGACACTGAAGTGGCCAATCTCCTCAACAGTTCCCTGTCCGAAGAAAGTATCGCCTTGTCTCTGCACCGTGTCGTTGTCGACGACGAGCTTACCATTGCAGAAAAGCTTGGCAGTGCCGATGACGACCAGAGAGAGCGACCACTTGGCGTCCTCATCAGCGACAAAGGAGCCTTCGAGGTCGGCATACCACTTCTCCGAAGTGATCTTGGGGTTGTAGTAGTCCACCAGCAGAAGGTCCGTCTTGTCCAGCTCCACGACATCCAAGGGTGTGCGGTCGGCCTTGTCGTCGGGGTGCTCGTTGTATGCTGTCATCGTCATTCCGGGTTTGCCAGACTTGGACTTGAGCACGCTCCCAAGGAGAGGGAGCATCTTATTGGCATAATGGCCAACGGAGTATTCGGGTGGTGAATCCAGCTTGGCGCTTATGCCGTCGAATGGGGTGACGGCGTAGAAGGCGGCAAGCGATGCAGACCCGCCGCCGTGGTAGGTCGCGATCTTTGCGTTAGGACCAATGACTACGGTCTGGGACAATGTCAGCATCAAGTCACAAGCATGAAAAGACCAATAGACAGCTGACCTTCTTGTCCTTCTTCAGAGGCAGGATGTTCTTCTCGTTCTTGAGAAGTACGAGAGACTCGCCACCGATCTTCCTCAGCAGCGCAGCCGTCTCAGGCGTGTCTTCCGCCCTCTCCTCCTGGCCCTCCTTCACGCCGGACGCAGCACACTTCTTGACGAATTGCAGCACCTCTCTGGCCCTCTCGTCCAGGATGTGCTCCCGTACCTTGTCCGTCGAGACGTTGAACTTCAGAGCCTCGCCCCTGAACCTCGGCGGACCGGGCATCTCCAGGTCTAGTCCTGCGAGGACAGACTCAGTCGTGCTGTAGGAGCCGAACCAGTCACTCATCACGAGGCCCTTCCAGCCCCACTCGCCCCGGAGCAGCCCATCCAGCAGTTCCTTGTTCTCGCTGCAGTACGTGCCGTTGATACCGTTGTAGGCAGTCATGAAGCTCGCCGGATTCGAGTCCCGCACTGCGATCTGGAAGGGCTTGGCGTAGATCTCCCTCAGTGCCCGATCTGTTACAATGGCCTGCGTGGCGTTGCGTTTATGCTCGAGGTCGTTGCACACGAAGTGCTTGATAGTGGCCTGGATGCCCTTACTCTGTATTCCGTTGACAAGGGCAGATGCGCCGAGCCCAGCCAGCACCGGGTCCTCGCCAATGGACTCAAAACCTCGGCCGCCCAGTGGTGATCGCTGCATGTTGATGGTCGGCCCGAGGATTACGTGGGCGCCCTTGGACTTGGCCTCATCACCCATCTTGCGGCCTGCTTCCTCTAGCAGGGGAAGGTTGAAGGTTGCGCCCAAGCCGGTCCCACAGGGGAAGCAGGCTGCCTTGATACCATTGAAAAATCTGGAACGGGATTAAATTGTGTCCAGACGATGCTTGGGCATCAAGACAGGTGACAAGTATGGCGATTGCCTTTTGAAAGTGGCAGTGGGAAATGAGACTTACTTGGTGCCTCTCACGCCGTTAGGTCCATCTGAAGTGCGTAAGGAGGGGATGCCATGATGAGGAAGGGCCTTGGTGTGCCAAAAGTCGATGCCAGACAAGAGTTCACACTTCTCGCTAGGGGTGAGCTTCTTGAGAACCTCCTCGACGTTGATGTCCGCCATTGTGCAGGATTGTTGGTAGGGTTGTTAGAGAACAACTATAATCTACTCCACACAGCCGAGTTGCTGAGGTAGGTAATTTAAAGGAAGGAAGAAGATTCAAATAGAACCATTCACTGACTAGTGTTTTGAAGACGGGGCGTAGGACGGGAGTGGAGGCAGCAGTGAACAAGAGCAACCCTCTTCACTTATAATAAAGCATCAGGGTGTAGTGTGACGAGGTGACTGACGTCTCCGGCCTACGAGGCTCGACCGAGCTTCCCACGCCCGCTCGGCGTGGGCCCAGCCGTGTGCCCAGGACATGGCACGACGCAGAAACGGTTGCGTGGTACCTGAACATCAGCCGGCACACGCTGGGTCACAGCTTCCCGGGCATCACACAAGGGGGGAATGGGCTGCTACGGGGAAGGGGGCTAGCTGGCTTTGCCCGAGTCGGCGGTCACCATGCCGGCACCGCTTCATGGTTGTGCACCTGCCCTACCAAACGTTTGTGTGCTCTGGCTCTGGACAAGAAGGGCCAAGTCTCCGCCCGAGACCAGCTCCTCAATATCCATCTCCCCGGCAGGGGCGGAGCGGAACGCATGGCTTGGTCCCTAGGGTGAACAGGTGAGCAAAAGCTCAGGCTTTAGGAGGGGTATTGCGTACGTGAAAGCCCAATGTGCTGCAGGGGGTGGGTGAGGAGACCCCTCAAGATCGTCAGAGCCGAGGTTTACCCAGTTCCGAACTTGGACCGCTCGGCTGAACCTACACCAATTGTGGACCCAGCTGGGAGCGCTAGAGGGGGACCTTCTGCCCGTCTTTCCGTCTGGTATTTCATCTATGTTTTTCCTACAAAACCTCCGAGGCGATCGTGATGCCGGGTCTGAAGCGTCCTGGATCCGGTAGGGCATTTGGCTTGACCCGCCCGAAGCTTTCCTGAAGAGCTGTTTGGTCTGCTGATTCTGCGGAACAAGGGAGAGGATTCCCTGGCTAATCAACCTTGCATATTCCCAACAGATCTTGATCGCGCCTCAGTCGATGAAGTAAACAAATCGTAGAACTGTGCGATGATTCTGAGGCCACGCTTTCGGGCTTCGCTCGACCGAGCGTGCGGCTACGTGGCCTCCGTGGGAAAGGTAAGGACATCGACAGCACCCTGGTATCATACGTACGGGTCGCACCACAGGACCCTAGAGTTTGGCTAGACACTTACAAGTAGGTACGTGGGAAGGGATCAGAAGGATAGACAAAAAAATTACTTACCTGGACGTTGCTCTACAGGTCAGCTTTGACCACATAAGATTTATTGGGCCGTCATTCGCAGCAAAGCTTCCCACAGAGGGCTTTGCAACAGCAAAGAGCACGTAATCTATTGGTGAAGTCATGCCTGAATGTTTCAAATACCCACGAGCTCACACTAGATGGCCACACATCTCTGCATGGCCTGTCGGTGTCACTACAAGCAAAGTGGGAAATGCATCTCATATGTTCCCTCTATTACCGAAAACCTTCGAGGCTCTATTCTCGTATGTGTTCGTCACAGTAGCCCCTCAGAGGGGTCCTTCAACTCAACCAGGTATTGTTCCCTAAGACGCGCAAACACAAACCGGGACCGTGAGACCAAACGCCAGCAAAATCAGATTGAAAACAAAATGTTGTCCAACGACGATACAATCAAGCCACCTGTGCTACCGACCGGCCCCCACGAGCAGCTGTGCCACCCTTGCGCTGTCCGGCATTGGGCCTTGCCAGCGTGTACTTGGCGAAGGCACGTGCCAGTGCCTTCTTGCAGCTGACCTTCTGGCTGCCAACGAAACTCTCAATCGTCACCGCAATGGCTCGGTCGATGTCCTGCGACGTCACGTAATCAGCCAGCCTCATACGGCAGAATGCCTCGCTGATGCGGATGATGGCTTCCAGATGACGGACCTGAGAAAATCATCGTTAGCCATTTGAAAGTTGGTACTACGGCGCCAGAAAATGACTTACTGTGATCGGGTAGGCACCAGTGGCTAGACTCTCTCTGCGCATGTCGGCGAAAAGTCGTGAGATCTTGTCCTCGTCCATGTTACCCAACTTCGGCGAACAGTGCTCCCGTGCCCAAAGGATATACTTGCGGAGAAGCTCCTGTGGGATTTCGCCTTCCTTGGTAGGGCCCGTGGCTGTTCTCGAGGTAGCTTGGGTCTCGGTTGCTTGGGTCTCGCCCTCGACATCCATGGAGTCGTCATTGGTCTTCTGAGTGTCGGTCGGGTGGCTACGACTGTGTGATCCAACAATGAATCGGGCGAGACGCTCGTCTTCGGATGGATCCACAGTATCGCGGACAACACAGAGAATGTCAAAACGAGACAGAATGGGCTCTGTCAACTCCACGTTGGAAGAAAATGGGATTGTCGAGTTATAGCGGCCACCGATGGGGTTGGCTGCGGCGATGATACCGCAGCGTGCTTGCAGCGTCGTGACAATACCAGCCTTGGAGATTGAGATGGTCTGCTGCTCCATGGCCTCGTGGATGGACGTCCGATCCTGATCGTTCATCTTGTCAAACTCGTCGATAAGGCAGGTGCCGCGGTCCGCGAGCACAAGTGCACCGCCCTCTAGAGTCCACTCGCTGGTCAGAGGATCCCGACGGACACTAGCCGTGAGACCCACAGCACTGGCTCCCTGCCCAGTCGCAAACACGGCGCGGTGGGCAGTCTTCTCGACATACTTGAGCACTTGTGATTTTGCAGTACCGGGGTCACCCAGGAGAAGAACGTTGATGTCTCCACGGACGTGATGAGAGCCCTTGGTCGTCTTTGCTACACCGCCGAAGAGGGACAGAGATACTGCAGTCTTGATGTCTGTGTGCCCGTAGATGCTGGGAGCGATCGAGTTGATGATCTTATCGATGATTTGAGGATCTTTTGACAGTCTGCGAATTTCTTGCTCGTCCTCTTCAGTGAGCCGGAATCCAGCAAGCTGGTCGTGGACCTTGACGACGTTGTTGGCTTCGAGGATAGTGGCAAAGACTGGGAAACCATTTCGGTTGTTCAACTGCGCGTCGTAGTTATTACGATAGATGCCGGTCACTTCAATCTCCTCACCAGGCTTGGCCTTGTCGATCAGATCCCACAGAAGAATGACTTCCCTGTGGCGCGGAAGACGACCAGCAGGGACTGTACCAGGCGACTCCTGGAGAGTCAGTTTCTGGTAATTGCGGTAGACTGTCTTCTCAGAGTTCACGGTAAATGGGCCGCGGGATTGACAATTCTGACAGTAGGTGATTTTGACCTCGACGTTCGACTCCTGCTGAAATGGACCCAGGGTGATTCCGCACTTGGTGCAGTCGAATTTGACATATTTCAGCTGCGGGAAAACACCGGTGCGCCGGGTGACGACACCGCTGACTCGGACCAAGCTGTTGAGGTGCTGCTGTCGAAGCTGTCGCAGGGTGTAGTTCAGGGGCAAGTCATAGATTCTGACATGGATTTCGGCGTGGATGCGCTCGTAGTCGGGGTAGTGGAGGAGGACAACGTCCATGGCCACTTCGTCGAACAACTTGAGCATCTCGGTAGGTGCATTTGCCAGGAAGAAAGCCAGAATGGCCTTCTCAGATGCAAGCTCGGTGTATGAGACCTCTAGAGTCTCAGCATTGACCTCGCCCAATGTGCGGATACGGTTTCCATAGACGGACAATCCATTCTCATCCGTGTACTCGGTGAGGAATGACTTGAACTCTCGCTTGACGGAACGCTGCACGTTCAATTGAGACACCCATTCGGTGATGTTTGACGACTTGACGTCTCGAAGCGCCTCCAGCGACAGTTCTTCGTCCATGATGTCGGCGTCCATGTCCTCATCTGGGTCCTCGTCGTAGCGGTGACGCCGTCGGCGAGGCTGCGCAGTCAAGTCCAATCCACCGGGGGATTCCGCGCCGTCGCTAGGGAGAAAGGCAGCAGGCATGCGCTGTCTGCGAGCAACTTCCCGATCTCTGCGGCTCAATTGTGCCTCGAGCCTACGCCGCTCACCGATGTCCATGTCTCCATAGTCACCTTCGTCGTCAAGGTCGACGCCCTCGTAGGTGTCATTGGCATCCCGCTCGGCGTAGTCGTGCTCGAACCCCTCGCGGAACAGGTCGACGTCGTCTTCGGCCATCTCATCGAGCTCGTCAATTTCATCCTGAATCTCGGGCTCGTCCTCGATATCATCGTCGTCATCACCTCCGTGGGCGATGTTGAAAGCTGGAGGCGAAGAGGGCATGGGACTTGACGCGGCGGCAACAGATGAGGAAACATCTTCGCCGGCACCTCGAGATCTCTTAAGGCCAGATCGAGGTGCGGTGCCGCGGTTCGCCGACGATGGATTGGGTCTCAGAGGTGAGCTGCGTTTGCATTATGTTAGCAAGGTGCTTCAGCCAAGGCGTCACGATATTAGTAGAGCAAGGCTCAATGAGACTTGTGTAAACATACCTCATCTTGCATGCGTGTGCTCTTCTCTTCTATGTGTTTGGCTCTTGGTGACAAGAACAGTGTGGTGCAGAAGAGAGGCTTTCGGCGAGGTTTGGAAAGTCAGGTGGGGTTGGAGTCTCATGCAGAGTTCAAGATACAAAAGGGCAAAGCGAGCATGCAAATGAGGATCACTTTACGCGCCCACGCGTCGACGCGTTTAATTGATTTTTAGCGCGTTTTCCTTGTTTGCACTCAGAATGCCGGTTTCAAGGCTGGGCTTGGGGGCAGTCAGTTTGAGAAGCCTGGCTTCGCGCTGGACTCCCCATGCCAGGAAACGGTCGGCAGGCAGCTTGGACAAGGTAGGCGAACCAACCCCTGGCCCATCAAGCGTCAGCACCAGCATCATACCCAGGCAAGCTCCGACGCGGGTCGCGCGACCCGAGATATCAGCACCATACCATCACCAATCCCAAATTCTCTGCTACCGACCGAAGCCTCTCTAGGTTAGCACTTTACACATTGATTTCCTTGAAAACCTGCAATCGAGTCTCAGTCGACTCCTACCACCACCACATGGCTTCTCCTTCCGCGCCAGCCGTAGAGAACGCCGGCGCAAGCGACGCAGAGCAAGCCGCGCCGGCCACCCTCACTCGACGCGACAGCACTTCCCAGCGGAGCGACAATTCACAGACTGCAGCCGAGTGAGCAAGCCCATCCACCACAAGCACAACAAACATTGCGTCTCGTCCAACTTTCTAACTTACATGACCTAGTATTCTTCGGGAGCAGGAGCAGCTTGAAGCTGATGCGCGCGAAGCTCTGCCATATGTGGGTATAGCCATTGGCACGACCCGGCCGCATAATTATCAATACGCATTCAGAGTCTAACCATACGACAGAGCATCTCGAACTGCACCAAGGACCTTGGGGCGCTCCGTCAGAACGTGTACTCCTGCCTCACCTGCAACCCTCTGCCCGCCAACCCGACCGATTCATACAATGCCGCAGGAATCTGCTACGCGTGCTCGGTACAATGTCACGGCGAACACCAGCTCGTCGAGATCTTTGCCAAGCGCAACTTCACCTGCGACTGTGGCACGACACGTCTGCCTGCGACCAGCCCTTGCACCCTGCGCTTGAATCCTACGACCAACGCCAAAGGTGACGTCCACTCCGAGGAGCCGGCTGCCAACAACAAATACAACCAGAACTTCCGCAACAGGTTCTGTGTTTGCGAGTGCGACTACGACCCATTCCAACAGAAAGGGACTATGTACCAATGCTTGGGGTTGGGTACACACGAGACGGGAGGTTGTGGCGAGGATTGGTATCATCCCGGTTGCGTCATGGGTCTCGGACCTAGGTGGTACGAGAAGATGGAGGGGAAGAAACCTCAACAGGCCGCGGGCTCTCAGGGTGGCGCGCTGCCTTCAATATCGGAGGCGGCTGAAACAGAAGGTCAGAGAGGAGCTGATGCGCCGACGGTCACGGCCAACGAAACCGGAGACGACGATGAGGAGGAAACACCGAACCCTACCGGATTCCCCGCTGATGAGGACTTTGAGAGTTTCATCTGCTTCAAATGTGTCGAAACCGCACCTTGGATCAAGCGCTACGCAGGCACTCCACGGTTCCTCCTCCCGGTCCACTATAGGCCCGAGGGTGATATCGGACAAGACCCATCCTCGGAGGGCGCTCCTGAGGACTTGGGCAAGAAGCGCAAGGCTGAAGACGATTCTGAGGATTCACAAGAGTCAAAGAGGCTCAAGGCCGAGCCGGAGGCCATCAGCAACGCTGTTGCTGAACTTAAAACCGAAGATGGTAGCACGATTGTGACAGAATCGGGAGTCAACACCGAGACAGAGCCTTGCAAGTATGACACCTTGCCTTCAGCACCAGAGGGAACATTTTCTTTGTTCTGCGCCGAGTCGTTTCGGGATCGCCTCTGCAGATGCGCCAAATGCTTCCCCAACCTCGCACCACACCCACAGCTCCTCGAGGAGGAGGAAGTGTACGAGCCTCCCGTTTCCGAGGATGGCTCCGAGAACGGTGGCTCGACCCACGGCAGTGGCAGCCTATACGAGCGGGGCGAGAGTGCCCTACGCAACGTGGATCGGGTGCGCGCCATCGAGGGCGTCATGGCCTACAACCAGCTCAAGGACAAGCTGAAGCCCTTCTTTCAGCAGTTTGCGGACAGTGGGCAGGCCATCAGCGCCGACGACATCAAAGAGTACTTTGCGAAGCTGCGTGGTGACGACGAGGCGATCAAAGAGGCGGGCGAGTCTGCAAAGTCAGACCATCGGCACGAGCAGGCTGGTTATTGAGGATGGAGGGGGAAGGAGCGGACTGCGTGACACAAAAAGCTTCGCTACAGCTCCGCAGCTATAATGACTGATGAACTTTGTACAATAAATCGTGGATCTGGTGCATTCGATGGAACTTCTGGGACGGGTCCGAAATGTTTGGGCATCCGTTCACGCAAAATATGGTTTGGCGTGGATGTCGTCCTCACTATCATGCTTCTCGAGTAGACAGTATGTTGTCGTACCCTTGTATCCGATGCCGATACACGGGTGGGAGTCGAGTCAAAACAAAATGCACAGCTGACTTTAGAAGACACAACGCTCATCACCCCGTGCCTTCACATCTCTGCACTGTCAGGGCTGTGGGCATCCTGGTGGGATGGAAGAGTGAGAATTTACTACTTCGAACGGCGGCAAGACCCAGCGGAAGGGAGAGACAGCCACACTGTGAGGTACGGGTAAAGTAGTCTGCTAATCCTGTTCCCTAGTGAGACCTCGCATTGCATTACCATACCTAGGTAAGCTGCGAACCCAATGTGCCTATGCTGGAAAGTCAGAGCCTAGTGTCGAAATAGGGGCACATAGCGAACGGGGTTCGCACCGAGAAAGCTCAAACAGCCAGACTGTGGTGCTACTTTGCGTATGGACCACTGTCGCTCTCAGGGTTCTGAGGATGTTCACCCTTGTGAGCCAGTATTGCAGTTGCCCATCACCATACAATCACATAGCGAAAGGATCACCCATTGAGCCAATACATCAGCAGCAAGAGTCTGGATGGTACGGGGTCCGAGTGCGGAGACCTGCCAAAACGGTGGTCCGATTCATCAAAGACCTGGGGTATCAGAGAGCTGAAATTTCGCCTCGCCATGCAAAATTCGCAGTGGATAGCAACACTCAAGACCACGGGCGCGAATGTTGGCTCATCCTGCCTGAGTCAATTCCTATCAACCTTGTTGTCCAGACGATCCAGTGCTCGCCGCACTCGAAGGCCTGGGTGGCAAGACCGGCATTCCAACCCCAAGCGAATCTTCTCTCTGCATCGCCACGCCCCCCATTTGCTGCGTGCCCAGCGTCGAGTCCTGCCCTTCCATGCTCTGGTCCATCGCCCCAACACCAGCAAGCGCCTCCTCGGCGGCCTTCCTCTCCATCTCCTGCAGCCTGAGCTTCTCCATGTGGTCGACCAGGTCGTCATCGTCGCTCCAGTAGGGGTCGTCATCGGCCATCTCGGGCATGGCCATCCTCTTCCAGAACCGCAGCTCCTGCCGCATGGCCTTCATGTCGACGCGCCGCTCCCATCGCGCCCCATCCTCGTCGTACTTTGAGCGGAACTGCCGCAGGTTCTCGTTGGCCTTGCCCGCGTGCGCCTGCATCTCCCAGATCTGCTCGCGCAGCCTCGTGTTCTCGGCTCGCTCCTCGGCCAGCTGCGCGCGGTACGACCGGTGCCACGAGGCGACGTCGGCGACGTGTTTTTGCTTGTAGTCGTGCAGCTGCTTCAGCATCGCGGCGATCACGGAGGCGTAGTGTGTCGAGAGGGTGCGGTACTCGTCGCGGCTGAACTTGGCGCGCTCGAACAGCTCAGTGAGCAGGGAGATAGTGGTGTCGATGTTTGCTTCTTGTGCTTCATTTGGGAAATTACAGTCAGCATTCTGGCGCTGGAGTAGAGAATAGGGGAGTGCAACGTACTGCCGAGGTCGTCGGCGGCTGAGGACAGCAGCTCCTCGTTCCCTAACGACTGCGTCCTTGCTCGGTTCCTGACCCGGCCGACACTGGCCACCACGTCCTCCAGGGCGCGTTTGTTCTCAGCCAGCTGTTGGCTCAGCACCTCGACCATGTTGTAGATGTAGGCCAGTTCCGCCTGATAGCCTGCCGGCGTGGGGTAGCCATTAACCAACGCCGGCATGTTGCTGCCATTGAGGCCATTCATGATGAATAACTTGTTCAAAAGTGTCTCTAGGTGAGCCTCTGGTTCGAGCGATGGGGAGTCTAGTTAGGAGATGTGGGGCTGCGGGTAGGCGGTCGCTGGGTTTCGGATGTTCAGCTGGTGATGTGATGATGGGTTGTCAAAGGGTTCTGTCTAAGAAGCAGGGGATTGACGCGGTGTTGCTCCTGGGCTTGAATGAATACCTAGCCTAGCTCTACCGCCGACGGTACCCCTGCATCCCGTAAATGGAGACCCCTGTCGGTACCACAATTTGACGCCGCGGCTCCGAAAGCTTGGAGCTTTGCGACTGAAGTCATCGGAGAGCCCATAGATTAGAGATCTCCCGGAGCCCCCCTCCAAACATTTCTACTCAAAGTTACCAGGAAGCTCTCACGTGTGGCCACGTCGTCAGAAGACAGCCAATTGATCGTCTGCAACATGCTCAGGTAAAATGCTAAGCTCAGTGCAAAACTCTCTCGTTGTGGCACGGTACTAATTGCTGCGTAGGTCAACAATCCTGGATTAAACAGCACCTCCACCATGCGCTCGAGCTTGACGCGCAATGTGTACCGACGATTGCTGGCCTACCATGGCCTGTCTTCTGCGCCAGCACCGGCGCTCCCGAGCTCCTCTCGACCGACATCGATACGCTCTCACCGCGCGGTTGTCAGGCACCCGTCCCGCCGCACGTTCATGAAGATGAACCTTTTCAAAAAGCCTCCAAGAGAAGTCAAAGAGGGCGGCTTTGAACCAGGCTTCGGTACATTCATCGATTTCCGAGCCAGGTCTGTGGAGAACACCAAGCTACCTCCTCGAGAAGAGCTGATCGAGGCGTTCCGGACCTTTTTCGACCACAAACTGTGGCGCAAGAAACCCCTCAACTCGACACAGGCCTTCTGCGCAAGACTAGTCCTCGCACATCTGCAGGATACGGAAGTTGGACCCAGTTTGACCAAAGAGGACCTTCAAAAAGCTTTGTTTGCTGTTTGCTTGCCACCGGAGCGTGGCAGCACCGAAGAGCACGCACAGTTCGCGACACAAGTCTACCACCAGCTCAATGTGGTCAAATACTCCGGTTCACCTGTCGACGAGAAAGAAAGAGTCGAAGAACTAAAGTCGGACGATCTGGAGCGCTATATAGTGGTACTAATACGGCAGAACGCTACAAAGACGGCAATGGATACTCTTTTGGGCTTCAAGGATCTATATCCGCTCTTCGACCCGAAAAGAGTGAATCAGTTAACTGTTCTTCGCTATCTTGTGCTCAAAGGTCTCGCGAAGGAAGGTGACCAGGCGAAATTGCAGGAATTCGCGAATGAGCTGCTCGATTCCGGCTATCCCTATTCGCCCGACTTCCATGGGACGATGACATCCTTCTACGGTGATATCGACACGGACGGCGAAGATGGCCTCCGAAAGTGGTTCGAAAAGCCCATTAAGGACAATATGAGGCCAAGGCCCGACGCCTATGTGGCCCTGATCAAGTTTTCGGCTCGGACGAAAAGTGAACCGGATTGGTTGAAGAAGGCTATGCAGGAGCTGTGCGACTCTAATCCGCCCAAGGCCTGGTGGGACGTGATTCTAAGGTGGGCTGTCTACCAAGGCAAAGATATCGACCATATAAGGCGCATGATCGACGTCATGATTCAGACCAACGAGCAGGACGAGTCGATCCGGCCAGACACTCGCACGATCAACGGGCTACTCTCAGCAGCAATCGAGCACGACAACCCTCTGTTCGCTGAACGAATAAATAGTCTGGCCCTCGAGCTAGGACTGAGGCCGAACGCAGCCACATACGCTCTGCTTTTGGAAGCACGAACGGCTGGCGAGGATGCTGTCGGTGCAGCATCAGTCTTTGATGACCTGATCCATTGCACCCCGTTAGTGGACCATTCCATGAAGGCGATTAATCAGTATATTAGACAAATATGCGCGGCTACCCCCTTGGACTATGACCAAGTCCTGACGGTCCTGAGCAATGTCGAGAGGCGGGAGGTAGAGCTGGAGCCTGTCACCGTTGTGGCACTATGCCTGATGTTCCTCAAGAACGACAAGGCTCACGAAGTGATTGACACGCTCAGTCTTCATATCAAGCAGTTCAGCATGGAGGACCGGCAGGTCGTACTAGACAGCCTGCTCAAGTACTGCCTCGACCGCAGCGTAAGCACGGCACGGGCATGGGACTGCTACTCTCTGTTGCGGCAATTCTTCCCAGAGACCAGCCGAGAAGAGCGCGTGACCCTCATGGAGAGCTTTTTCGAACGCAAGCGTGCCGACATGGCATGCTACATCTTCGGGCACATGCGCGCGCACGCCAACGACGCCATGCGACCCAACCTCGCCACCTACGTAACCTGCCTGGAGGGGCTGGGGGCTTGCCCGGACGCGGACAGCGTGCAGATGATCCACAACATGTTCAAGATGGACATGAAGATACAGCCGACGACAAGGCTTTACAATGCCTTTATGATTGCATACACGGCGTGCGATGACCCCTCGCGGGCGTTCGACTTCTGGCGGGAGATCTCCATGTCGGCAGAGGGCCCGACTTACTACAGCCTGAACATCATCTTCCGGGTATGCCAGGTTTCGCCGTACGGCGACGAGAAGGCCAAGATCATATGGGACAAGTTGCACAGGATGGAGATCGATATCCCCTCATCCGTCTATCGCTCGTACATAGTCATGAATGCCGGCCAGGGGCATCTGGAGGAGGTCAAGGCGTTGTTGATTGGCATGAAGGCCACTTATGGGAAAGAGCCGGACTTCTACACGTAAGTCTCACATTGAATCACGGTGCCCGACGTGTTGGATGCTAACAATTGCTCAGAGTCGCCGAGATCTTCAACGCCTTCCCAAATTCAGAGCTACAAAGCCAATATCGCGAATGGCTTGCACATGAGCTTCCCGAGACTGGGAGACGGTTGGCCAACACCAAGAAATTGGTGAAAACGATGCGTGGCACGGACCGAGTACCATTGGCGATGAGGAAATTACGCGCGGCGCCGTAGCGATAGCACGGATGGGGGCGTACCATGGGGATGAACCGTGGGGATGAACCGTGGGGATGAACCGTGGGGATGAACCGTGGGGATGTGCATGAGATAAATACAATGATATTGATTGTACACATGAGATCGACTATGTTGGCTTGATCTTCTGCCTGTCGGGGTCAGGTATCTTTGTGTTCTGGTATCTTGGAGCATTCTTCTTCAGGTGATCCTGGTGGAAGAGGATCATCGGGTGGACGTGGGTGCTGGGGTGGAGTCCCATTCCAATCGACCTCCTGATGGCCTTAGCCATCTTCCTCTGATTGACCGGTCGTAGTCCCGTCTCCTTCGAGTGCTTGATGCGGCCCATTGATGTCATGAACTCTGCCATGATCGAGAAATTCTGTAAGCTGGGTCAGCGTAGCTCAGAGAGAGTACGGCATGGAGCGATAATTTGAGGCTGGCCCTTGCTGGCGCGAAGCCATCCACCTCTTCACGCGGTACATCCATGACTGAGACACCAGTCTCGCAACGCAGGAGGGCGAGACGACGTACCCTGTAGTGATCCAGAGGGTTCAACCCAAGCATATCGATGATGTCCTTGCTCGGTTGTTTGGGCTGCTTCCACTTGACCATCTCCTGCGGTGACAGGTCATGCGGCGCGTAGATGTCGCCCGGCTTCCAGTTTCGCGTCGACTGCCGCGCCAGGTTCTCGCGGTTGAGGTTCTCCTTAGCCCTCTGCGTAGTGTTTTCGCTCTTTATTGTGAGCCTGTCGTACGCGTGCGCCGAGCTCATCAGGTTGGTGAGGGCTTCGTGGGGCGAGAGCGTGTGCGGCGAGTCAGGAGAGGATTGGTTGAACGCGTTGTCGCCGCTGGGGTCGGAACCGCTGCTGCTGCTGCTGCCATCGTCCATTTCTATGAGCGACTTGGTCGCATTGGTGTACTTCACTGTCGCGGGCGTCAGTTCTCAGGTCGCTGGCTCTTGGAGGGAGGACACTTTGGAAACGTACGCGTTCCATTTCTGGCCGTCGAAGAGATCGGGGCCCTCTGCTGGAGGCTGCAAGGCTTCAATTGCCGCGAAAGCGGTTGTAATGAGAGCCTTGGTGGCATTGTGGCTGTCTGGTTGAGGCCCTTGTTGGAACTGAGGCAAGTCGGCTTGCGACGACCAAGTCGTTCGCTCTGATGCTGGGTCCATCTAGCGGATTTTCTTCGGCAGGCCGGGGTGCAGCTAGTGGGTCCCGTCGGTGCCGACCCGCTGGAAAAAGTTGACCCACCAGAAATTGGCAGCAGGAAACATCGACGACTTCTTCTCTTATCAGCCCCCATTTCACATCGCCGACCGCGTTGCTTCAAATACCGCCACCATGGTCAGAAAACTCAAGCATCACGAGCAGAAGCTGCTCAGGAAGACAGACTTCATCACCTACAAGCAGGACAATGGCCACCGCGACCACAATGTCATCCGCCGTTATATGATCCAGAAGCCTGAGGACTACAACAAATACAACAGGTTATGCGGCGTGAGTGCACTCTGATCCGGCAAACCACTTCGGCTCATGTTGTCTAACGAAAACCGGCACAGTCACTGCGGCAGCTGGCCCACCGGCTCTCACTCATGCCCCCAGAGAATGAGGTCCGAAGGAAGCATGAGAAGCTCCTGTTGGAGAAGGTCTACGACATGGGCATCCTGTCCTCCACCTCTAAGCTGAGTTCCATCGAGCACGGCGCGACCGTTTCTGCCTTTGCACGGCGGCGCCTTCCTGTCGTCAGTAAGTATCAAGCCTTAGCTTTCGGCTTTCCCAGCGCCGTGTGAGCATCGTGCTGACATGTCCGTCAGTGACACGCCTGAGGATGGCCGAGACCATTCAAGCTGCTACGAAGATGATCGAGCAAGGCCATGTTCGTGTTGGAACGGAGACAGTCAGTAAGTCACAGCTCACGACTACCTCGCAACCTTGCCCTCTGACGTGACTGACATGGAGCGTTGTAGCCGATCCGGCATTTCTGGTCACCCGGCAGCTCGAAGACTTCGTGACGTGGTCCGTCGGTAGCAAGATCAAGCGCAACATCATGCAGTACAGAGACAAGCTGGACGACTTCGAGCTGCTATGAGAGACATCCTTGGCAAGACGTCATTTTTGGGTGAGCTCGACTTCTCTACGATGTTCCAGCCGGAAGTGAGGGCATCGAGGATGTTAGTTCCCGTCTTAAGTGCGGTTTCATCGCACATGTGAGCCGCAGTGCAAGGGCCTGGAAGCACCCGAACTCCGGGTCGGCTCCCTTAACGAGTCCGCGACTCGGCAGGAAACGATAAACTTCATGCCGAGGAGTTTAGGAGGAGGATCTAGCACTGACAGCAGGTGGTCATTCACTCGCGAAACCGAAACGACGGGAGATCACCTACTTGTTTGCTGAGCATTGTGGATCTGCGCAAGGTTCGGCGATCAGTCGGAGGTATGCAGGAGGCAGATGCGAGAAACAGCTGCACGAGCATCAGATGCCGTTGAAGAGGCTGGATTGGAGGTCGAACTGCCATCCAATCCGTTTGGTACGGTGCAGCGTCGTATCGGTCTCGGTGTGTTCGATTCGACGAACGGCAGTCGAGAGGAGGGAACTCGGGACGATCAAGGAACTGTTCAACCGCCCGCAAGGGGTCGTCCGCAAGGGGGAGTTTTCACGCATCGCGAGCCTCAGATGAACATGTTGCAGGATGGCGACGGCCATCTGAACCAAGCCCGTTGGCTTGCGGATAGAGTTGAGCGAATCTGTAGCTATAGAAGAAGGTATCAACCGAGGCCTTCCTGGTCTTGGCGCCCACTGCCGTATCCCTATTTCATCCTCGTGATGCGAGTCGACCGAGAAGCCTTCCCTTGTATTATCTGAATTACTTTGACTCTGCCCTTACAGGTTAGTCGCAGAAAAGAAGCATCGGTGATAAGCTTGTGCTTGTGGAGTTCGAAACACTTAGACTCCAAGCCTCGAAACCTCGACATCGGACGGGTCCATTCCTCGTCCACGAATGATGCGATGGAGGGGTCGAGCCCCTTCCACCCTCGGCGCATTCTGAAAACGGCAAGTCTAGGGATGGGAAGGCATACTGATGGCTCACTGCTCCTACGGGGCTCAAGCGAGGCAATGCGCGCCCATATATATCGAACAACGTGCCACCTCTGGCCCTTCCGGCTTCCGGGCGCTCTTGTGAAGGCCAGACCAGTCCACACTCTTTTACATCAACTAATTGAATACCCCCCTGGTGGGGCAGATATCCATTCTCTACATTGTGTACGTAACCACACGATCCTTTCCAAACATTCACTACATATCCACAACAGACATGTACTCCTCGTCGGAGTTGGCCTTTGGGGCCTTGCTGCTCAGCGGCTGTGCCCTCGCCCACGGGACAGTGTCAGGGATTGAGATTGACGGGAAATTGTAAGACCTCTTAAACATACAGCCTATATCAATGTCCGTATCAGCTAATCCTCCTGACAGCATCCAAGGGTATAGCCCCAACCAGCAGTACCAGAACCCACCACCCCAGGTGGTCGGCTGGTCGATCCCTCAGGACCAGTCCACCGGCTTCGTCGAGGACATCAACAGCCCGGATGTCATATGCCACATCGGCGCCACGCCGGCCCCAATCACCGCCCCAGTGACAGCTGGCTCCAACGTCACTCTGTTCTGGACCAACAACTGGCCCGAGTCGCACCACGGGCCCATGCTGGACTACCTCGCCGCGTGCCCCAACAACGACTGCGCAAACGTCGACAAGGCGCAGCTCAAGTTCTTCAAGATCGACGCGGTCGGGCTCATCGACGGCTCCAAGCCGCCGGGGACCTGGGGCTCGGACCAGATGATCTCCAACAACTTCTCGTGGACGACGACGATCCCGGCCTCCATCGCCCCGGGGAAATACGTGCTGAGGCACGAGACCATCGCCCTGCACGAGGCCCAGACCGAAGGAAAGGCGCAGAGCTACCCCCAGTGCGTGAGCCTGGACGTCCAGGGCGGCGGCTCGGCGGCCCCCGAGGGCGTGGTCGGTACGGCGCTGTACAAGAAGGACGACCCGGGCTTGGTTTTCAACATCTATACCGAGCATGCGCCGTCGGATTACACACCTCCTGGCCCACCTGTCTTTACGGGCTAATGTCGAGTCACGACCATTTATCAGTGGTGGAACTTCCCCCAGGCTTTCTCATTATCACTTCTTCTACATGATGGTTTTCCTTGCAATAAGGAAATTGTACTTGTACACCTGTACATTTTTACGATTTTATGACTGGACTTTCGCAATTTTTTCTTCTCCAGCAACTGCAGCTAATTGAGTATCAAATATTATCAAGGGCACCTGAGGATGATGGTCCTGGCCACTTTGATCTCCTTTTCACTCGTTGACTTTCTGATTTTAAGAATTCCGCTGAGCTTTGCATAGCTTGACCTTCCAATCGAGATGGAGTAAGGAGCAATGGCCAGCAACCAGCACATACTTCCAAGAGCTGCTGAGTATGAAGTGAATTATTCAAACCCCTCGAGCTGTCCCCATGTGCTTGCTTGTAGATATAGTATTCATGTGTCAGCCAGCTTACCAAGAGACTGCCCGTCCGACGGGCGTGGATGCTGGTCGTTTGCAAAATCCAGACTTGGACGCAATCGAAGCCATGTGTTAATCGAGGCTGTTACGAGCAAGACAAGACACGTAGGTTGTGCTTGGTTTCCACATGAATGTTGTAGGACTTCCATGTGACATGCCTTCTGAAGATGTCCATCCCAACTTTTCTCCAGAGCTGACCTTACAAGTCAACGAAAGCTACCACATTCGTCGCTGCATGCATAGAAGTAGCCAACCCGTTAGCTCAAGCGGGATGCACGGTGAAAATAGCCTCGAATTGAGAGTACAGGTAGTGTTTGTGACAGGGCGGTCGCCCGTTCGAGCCAAGGAGTATCCATGGAAGTGGGAATAAACAGTACGCTCAATGTGGCGGAAGACCTTTCCCCCAGTACATTGGCACGGGTTCAGAATCGAACAAATCGAGCCAGAGATGTAGTCCGTAAAAAGCCGAACTCTTTTGCTGTCCTGCCCTCAACCACTTGCCTCAAGGATTGCATGATGGTTAGTGGGTAGGCATGTCAGCTGTACAATACTTTCCTTTTTTTTTTCTCTCTCTCTCTCTCCCCCAACCCCACTGGGGGCCCTCTTCGACGACAACTCGTCATGTCTATCCTGGGCAAGGAGATCATGAATTGCCTAAGCGGTAAGATTCTTGAGCCTCGGTCTGTCCCATCCATATGTCAGAACTCGTCCACGGTCCTCGTCCCCACAGAGGCAATTGCTGCGAGATGCTCTCTCTCGAAGCTCTGTGCGACGGCACCTGGCATGGGCCGAGCCAAATTCCATTGGGGTTACCGTTGAGCCTGTGACCTCACTTGCTCGGCAACCAAAGTTGGAAGACGATTTGAAGGATTCCCAGAAGAGCAATGGACACCAAGGTCTGTGTTTGAGCTGAGAGTCGCTGGGCTGTTCACGAAGACATGCCGCCACCTCTCAACATGGCAAAAACAGTGGACGCGATGGGACGCATTCCCATCCTTCATCCCACTTGACTTTTCAGAAAAGGCATCATTGATATCCGAATTTCATGGGCGGTTGCTAGAAGTCCCAAAAGATCTTCAGAAGGGTTGGTGAAAATGTGAAGCAGGACCAGTTTAATGCAGAGGTTAGCCACCCCGCTATTAAGGCACAATCGCTATAAGCGGACGTCGATATTTTCGTAGGGGAGCTTATATCTCAATCGAAATTATTTCACCCCAGCACCACCCAAGACTGTCGGCATCTGGTCAAAGCAAACAGCCTTGGAAATGGCCTAGCAGATGGCACACTTGCGTTCTCGATGACATTGATTACTGGTTGAGGGACTGCACAACCGAGAAGCTCGCCTTGGGCCACCACCATCCGGCAATGAGCCGTCATCGAGCTGATCTGGTTCTTCAAATGAGATGACCTGTGAAGCGACGCTGAGCTCTTTCAACATGCCACCACCAATCCGCAGGCTGGTGCTCCAGCGTCACAGGCCCAGGGCCGTGCCGGGTTTAATCCACGCCAGCCCGTCACTTACAACACACGCCCGCCACACGTCATCGTCGACGACAGGAACAGCAACAGAAACAACAACACCACAGTCAGATTCCGCCAAGACATCCTCACCCTTTGGTCCATGGCGCAAGCTACCCCCGACCGAACCCCTGCGCATCCTCTTCTGCGGCTCCGATGAGTTCAGCTGCGCATCCCTGCGGGCGCTGCACAAGCTGCAGGCGGACAAGCCCAAGCTGATCAAGTCGATCGACGTGCTGGTGCGGCCGGGCAAGCCCGCGGGGCGCGGCCTCAGGCGGATCGCGACGGGGCCCCTGTTCAACCTGGCCGAGGAGCTGGGGCTGCCGGTGCACAAGCGCGACACCTTCACGGGGTGGGAGCTGCCGCCCCCCGGCCACGTCCGGCACCACGAGACGGGCGAGGTGCGGCGGCACCCGGCGGCGCACGAGAACTCGCACCGCCAGCCCTTCAACCTGGCCATCGCCGTCAGCTTCGGCCTCTTCGTGCCGCCGCGCGTGCTGCGCTCCCTGCGCTTCGGCGGGCTCAACGTCCACCCCTCCATGCTGCCCGACCTGCGCGGGCCCGCGCCCCTGCAGCACGCCCTGCTGCGCGGCAGGACCCACGCCGGCGTAACCCTGCAGACCCTGCACGAGAAGGACTTTGACCGCGGCGCCGTCCTCGCCCAGACGCCCTGGCCGGGGCTGCCCGTGCCCGAGGGCTGCGACGTGCGCCAGCTGCACGACCTGCTCGCCGAGAAGGGCGCCGGGCTCCTCGTCGGCGCGCTCGAGAGGCGCCTCTTCGTCCCGCCGCTGCAGCTGGTCGGGTGGCAGCCCACGGAAGAGGACCTGGATCGCGGCCTCGTCCACGACGCGCCCAAGGTGAGGAAGCTGGACTCCATGGTCGACTGGGCGTGCTGGACCTGGGGCAGGGACAAGACGCTGTACCCGGATGGCTGGACCGCCGCCGATCTGGCGAGGAGGTTCCGCGCCGTCGGCGTCAAGCTCCCCGGCGAGGGGAACACGGGCATGTGGACGCACGCCGTCACGCGGGTGGCCCCACAGGAAAAGCGGCTCATCTTCGAGGACGTCGAGGCCGTCGAGTGCCCCGAGAGCCTGAGGGAGGTGGTGCTGACCATCGCGCAGGCCAAACTGTCGGGGCCGGCGCCGTGGCTGGTGGAGCAGACGAGGAGTCAACAGCTGCCAGCAAACATCCAGAACGTGGTCTTCGCGGAGATGGATGCTCTCGATACGCAAAAGGTGGCCGACTTCAGGCTGCCGTACCTGGCGGACGAGTACACTGATGTCATCATTCCTATCAAGGTACCATACCGTATCATCGATGGGCAAGTGAGCCCCGCGCATGAGAAGGGCCAACTGGACGCCATCAGAATCAAAAAGATCAAGGTTGAGGGTATGAACAGCAAGCTGGCCGCCCATGCCATATCCCATTTCAAGGAGCCCAAATTGAACGTCAGAGATATCTCGACGATGGACTACAGCATGGAGACTCTCACGAAACTCGTCGAATAAAATGACGAAGAGAACATGGAGCAGAAGATCGGCATTAGATGGCCGGCTGTCTTGGGCGAGCACATATTTGTATGACTAGGTAGAATCTAAACGCCAACACACATCAATCACGGCCATGGTCAAAGATATAGACAGGGAGCTGTGCAATTGTGATTTCATTGCTAGAGTGCAGCTTTCAAAGAGACCTAGAGTTACAGCCTGGTGAGCGGCACATCACCAGAAGACGCCATCAGCCGCGAGCGAGCACGACGTTCGTGCGATGAGGGTAGAGGTCAAACCAATTCAGACGCCACCAGATGCCAAGATATCCACCACGTCCTCAGAGAACCAGCCAACCGATGCCACCGAAAAGAAAAGTAGGATTCGTATCATGAGCTCATCAATCTCTTCCCATTCGCCATATCCTCAAGTGAGTGTTCTGTGTGCAACGCCTGAATGACTTGTATGAAAACCCTCATCATGTCCAAGGCTCATTGTGGGAATGAGGGACTTAAGCGCTCTTGGCAGAGTGGTCGTCGACAGAGACGCCACTGGTGGAGGCAGTAGAGGCTGTGTCGGTCTTGGTGAGCTCTGGGTCCTCGGCGCCGTGGACCGACTCCTCGAAGACGGGCTCGGGCTCGTTGAACTCGAACTTGGTCTTAAAGTCCTGGAGGTTGTTGGCATAGCCGGACGAATTGGAGCGGCGGCGAGCGTTGGAGAAATTGAACTGGTCGTCAAGAATCTCATCACCAGGGTTGCCCCTACCAACGATCAGCAAATGTCTAAACAAGACCCCGAATCCAATGCCAAGTACTATGTAACAGTGTATGACTTTCAAAGGCTATGGGCAGCTCCACAGCCCGCAACGGAAGCAGGGCACGCATCTGACCCATGGATCGTGCCACGGTGCCGGATACCTGCCTCGGGACTCATCACAATTGTTGAAGGAACGGCGACGAAGGAGGCAAGGGAAGGACCTACCAGTTGCCCTTTCCTCCACCACTCTTCTTGACCTTCTTGGGGTCCTCGCCAACATGACCGTGCTTCGCGAAGTAGCGAGGCAGATGCTCCTCAGGAGCAGCCGTGCCATTGGCCAGGCCGGCGTGGTCCTTGTCGTTGAGCTTGTGAGAACGAGTCACTGCAATTCAAGCCTGGTCAGCATTCTCATCAATCCTGAAGTGCCACATGAGATTGATCCCACGTGTGAGTGATAACCCCCTGGTTGCTTCCCAGGGGGTTGTTGTGCCCCGCATGGGACCACCGGCGTGTTGCTACAGTTACACCAGATCATCAGAGGGAAGACTCACTGGTGGTTGATTGAGTCGGATGGATGGAGTTGATGGTTGATGAATGGATCTAGAAGGGTTCAGGACCGTTTTCTGGATGATGTGAAGTCAGCCCCAGATGTCAATGCGGGGTTGTCTCCAGGCGAAGGGAGCTCCGAAGGTTTGAGGGCGAGCCCCCCCATTGGAGGTACGTACAAAGGGAGGTCGCGTGATGTCAATGCACCAGAAAGGAGAAAGGTTCAGATGGCTTGGGCTCGACGGCAGTTAATTGGGAGGCAGGTCGGCGAACAAGTTGTAGGATGGTCAAATCGGGATGATGGCGAGAGTATGGCAAGGCAGAGACAGTTATGAGGGATGGGAGTGGGTTCGTCGGTGATGGATGGATGGGTAGTTGGATGGATGCGGAGGGGACAAGTTTGCAACACAGAGCTGAGAGTCTAATGCAGACACTCTTTAGACACAGAGTACGGAGGGGAAAAGAGCTCTGTTCGCATTTAAAAGGAGCAAGAGCTTGTCGATGTGCCAGGGACCAATGGGCTGATTCGATGCCGTTCTACAAAGTGATCATGTGCCATTGCTCGGTGTGGTTCCCGGCCATCGAGGGAGAGCACCGCAGCAGGCCCACCCAGCTTGAGCTCCAGCTCCCCAGGCCTGCCAACATGGCCATCCAACTCAAGTGCCAGGCACATGAGCAATTAACGCCCAGGATGGTTTCAGGTACGGGGCCGGAAGCCGGCATTCAGCTGCCTCTCTGGTCTCTATGACTTCCCCGTATGGGGGGACGGCGGGGACTTACGGTGTACCGTTACCGTGGACCACGCGATGGCTTGACGTGGTGGCATGACGTCGGATGCCGTTGCCGTTTGGGGGACCATCACGCAATCCAGCTGGCCCGCATTGGTCAACCTGCAGCTCTGAGTAATTAGATGCCAGGACGGCTGCCTTGCAGCATAGAGACTACGAATCCGACAGAAATGCTCTGCACACGTTGTTCAATTGCCCATGCCTCCCAGACGGCTCTCATCAGAACAGGCCAGCTCCTCTGGAGATGTCGTGTGACTGGACCCCAGAGGCTTCCAAGGTTCCCCAGATCCGTCGATCCACCACAGGGCAGACCCGTAGAACCGTCGTGGAATGGAACCCTGCCTGCAGGACTGACGTCGCCGGACCCACTTGCCCCTCGTCCAGGTACCGATACCCCGGATTCTGCGGCTGGGCAGATGGCGGCTGAAGGTACCACCTACATCCCCTGCCCATCTATCTGCCACCTACGCAGTCCCGCTGGGTCTCAGGAGCATCTCGATGGGATCAACATCAGATCTATCGGGGAGCGCTGAAAACGGAAGTTTGGTAGGTACAATTACCGCCATGCAGCCAATGTTTAATACGCTCTCAGTCAAGTGGGTCGGCCGTTGTCACACGGACGGACAAACAACATGGGCACGGGCATCGCCCAGTGCCCAAGGTTCGGGCTGGGCTGAGGCATGAGCGGAACGGCCGGCATAGAGGAGCACCGTCCAGAACGTTCGGACGGGGTCCGGGTCTGTCGAGACGGCGGTTCTTGACCGTCGACGAATATTGCCTCTCAGTCTCGCGTTGTCGTCGTGTGGAGGAGTAATCTGGGGAAATGACATACTGAGAGTGCTCGGCTGTCAGTTCCGAGACAGCGTGTCTACGTGTCGTTCCAGAATGTGCTCAGCTATGGGGCTCGCAGGCTCTCACGTAACGGTCATTGACTGAGACTGGCAATCTTTGAGCGAGGAGTCGTCTATTTCTTGAGACTGATGACTCGGGAGCATGAGCCTAGGGAAATTGTAACACCCAGCTCTCTCTGCCTCGCCGTTTGTGCCTACCGTATCATGAGACTGCCCTCATGATGTTTGTCAAGCCCCCATCTTATTGCCCATGCAATGACCCGCTCGGTCTTGATAACGTCCTCCCCAAGTGGACAAAGGCAACTACCCAGATATCCAGCAGCGTTGATTATCCTAGTGGGAGATATGGACTACGACTTACGGGATTGCAAGCGTCTACAGATAAATTAGTCTCTGAAGAATAGTCCTGATATATGCTGTCCTCTTACAACGCTTTAGATGCCTCGTAAGGCCTGTATTTAAAGTGTTGGTTGTTGCGGTCCCTTTCCTGAGAGTATCCCTGTTAGCTGTGAACGGTCAACGAAAGGGAAATGGATCCGCCGATATCGGAAAGCCCAGGACCAGGACAATGATTGTTCAGCAGCAAAATTCATTGCTGAAGCCTTGGTAATCGCCTTTGCTGATTCGGCCGGCACTGTATCCACCCACCTTTCACAGGCTGTGTTGCAGTCATACAGTGCGACAAGTCTAATCAGATAACACCTCCACTCATTTCCAGGGACTGAAGAGTGCATCTCCGCCGAAAAGTAGACCGTCTTGGCGGGACTACAAGTCACTGCCCAACCTATCTCTTCCCTACTACTTGACCCTTTTTCTCTCACCAACCACCTAACAACACCAGCGTCGACATTTCAGACTCGATCTCTTCCCTGTCAGCCAATCCTAGCCAAAAGGCGAAACCACACACAAAATGTCTCCTTCAATAGTCACAATAGACAACACCCCAGACTTCGACTTCGCGTCCGACTTCAACCCCGCCCCCACCAAGCAGACGAAGAATGGCATCACCACCGCCACCACCACACAGAACCGCACCCTCCTCCTCGCCCCGCCCTCGATAGCCGCCCAAGGTACCAGCGCCCTTCCCACTTTCGACCGCGACACAACAGACCTGCAGATGCTTGACCGCCTCTACGCCGGCCTCGTCACCCTCCCCGCCGCAACATATGACCTCGTCCTGCTCCTGACCGACACGGATGGCGCGAGGCACGCAGAGGCAACCGGCCTTCTGTCTCGCGGCGTCTTCGCGTCGCTCGTGGATGCCATGAGGTCCGGTGCCTCGCTCAGGACCCAGGACGGGCGGTTCGACGCCTCCGAGTCAAGGGAGGCGGTGCTCGCGGGGCTGGTCGAGAAGGACGGCGGCTACGAGAAGGTCGAGGAAGAGGAGGTTGTCGTGCCGCTGCGGTTCGGGAAAAAGAAGACCACGCCGGCGGCGGACCATCTCAAGAACAACAGTAACGGCAACGGCAACGTGCACAGCTCTGCCGGCCCGGCGGTGGACAAGGTCATGATCGATGTCGCTGGGAAGCCCAAGACGTTGGACATGGTGCCCCCCGCGGTGAAGCCTGTCGCGGGTGTTGGCTTTGACTTTGGTGATGACTTTGACGATGACGACGAGTTGATCGACGAGGACGAGCTCATGACGGAGGAGGACCTGAACCGGCCTGTGCAAATGCGTATGTCCTCCTGCCTTCACATTCTCCGGTCTCGCATACACACACATACTTTGACCCACATGCTAACGCAGTCACTCAAACAGCCCCGGAGTGCAAGCCCCAGCCCGGCAAGAAGCGCCGCGCCTGCAAGGACTGCACCTGCGGCCTGGCGGAGCGCATCGAGGCACAGGACAAGGCCCGCCGCGCCAAGGCGGACAAGGACCTCAACACGCTCAAGCTCAAGTCCGAGGACCTCAACGAGCTGGACTTCACGGTCCAGGGCAAGACGGGCAGCTGCGGCAGCTGCTCCCTCGGCGACGCCTTCCGCTGCTCCGACTGCCCCTACATCGGGCTGCCGCCCTTCAAGCCCGGCGAGGAGGTCACCATCCTGAACAACGTGGCCCAGTTCTGAGCAAAGGGCGAGGGGGCGCCCCTCTTTTGTTTGGGAATTGAAAAGATGTCCACGAACCCATGTATACATGGGTTTACCCACCCGGGACGCGGGCCACGCGGGCCGAAGGGGTGGGCATGCAAGGGTAGTGCTCTCGGCCGGGGGAGACATCATCGAGCGGCTTGTCTGTAACAGACGACTCCTTTCGGGGGCAATTCAGGCCTCGGCATCGGTAATTTGAACCCTATGGCCGTGCCATCGGGCAAGGTTGGGAAGCCACAATAATGGCATCAGGCCAGAGCGAGCACGAACACGAACTTCCAGCTGATGGTTCGGCCATAGCGCAGCTGAGATGGTGTTTTGAGAGAGCCCTGAGAAAGAGAGCGGGCTTTGGGTCCTGATGTGGAGACAAGACACGGGGGAGGGAGAGAAGGCAGAGGCACAATAGCAACAGCCCGCCTGCTTGGTTTCAGAAGATTGAGAATGCATTTTATTGAAACAATCAGTCCCTATGACATAAATCGCTGTGCGCCGTGACGAATCCACCAACTCTCTGGGTCCGGCGACAAAATCGTTCATGCTCGCCTATATGTGTGTTCATATCTGATCTCTCCTTGACTGTACACCACCACTACCGTAATTGTACAGCCTTCTGAACCCTCTGCGAGAGTCAGGATTAACGCGCCCTCTTCCCGCTGGCCTCCTTCTTTGCTCCGCTAGAGCTCTCCTCATCGCTGTCACCACCCAGGCTGTACCTCCTATCGGTCCCGAGAACCCCCTCTTCGTGTCCCTCTACTGTCGGCGACTCAACATGGAGGTCGTCCAGTTCCGCCTCGTCAAAATCCGCAGCCTCGAGATCCCTGGCATTCGTTGATCCTCGGCTGCGGAAATCCCGCCTCTGGCTGGTCTGCAAACCGATGGAACTGCCCTGCGAGAGACCGAGATATCCCAGGCCCTTTCTCTTCCGGCGCTCCTTCCAGACAAAGTATCCCCACGCTGCCGCTGCAACTGAAACGATGACCAGGAGGACCTCGCCTGAGCGCTGGTAAGCGGCCCATTTGGCCGCCTCGAGCTTCTCCTTCTCGGCCTCCTGGGCAGCGGTGCTGTTGCCCGCTGTGCCGCCAACAGACGTCTCGGGAAGACGTTCGCCGTCCAGGTAGGAGTCCGTGGGCTTGCCGCCGATGCTGCTGATGTCCACGCCCATGAAACGGTCCAGCATGTCTCGCGACGCACGCGACACGTCGAAGGGCACCATGTGGGAGCTGTTGTAGAAAAGCACGTACGTCAGGTTTCGGGCCTCCTGCCAAAAGCCGGCAACCTCTCCCTCGAAGGTCCACTCCCTGCGTGGCGCCCACGTGCCGGGCGACAGCTCGAAGCCTTTCCCGCCGTTCCACTCCATGTTGCCGATGAAGGCCTCAGTGCCAAGGTGGTTGCAGATCAGATCCTCCGCGCCGGAGAACAGAAGTATGGGGACCTCCTTCAAAATGTCCGGGAGAAATTTAACGGCTGGGACCGAGTTGGATGCGCGGAAGTGGCTGCCCACAGCTCCGCTGCACTCCGACCACCCAGTGTTCTTGGCCTCGTCGATGTGGAGGGCCTCCACAACGTCCTTCCTGCGCAGGTAAGGAGTCACATGCACCAGATCCGGCGGCCAGTTCATGCCGCACGACGGGTAGCTGTCTGTGAGCCGCACATCGTACATGTTGACGCACTGCTGTTTGCCATCAGATCCAGGGGTGGTTGTAAATTGCAAGATATCCTGCAGAATGTTCTCGCAGGAAGCGTGGTCGACCTTGTTGCTGTCGACGGCCAGATCCTTCTGGCAGATTCTATGCTGCACCTCGATCTTCTTGGCCGTCTCGCTGCCCTTCTTGACGATGCCCTTCTCGTATGCGAAATCAAGATACGCTTCGTATTGCTCTGGAGGTGAGATCCACCCGTTGCCGATCAGGAGACCTTTGAGTGCCCATGTGTGAGCCACACCGGGCTTCTTGTTTCGTTCAAGCATGGCCTTCGCGATATAGGGGATGTGCTGTCCGGCGTAGGACTCTCCGGCGATGTAGATCTGGACAAGTCAGCGTCTCCTCTAATGACCTGTTCACTTCCCGCGCATTGCCTTACATCATCTTGTTCGTACTCGGGGAAGAGGGCGAACCATTTCTCGAGGAACGTGACAAACTGGTCGGCCATCTCATCCAGCTCGGTAACGTATGAGTCGGTGTCGACGTAGCTGAACCCGGTGCCGACAGGGTTGTCGACGAAAAGCAGGTTCGCAAATTCATGCCATGATCCATCATTCAATGTCAAAGTCTTGTCATCCTTCAGACGATAGGGACCGATCTCCATCAGACCACCGTCCTCAGAGCTACACCCTGGGCCTCCGTTCAGCCAGATGACCGTCCGTTGTCTATTAGCAATGTGTTGGTTCTGGTAGTGCCAGAAGAAAAGGTTTCCGTTGTGCTCCGGTGTGACTTCGATGTGTCTGTTCAAGAACGAGGGCGGGTTAGCAGGGCGGTCCCTCTCCCCGAGAGGGCTGGGCGGAATTCCAGTGCTTACCCAGCATGCATCTTGACGAAGGGTGTCGGGGGGGCGCCGGGTAATTCGTGGACAAAGTAGTCGGCCGCGCTCTTTTGCGCGCTGACCGTATCTAGCCATGGCAGCGCAATCACAGCGAGGAGGGCTGCCACGGATGGCACCCTCAGCCGCGTGAGGAAAGCCATGGTGGCTCTTCCGGGATGGAAGGCTGACCCAAACGGGTCCAGGGGCAAGGAAGGGCGACTTTGCTGCTAGGCCTTGTGCGCCGCAAAACTCATCGACAATGCAGAAGGTGACGGTATCGAAATGGAGGGTTGTCTGCACGCGGAGACGTCGAGGCCCGATGGTTGTTGTTTGTTGAAAGAAGGTTGGTGGATGGTTTGAAAGATCGACCGCGGTCGGGTCGGATTGTACTGCCGCCTGTGGTGACAGATCTCACTCCGCAAATGCGGTTACAGGGACTTGGAGTGTTTGAGCTGGCGTGGCCCTACAGGGGGCCGGTCCGACGCACCTGCGCAAGGGCAGAACAATTTATGGACCCCAGGCTGCTATTTTCGAGATCTAGGGCGGCTGTTTAGGTTGCCGTGTAAGCTTTGGGAACGGCTTGAAACATCGCGGATCAGGATTCTTGACCACGGGAATCCACCAGGCAGTGTTCTCCAGGTGAATGAATAATTCGGTCAATCCTTTTGAAGACTCGAGCGGGCACATGCGTCAGTGCATCCGCATCGCTACTGAGTCCGGCTTCCAGGATCTTTCTGGCTGGGCATCTCCTGATGCAGCGTGCCGTGTCTATTCAACCCCAGATGCAGAGCTCATCGTCGGCCCAATATCCAATCGGTTGCTAGGCTGAAGGCATAGATATTCTACGCCTCCGACGTACCTGCAAGGTACATGTGTCCAGCCCCAAAGAGACCCAGACGTTGAGGACTGGTCTTGTGGCTGGGAAGAGGAAAGACACATGAAACATCGTCTTTTGGCAAGCTGGAAAATTCTCTGAACTCAACATCTGTGATCCCTGTGTAGAAGCACCTGCTGGCGAACCGTTTCAGCTACCAGCAGTTCCTGACCAGCAGACATCTGTACTGTTAGACTGCCTAGGTACTCCATACGGCAGGTGCCAAGGACGGAGCTAAAGCGAGGTGGATGCTCAAGGGCCAACCCATTCAGGCATGTGGGCAGCCTTGGAAGTACCTAGGTAGATAGACAAAATTCGTCTACGCCTTCCTCATTAAACTTACAAGATTCTCCAGATTGAACTTCTTGAACATCAGTTCTGATCAATTCTGTTCCAATCCCATTAATTTTATACCGTTACTATCTTACTAAGGAAGAGTATTCTTATTGTATCCATCTGACGAAGTTGGTCACGGCGAGATCGAAAATGGCACCCAACGTCGGCGGCAAGGTCTACATCGTCGAGCATCTTGACCCGGAGCTTGGACCCTGGTCTGAACTGGAGTATGTTGCCATCGCCGAGGAATCTCGGGAATCAGGGAGCAGTTTCACCCTCTCGTCCCTGCCGGACGGGTTCAAGGTCCCCGAGTCCCTGAAGGCTATCCCGGTCTTCAAAGCCACGCAGAATAGCGTCGAGAACATCTACGCCGCCACCAAGAACACGGTCTGCCTGCTTGACCCGGCAGCCGAGAAGGATCTGTCGCCCGAGGATGCCCAGGAGTTCGGCACGTTTCTGTTTGGTGGAATTCTAGGTGGGATTGACACTCCAATCCCGCATGTCGTCTGACTCGATTCTAACGGCTGTGGGCGGAAAAGGCGATGATCCCCCACGAGGTAATTCTCAAAACATGGTGTGCTGCGTGTGAAATGCTGCAAGAGTGTATATTGATTGTGACTAGATCGGACCTCCGAGTTGAGGAAGAAAGGCTTTCCGGGACGCCGACTTGGTCCTGTCCAGATGACTACCGACACGGCCGTGCGGGTGACACGAATGGTGATCCAGCAACAAAGTCAGTGCTTGATTGTCTTTTTTCCTTTCCGGTGCGACGTGAGAGCCGGACCGAAGAGAAGCTGAGTTGTGAACAGTCCCTCTGAAGGACATTCCCTACGTCGATCATCCTGATTTGAAAATCAACGAGCATGAGAGCACCGAGATGCCGTTTCGCTACGTGAAGGGAGAAGATGGCCAGCCCATCATGCCCAAGGTATGATTGCACACACATATGTATCATGTTTCCATTCCTCGAATAGGCACTGATGCTCGCCGGCAGGGCATGAGGGAGTTGATCGGGAAGGACGCGGACAAGGCTATAGATGACCTGTTCTAGGCGCGTTGTGCTCATCACCTTGCTATGGGATGGACAGGTATAAAATTCAGCGGGAATGACAGCAGATAGTAAGTTAACATGGGGTCTTTCAACATGATGTCGATGGCGAGACCCTTGAGTTTGGTCATTTAGGCCGAGAGTACTGCACTTCGCTGCACCTTATACCATTCGAAATAGCTCATCGAAGCGCACATTTTGGAGGTTAGAAGATTATCCCATGGGAGGTTGCCCCATAATAGATTATCCCATAGGAGGTTGTCTCGTAGGAGATTGTTCCATGGGAGACTGTCGCATGAGAGGTTATCCCATAAAAGGTTGTCCCGTAGGAGGTTATCCTACCTAGGTACTTGAGGTCCGTCCTCCTTATCTTATCATGCCGGACCCCACCATGTAACTTGCCCAGGACAACCTCTAACCACCTGGACGTGGTTTATTGTGAGACTGTCGCCGACTTCTCGAGGAAAGTCTCACTGGTTTCGAGAGAAATTCTCTGTTTTGTGACCGGCTGTGGCTGGCGAGACCTTATACCATAGCACCAGGAGCCATGGGGTCCATTTCACCTCCGCCTCTCGAGATTAGCCCGCCTCTGGTCAACTCGGCGAACCCTTGGGCGACCAGTCTCGAAGATCTCAAGGCACTCTACGAATGCCCCAACATCGGTGCTGTAACTACTCGGACGTCTCTCATCTCGGGCTTTGCACACGACCCATCGAGGCATCAATTCACCCTCTTCGACGTGGTCACTCATCAGTCTGAGCAAGACCGTACCAATCTGAAGGGCCGTGAGAGCGCAAGTCTCAATACACTGGGGTATAGCCCCCACACGCTGGGAACCTACCTCGGGTTCATAGGGCAGATAGCAAAGGCGCCTTGTGCTCGGCCAGACAAAGGTTTTATCATCTCTGTTACTGGCAGCCCCGAGGAAGTCGCACAATGTTACTCCCTCATCAGACAATTACAGGAATATGTTCCCTTCCCACTCGCCATGGAGATCAACCTCAGCTGTCCCAACATCCCGGACAAGCCACCGCCGGCCTACAACGGCGACTCTCTGAAGTCCTACCTGACATCATTGCAGGAGCTTGTATCGGAGCCAGGCGTCGCGCGTATCCCGTTTGGTCTGAAGACTCCACCTTACACACACGCGGCTGAGTATATGGAGCTCTTCTCCGCCCTCAAGTCCTCGGCGCAGCGGGACCGGCACGGCGTGTGTCCTGTCTCGTTCATAACAGCAACAAACACCCTCGGTTCATGCCTGGTCCTCGCCGACCCGGAAGTGAATGCGTCCAGCGGCCCTGCGCTACCTGCATTGGGCATCGGTGGGATGGCGGGCGCACCATTACATCCCCTAGCTCTGGGTAACGTGAGGACCATTCGAAGGATTCTGAGCGAGGCAGGAAGCCCTCTGGCTCATATACAGATCATTGGCGTGGGCGGAGTCTTAGACCACAACGGATACAAGAGGATGCAAGCTGTGGGTGCCGACATTGTGGGCGTTGGCACAGGTTTGGGACTCAAGGGCGTGAGCGTTTTCGGCGACGTCCTCAACGCAAAATTTACCAGTTTCAACGGATTTCTGGTGTCCATGGAGAATAATCAGCACTGATTGCATGACAAACAGGCATCTAAGTGACAGGACAAATGAAGCTGTATGCTGCACTGGTCTACCTAGGCATCTGATAAGGACGGCAATTGGAGGTGTGGGCTGCAGGAGCTCTGGAATGGTGCTGGCTGCTTCCAGAAACGTGGGGTGGTGATTGGTCAGGAACAGCAGGGGTCCCACCCCAGCCAGGAGACAATGGGTGAGGCTGCGTGTAGAATGGCAAGCTCTCTGACCGTTCCCTTACTTATTCTTACCTCGTCGATCCTATTGTGAATATTTGCATCTCAATAGGTCGTCCGTTTGGCGAGGTAACTTGAGTATTTCTACCCGGGCTTTATCAAGCACGTCCCTTTCTAATCTCTCTTCCTTGGCTGGCAACACTTTCTTCCTTCTTTCTTGCCACGCAACTCATCGGTCCCAACTCCGCCCCGTGTCTCGACTTTTGCGACCTGACGTGTTGACACCTACATATTTTTCCGAACAGACCTGCATCTCCTCAACCGAAGCACGCACCTGCCATCGCAAACGCCTGCCACTGATACAGCGAACATGTCCGACTTTGGAGACCCCGATGACATGCTTCTCGCCCTCGCGGGCGGGGGCGATGGATCCTCTGATGAGGCATCCAATGCCGGCAGCCGTGGTCGCAGCCGCAGCCGCAGTCGCAGTCGGGGCCGCAGTCAGTCTCGCAGCCAGAGCCGAAGTCGTGGTCCTGAACGATCACCGAGCGCCCAGCCCGCGGAGCGCTCGTCTCCAAGGAGCCCTGCGACAAAGAAGACTCCCGCGAAGAGGTCTCAAGGGCGCAACAAAGCTGAGTCCGAAGATGAGGGTGAAGCGTGAGTTCCCATTTCTGTCTTAACTCTCGCCATCACCCCGATCTAGGCTGCATCGCTTGGGCTCTCTCATGTCACTTGCCATTTGCGCAGCGACGCTAACCTGTGGCTTCCTCTCAGCTCCGATCCCGGTACTCCTCGCTCGCAGTCGTCAGTGCCCATGGACGAATCCGACTCGGACGCGGAGTCCGATGCGCACCAGGGCAAGGAGCCGGACGAAGGCGAGAACAAATACCCGGTCGAGGGACTGTACAAGAGCTACGAGGAGAAGGAAGAGATCATGGCCATGCGAGAAATCGAGCGAGAGAGGATCCTTGAGGAGAGGCATGCGGAGAGGAACCGGGCCAAAACCCTGGCAACGTTGAGGCAGATGGTCCAGAACACAGAGGGAGAAAAGCACAAGAAGCGCAAGGCTGGCGCTGCCGAGCTTGAGGACGGTGACCATAAGTCGTCCCGACCTCGCACCACGACAAAGACCACGAAAGCGGCGCCTACAGCTCTCGATAACCTCAAGCGCGCGCGAGCGGAGAAGCAGGATCGCCGTCGCAAAGACGAAGAGCGACGCCGAGACCGCCGATCGCCTTCTTACCGAAGCGGTTCGAGCCGTAGCCGCAGCCGCCACTCCGACGATAGTGACGTGGAGTGGGCTGGGCCGTCCAAGAAGAGGTCAAAGACACCAGAGAGAGCCCTGCCTGCCGAGCTCCGAGACATCGAGAGATGTCGCCTTAGTCGCACGCGCTTCGCCAAGCTCAACTTCTGGCCAGGTTTCGACGAGACTGTGAGGGGCTGCTACATACGAATCCACATTGGTCCAGATCCTACCACGAGAGCGCCCGTGTATCGGATGGCTGTCATCAAAGGTGAGTTATGAAGTTGTCCGGAGTGCCGTGCTGTTGCTGATGGGTCATAAGGCGTCACCACCGGCCGGCCATATGCAGTTGAGAACGAGCAGCACAAGACCATTGTCACAGATCAGTACGTGGTCGCCGCGCATGGCAAGGCTGAGAAGGAATGGCCCTATATTGCTTGCTCCGAGAGCCCCTTCACTGAGGTAAGCCCATCCCAATGTTTGAATCGCAGCACCCAGTCTAACAGACGGCAGGCCGAATGGAACCGCTATCAAATCGTGTGCGGAAAAGACGGCATCAACTTGCCCAAGAAGCCAGAGCTGACACAAAAGGTCGACGATATCAATAAATACCTCAACCGCAGCTGGACCGATGAGGAGCTGTCAGAGAAGCTCCACCGCCAGAACACGCTGCGGGACAAGTTCAGCGGCGCCGAGCGGGCGAGACTGGAGCAGGACGCCGCCGAGGCCCGCCGCCATGGCAACACTACGCTCGCGGACGAGCTGCAGGAGAGGCTGGACAACATGCCGGCGCCCCGTCTCGCCTTTTCGACCTCGCTGAAGAAGGCCACCCCGGTCAAGCCCAGCGGGCCGTCGCAGCAGGACCGCCTGGCCGAGAAGAACCGGCTCAACCGGCAGCTCAACGCGAAGCAGGTGCGCGAGGCGCAGATAGCGGAGCGGCGCAAGGCGCGGGAGGCGCTCGCGGACAAGGGGGGCGTCGGCTCGGACGCAGACGTCGGGGACCCGTCGTCGCGCCGCGCCAACATCAAGAGGAAGTTCCCGGTCAGGACGCAGGACGGCGGCGACTCGGCTGCCGGCAGCGGGGCCAGCACCCCGGCCAACGGTACCCCCAAGCTCGGCGCGGAGAGCGCCTTGCCGCCGCACGTGGCGAAGCTGCGGGAGCAGCAGGAGGCCGCCGCGAACGGCAAGGGCGGCGTGCCCAAGATCCACCGGGCGCTGACGGATGACGATATCATCGGCTCCCTGGACCTGGATATTGACGTTGAGATCTGAAGGGGGTGTGTGTGGTGGGCGGTGCGGGATATTGCGAAGCTTGCGTGGTCAGTGAGAGGGATGAGCAGGCGAAGGAACGACTACTTCCTGTTATGTGGGGAGTGAAACAGTCCAAATAGTCTGAAGTTGGCTTGCGGACAAGAGTCTTCTTCGTGTCTAGGGTTGAATGGGGTCGAGTCGATTCCCCGTGGCGTTGCCTGCATCAAGACAAAATGATCATACTTGCAGCACCGGCGTTGGAAAATTACAGGAAGTCATGGTCGACTGTTGGTTCAGGGAAAAAGGAACAAGAGAGTAGACGCTAGATCTGCTATCGAGGCGTACCCTTTGAGTGCAATAAGTTCCTATACGCGTATCCAGACGCGGCCCACATAGCAAGTAGATCATCAACAAGCATTTCTCCCATCCTTAACGCTTCCGACACAAGCAGGTTTTGGAGGTATGATCAAGTTTATTTCCACGAGACGAGGCGATGTAGGAAATGCTTTAGGGAAAACGCTACATGCTCCTGCGGACGCGCGCGCGAGAGAGAAAAGGTCCCAAGTTCATTTTCAAGCAGGTCCCTAGAACGCCATTCATTCTAAACTCGGCCCCACTTTCTGGTCCCGGTGTCTTTTTTTAAGAACCAACCCCATGTATCCCAACTCAACCGATCCCGTTTTGCAGGTGAGGCAATCAGTCTATGTCATTCATTATTGTCTTCTCCATTCGCGCGATGTCTGGGTCATGTTCGTTCTCCTTTCTACTGTCAATTTCTGCAGCTCATTGTCCATCATCCCCTCACGCACCCCTCCGTCTACACCGGCGTAGCGGCGGTGGCCGGGGTAGCGGCCGATGCGGACTTGCGCCCGCGGGGTTCCTCCTCCGAGTCCTCGTCGCTCGGCGGGCGGCTGTCCTCCTGGCGGAGGTTCCTCCGGCTCTTGGTCATCTGCCTGCTGTCAGCTTCCTGGCATTTCGAGTTCGTAAAGCAACTAGTGTGAATGGTAAAGGTTGAAAGAGGAAATCAGATTGCCACTCACCCAGCCACGCACACCCCCGATCAGTCCGAGGGTATACCCGGTGATGAAATCATTCTGTGTCCTGCCGTCGGCACCGGGCGACCTAGGGCCCAGGGTCGACATGGACGGGCTCGAGGGGATGTCGCCCAAGCCGCCGTTGGCGGCGGCAGATGAGCTGGGGCCGCCCAGCGTCTGCGGCGCGGGGCTCTGGGGCCTGCTGGCGGGCCAGAACTGGCGGAACTCCTTGCCGAGCTCCTGGCCGGTGGTCGACCAGTTGGAGCGGATGTTATCGCGCAGGTCCTGCACGTGGCGCTTGAGCTCGAGCTCGTTCTTCTTGAGCCAGCTCACGTTGAGCTCCTGGCGCGAGGTGCCGCGCTTCAGCTGGCGAGCTATGTACTTTTCGTAGTCGCGGACGATCCTGTTCGGGGGAAGGGAGGCGCGGGTTAGTCACAGGCTTTTTCCAAAATTGTAATTGAGTGCAGGGTGTCGTCTTACTTGGTGATGATCCCAGTCGTGCTCACGCCCTCGGTCCTTTGCGTCACCAGGAACTTGCCCTCCTTCTTGATAGGCGCGTAGATATCGTCGCCCTCGTCGGCCCCGTAGGGCAGGTCGTCGTGCGCGACGTAGTCGATCTTATGCTCTGACAGGAATTCCGGGGTCACGATCCAGGGGCAGTTCTCGACCACCTCGTCCACCCACTTGCAGTGGCGCACGGTCTCGGCGCGCTCCTTGCCCGAGAGCACCGTCAGGCCTTTTCGCTTGTGTGTCTCGTCGTCGCCGGTCACTCCTACGAGAAGGTACACGTCGGGGAAAGCCTTCTTGGCCTGCTCAAGCTGGCGCATGTGCCTACATGTTGGGAAGAGTGTCAGTAAGCTGCCTGTAACATATGGGGTTATTGGATGGGAATTACGCACCCAAGGTGAAACAGATCAAACACTCCATCGGCGTAGACCCGGACGGGCCGCCCAGCTGGGGGCGGGTTCGTCTTGTATCCCACGGGGTGTGTGAGCTTCCCGATAGGCGGGGGCGGCATGCGCTCCTCGTCCTTCTTGCCGGCAGCGTTATTGGCGGCCGCCTTGCCCCTCAGGGTGCTCTTCCTGGAGACGCGGTCGGCGATGTCGACGCTGGCCTCGGTGGTGTCACTGGGCTCGCCGGGGTCGACGGAGGCCTCGGCCGCCTTGTCGGAGCTGTTGTTGCCGCGTTGGCGCTTGCTGGGAGGGTGTTGTGAGCTGCTGGAGTCGGCCTTGCGGTGGCCCTGTGAGGGAGCGCCGGAGGACTCTGGGGCGGTGGTGTCGCCCTCCTCGCCGGATGCGTCGCGGGACTCTGCTTGGAGCTGGGCGTCCATGGCAGACTGTACGCTTTTCGGGTCGGCGAGGTCGGGCGAGGACGCGGCGGCGGCGGCCCGCTTGCGCTTGCTACCGCCTTGGGTTGTGCTTGGTGATGACATGGTCCTGGTTGTGGCAGCCGGTGTGGCTGTGGTTGTGGTTGTGGTTGTGGCCCTGGGGCGGGTGCTGCAAGCGGACTAGGAGCAGTGCCGTGAAAAGCTGCTTTGTTTATGGTGTGCGGTGCTGTTGCGGCATAAATACAGGACCACACTCGATGCTCGAATAGAAGGACTAGGAAGGATGAGTGGATAGGTCGAGTCGTGGGAGGGGGGTGGTCGTTGGATGGATAAGATAGGGTGGATGATTCGGCGTGCTTCTACAACAAGGTATGCGAGTGGGTGTACTCCGTAGGGTGGGTCTTGTGTGTCTCTTGAGGGATGACGGACGGCCGCTTCGACGAGGGCAGCTGGCGCACGATGCCGGAGAGTTTAATCTGTGGATCGCTGTGCCTCGAGCTACCGTGCTCGATTGCTCGCAGCCTTGGTCCTGCCTGTTTGCCTGTGAGATGCGTGTTTCCATCCTGTCCAATCCACCGGGGTCACGTACTTGATGTAGCGCGGGAGACGTCACCAAGCTGCTGTCACAAGCTTCGATTAAGCTCCAGGGCGCTGGCGAGGAGGTATGGCGAGGAAAAGGGTCGGATGCAATCTTGAGGCGTTGATCATCAATCAATTGAACATCAATGGATAGGATGCTGCACAGGAGGATATTATGTGCGGGAGAGGGAGCCCACCAGGTAAAAGGGGGTTTCTCTTGTCTCGTGGGTAGGGAGGGATGGAATTTACGCTTCAATTTCGACGGCCAAGGTCCTGTTCCAACACTTCCCAACACGTGTAGCTACTGTCTAAGTGCTGGGCGGGTGCTGTGCCGTCGTTGCTTGGTACTTGGGTTAAAAGTCGCGGTCAGGCGTATCCCTGCCCCAAATTTTAAAGTGCCCGGGTGGAGGATGAGGATAGATTGGGGCACAAGCAGAGGCATATGTCATGGGCAGAGTCGCGTCATCCGCCATCCCGTCATCCCTACCTCGCTCCTCCAAAAATCCCCAGCTGGAGAACTTGAAATGTTGGCCTGTCTCACACCCTCTCTGGCTGCAAGCTCTGCCAGCCCCAGCCCGTGCATTGTGGCTTGCTTTTGCCCTCTCCCGTCACCGTGATTGGCCACTCCCCCACGTTTGATCCTGCTGTCTGAGTTGTGCAGGTGTGGCTGCCTCCAGACCTAAAATGGGTTGAGGAATGGAGTGGGCAGATTTGCTCGGTGCCCGGGTTGAGGTTGTACAATCCCCCAGAAACAGGAATTGCCCCTGTGCCTGAGACCTGCGCTGCGCATGGACCGGATTTCAGTAGACTACGTTGTGTGGTACAGATGCACGTGAGGCAATTCAGACGACATCGCATGCAACAAGTCGTGGTCGCTTCCTCGTCATTCCTCGCCGCCTCGTCTTGCGAGCCAGGACAGCTCGGTTGTAGCCAGCTGCCGCCACAGAGACCCTGCAGGACTGCAGTCGAGGCTGTTGTCTCACAACCGTAGCACCGCACTCACAGCTGTCGCTACCTCGGTCCATACGCTCCGCCGAGATCCCAATCGGTTGTCCCGGCACTCGATCAGACAAAGAAAGACCTGTGTTGTGTGCAGACTCCGGTCTATCACAATTCACACGATATCCCGTAGCCAATGGGATGGTATAGTCCCACACATCGCTACCGGGCGCTGTCCTACGGTTTTTATCCCACAGGTGTTGCTGCTACATGAGGCTATGCCTATAGAGAACTTGTATTGTATGCAGTGCGTATAAGAGGTATGCATGGTCTACAATGCTGTCTAATGCTGTCACTCATCTCTACTCATCTACAATGCAGCCCAAACGAGGACACACCAATTACATATCCAGCTCCGTCATGTTTTCCTTTTGCGGTCTCAGCTCGTCCCCTAGAACCACATCTCCCTTTGAGAAAATATCATATCCAAGCATAACGCCAGAAGTCACTGGTATAACCCTCTTCTACCTCGCACAATCCTCTACGCCTTCTTGACACGGTGCCGCCCGCAGCGGGTCGTGTTCCTCGGGTTGCTCATGTAGCAGTGGGCCCGCGCGTCCTCCCCGGGCTTGGGAACGAACTTGTCCCTGACCGAGCAGTACTCGTGCGTCTCCGGCACCCACTCGCGGATGTGCTTGTGGAGCTCGCACCGGCTCACGCCGCACTTCCTGCACAGCCCCTTGCCGCGCACCCGCATGGCCGCGAGGCCGGCCTTGTCGCCCGCACCCAGCGTGTTGGTCGTCGCCGCGCTGGTGCTGCCGCCGTGGGAACCCGCAACGGGCCTGCTGGCGAGGTGCCACGCCCACTCCAGCTCGTTGGGCCCGTCGCGCCGCGAGCTCAGCGGCACCGACCCGTGCATGCGCCGGTGGATGGCGTAGAAGTGGCTATTGGTGAGCCCCAGGCACGCCGAGTCAATTGGGTCCAGAAAGTCGAAGACGGCGTAGTGGAGCTCAGGGGGGATCGTGGACAGCGTCAGGTTGCCCGAAGAGGGCCGCTGCTCTGGCGGGACGGGCTCGTAGTCCGTGACCGAGTACGAGCGGCGCGGGGCGCCCAGCTTCGGCCTACGAGGCTGAGGTGGCCTGCTGCTTTCGAGTGGTGTGACAGAGTCTGCGCTCTCATTCTGCACGTTCTGCGCGTTGGGACTTGGAACAGAGGCATCTTGAGCTTTTGTCTCCTCGGCTGCTCCCGCGGCGCCAACCGTGTTCTGGGTCGGCACAAAGGAGGTAGAGGCGTGCTGTTGAGGTTGGGGCCTCGTGATGGTCAAGATCTGTGGCCCCAATGGGATGTGCTCGTGTGTGGTTCTTGACCGTTGAGGAAGTCTCCTAGCGGTGTGTGGGTTTCTTGCCAAAACTTGCTCTTCTCGGGTGAAGAAGCCAGAGTTCTGCCTGGAGAGCGGCGTGAAGCCCTTCGAGATCCCTTGAGTCAGGGTGGGCCCCTGGGAGTAGTCACTTTCCACCTTCATGTTGGGCTGGTGTGCGCTGGAGAAGCTTTGACTTGATGGTGAGGGTTGTCTTGTTGTTCTTGTTGTACCTTGGAATGGTGATGGGCTTATAATGTGGACCGGCCTCGAGTGGTGCTTGGTGTCTGACGTAGTGCTCAAGTGGCTTCCTGCTGGCTGGCGGGGACGGGAATCTGGGGTCCCGTTGTGGATATATATGTCAAGGCTTGGCCACACCGGGGCAAGCGAGGATATCGTATTGCGATGTACCGGTATGCAAGTCAGGGGCTAGGCGCACCGACAACGGTTTCCTGGAGTTTCGACGGAGGTCTCCTCACTAGCGACACCATGGGGTCTCCGGGGGAGTGTTCCGAGGTAGGAGTTGTGTGTTTTTTCTACAGGATTGGCGGGTGAAAGCGGAAGAGAATGCTCAAAAGGGAATAATTGTTCTCGTAGAAGTATGACAGAGACGATGTAGGTTGGTTGACGATCCTGGGGTTGGAACGACAAAGAGGTTAAAAGAGATGGAGGGTGGCGTCGAGTGAAGAAACGAACGACGAGGCCTAAGGGTCTGTCGAGGCGTGGTGTGATATCCGCTCTGGCGGCTGCAGGGAGATGGGAAGAAAGGACGGGAGTGGAGCGGCAAGGGCGACAGGCAGGACGACCAACTGGGCAGGAGGCTCGAGTTGGGCTGTGAAAAGGGACCGAGACCGCGAGGAGCGCCCGCGAGATTGCTCGCGGGGAGGCGGGACTCAAGAGGCAGGGAAGTTGATGATCACTGCTTCTCCGACACTTGTCATGCTCAAGCTCACGACAGAAGGGGATTCGTAGGAGAGATATGAAAGGCACAGATCCTCCGGCGCTGCGTATCTCGTCAAAAAAGCTGTGACGAAAGGGAAACCCCAGCTTGCACTGATCATCGTGATGACCAGCCAGTGAGAAAAACGGTGAGGGGCGGAAAACTGGACCCTCTCACTGGGGGCGAGCCCTTCCGCGCTCGCGCCGTTTCCAGTTCGGCGGGAGCCAGGCGAGGCACTGGGCGCTGGCAACACACGATCCCGGCGCGAGGAGGCTGCCAGGCCGCCAGGCTGGCAGAAACGGCCGACGATTGTCCGCTCGACGTTGTCAGGGCTCAGGGGTAGACCGGCCAGCCGGGCAGGATGACGAAGGGAAATCAAGGGTTCGTTCCCCCACGCGGCGAGCGCCAAGCCAATTTGGCATGGTTGTCGCTTGTTCGTGTCTGGTTCCATCGGACCAGGCCGGACCAGACCCTGTGTTCGAGAAGGCAGAGAAGGCAGAGGACGCAGCGAGAAGCGCTGCGAACAGTGCTCAAGTCCGGGCCGAGCGCCGTTCGCATGCCTCGGATTTGCGAGCTGCTGCGCATCTCTGGCCTGGTGCTTAGTGCATTGCGGGTTACCTGATGGAGAAGTTTCATCCAGGCGATGGCGCGATGACCTGAGTCGATTCCCAGTACTACGCAAAAGCTTGATTGGCTTTGCAAGGCTGATGAATGTTGATGCCCCAGGTGTGCGGCCTGTCTGATTCTGCAGTGATCGTGTCAGGTCTGAGAAGCGGTGGCATTACATCTCATGTCGCCGCCTCGATGTTCTCGTTGATCGTTCATGGCGCGCGACTCGCTAGCCAGCCGTTGACCAAGGCACGAAAGAACAAGCGTGTCCGAGCGGCTTCGAGCGGCTTGAACGGTTCTGGCAGTTGCAAGTGTCGCGTGACTCTCCAGTCACCTGGCCTATATTTCGTGAGCTTATTATTAGAACAAAGAGCGGTCGTTCAGCCGGCTGGACTATGAATGGGGGATTAGTAACGGTAAGTGATCACGGTCCATTTTTCAATTGCATGGCATGGCATGGCATGGCATGGCAGGGCATGGCATGGCAGGGCATGGCATGGCACTGTGCTGCTATACAAGAGTCCAGCCGGAACCGAGCCTACGGAACCGCCGAGGGTCAGCGAGGGTGAGGGGTTTGCATGCAGCCACCGGGTGCCACACAGACTCGCTGACTGGCAGAGCCGCCAACCTTATCAGTCCGGCCGTGCATAGGCCGTTGATGGAACAAGGTTGTGGGCCGAACGACCGAGATCTGTGCCACCAAGAGAAAAACCAGCCCACGCATGTTGGCCGGAATGGGCCGTTGTGGTGGCGAGACAAGGCTGCAGCAAGTCTTGGTGATGGCCGGGGCCGCTGACAGCCTGCTGTCGCTTGGTGTTCTGGTGTTGCGACTTTTCCCCCAGCTGCCCAGTCACCGGACCCGCTCCCCAGCAGCAGGAAGCAGAGATGGGCCCACTAGATCGCCCTGTACAGAAGAGGGGCCCCGTCGTGTCCCGCGCCGGCTGCATCGCCACTCCGCCCCGGATGGAGTCGCCTTCCAGACCATGCAAGCTGGTTGAATTGACGAGTCGGAACCGTCAAGTGCCCATCTGCAATTTATAGGACGTGTCGTGTCTTCGGCTGCTCGTCTGAATGCTCGGAGCGCGAACTGTAGGGGCTTCTCCGGCTCTGTATTTTCACATGCATGCTGCATGTGCTCGAGGGCTGCAACAGAAGCAGCGTTCCCGTGGAAGTCACCAGAGCCAGACCAAAAATGGGGGGTGAGGCAGCTGTCAAATCCATGTTGTGCAACCGTCTCAACTATCATTGTAGGCTGGGCGATCTCCCGAGAGCTTAAGCAGGGCACCGACTAGGTAGACTACCTGGTACCGGTAACGACTCACAATGGGATAACCTGCAGCGGGAGCTTTTCCAGGAGGATAGTCTCGTATGGGATACCCTACCTAGGTACTGTGGGATAACCCCCAGTAGTACAGCCTCTAGTGGGACAACCTGCCATGGGATAATCTGCTATAAGAGGACTTCTAGTGGGATAAACTACCACAGGATAACCTGCTGCAGAATGCATGTCTTACATCCCGCAAGCGTTCCCGGTGGCTGCCACCTGCAGCACGCCCCTTGACCGGACCCGACGTGACCCATACCTAAGTAACTTGCCTCGGGTAGATAGAAGGGCAGGGCAAGGCAGAGGACAACACGGATTCCTCCAAGGGTCGACTCCATGGTCGTTCCTTGTGTGGGTAGACGTCTATATGTTGTCGCTGGTGCTGGTGAAGGAGGGCTTTCACTGGCCAATCTCACCTTCGCTCTCATTCTCGTATCGGTTATTCAGTGAAATAGGCCATCCCGGTTAATTGAATGTGAAGCAAGTATATCGTGATGATTGCTCAGGACAGTCTCCTTTACAGGCATGGTCATAACAAGTCCAAAGGCGCTGGGGATTGTTGGGACGGATCTCACACGGCGTCACGCGATGTTGACAGAGCCAAGCAGTCATGCAAAATGGTAAGTTGCACTGTTAACGCCGAGTTCAATAGTAAGCGGTACTTGTACAATGAGTGTACCCAACCTAGATGTCCAGTGTCTGCTCCTCGGCAATACGATTTCTGTCCAACAGGAGTCCAATGTCCCAGCCCTCTTGCCTCTGCTTGGTTGACGTCCCTCCTTGATATGTAGAAAACTCCATGCATGCAATCGCATTTAGACAGAATGACCGAGCCAAGGTGGCTTCGCCACATTCCGCCGGACGTGTACAGAGAGACCATTGCCAGCGGCTTATGAAATAAGACCCAGATCCGTTGTTGATGAACAGTTCGAGTCAGCACCAGATGGCAAACATATCCCGTCGCCCATGCGTCCCCAAGACTTGCGGTGATCATCCCCCCGCAAGCATCACCCTCTTGTAGTTTGCCATAGCTTATTAGCTCTTCACAGCGACACCCAGATCAGCATGATGACCACGTCCATGCCCTTCGCGTCACCGCCCTCGTACTTGTAGCTCCACATGCCGTCCGTCTCCTCGTTCCAGTAGGCCCCGCTCGCCGAGTGCATGCCGCGGCGGCCCACATGGGGCTTGCCGTCCGTGGCAGTCGCGGTGCTCGCGGGCTCGGCGGCCGGTTCCTTGGGCTCCTCGGTGGTGGATGTGCCGGTCGAAGTGGACGTGCCCTGGGCCTTGTTGAGCTGGGAGGTGGGTACGAGGTGCTGCACGATGGTGCTGGTGACGGCGAACTTGTACGCCGGGGCGGCGGCCTTGTCGGGGGTGGACTCGGAGATCACGGCGCGAAGGATGCCGTTCTACATCAGGGGGTGGGCCGAGTTGTCAGTAATGAGAGCGCTGCAGGGCGGAACACCCGCGGAGGGGCAGGCCGTGACAGCTTACGATGATGTTTGAGTTCCATTCCGGCGTCTTGGCGTGGTCATAGTACTCTGCGCTGCCAATGGCGCTTTGGCAGGCCTGTCACAACTTCGTCAGTCTTGTCGTCTTCAGAAGACCAGAGGCGGTGACGGCGGCTTTCCGTCAGGAGTGGCTGCGGGCTGAGGACGTACATCGTTGGCGATCTGCTTGAGTCGGTTCAATTGAACGGGCTGTCACGAGACATTGGTGTTAGAGCTTGTCTTCCCCCATGGCAGAAGCGGCGATGACAACGAACCGGCGTGGCCTGCTTCTTCTCAGACATTGCTGCTGTTGGATGTGGTCGTGAAGGGTGGAATAGGGGTAAGGAGGGGTTTCTGGGAGCGACTGGAGTTAGCACTATGAAGTCGATTTGGGCCGGAGGTGATGGATGGCGGTTGTAACTTACAGGGTGTGTCAAGGCAGATGCGATGTTTGACAAGGCTATGTTTACGATGAGACCTTGGTATACCTATCGGTCTAGATGTTGAAGCTAGCAGGTGTTGGTTATCGCAGGCTGAGCGAGGCTGGCTGGCTGGCGGGCAATCACAGATCAGATGCCAAAAGGAGGAGCTCCACTGTTTTGTTTGGACCCTCTCCGCGTTTCCAGACCTCCTCAGAGGCCCGTGCAGCACAGCTCATGGCCCCCTGTAGTCAACAATTGTCGGCTGGCAAAGCAACGGGACTATGCCTGCTTTTGCTTGACATGCATTGCTTACATACGCAATGCTGTGCTGTGCTATGTAACGATGTACCTCCGGTGGTGTGTAGTACAGCCCCCCAGGCCAATATGCGCAGGGGCGGGAGCTGGCCGGAGATCCTGGTCGTCAGGAAGTGCTTTCACTACGTGCAGAACCGAGGAAGGAAGCGACAGCACGAATCATGCCTCCAGGACGTGCCCACGTGCACCCGAAGGAGTAGGTGGGACCCCTGCTCCCCTCCCTTGCTGCAGACCTGGGGCTCGATTGAGTTGCATCGCGCAGCTGCTTCCAGCCTGAGGTGCTTCTGATGCCGTCTTTGTCTCCATCTCAGAGACTTCGCCTTGCTCTTTTGCTCTTGTATTACGTACAAAACCTCCCGCGAACCATCTGAGAAACGAGGTCTTATTAACCGTGCTGCCTCCAAGTCGCTCGTTCAGAGACTGCTGCCCATCCAAGACCTCAAGCTCCGCGTCAATTGACTCTGTTGTACGGAGCGTTCCGATCCAGGTCCAGCCCCAGCCACTGCAGTCTCGCCTCGAGCTGCGGGTAGATATTAATATCCGTGGGACAACCACAACGACAACCGCTTCGACCCCGCCACAGCTGCCGCCCACCTTTCGACATTCCAGACAGCCATCGTCATGTCGAGCCAGCCCCTGCTCCAGACTGCGCCAGGTACTTTCCCGCCTGTGGGAGCTGCTTATCGCGAACCTTCAACCAGCTGACATACCTGTTTCTTATAGGCAAGCGGATTGCCCTCCCCACCCGCGTCGAGCCCAAAGTCTACTTCGCCAACGAGCGGACTTTCCTGTCATGGCTGAACTTCGCCGTCATTGTCGGCGCCCTCGCCGTCGGCATGCTTAACTTCGGCGACAAGGCCGCCAAGATATCCGCCTTCTGCTTCACCGGCGTCTCCATCGCCACGCTAATATATGCACTACGGACCTATCACTGGCGAGCGAAGTCCATCAGGGTGCGGGGCCAGGCCGGCTTCGACGACAGGTTCGGGCCCACGGCGCTGGCCATCCTGCTGTTGATCGCGGTGGTAGTCAACTTCGTGCTGAGAATTGTAGATTCCTCCAAGGAATCTTCCAAGGGTCACTGAGTCGACCACGAACCCATTCAATCCAAGATATATCAAGACCAGTGGCGCAAGATTCGCCCACACGTTCGGAAGGCCAAGGATGTGGTGCTCGCCAAAGCTTTGCCTTACTGAGACCTCTCGGCGACATAGCTGAGGTCTGCTTCGTCTGACCAGAAAGCGCTGGCTTTCCCCGAGGGGGCATCGAAGAGCTTGAGGGATGGGCGCGGCTGCGGGCACATGGAAACTCGAAGTAGCAGAGCATTGGCGACCTCAGATCCACTGGGTCACTACAGGAAGAGTTAGTTTGAACCTCTCGAGGCGCGAGTTCGTTCGATTCAGGCGCGAGAGTTTTGTGCGAGTAAGTTGTGCGAATTAGTGCAGGGTGGTCGACTTGCATTCAGCGTGGGAGGCACGCATCCGGGCGGCGTTATGATTTCATAGAGCGCAAGGAAATGGCACGCAGCATTCACGTTCGACGTACATTGGATCAATCCTACATAATGGTACGGCTCCGCCGCTCCCCTGTTAGACGATGTGCGTGACAGCGCCCTTGGACATATACTTGCTCTTCCCAGTCTGGCTCTAGTATTTTCAAAATGCTATGTCTGTCCAGCGTCCGAAAGCGAAGCTTCCCAGTTCGTGGTTGCATATTCCAGTCATGCACGAGAGAGCGCTCAACTAATCTACGCCTGCCCTTGACCTACCAGTGCCTCGATTGCCGACCAACCTAAGCCACGAATTCACTTTCGCTGATGGCAATTTCCATGTCTCGCATCACCAGCTCAATCTTAACTGCGCTGGTTTTGTCCTCTCAATGGCCCTGCCGAATGTCCGCAATCAAGCTTCAGCCCTGGCCCAAGGGGATGGCCTCGGCTTCCGCCATGAAATACTCCCGTCCTATCATCATAGCCAGGCTCTTATACCGCGCTTGACGGTTTGTTGCAGACAGACCCGCCGGCTGGATCTCCACGACCGCGCCCTCACACGCGCGCATAAACATGATATGGCTCAGCCCGTCACCGTGAGCCCCAACGAGGACGTGGGTCGATTGCACTATCCGCAGCTAGCCGATCATAGGTATATCAGCAAAGTCTACCTCAAGGGCGATAACATTGGGGAAGGCTCGGTGGAGCGCGTGAAGGAGATGATCAGTTTCCCTGATCCTGCGCCCGGCAAGAAGGGTGATCATGACAACCTTGGAGATGCCGTTTCCGTCCAGCGGGCACAGCACGCCATAGTTGCGCAACACCCGCCTTGCGAATGTCCTCGCCAGTCCTCAGTAGCGGCAGTCCGAGACTTGGTACTGGTTGATCTGCGACAATGGGTTGCTACTGCCCGGGAGCGGCACGATCGAAGTGTGGGCGGATATGAGGGCCTCCGCCCTGATTTTGCCATCCAGGATGTCCTTGAAGCGTATCGATGTCGACCCTGCGAAGAAGGACAACAGATCGTACAGGGGGCTTCGGGCAAGTCGTCGAGAATGATTACTTGTGTCCTCGGCAGGTCTGCTGGTACTGTGATTGATGAACGAGTCCCCTAATCGGATGTCGCTGCTCATGCGCAGTATATCTATGCTCAACGTCATAGACATTATCTCCATAAAGCTATCGCAGAAGCTCCCGGTGCCCTCGCGCTTGATCAAGATCGTGTGATTGGACTGCTTTGCTTGTTGCTCTTCGACTAGCAAAGGATGAAGCAGGTCTTTGGGTTTCCAGCCAATGTTGGAACGACTGTCGAAAACAGCACCTGGTGCCGACTGCCTCTGCACCTCGTCGAAGTCGACCACACCTCTCGATGAAACCATCTCGGAGAGCCTAGTATCACATATCAATGAGAAGCGTTTGGTCTCGCCATCTACCACCACGTCTCGTGCAGTACAAAACAAGTCGTGGACATTCCCCCTTTTTGTGCCGTCGAAACGGGTTATACTGTCTCCAGATCGCGAACAACAGTGCTCCACAGCATCGCTTCGGAAGTCACGAAGGTATTCTACGCTGACTGTATCGGAACATGCGCCTGGTTTACCATTGTCAAGAAGTGCCAAATGGTGTCCCATACTCTGACGGGGTCGGAATGGGCCTCCGGATGCCTTTCTCGGATGCCCGGAGTGGCCTCTCCTTATGCATAATGAATGAAGATTCTTTGTAGAGAAACAAATGTGGCCATGATATCCGAGCAAACCAATAACAGTGCCACTTGCGATCAACGCAAGACGTTTATTACTGGGTCGGCAATTGAGCAGCATCAAGGCGGAACTGCAGAATCATGCTTCAAGGGCACATCTTGATGGTTCGGTGCCTTGGAACAGCATTTAGAAAACTCTATGGTTCCACTAAAATGACCAAGGAGAAAGGAAGCGGCGCAGAAAGCGTGTTGCACATGGTTTGTTGTGTTGGTCTCAAGGTACAAGCATGGCACCTGAAGCCCTGGACGTTCGAGAATGCACCAGCAACCGGCCTCCCACTACGGTACAACACCAACGGAATGGCCTTGTCGATGGCATCTACATGGGCAGGGGATTTTTAATTAGGAGAGCCTTTCTTGGGTGGATAATTAGTTGCAACTCTTCAGAAGTTCCTCTCTTTCATGCTACCCAGAGCAAAGGCCTCTGGCAACATCTTGTCAATGGATATTGTCTGCCTATGTCTGGAGCACCTCGTTCCTGTACGGGTTGTTTCTCGCTCTCCATGTACTTCAATGCATCGGTTTTCTGGCAGCAATATCGATTTACGTCGATGGGCCGAAATGGGGGAATCGCAGAAGTGGCGCTCCTCAATATGGTGTCTTTATTTTCACAAATACTCTGGATTGTACACCGTTCCCTATTCACTCCATTGGTGGCATATCATGTTTTTTGTGTGGGAATATAACCTATGTCGCTGTGGATTCACTGGGTCACTCCTCAGCAAAGTCTTGCATTCGTTAGGAATAGTATATCTCTCTACTATTCTGGGGCACGACTCTTTGCATGAATCCAGTATGCTGGAGGCCGTTCAAGCTAACGTAGCCATAGAAGTCCGGCAGCATATTTCTCTACGGCATCAACTATCATTTTGATCTGCCAAAGTCGAGTAAATACAGCGTGGTACCGAGTATGCTGTTTGGGGGGTTAGCATACGATAGCTTGTTGTCCAACACAGCAGCTGCTTCTTCAAATGTACGTCCACTGGATGACAGCCTCCATTCCAAGGCGAAACTCGTCCCCGAGTCTCCGAAACTCAGCAACCATGTCATAGTTTCGACTCTCCCGTATTGGCCGCCATGGTTATCGGGAGGACCTGGGTTCCTCAGCAAATTCTGCTTTCGATTTTGCTTCTCATTCTACCATCCTCAATAGTGAAGAACACTGAAGAATAGGCTCCCAGACGGGGGCTATATCTACAGTCTGAAACCAAGGACCACAGCCAGGCCTCCTTATTAAAACGAACAAGGCAACAGTGTCGTGATACAAATACGACAGACAAGATGTATAATAAAGACATGGTGATTGCCCCTTCTCAAGCCTGACGCTCAATTCCGATAATGCAACTAATACCAGTTCGACGGGAAAGTCTGAATCTAGTATACCGTGTCCAAATATATGACGTGATTAACCCCCATTTCATAAGCATGCCCACAGACCCTTTCCTCAGCAACTTGGTGACATAACGGCAAATGCCTCAGTGCTTTGGGTGGTCCAGAAGGACTCAACTTCTGGATATCAAATTACCCAATAGGGATTGACCCGTAAATCGAACCATATTCACCGCTCGTGGCCAGCATGTCGTATGGTTTCAGGCAGTCTCTTTCGCGATAGATAACGTTTCGAAATGAAAACACCTTTCACCCCGGCCTGTGTACCATGTCTCTCAGGCACAGCATGGATACATCGATCAGTACAACGGCAATACAGTTGAAACACCACCGGACGTGATCATATCATCAACACTCACCAGCACGCCGACCTGGTTGAGATGGCTGTACTTGAGGCGAAGCTTTTGGAGATAGTCTGCCGCACGTGAAGGCTGGACTCTAGCTAGTTCTCGCAATGGTCGACTTTCCTGCCATTTCCGAGAACACAACTACGGCCGACACGAACCACCTCGAGACCACAGATCCCTGTGGTTCCAGCGCGAAGTTCGTGAACAGCAGGGCGTAGCAGCTCCACTGCCCCGTCAGGATCTTCCTCAGCATTGGGCACCACAGTCAATGGCGACAGCAAGAGTGCGGCAAAGCACATATACGCGAGTGGCTCCTGGTGGTGTTGTCGTCGGTGGGTTGGTGATATCGTGCCCGAGAAGGGACAAGATCATCCGGCCGAGCGAGCTGGGGGCAGAATCGGTGAAGGTCTAAGAATGGAAATCCGCAGGGTCACACAAGACACCCACGCCAAGCGGGGAATGAGCTGCAGGGCGCCGGCTGCCGGTAGCTTTGTAGACACACGAGCTTCTGGGCCGCATGCAAGCATGCGCGTTGTATGATGGCTGCCTAAGTGGTCGTTCAGGACTCGCGGTAACACATGCTAAATTTATTTCCTATGTCTAGACTTATATGCGGATCTTATGTTCGTTGCCGCACTGCCCTTGTTGTAAGAGCCGATTGTAGATCATGCTGAAGACACCTCGCCTGCAGGTAGACTGCGCAAGGCTGAGCGTCTATGTGCACCCCAGCATAGCCCCAGCTAATCGGCCCGTTCAAGGTTGCTCAGGTACCAAATATCAGCCACAGGCTTCAGCTTTACATGAGACACCCGACTAAACCATTTTGAATCGTGCTCGACGAAGACCTCCTATGAGGTGGGGGCTGGGCTCAGCGACGATCATGATGGGAACAGAGGTGCTTAGCGGTGCTTTCGCGAGGTCTGAATCCTGCAGCCTACTGATAAAAATAGCACCGACTCTTCGTTGAAGGGCGCGGATGCAGACTCGGGTAGTGAGCAAGACCAGTTGCGGGTGATGTGCATGGTAGCTGCAGTGTCGAGGATTGCGGCACTGTCGAGTAAAATTTGCGCAAGCCCACGCGAGACTCTGATCATAGCCCTCCAGCACTGAGAAATCGATTTTGAACCGCAGCTCCCGGTGTTGCGCAAGCCTGCAAGTATCCGTAAGTGTAATAATTCAGGCCGAATGTAATTCTTTGAGCAGCGGTACAGCTGGGCCGTCGATGAGCAAAGTTAATTAAGGATATAGTCAAGTTTGAAGACAATAGAGTATACAAAAAGCCCGGGGACTAAGTCGGTGTATACTCTTCGGTATCGTGTTCGCTTGTCAGGATTTATACAACGCTGCGGAGTTAATATAAGACCGTGGGCAACGCACTTCTCTCCGAGGCCTACCAACCACCCCTGCTTTGAAGAACGACTAGTTTTGAGTCTCTCCTTGACAGAGCGGATTGCAATAACTCTCGTGTCCAAAATAATTGAGGTGCTCTTTTTAACCATTCAATCTCCTCCGGACTCAGCCCTTGCGGAGATTCAACCATGGACAGAGCGATGAATGCAATGCCTTGCCAGTTCTGTCACACACAGGACCTTTGTGAATGTTGGCAAGTACGACCCTCGTCACTTGGAAGGCTACTTTAGTTATCCCCTCCGGGGCACGTAGCCTCTCAGAACTTAAACAGAACAACACCAATACACAATTGCTTCCCATATAATTATTATATATACGAAAAACCTACCAACATTAATTAATAGTTATAAGTATTATAAATTAATAAGATAGAAAAGGCAACCCTATAAGAATTTCCCTAATTTAAAAATTATATCCTCTTTATTAATAAGCGCTATATAGCAATAACTACTTTTTTAAGCCTCTTTATATTATTAAACTCCCTAAGCAAATATTGCAAAGATTAAATAAACTAAATAGCATTCCTTATAATATCTATATATATATTTATTACTATTTAGGAGATATGCATTTATCATATATAAGACTTTATTAAAAACAAACTTATTTTTAAATCCTTTTTAAGACTTAGCAAAACCTAATAAAATTTCATTTTATTAAATAAATAAAGCTTATAATTATTATAATTATTAAATAAATAAAGCTTATAACTATTATAATTATTAAAGCTAATGCAATGCTATATTATAAGTAAATATAAGTTATGCATTATGCTTTTAGCTAATATAAAAAGACTTAATAATAAAAGAAAGCCTTAATTTCTAAGGCTTAAAGAAATTAATAACTTTTTCCTCCTAATAATTATAACTTACTTATTATTAAACTATTATTATTAACTTACTTTTAAATATTACTTATTTTATTAATAGCTTACTCCTTATAATATTTATCATAAAAACCTATAAGCATAGCTAATAATGCTAAGGAGCTATTAGCTTTTATTAAAAGGTATATAATTAATAAAATGCTTGCTTAAACTTTAATTAACCTAGCTTACTATAAATATATTAACTTAAAATTATAATTTACAACCTTTATATAAAAAATATTAATAAAATACTTAATTACCTATTTAATAAATATTTTAATAAGCTATATATAATAAAACCTTTATAATAATAACCTTTTTATTACTTATTATAAGGATTATATAATATAAATATAAGTAATATTTAAAGCATTACTAAATCCTTGCTAATAATGCTTAAAAGTTTTCCTTTAAATATAAAGCATTTATATAAAATGCAATAACTAACTTATAGCACTATAATTAATTATTATAGCCTAAGCTAAGGAAAAATTAAAATAAATTAATAATAAGCTTTGCAATGCCTTATTAACCCTAAAGTTAAGCATAAATAAATATTATATATAACTTTAAAGATAGCAATTATAAGCATAGCCCTTATAAGCATTATAAGCAAGCTTTAAATAATAATAATTACCAAAAAGATAATCCCCAAGGCAATATCTATCGCCACCGTTAGCTTTAAGCACGTAATTATAAAACCTAAACTTAATAATGCAATTTATTAAAAATTAATATAGCTAACAAGGCTTATTATTATTAACGAAAAGATAAAAATAAAGCTTATATTAAAAATATATATTATACCTAGCATAACCTTAAATTACCTTAGGAATGCTTTTATTAAATAAAAAGTATAACCTATATAAAATTCTTCCCTTATAATATATTCTTAATAAATACTTAAATTTAATAAAGTTAATATAATTTATAAAAACCTTTAATAACTTTTATAAGTATATTAAGAACTTATATAACTTACTAAATAATAAGATAAAGATATTTTTTAATATTTATTATTATATTAAAATTTAGCTAAGTTAATTTTATATAATCTTTCTTTAAATGCTTAAAGATTAAGCTAAGGCCTACTACTTTTATTTTATAAATTAAACTAATATATTTATAATAGCATACCTTAAAATTAAAATGCATTTTAATATAAACCTTAATTATTAGCATTATTATATAAACTAAATAATAATAATATTTATAAAGATAAAAGCATAAAATTTAAATAAAAATTTATATAAGATTTTATATTTAATATTTAATAAGCTATAACTTTATTAATAAGCATTAAGCTAAGATTATATTAAAAAGAATAACTTAAAAATAATAATAATTAAAGCTTATAAAGGAGTTTTTAAGTTAAAAATAGCTCTTTTTAAGCTAGCTTAATTATATAAAGAGTTATTTTTAAACTTAAGATTTATAATAAAAACATAGCTTAGCTATATAATTATAATTTATATTATAAATAAAGTTTTAAATTAATATTATATTAATTATAAATATAATAGCTAAAAGCTAAAGGAAGGATAATAATTATAATTTTAAGCATTTTAAGGAAATTAAAGATTTAGCTAATTAAACTTAAGCTATTTAAGCTTTAAATAGCTAAGATCTTATAATACTAGCTATAAAGCTTAAAGTAATAATGCTTATAAAGAAAGAAAAAAACAACCTTAAAAGAAAAAATATTATATTTATAAAAAGAAAGGATGCTAATTAATTAAATATTTAGCTAATAAATAATATTTAGCAAAAAAAAGCTACTTAATATAATATAAATATAAAGGTTATAATAATAACTTTAATATTTTTTTAAGTAAATTTAAAAAATATAAAATAAATAATAAAAATAAATTTTATAAATATAAAGATAAATAAAATTAAGATAATAATTATAATAATAATATTTATATTATAAAAATAAAATTTAATAAGAAGGTTTATTATATAAATATTAATTTCCTAGCTAATAAAGCGTTTATATATTAAATTATAGAAAATAATATCTTTTAAATAAAGATAATTATTATAGTTAATTAATTTATTTTAAAGAATAAATATAATTAAATTTATTTTTAAGGAATTTTGCTAAATATAAAAGCATTATTAATATTTATAGCTAAATATAAATAATTTCTTACATTATAATGAAAAAACTTAAAGTATTAAATTAATATAATTATTATAAGAAAAGCTAAAGTTAAATTTAATAATAAAATAATTATTAATTTACTTAGCATAATGAAAATTTCCATTTTAATTAATTATATTAACTTTTATATTATTTAAGCATAAACTCTATTCTTACTTTACTTAATAAATATAAATAAGCTTTAAGTATATTATAATAATATTATAAATAAAATGATTTTCTTTAATAATATAATTATTATATTAATACTTAAAAAATAAGGTTACTTATGGTTTTTCCTAAATTAAATTATTAATACTATATATTTCCTTTTAAAAATAAAAATAAGGAAACTTTATCATTACTTTAAATACTTATTAATAAATTAATTATACTAAATACTTAAAAAAGCTAGCAATTTAAATATTAATAAATAAGTAATAGCAAAGATTAAAAAAATATATTATTATTATTAAATAAGCAAACCTATATTTAAGTATTTTAAGTTTATATTATATAATAATTATAAATTTAATTATAAAATCTTAATTAATATAATATATTTAAGCAAATATTTAATTCTTTATATTATAAATTAAGCTATTGCTTTTTAAAGAGCGAAATTCTTAAAATTTATATTTATAAAAATTATATAGTAAATATTATAAATGCTTTAAATTAATATATACTAAGGATTATTAAATATCATTAAATATAATGTAAGAATAAACTTTATATCCTTAAAATTCCATTTAAAGGTATAAATAATGGGAATTAAATATAAATAAATCTTTATAAAGATATATTAATTTATTAAAAAAGTTAAAAGATATTATTAAGCCTTTAAATAAGCATATAAAATCCTATATACTAAACTGCATAATAATATAAATAATAATATTATCTTATAAATAGCTATAAAAGCTATTAATAATATTGCTAAATTAAATAAATTAATTCTTATACTTTTAATCTTTAACGCCTACCTATAAGTATTGCATAAGTTATTATTATTACTATTAATATAAAAATAAGCAAAAGCTATTTTAAAGGTTATAAAAATGCTATAAAAAACTATAGCTAAATAATAAGTGCAAGATGCATTAAATACTAAGATTAAACCTATCTTTAATATAAAATATCTATTATAATATAAAGTTTGCATATAAAGAGAGAAAGAGAAATAAAAGAGTTTATATAAGGTTATTGCTATAAATAGCTATAATATAACCTTAAATATATTAAATGAAGCCGTAATATTTAAGTTAATAATTATTTAATTATATTATTAAAATAATAATAAGGAAATATAACCCTTATAAGTAAAAAACCTAATTATAAAACCTTAAATGCAATTTATTATATAATTATTATTATTAAAGATAAAAGATTGCATTATTATATTATATATCTTAAAAAAAGAAAATAAAAACTATAACTTAATAATTAAACTAAAATAAGATAAAGTTATTATAATATTAAATTTATTATTTAAAAAATTTAATAAAATGGAAATTAATAACTTTATTATTAAAGGTATCTTTTAAACTAAGAAATAATTAATAAAGTAATATAATAAATATTATTTTTTTAAGTTCTGCATAATATAAGAGGTAAAAGGTAAAATTATAAAACTTTATAAGAAATCTTAATTTATTATTTAAGGTTATAATAATAATAAAAAGGAATTAATTTTAATATAAAGCTTAATTATTTAAAGAATAAGTTAATAAATAATCCTTATATTTATTCCTTTATTAATCTAAGAAAAAGGTATAATTCTTATACTTTAAGATATTATTTAAGCCTATTTTTAAGCAAAATTAAAACTATGCAAGATAATCCTTATAAAGCTATTAAAGGAATTAAAAAATAAATACCCTTTAGGTATAATTATCCATATTATTTAATCCTTATATAGCATAGCAAAATCTAGCATTTATTAATTTAATATATATTAAAAATATTATTAATAAAAGCTTAAGATAAATTGCTTTATATATAATCCTTATTTAATAATTATAAAGCCTATATAACCCTTTAAAATAATAAGCATATAAATAAATAATATATTAATTTTATTTATGCTAAAATTCTAGGATAAGAAGGAAATTAAAATAAAAGCTATAAAATTATAAGGAAAATTAAAATAAAAGCTAATGCTTAAAAACCTAATAAATTATAATAAAGCTTATATAACTATAAATACCACTAACTTAATTACTACTTAATAAAAGGAATAGGTTAATAAACTTGCCCTTATTAATATAATAATTAAAGATGCTTTTTAAAAATACCTTAAATAAAAAGCTTGCAAAGTATATATAGCTTTAATTTATTAATTAAAAGCTTTATATAATCTTTTAATAGCTATATAAGTATAAAACCTAAAGGTAAGAAATTATAAAAGCTTAAATATATAATTATTATAGCAAATAAACAATGCTATATAAGGAATTAAGTATATACCCTTAAATCTTAAAATAATAAAACTTTTTATATTTATAAATGGATTATTTATAAATAATTAAAACTTAATATTTTTACTTAAATATATTGTTATCTTTATAAATAAAACTTATAAGGAAATTAAGGAATTTATAATAATAAGCAATATTTTTTATTAATTATTAATAAAGTATAAATATATTATTTAAAGCATATTAATAAGTAAAATTTATAATATAATAAATAAAGTAAATATTAAAATCTTCTTAGCCATAATAATTAAGATAGCTATAAAATAACTCTTATTATTAAATATACCCTTAATTATTTATATAAACTTATATAGCCTATATAAATACCTTATAAAGTAAAAAATAATAAAAAAAAAGCACTTTATAATTAATATTATATTATTATAAGAATTATATAAAATAAGAAAGATTGCTAAAGTAAAGTAAATAAATAGGAAAAACAACCTTATTAATATAATAATAAAACTAACTTTAAATATTGCATTATAAAAGCTTATTAATAATAATAAGCTTTATATATAAGTAAATAAGTTAATTAAGAAATCTAAAGTAACCCCTTCTTGCTAAGGAAGGAGTAACTTACCGCTAGCATTCTTTTCTTTTTAACCTTGCTATTATTAACTGCAAAACCTTATACTTCTTAAACTTAAACCCTTAATATAAACTTTAACCTTTTATACTTTAATTAAGATCTTCTTAATACCTTATTATATATAAGGATAACCTTATAATTATTAATATTATTAATAATTATTATTTTAAAATTAATCTTATTATTATTATTACCTTTTACTGCTATTTATTAATAAGATATTAAAATTAACTTTTATTAAATTTATTTACAACTTATTAACTTTTCTTATAATTAAAAAATAAATTAATAATTATTATATAATAATTATAAAGTTTTATACTATAAATATTTATTTTAACTATTAAATTCTTATAAAATCTTTTTCCTTTTTATTATAATAAAAAATATTAATAATAACTTATAAAAATTATTTAATACTTTTATTAATATACCTTATAAGAATAATAATAATAAGCAGAATTATTTAGCAAATATTGCATTTACTTCTTACGTTAAGGATATATTTAATATAATTATTATTACGGCTATTATTAACATAGCCAGCATTAAAGGTAGCCCTACCGCAACCCTTAACTAAAATCAAGATTCCCTTGCAAACATTGCAACTATAACCCTAATTAATAAAATAAGCTTCGCAATTACAACCTTAATTAATAAAATAAGCTTTGCAATTATAACCTTAATTAATAAAATAAATATTATAACTATAACCTTAATTAATAAAATAAATATTACAATTACATTCTTATTAAGTAATAAAATAAAGATTGGAATTATTATTAAGGCTGCAAGAAAAGCTAAAATTGCTTTAATTAATAAAGATAAAAATAAGCTTATTAATCTTGCTAATTCTTATAACGAGGTTATTACCAATAATGCTTATTTAATAAATATTAATAAAGATATTAATAATAATAACTTTTATTTACTTACTTATTTAATAAATATTAATAAGGATATTAATAATAATAACTCTTATTTACTTAATATTAATAGCAATTTAATTATTATTAATAATAAAAATAATTAAAACTAAGCTAATAAAATCTTAATAAAAATTATAAAAACTACCTTTAACTTTACTCTTATGCTAAGCATTAAAAAAAGCAAGCTACTTATTAAGGTTAACTTTCATAAAATTATTAAAATTAATAAGCTAAAGGTTATAGCTATAGCTTAAGCAAAAATACTTTTTTTAAATAACGCTATTATAATAATTATTATTTAAATTATTAATAACTTTTAATATTAAGATAAGTAAATATTTTTTAATAATATAATTAAAAAGCTATGCATTTATATTAAAAGCATTAAAACTCTTAATATAAAATTGCATAACATCCTTAATAATAAGAACTATTAAGATAATTACTATCTTAAATGCTAAATCATTATGATTTCCATAATAAATAACTTAATAAAAGTTTTAATCCTAAGTATTTTCTATATATATTAAATTAAAAAGATTTAGCTATTAAAGGATTAAATTATTATGCTAACTTAACTTTAAAACTTTTTACATTAAATTACTAATAAATATATATAAAACCTATATATAAAGAAACTTATTAAAAAATATATATTATTACTTAAGCAACTTAAGCAAAAGATAATTATTAAGAAAATTAAAAAGAATAATAAAAAGTAAGAAAAGAATTTAATAAATAATTAAGCTGCTTATAATGCTTAATTTTAAAAAAATAAAAAGTAGCTAAAAGAAAACAATTTAAAGCAATATTAAGTATATTTTAATAATAAAAATAAGAATAAAAATAATAATATTTACATTATAAAGATATATAATAAAAATAAATACAAGCTAAAGAATTTAATACTAGCTTTGCAAGCATTAACTTTTCTTGCAAAAAAGAAATTTAGAACCAAGGCTTCTATATAAAAATTAATAATCTTTATAAAAAAGCAATCTTAAAAGCTAAGTATTAAAGATAATAAGTATAATATTTAAAGAATGGTGTAATAATAAAGGTTATAAGTTTAAAGGGTAATGCAATAATAAAAGTTGCTAAGATTTGCTTTAAAACTTATAAGTTATAATTTTAAGCCTTTTTAGTAATACTTTCTTATAATAAAGATTATATATACTTAATATGCAATAAATTATGATTTTAAGGCTAATTATAATAAGAATTATACATACTTATTAAAAGAAGAGAAAAACTGCGAGTATTGGTAAATACGACCCTCGTTACTTGGAAGGCTACTTTAGTTATCCCCTCCGGAGCACGTAGCCTCTCAGAACTTAGACAGAACAATACCAATACACGATTGCTTCCCATACGATTATCGTATATACGAGAAACCTACCAACAGTAAATTTGAAATTTTCAGGGCTGTAGTCGCCGGGGCGTGTCTGGGCATATTAGATTACTACAAACAGTGTATATGTAAGAGCTCATTGGTCATCTGCTGTAGGCGCGTTGGGTATGAGGACCACGGTGCCTACGATTTCGCACTTGAAGCAGCCTGTAAAAGCCCAATGGACAAGGGAACACGAACTGCCGGAACTAAGGGGTACCAAAGAGTGTGTTGGTGGTAAGAAATGACTTTTGAGTTTGGCTATAGTAAATGCTAGAAGTATATGGGTACTCTGACAGAAAGCCGCCCGGTAGTAGTACAGGAAGGGAAACAGACACAGAAATCTCCAAAAGAAAACACAAATTATGATTACCAGAATGCCGTCCAACCCGCCGCACTCCCTCCCCCTTTGCCTGCCGCCTAGCAACTTTTTCTTGTACATGGAGATATGCAGCCTCTCCGGTCGATGTCTGTCGCCTCTGCAGATCTAATCTTTATCCACCTCGTTTTCTAACCCATGTAGAGCAGTGTATGCCAGTTGTCAATGAATGTAACCCAATCCATGCAAGTTGTAGATGCTATGCCGAATGCCGCTCATATGCGATCAGGTTGTTGGTACAGTTCCGCTCCATACGCTCTTCCGGCCTGTCCTGCTCGCCATTCGTCGTCCATCATTATGCCCATCGTTATGTCATGATTACAGAAACAAGAGAATAAGCTCCAAAAGCAAAAGCCGGGAAATGGAAGAGAAGGCAAGAAATAGAAGGAAAGATGACGAAAAGCAGTGCGAAGAACAAGTGAGGGATTAAAACCACCTCCAATTAAGTCCCTCTTCCAGCTTCTTCAGCACGCCCACGGCGTCAACGTAGAGCTGACTCCTCGGGCCGACGCAGTCCGCATGAAGCTTCCTCTTCACCAGCGACACCACGCCGGCGCTGGCCTCCCTCCGATGCTTCATCCTCGTAGCGTCTTCAGGCCTCTGGATGCCGGCAACAGACTGCAGCCAACTGATGGCCTCGTCCTCGGGGAGGGGGGTCTTCTGCGGGGAGAAGGACGACGAGGACCGCGCGGCCCGGTGGCCGAAGGCCCAGATAATCAGCGCGCAAACGTACATGCCCCAGTAGTCACTGATACAGCCGGCCTGGGGCGTGGTGGGGCCGTTTCCTTCGAGGAAGCCGAGCAGGGCGCGGGCGGCATGGCAGGTTGCCTGGGCACAGGACATTCCTTCGAGGGTGCCAGCCGAGGACTGCTGCTGGGTGCCGGGCGACTTGGAGGGAGGTCGGCCCTCGGCCCAGGCCCTAAGGCGCTTCTGGTTCTCCGAAAACGTCGAAAAACTGACGACCTTCTGGCTGAAGACCCAGCTGTCGCCGCTGACAGCGAGCAGATCGTGAAGAGGAGTGTGGTGGAGGGCGAGATAGATGCTAGGCCCGGGAGAAATGGCTGTCATCGAGAATAATTGTACAAGGCGCTCTTCGGAGAAAGCGCCGCTAAAACTCTGGTTGTAGGACGCGGTAGTCGGTGTACGTAGGTCGTCTGCTGTGAAGCTGTTCTGGTCGTCGAGGTCGATTGACGAGCAGTCGTATTGGCGCCGTGGCAGCCTGGATGCTTCGCTATGAAGAATGGCCATCTGGTCAAGGCAGCCATGTCTGGCTACCCCGTCCGGCGTCAGAGCGTTGGGAGGGGGAATGAAACGAGGAGTATTTGCCGCTGGTGAGGTTTCGAGGATTTTTGCCCACTCGTTCGCCGATGTGGCAGCCCAAAGGCCATCACTATGGCCTGTGAGGGGTATTGTTGAAGTGTCGATATCGTCCCTGGCACGGGGCTGTTGATGGTACAAGGACGTGTGGTTGTCCACGATGAAGCACACAGTTAGCAGCCGTCGACGAGCCTCTTCATCGATCCATGTGTGCCAACGCTCCTCGTTGGTTGTATTGACTTCCATGGCATTGTTTCCAAGAGAAGCCGTACTGAACATGGTAGGGGTGTTTTCGAGGACCTGCGGAGAGAAGCTGTTTGAGTACGACTGTTCCTGGCCAACTGAAGAGAAAGAATAGTAGGCATTATTGAATGAAACATTATGGTATGCTTGAAACCCAGGGTTAAGAATGAAGGTATCAGGAGAAGAAGAAATCTGCTGCGGAGAGAAGGAAACGGTAGGCGAGAAGAGCACCGAGTTACTGCCGTGTCTGGTGTGATCGAATTGGTAGAGTCCATTGCGGGGCGAAGATGCAGAAGTGGGCTCAGAACTCGGTGGTGACCAGGCAGGAAGTGAAGGGGTGTAGACGCCAGCAGAAGAAGACAAAGAAGGAACGGAGGATGAATCAGAGCGAGACACGCAAAGACAAGAACGGCCGTTTTCCGAAACAGAGGACACAAGAGACTCCGATCCACTTACCCTCGAATAGAGGTTTTCGAACAGTTTCGAGGGCCGTACCGATGCCTTCCGGCCTCGAAATCGAGAAAAGACTTCGCAGAGGAGAATGGCCTGCTTGACCTGAAGGCTCCACTGCGAGAGTTGTGTGTGCTGCGTGGACAATGGTTAACAAGATGCCCAGAGACTTAGCTCGAGAGATGAGTTTTCGGAATACTTACGCGCTTCGCCTCCTGCGAGGCGAACTCGTGGAGCTGATTCCCCCGGATGCGATCGTCCTTGTTGTCAAGAAATTGCGTCGCTATGGCAGCCATCGCGCATCTGAGCGCGTCTTCTCCAACACCCCCAACTGTGCCCCGGTGAATGAATGGATACAGAACGTTGAATTTGTCCCAGTAGACATCAAGATATGAGGGTATACTGTTGCGGGCAGAGCGCGGAAGCGGTATGACCACCGTCATTCCACCGCTCCCGCAGCCACCCACACCTGCCAGAGCTGAGCCCGTGAGGATATCGCCATGGCTGTTGCTCGACCAGCTTGGACTGCCACCATCAGCGTATATGCCCACCCCGCCCATCAGGTTGCCACCACCCATCGCCATCTCCTTCTGCCGACTCACATGAGCCATCGGGGCAGCCCGGCTTGGGAGAGCAGCTGGCGCGACTAGAGCGTCAGCCGCGAGCGCCGGCGATTGTGGATGGGATGGGCTACGAACTGAAGAGGATCGGTTGTGGGCGATATACTGGGAGGTGATGGATGTGTCCAGCAGAGACTGCTGCGTCTGATCGTCGGGAAATGCGGCCATCAGCGACGGGTCGAGAAGTGGGCCATACGTTTGGTAAGGTGCTGGAGCCATGTGAGGGGGCATGGCAAACGGGGTAGTGCCAAAATGAGAAGTAGTCACTGTGTCCAGGGTCCCCGCTCCGTGGATTTCAGGCTGGGTGGAAAACGGTGATAGCATATCAGCGTTTTGTTGCCAGTCGAGAGAGCTGTGTGGGCGGTGTTGGTTCTGCCAATATGTCCGAGGTCTGCTCATATCAGCGGGTGGTGGGGTCGAGTAGTTGCTCTCGGAAGCAGATGTCCAGGGTGAGCATTCCGTGGCATGTATCAGCTCAGGCGGCTGGTCAAGGCTCGTGTGCAAGGAACCCGTTGTGCTCGACTGAGTCTCGGAGGTCACAAAGAGCGGCACTGTGCGAGGTACAGGAGAGGGGCTCATGCTTCCGGGCTGGCTGATGATGGGAAGTCTGTCCGAGTATATCGAATAACGCGCCCCTGTGCCGGATGATGGGCCGTAGTGATCACCACCTGGGGGCGACATTGCGGGCCCATGCCCGGGACTGCCTCCGGGCGCGTAAGGTGTATGGGACATATTAGGAGTGGTGGGTGGCATGTCCGACGGAGAAGCGGATGCTGCTGGGCCCCCAAAGCTGGAAGGAGAGCTGAAGCTATGAGGCGGTTGCAAGCCTCCGCCAACACGAAGCCCAGACATTTGATCGTCCAGAGGGGCTGAAGTTCCCGAGGCTGTAGAATCGCGCCGGCTGCCCTCGCCACTTATCGAGACCTTGTCTCCCTCTTGTTCGCTGTACATGCTATCAGCACAGCTGTGGAGATATGAAACCCGCCCGGGATGAGTTTCAGTCAACTTACTGCCTTTGTTGGTGCCTTGCCAGAAGATCCGGACGATGAAAGGCTCGCTCGCAACCAGGGTAAGTGCATGGATAACGTGGCGTTTGGTGACTCAATTGATGCCTCCTGTAAGAACGTGGTTTAGCAGCAATTCTCACTAGGGAACATCGCATAGTCCTGACCTGAGGTGCTCGGCTCTCGTGAAAGTCTGGTGAACGTGTCAGCGATGTCGGCGTTGGCAGGGAGCCGACGTGGAAAACTTCGACCATACCTTGGGAGGGTTGCACATATCGCACGTATGAACAGGAACTCCCTTCTTGGCACGACTGACTCTGCCCGTGATGGGCGTCAGCCTGATGGGAACCTCGGGGTTTGGACTGCCCATCGGCCTCCTTGGGTGATTTGGAGGCATGCCACCGCCGCTGGCCCCTCCCATTGACGAAGACGACGCCGCGGACCCATACCCGTGTTGGTCCATCGAGTCCACGCTGGTATTGCTTTCGCGCCTGGGCTGTTCTGCGCGAAAGGTTGCTGATGCTGTAGCTGCCGATGTCCTGTCCCGTGGGTCGATGGCGACGGCACGTCTCTTGCCTTGTTGAACTGCTGAGCTGGAGCTGGAGCCCTCGTCGGCGTGTTGTTGGCTGGAGCGAGGTGCCTCACTACCCTCAGCAAGCTGTGTTGACGAAGGTTGCTGACTGGAACGAATGACGTGACCCGGTGGTATCGAACTTGATGAAGGATTTTGACTTCGGAAACCGGAAGCGGGTGTTGCTGGGTCCTTATCCTTTTTATCCGTTGAGGGTGAGGCATCATGTTGGTCCTCGTCCACGTTCATAATGGACTGCAGGCTAGACATGGCGGCGGCGGTTGTCCTCGATCAAGGACGTCACAGTTACAAAGTTAGTAATGTACACAATGTACACAGCCCGGCTGAATGTGCCGAGATCAGAAAAGTGTGCGAGTTTAGAAATAACCATCAAGAAGGGGTAAGACTGAAAAAGAGCAAGGGGGGTGTGTCTGCGGGAGAGAGCCTCAGTGGTGTCAGTCTGTGACTGCAGAAGCAAGGCCTCAGCCTTCTCAGAGTTACAGTCGGATTGGGGCCGAGCCGTAGGTTGAGATGGTCGAGGTAAGAGAAAAGTTCCGAGTGCTTGGGACGGGGAAACATTTCGAAAGTAGGGCGACATGCCCTGGAGGGCACTGCTATATTGAGACGCTTCTCGACTGGAGAGGGCTGGAGAACCGTTCGTGCATACTGTTAGGAATGGGTCTAAACAGAGGTACCTACCGTGCCTTGGTTCCTCTTTGGGAGGAGGCTGTAGTCTAAGTCGCTATGTATCCCTGCCAGCTGGACGACAGGGTTCGTCGCATGCCTGGCAGGGAACGCAGAATGCAAGGTACGTATTCCTTCGCTGCACGTTGCACCAGGGAAAAAGGTGACAGTGCTGTACATTCTTGCTACGCGCCATGGCCAGCATGGCAGCCCGAGTCCAGTGTCCTTCCTGTACAAGCTTCCGAGAATTGCAGCGGGGATCCCAAATCGCATGTTGACCGCTGCAGAACCTGAAATCCATCCCCTGACTCGATAATCATCTACAAATGTGATTCGGGGTCACTTCGAACCCTGATACGCCGCTGGAGTGGGATAAGGTTGACAGACGTGACAAGCAGATGGGTCAGTGACTGAGCCTGACCTTGCCGATTGTGTGATGGTGTTCTGCCCTAGTTGACCGCGGGGCGCCATATTTAGAAGGGAGAACGTTGTTCGGGGAGCTTCTCTGCCAGGATTGGGCAGGACTGTTCTTCCCGAGTGGCCTGGAGTTGGAGCGCTTGTCCACACGCAAACTCAATGTACTGTGTGCGCCGAGATGACTGTTGCTCCCCACCAAGACAAGGGAGGAGAAGAGCGGTCCAGTTTGTGCCTGCTGAGTCGGGCCCTTTCTTCCCCTCCCACGCAGCCAATTCGCTGCGCTACAGGAGGTGGGTAGCAAATAATTGCAGAGAGGAAGGACGGTGTCAGGGGACAGTCTGACGGCAGGGGGCGCAGTTCCTCTGGCGTATGCAAGTGAGCGGCCCAGTCGCAGGTCCCTGTGGAAACGCGTAGTAGCAGAGCACACAAAATCCGGCGGCGGGTACTTTGTACAACCTGAAGGGCCCTTCGAGGGCGTGAGGGTCCCTGAAAGCCTGAAAGGACCACACATTGGTGGACTCAGGCGGAGAGGCATCGTGATGTCGTACGGGCTAAGCCCGTGGAGGATTGAGTCGCATGAGTTAGGGATGGCGCCTGATGGCTGCCGAGATGATCGGAAAGCTGGAGAAGGTTTCATGCAGATGCTGGGATCCGGTAAGGCAAGTCGGCCACTGGGGCTTTGTGCCGATGATGGCTGGGGCAAGTCATAGGTCGGCTTGGGCTGTCTGGTGGTGGTTGCTGGCTTCACCGAAGTGTGCTGCCTCTGCTGCCAAAGGCTGAGTTGGAGATGCCGCACCAGCACTGGGATGTGATCGCACCGTCCCGTCTTGCTGTTGGTATTTGCCCGATGTGATCAGATGCCCGGAAGCAGCCAATTCGCAGTGGGAAGGAAGGGCGGATGCTCGTTAGGAATCCTTCGACCGGGATGCCAAGTCAGCGTGTACATGTGTACATGGAGCTACTTGTCCCCGCGGCCCGTTGTCCTGTGCCTGGCTGGCTGAACCCGGCCTTGACCTTGGTGAGGGCAGTGCGAACTCCCAAGCACCAATCACCAAGCCTGGGGATTGCTCTTCCACCGGCGTGCAGAGGTACAAAGCCAGCCGGCCCACGGTGTCTCGTAAACGTGGAAGGAGGTGTGAGACGGATCACAGCAACAAGAGAGCCGACGGAGAGTGACAACAGTTCTGCTCATCTGCGGAGCCCGCCGCCGCACCCGTTGACAAGGCTTTCGGTACGTACACAGTAGTAGTCCCGGTAGGCTAGACGGTGGAGAAGATTGTCATCAACAGGCGGGGACGGCTGCAGAGGGTTGCAGAGGGTTGCAGAGTGGCTCAGACGCACCTCAACCCTATAAGGCAAGGCATTTTGCTGCACGCAGCTGCCAGTAAAAGCGGTTGCAGTGAGAGAACTATTTTTACGATCAACCGATTCGCTGGCTGGTTGCTTTTGACAGACTCGAAGGGCTTTGTGTTCCTGTTCCTTCTCCTGTGTGGCGTCCGAGACTGTCGCACCGAATGGGGGAGCTGCTCTCTCTGGTGCAGCTTCACAGTTAGAGCAGGTGGTGACAAGGGTTCTAGCGGAGGCTGGCCGCTCGCAATCATTTCGATGATGAGTAGTCCAACCAGGCCGGACGAATACACCTGTACACTCAACAGTATAAGTCGGAGCTCCCTGGTGACTGTCATCTGAAGGCTGATGAAGAATCCGGGGCAGCTTGTCCTGTCCGGGGAGAGGGGGCCGAGCCAGGACGAGCGGGTCTATCCACCCTGGCCGGCTGTCCCAGGGCTGCGCAGGTGGGCGATGGCGACGGAGGGTCATGCATTGGATGACCTGCATGCAGTTGGCACGGGTTGGCACGCGACAACGCCGTATCGCTTCGTCCCGCACGCGTTGCGCTTAGCTAGTCGATGGGATGGGAAAAGATACCGTACCGTAGTACGTACATCGGGTACAATGCGACATTGTGCTCTGTACCTTGACCGCAAGATCGGACGAGGACGGGGACGGGGACGGGGACGAGGATGGGGCGCAATCCAGGGCCACACAGTGATCCGATGAGACATGGTGTGAAGCCCTGCTGAATAAGTGACGACAGAAGCTGCGGGTAGTAAGCAGCCAGCCCTGCGAACCGGTCCTTGGAAGACATGCAGACATGCCGTCGATGAGTGTCTTTGATGAGAGATTTTGCGATCCCAGGAGGCTGGAGGCGCCCTAATGTGACGGTGGCAGTGAATGATACATGTCGCACGCCGCGCCGTGCTGCACTGCGCTGCGCTCCTCAAGATAGGGCTGGAGTGGATGGTGGAATAGCCCCCAGGATCAGGCGGTCCTCGGCTCGGAGCCACACGGTGTTTCTCGTCCGTACTAGGCAACGTGGTGTCGCACAGCATGGCGAGCGGGTTGCCCAGCAGACATGTTGCAGCATCCGTGACGAAATAGCTCGGCGGATTCGTGCAACACGGGCAGCCGTTGCGATCAGGCACCAGCATAGCCAGAGCACCTAGACGGGTCGCATGCTGCAAGCGAGACGGTAAGGCTGCTTCGGCATGCGCGTCGAGGCTGGCTGGCCGGCCTGCCTGCTGGCCGGTTGGCACCGTATCTATCTAATCAGAGAGCACCTGCCGGCCGTCTGAGCGGTCAATGGACGAGTGATTGGGTGACTGAGCAGGCCTGCTTGCGTGCCTGCGCCGTGAACTTGCCTGAGGCAGGGACGGCTGGGTTGCAGAGCATCAGTAGACCATCAGCTCATGGAAGCAGCAGCGGAGCCGGTGGCAGCGGTGGTGGTGGTGGTGGCTCAGCGGCGAAGGGGGTTGAGAAGGGCAGGAGCAGATGTGACACGTCGCCAGCGGTGTGCGTGGGCATGTGGTGTGGGTGTATGAGAAATATCTCGTGTGTGGTCATGTATGTGTGGTGTGCGTAGTGGGCGAAGAATCGAGGGCACGAGTTAAGACCTGCCTCGCAGTGTTGCATCTGGCCTGGATACTACAATCCACATATGTCTGCCATGTCCGCCGTGGCTGCCTATCCGCCTGTCTGCCTATCCGCCTGTCTGCCTACCCACCTGTCCATTCCATTGGACGCTCACAAGCGCGACCTGCAGATGCCGTGCCGGTGCCGTTGGTCGTCCGCCCAGGCCCTGTTGGCGAAGTTATCACCATTGGTTGGTACCATTGGTTGGTGGATAGGGAAGGCACGCAGTAGAACATGGAAGGAAGCCTCGTAGCTGCATTGCTGCTGCAGTGCAACTGCTACTGCAAATCAGTCATTGTCTGGCAGGCGGGCGGGCAGGCAGGCAGGCGGAACAAGACAGGCAGGGATGACTTGACGCGGCTATTTTTAGCCCCCAGTGTACGTATCTATTTGGATTTGTTTGTGTGTATGTACCGTCTACTGCGTGCTATGTGGACTGCTGCAGCGCACCTGAGACCCCCAGGACCGCAGGGCCTTACTCGTAGGGGACCAAGACGGCAGGACTCGAACATGCTGCATGCACTTGACTCTGCATCTCGCAGCCTTTCTCTCTGCTTCTTCACGCCGTCATCTTCGCGTCCCATCCTTCGACGCCTTCGGTTGCCATCCATCACATCTGCCGTCCCCTCAGGAAGGATCGCTCCCCTTCGGCTCGGCTCATTCGGGAAGGCCAAGGCCGTTCGTTTCTTCTTCTCCACCACACCCACGAGTGATCCTGTCTGACCCTCGCAAACACCTCCTGCCCTCCCTCATGCCGGTGGGCTCTGCTTTCGTCTCGCAACCGACGCAGCCGACCATCAGCATCCACGCGGTAAACCGTAACGGCAGGCAGGGAGCCTGCTGCGCCCTTGATGACAGCTCACGGTGTTCCATGCCCCGTCCCTTCTGCACCCTGGGACAGGCCATCCTGGCTTCCATCCGCCCACGTGGTCACTGGGTCAGATGAACGAGCTGACTGTGGTTACTCACATCATCATAAGGCGGGAGAGATGGTGGTCAGAGCCATTCTGTCAACTCATCGACGACCCCCGAGGCCCTTCGGAGTGCCGTGTAGATCTCCCCTGCTCGTAGGGCTGTACTTGCACGAAACCGCCCCCCTCTCCCCCACCTTGGCCCCAGACGCACTGCCTGACAGTTGAGCACAGCATTGCGACTCCGTGTCTGGACTTCGCCCAGGGTTCATCGGGTCCTACCTGCGAGGCGACTGGGCGGGATAGCCATCCCTGTTGCTGCTTGGGCAGATGCGGTTGGCACATGCAACTCGCACATTTCACTTCGCAGAATGTGTGTGAGAGTAGCATCTAATTCTCGACCCTGGAGCTGAGGCAAGGGTCCCAGCGTCTGATGCTCGCCCGCTTGCCATCACGCCTGTCGACCAAGGGACGTTGAGCAGCATCAAGTGATGCGCGCCTCCTCTGGTGGGGATCAGACAACGCTCCTCGTCTGATGCGGGTCTTTGGGGCAGATCTCCCGCGATGCTGCTGTGATCGGCAACGCCAACGTCAGTGACAGCATCTGCCAGGCGAGCAGAGACCGCAGGATGCCCACCAGCGAGAGGCTGTTGCAGGCCCCGGTTGGCCATGCAACTGGTGGTCTGTGTCCCTTGCGGTCGGCATGTCATGGGGAGCCATGGCCGTCCAAGCACTGTTGACTCGAATCTCGCAGCTGGTCGACCCTGCTGTGTCTTTTATCCGCTGAAAATCGGCCTGCAAAAAGACATCGGATTATCATTCTGGGCGCCTATGTCTCAAGGTCACTATCTGGCCAAAGCCAACAACGGGCGCAAGAGCAGTCGTCTTGTGTGCAACAGGCCGCACACCTGGATTTATGTTGCCAGGAATCGACGTCGTGTGCTCCCGCACTCCTCTGGCCCTAGGCATGAGGTGCGCACTTTTAGACGCAACTGAAAATGAGCAGGCGTTGATGAAGCAACGTTAGTCCATTATGTGAGACTCTATCTGCATGGTTAACGGGCTAAAGAATGAAGTCATTCGGTCTGCCATCGGCGAGTATACTCCTCACCTGACGACTCGGTGACGTACGTGAAGCCATCTATCTCCTTCCTTTCGAACAGAGTTAAGAGCGTGATTGCGCCCCGGCCCGGCTCTGTCAATCACATCTCCTTCCACAGCCTATTCGAGTATTCTTTGCCGGCGTGTGTCACTGGCCTGATCCGAGCACAACCCTACTCATCCCTGTGTGTTTCCATTGCACGTTCAATTAAGGTTCGCTTGTTTCCAGGACCAACCTTTACCTCTGACTGCTGATTGACTCGTGGCCCTAGGCTCGTAGCCGCACGACTCGGCCAAAAACATGAAACTGCTCCCACGATGTACGCGGACACGCTTTCGGTTTTTATCCGGCTGTCCGGGAGGCCTTGTATGTGGCTGCCAAGTTCGCAGCTGCCCACGAGAGCTTTGCTGCCCAAGGCCTCCAGAAGTTTTTATGGAATTACAACATGGCGAGCCGAGTTCTCCCAATATGGAAGACCGCTGGCGGTGCACACCCCCAGTCGCGCAAGCGGGCAATAACAGCCTTTCGCCTGTGCGCTGCCAACTCTCTTCGATCTCCTCCCTTCGGGTAGCGATCGAATCAGGCTCCTCTTGACTCTTCCAGAATATTGCTCGCTTCTGCCGGACCGAAGTCGGCTGGCTGGTCTCAGACCGTACCTCTCGTCTCCCAACATGTTCCTCCATGAGGTCCTCTTGAGAGCAGTGTCCGAGACCGATAACGATAAGGACCACGACGTGGGAGTCGGCACGACCATCGACACGAGTGACTGTATGTGAAGTGTGGGAGCGGTCTACCGGCCCTTCGTGCCCCAGTACTGCGTCACCAGGCACTTGCTTTCCGCCCAAGGGCACGCTGTCGAGGCAGTTGCATCTTGCTCCTTATACTCTTGAATGAAATGGAAGTTGCTAACTCCCAATACCGGGCAGATGCTGCCGCAAAGAGATATGCTGCTGCCGCTTTGCTGGCCGTCGCCATTTATAATGCCATCGAAATGGTGCCAATCATATATTTCACCTTCTCGAGGTTCTCTGGCCTGTACTTTTGGAGTATGGTAACCGCTGTGACCGGCGTTCTGATCAACGGAATCGGCTTCGGTAAGGACCTTTTTTTTGCTGCCGCTGCGATCCGACAACTCCGGGCTCGCCGGCCTCACAGCTATGCCACAATATGTTCTTCAGAGACCGCCCCTATGCCAGGCGTGATTGGCACTGTGGCTGACCCTACTGCGCTACAGTGTTGAACAATTTCCAGTTGACAGGTAATGTAAGTCTCGAGATTCAGCGGCTGGTAGTTCTGGACACTACGCCTCAACAGAGTACCTCGCAGGCTCGCCGTCGCGGGTGCCAGCGACGTCGATAGTGTGATGTAGCAATTCGATCTAATTACTACCTTGCCCACGGCTTGGGCCAAGTATTTGCTAACCCAGACTCTCCAGCAAACCCTCCCGACGATTCTGACCACCACGTTCTGGGTCCCCATGGTCTCAGGCCAGAGCTTCGTACTCTACTCCCGACTCTACCTCGTCAATCTCGACAAACGGATCCGCCGCTACGTGCTGACCATGATCATTGTCAACGGCGTGGTTTTACATACGGCGACGGCAGTGACGGCCGCCGGGTCGAATAGCAAGGTGTCGTCCCTCTTTATCACCCCCTACGCCATTATCGAGCGGATCCAGATCACCGTTTTCTGTCTCCAGGAATTTATTCTGTCGGGGCTCTACGTGTGGAAGGCATGGCGTTTCCTAGCTGTCTACCGGAGCGGCGGGAGCAAGACGCAGGACAAGCTGCGTGCGATGATGTTGCACCTCATCTTATCGAATGTTGTGGTGGTCTCGCTGGACATAACGGTTATCGTTCTTGAGCACATTGGACTTTATTATCTACAGGTTAGCAGCCCCGGCGGCCAGTTCCAATTTACCGATGCAAGGTTTCCGCCATGGACAAGCCTCACATGGGATAGCTCATATGGAGGATGAGCCTTCCGTTGCGGTCAAATCCTTCCCTGACCACCCTAATGGCTAACCTGGGCTCCCCATTAGGTCGCCTACAAGGCCTTTGTCTACAGCGTAAAGCTAAAATGCGAAGTCGGGATCCTCAATAAGCTGGTGGACTTCGTCAAGTACACGAGCGCCAAGCGGCAGCAGGACTCGAGCGACAGCTTCCGCATGACGTCGCAGATCGAGCGCGAGTGGGAGAAGACGCTGCGAACGACTTTCGGAGTCACGGGGACCGGTCTCGGGGACGATGACGACGACGAAGTCGACAAGCACAAGCAACAAAACCAGCAGCAGCAGCAGCCCGCTGAGGTGCAGCAAAAGGCCAGGCAGGTCCTTGGGGTCATCGACGAGAGGCGCAGCAGTGGGAGCGGTAGCACCCGTGTCGACGGGGCCTCCATGGACGGCGGTTCGGGTCTAATGGTGCCTGGTGGGGTGGCCCTGGGCTTGCGCGAGAGGCGAGGCAGCTTGGAAGAGCCCGGCCGGTCGTCGTAGGAATGCCTAGAGTCCTGGTGGTTCCGTTCTGAAAACATGTGAAACCAAGCCCCCCTAGCATTCTAGTGGATGGGCGAAGAAACGTGAATACTATACATGTCACACAACTACCTGGGATCTGATTTCCCGATGTCACTTGCTGTGGTCTTCAGTCTGAGGACGTCACTTCGGCGTTTGATTCTGTTCTTCTAATTAGTAATCCCTGTTACGGACTGCTGACTCTGGTCAGCACGACAAGAAGCAATTTTGCCCAGTCTCGGGGAGAAGTGCGAACCAAGTCACTTGTACGTATTTGTAAATATGATAAGATCTCATGCCGTTGAAATGTTACTGCTACTTGCGTACTTCCCAGGCTCCCGCCCTGTATTAAACCGACCGGCGACCTAGGACTGTAAACAGCTCGAGCGCATCTCCTGGTCCAATCTCAGAGGAGCCCGATCTGATTTTGAATTTGTCGCGAGGCCGCGAAATAAGAAAACAATTTCGCAACGCTCTCCGCTCCCTAACGGATGAACTCAGACTTGTATCTTGATTGACATTACGTGGCGAGCTAAAAAAGCGATTGTTATCCCTGGCTATATAACCAACAGGGGCCAAATGCGTTTCCGAGCACCTCGGAATACGGAGTCCACCAAGGCAGACGGGAACAGAAGAGGCCTACCTGAAGACCACTTCGCAGGCTGTCATTCTCCTGGATTTTTTAAATCAACTTTTCTTCGGTGCTTTTCTTTCCTTTTTGTCATATTCAGCTTACTCGGAGGAAAGACGCACTCTGAGGCTATGTCCAGGTTTGCCAAACCTGCGAGTATTCTAAACCATTGACAGCTGCTCCGGCGCACAACATTCTGCAAGTCCGATCAGATATATCGATGCCAGCTCCGTAAACACAGCCACCCATCAGGCCCGTTTCCCTTCGGCGGGTGTCCCACAACCAACTCGCGGGACCCCGGCCGAAGCCCGAACAAAGCCAGCAGCAAACGACGACGGATCCCGGATGACTAGGCGGCCTGTCCAAGATACCACGTTCCCGGGGTTTGGTCGACGGCCACACACGCAACACATAGACACAAGCATTCCTCCTCCGCCCAGGAGCCCCGATCCATGGACGCGCACAGGCTGTCAAAGTGCTTTTCCCTCCACCCACGTGCCGCCGCGGACTGGGGGAGGAGCCAGGGCTTGAGCGAGTCCCATCACGTCCGCGGTTTGAGCTGCCTGCCTTCCCTGCTTGCGCTCCAGTCAGGCAGTCAGTCGCACGAATGGCAGCGGTGACAAGTTCACAGTGCCTCGAACGTGATTCCTACACCGTACGCTACCCACTTCCCACCATCCACTGCCTACCCGTGTCCCCCCGTACGCACGCCGACCCTGCAGAGCTAGAGGGCCACCTTGGGCAGCAAAGGAACCCTGCGTCGTGCGACCCATGAGGCCTCAGTACCCACAAATTCAACTCTCCCCTCCCCTCGGACCTCCCTAGCCGGCAGTCACTTCATGGCACCTTGCCGAACGAACGGTAAGAGCCCGCGGGACACCAATGGCGCAGTGAGCAGGCGGCGTAGCTATACAATAGGATGCAGGGCGAGCGAGAGAGAGCACCCTTGCAATAGGTCTGTTGCCCCTTTCTCTGCTCCGTAAGAACCAGCCAATGCCGGGAGGATGAACCTCCTCGCCAGTCCAGGGGTGGAAGGGAACAGGGCGATTCGGGGCCAAGAGATATATCATCCCACGGACAAATCCCGGGCGGCGGAGAGGGGAGGAAATTGACCTGTGTGTGCCATGCTATCATATTGCCTGGGGGTAAAAGAATCCCGCCGCTGGGTGCATTCACCCGGGCTCTTGGAAGCTTACTCGCACCGGCGATTGACCGGCGATTGACGGGCTCGCGCCAGAGGGTCGTCGGGCGGAAACACATGTTAGACTTTCCATCATCTGCCATTGGACTACAAAGACCAGGAAATCATTCCTTCTGGGCACTCCTGGGCAGGTAGGTAGCAGTCCAGCGGGTGCACATGTCAACGGTAGGTGTCCATCTGTCACTTCCAGTACCATATAAGATACCACCTCGGTGTGGCCTCTGCTGTCTCGAACTGCCAGTGGGCTGATCCCATCACCCAGACGGACCCAGTCACAGGCGACGCTAGTTCACACTTCAAAACAATGCCGGACCCGGTAGCTGGATCCTACGAAACAACCCGCCTACCTAGGTAGGGCAAGGGCGGCCTTCCTCCTGCTGCTGCCCAACGTACCAGTGGATGATAGTAAGGGGGGCACGCCAAAAATGCGACGCGCTGATTCAAGCAAATGCCCCAACCAGGGGCCATTGGGGCATTTGTAATATAAGAGTCCCGGGGTAAATATGCAACGCAAGACCGAGGACGTCAGGCCAGGACCGAGCACACGGCAAACACCGCCGGAGGCTATCCTTGAAGTAGACTTCCTACGCATTACCAAAGGAGAGAACTACAACTTGTGAGGATCCCAAAGCTTCCCCTGTGGATTCGCATGGTCCTGACCTTCTTTAGGAGGAGGCAAGTCTCCCGTATGACTTGGCTGCGACGTGTACAGATCTTCAACAAGTCTGGAGAAACCCACCGTTTCTTCACGTGTTCTTCCAGTAAGTTCATGGCGAGAAAGACTTCACAACAAACGAGCCAATGACGAACCGTGCGACAGTATGGCAGTGAATGGAGGGCACATACTACATACGTACGTCTTTAAACAGGGTGCCCTCTGGGCCCCTTCTGCACTCGGAACTTGGCTATACGCCCACTTCGAATGCAAGCAATCGCATATTTGCCAGACTCAGTCTTTCCTGCCACCGACAGGGACAGATTTGGGATCCTCACAAGTTGTAACACACTACCTACCTTATGATCGTGTATACGACTAGATCAACGAGTGGTCGAGGGCGTCAGGATCAGGCGACGTGTCACACAGCAAGATGGTACGTGCGTATGCTGAGAGATCATATTGCAAGAGAAAGACAGGGAAAACAAACACTAGACTAAACAACCGACCCGCCGATCTGTTTGATAGAAGCCAGAAATCACGGGCAGAGAAGACCACCCCACTCCAACTTGGCAGAACTTGATTACCAGTCGTGTCAACGTACAATGCCGATGCCGATGCCCATAACACGTGCATATAAACCCCAATGATCAACCGAATGTCGATCGATATCCACCGTCCTCGAGCCGCGCCCCCTTTCTTCGTTCTACACAGTCTCTTTAAGATTAGGGACGTTACTCGACAGGGTTGCGTGTCGATAGGGTGAGTCAGGTATTATGTGTGTTCAGATTCATCAAAGATCGAGAGTAAGAGAGGTGATTTTAAGAGGGAAATTGGGTATTCTGGAGATCCTGTCCATGCGATCTCGGGTTCTCAAATGGACAGGAAAGCAAGGAAAATTTCATCAACATCGCGGAATGGTATCTCTGATCTCGAGGGAGAAGTTACCACGACTTGGTGGGACATCGCAACTCTTCCTCACAAACACCTAGGAAAAGACGGCAAAGGCGCGAGGCCGCTTATTTGCTGGCCTCCGTAGCGGCCTCCGTAGCGGCCTCCGTAGCGGCCTCCTTGCTGCTATCCTTGGTGGCGTCCTTAGAGGCGTCCTTGTGGGCGTCCTTGTTCGCGATCTTGGCCTTGATCTTGCCAAAGAACCCGCTGATCCTGTTCTTCCTCTTCTGCTCCGAGGTGGCCGAGGTGGGGGTTGCGGAATCCGTAGGCTTCGTGTCCTTGTTCTTGACGGGGGTCGCGGGGGCATCAGAGCCGTTGGCGGTGGTGCCATTGCTGGCTCCGTTGCCGGTAGGCTCGCTGACCTTGGGCACGTCCGCTGCAGCCGCTGGCGGCTCGACGACCTTAGGCTCCTCAGTGGTGGTCTTCGTTGCCTCCTCCGTAGCCTTGGCTGGCTCAGACTTGGAGCCCTCGGCAGACTCGGCAGGCTTGACCTCCTTGAGAAGCTCGGCCTCGACGGCCTTCTTGTCCTCAACAGCGGCTGTGTTGGCGGCGGCCTCGGGGTTCTTGCCAGCCTCGACTATCGAGTCCTTGACCTCAGACGGGACCTCAGGAGACACCGTCTCGATCGTCTTCTCCGCGCCAGTCGCGTTGATGGTCTCCTGCACGGAGTTGGGCAGCTGCTGCTTGACAGAGTCTGGCAGGTTTTGGGCGGCGATAGGGGCAGCTGTCTCTATGGCCTTGTCCTTGGTGGCGACGGCGGTGGCGACGGCAGCAGCGCTGACACCTGCAGCGGTGGCCGCAGCAGTCTCGAGCAGCGTCTTGTCATTCTCGGACTTCTCGGTTCCCTTGCCGGCGGTGCCCTCAGATGTCGTTGGGGCCTCGGGGACCTTTTCCTTCAGCTCCTCCTCCACCTGCTCCTTTTCCTTAACCTCGTCGGCGATACCGCTGGCTTCTGGGTCGACGCCGGCCTTGTCTTGGCTCTCCTTGACGACCTCAGGGACCTTGGGCTCCTTTGGCACTTCCGCGGCCAGAGCTGCTGTCGTCGAGTCGGCGCTGACAGAGTTGATGTGTGGGTTCCCGGTGCCAATTGGCAGGCTCGACTCGGGGATCATTGTGCCGGAAACTGGGGGCACGCTGAGGTCCTTCGAGTCGACGCCAGGGAGGGCGTCACTCTTCTCGTAGGACTCGGCATCAAGCTTGACGTTTGAGTTTACATCGGCAGTCTTGATGTCGTTGGGGATCGGCTCGCCGGGCGCCAACTTGATAGGGTTGAGGCCACCAGCAGCAGCAGGGAGAGGGTTGACGCCGATGGACTTGTTAAGCTCATCGGCAGGCGTCTCGGGGAAGGAGCCGGGCAGGTCGGAGGGCTTTGCATCTGCGTTCTCGGCTTTGGTCTCGGTCTTCTCCGTCTCGGGCTGAGCGTTGATGTCCTTCTCCAGGGGGACATCCTTGGCCAATTGAGCCGTGGTGGAATCTGCGTTGACGGAGTTCATGATGGCGGCAGTGGCAGGCAGGCTTGCTAAGAGGGCCTCAGGGGTGAGGACGTTGTTCTCGTTGCCGCTTTCGTCCTTTTCCTTGGGATCTGTTGGATTGGAGGTCCAGGTGCCGTCGACAACAAACTGGAGAGGGGTACGGACGTCAGTGAATCAGCAGGATAAGAGAGAGGCTAGGCGAGGTGACACGATGTGTCTGGTATCAAACAAGAAGTGATACGGAAGAGGCAGCAGAGGGCAGGACTGGGCACATGAAGGGGGGACGAGGCTGATAAGTACCACGATGGTGACAGCGCAGCGTGGTACATGTACATGGGCGCGGGCAGGCCGCCCGCAAATGACATTTGCAAGAAGCAAGGGTCGACGTGGGAGATTGCTCCCCACCGGGCCCGAAGAAAACGAGGGGCAGGTCACGGGGCTCGAAACAAAAGGTACTACCAGGGCAGGTAGCTAGCTTGTCTCTTGTTGCGCGGCGGCGACAAGCTCTGGATTGCTTCGAACCAGGCGTACACCGCTGCCGCGCGAGGCAGTTTGTGTTCGCGATGTCGTATTCCGCAGCCCAAGCCTGAACACCCATGCGCCGGCCTTCCCAAAGACGAATAGCATTGCGTCATAGGCCGGCCGGGGCAGCGAAGGAATTGGGGGATGGATGGGTGGGTAACTGCATGAATGGACGGACGGCTGGATGGCTGGGATGGGAAGCAGCACTCGCCAGCTTCCTTGGGCTCTCGCGCGCGACAAGAAGTGGATTGATTTCCCACAGATTTGAAGGGCAGGGCCAGGGGAAGGGGAAGAGGTGATTTTGAGCCGCAGGATGCGACCACGAGGTCACGAGTCTAAGACGACCGTGGCCTGCGAGCGAATCGACAATGCGAGTCGAGGACTGATAGCTGGGGATTCTCCCACTGCTCGCTGCCCGCGGTTGGTTGGCCCTGGTCCATGTCCGCTCATACATGACCATTGTATGTACAGGGCCATGTCGATATCGGGAAGAAAGTCCCCTTGTGCAAAGCTGCAAGCCGCAAGCCGCAAAGTTGCTTTCCCCGGGACCCGCGAAAAGCGCCCCCTCACCGCCCGAGAGCTTCCTTCACCTTGTTGAGCTTCAAATAGGGTGGTCGTGTGTGCGCGCAAGATTGCCAATTGAACGCGGGGCAGCCGGTCCGGTGACATCCTCAGCCATGTCCATCTCTTTCGAGGACATTGCAGGAGTCGCCATCAGTCGTATCGCACGCCATCGCAAATGCGGTGCAATCAATGCAATGCTCACAGCTACACAGGCACGTACGCATGCGCGCACATGCACAGAACCACCCATTGTGCGCTCGTCTCGGTGTGTCGCAGACCCGAGTCTCATGGCGGCGCCAACCGACGAATTGATGGGAAATGTGTGGAATGTTGCAGGCATGGAGGGAAAAGACACGACGAAACGAGACAAGACTTGTGTGTACCGACCTTGTAGTATATCCTCTCGGAGGTGTCGGGAAGCTCGACGCTCTTCTCGAATTTGTCGCCGACCTTTTCCATCTGCTCGCTCTTGCTCCAGTTATCGAAGGTCCCTGTCACGTAGACCTCGTCGCCGGGGTGCGGCCTGTGATGCAGAAAGGCGGACGAGTTAGCCTAGACGCCCACAATCCAGTTTGCGCAATTTGCACTGTTGAGAACCAGCCCGAGGTGGGTGGTGGTCGTGTCGTCTGCCGAGCAGCTGCCATTGCGATTCATGCTCGTGGGCGGGAGATGCGACGGGCTCCATGGGCCACGATCGCCGTCGTCGTGCGCATTCGGAGCAATCGTCTCGTTGGGGAGCCGCGCATGGCGGGGCTCCCTCGAGCAACGGCATGGCCGCGGCGAGCCTGTGGAAGAGGTGGATGGATCGGTGATGGCGCTTGCGCTGGCAGATTATGGAGCCCCCAAGAGTGGGGTGCGTGAAGCATGTTGACGTACCATTTGAAAGTGTAGGAAACCATCTTCGATTAGCGATACTTAATTCGGTCTTGAGAGAGGACGGGAAGAGAGAGATATGCGCTCGAAGGAGGAAGAATTATTCGAGGCTTGAGGCGGGATTCGAGAGCCGGCAGGTGAGAGCAATAGATGCAAGAGAGCTCGGTCGGGTTGGCTGGGAGGGTCAATTGAAGGAAGTTGGATATTCCCAGAGGGCGATCGATATGATTGTGGTTTGATGATTACTGGGCCTGGGCCGTCGCTGCAACGGGGCGGGGCTGGAATTGCACAAGAGTACGGTCGACACGGTCGATGAGAGGTGAGATTTCTGCTGGGGACGATGACCTCGGAGGCAAGAGGCTCGAATTCTCGGAGCGGGCAAGCTGGAGAAAGTGTTGAAGAGTAGGAAACAAGTTGGAGCTAGGAAGGCCCTGGTTCCTGGTCTTCGATCATCAAGGCGGGCAGTGACAGGTTGTGGTGTGTGGCTCACTCCCACCAGCAGCAGTAGCGGATTCAGAAGCTTCCTCCTGGGTACCTGGGTTTCGTACCTGGGCCTGGGAGAGCTGTTTCCAGGGCGCACTGGCCGGGAGGCGGTCTTATCTTTGGCAAAACCGGAGGCTGGTTAGCGGGCCACTGCTCCCACCCAGGTGCATGATACACCCGGTACCTACAGGGGCCTAAATGGGCACGTCAGAAAAAAAGAGCTCTCGCATAGCTACCCTGGTCACCCACCCGCTGCAGTCGATATCTTCTGCTGCGCTGTCCAAGTCGACTGTGGAATAGATGGAGGCGACGCTTTCAATCGAGCGAGCCCAGCCCCATTGTACATCAGACCTGCAGACAGGTTCAGCTTCGAGTTCAGGGCTCAAAATTCCCGCACGATCCGACCAAGACATGCACCACGAGGGGCATACGCAAGCGGTGGCCGATCACTGCCCCTCACCCTGCCGCTCCGCTGCACACAGAACCACAATCGACTGCTCACAGCTGGAGGATCATCGCCGTAAGCTAAGCTTAGCTCACCTAGCTTACTCTTTCTCCGAAATTCCAGGCCAGGATTGTCTCGGCCTGGGCTTGCCTTTTGCTGGCCCGTCCTCCGCCTGCTCCGGATTCCGTCTTCTCGCCTATCCGTATCCGTCTCCGTACCTTGCTCACCATGTACTAGTCCTCGTGTTTCGACATCGAGCCAACAAACCTTCACAATCAGCACTTTGCCCGTTCGGGCCTCTGCCGGCTCTCAAATATTTTTTTCTTCATTTTACCCGAGATTCGATTTCGTTGACATTACTATTCCTCAGTTGGTTCGCCATGGGGCCATCCTGCCTAACAGATTCCAGAACATTCGCCTGAACAGATCCCGAAACGCCGCGTCAAGTCGTCCCAGAGCAAGACCAAACCCGCTTATGCCGCAGTCTCATTGTCCAGCGCCCCGTATGGCTGCTGGTTGCCAGCCCCGTCCTGCCGCTCGCCGGTCCCAGGCGCCCCGCGGGTCTGCTTCAGACGCAGGTCCTGCTCCGCCACCCGGCCGGGGTCCTCCTTCAAGCCCGGCTCGACATTGAACTTGGCCGGCCGTCCCGTCATCTCCGGGTCCTCGGTGATGTTCTTCCCGTGTGGCCCGCCCGAGGTACTGGTGTACTGGTTGTTGACGTACGTGGGCGCCGTGCTTGCTGCTGCTGCACCGCCTGACGCGGATGTGTTGGTTGACGACGTGCCCTGGACCTTGGCGCCGGCGTTGCTGCCGGTGGTGTTTCCCGAGTCGTTGATATTGCGGTTGTTGGCAAACTCGCCGCCCTTCTGTGCCGACTCGGCTGCGAGCGAGCCAGAGACGTTGCCTGCACCTTCTTGTGTCACGGGTGCCTTGTCGCCAAGGGTGACCTGGATACGTCAGACATTGGCCCTCCTAACGGGAAGCTGATTAAACTAACCTTGGTGCCTTCGCTGGGTGCCTTTCCAACCATTTTGGATGTGCATGCGTGTCTAAAATCGCTGAGCGGTACTGGTCTATTGATAGTGGGTGATTGATCAAGACGAAGTACAAATCGCAACGTTAATGTGTAGATGAAGTTGATTCAAGAGAACAAACAGCTCGGATCGCCTCATTCTTGCTATTATATACAGCACGAAATCATTCCGCAATGGCTGAGCTTCAGCTTGGTGATGGCGTCAGAGGTGATGTAATGAGCCTCTAAGTGTCTATATTCGCCTGGTGAGGTTGACTTGATGTAATATTGTGGGCCGCTTGGGGATGCCATCCATTTCTCACTCGTCGAGGCTGGCATCACAGCGGCGAAACAATTGCTTACTCCAACTACCTAGGTACCTAGGTAGTGAACAGGCTCTGTGACACGACAAGCGGAGGCTGCTCTATGCAGCTTTGCGCGGTGGACCGGAGCTTTTGGTCCGTTGCCTTGGCACCCAGGTTGGGCAGTTTTCATCCAGTTCCTAGATGGCAGCGGCACTTCCACGGCGTCCGACACGTTCAACCTGGCGTCCGACCTGGCCGGGACGTGCCTTGGGTTCTCGGGCGCGACTGCGTGCGGCAGCGCTCCCCCGTCGTCGTCCTCGGTCGTGAGCTCCACGCTGTCCACAGTGTCCGTGCTGTCCAGCATCTCCAAAAGGCGAGTCTGAAGGTGGCCTTATATCCAAAAAAACTGCGTTGAGGTTACAAGTGCGACCTTCTTTCCCAGTTAGCCAACGAACCAAGTAGAGTAAGTAAGTGGAGAATCAAGACATGTTGTGAAGCATATATCCATGAAGACAGCAGTCTTTGAACTGAGTTCCCCTTTTCCACTCACCCATAAAAAATACAAGTCTCCGGATCCGCCATCTCCGTAAATGATATTACGTCTTTAGTGATCATCTCGCCTTCTCGACGGCGAATGTTGATGTGAAACAAGCAACTCGGAAACCACACAGGTCACACAAGCTGCAGATTGTCTTCCGACCGACAGACTAACTTACAGGGAGGTGGTCCTCATGAAGGTAGACCAGAGAACGGTGGCGACTAAGCCGATCCCGAGGTTCTGTTCACTAAGTGAGTTCTCCCAGAGAAAAAGTGTGGAAAGAAGGCATCGTGGCCAAACTGTCATGCCTCAATCATACTGAGCTGCATTTCCAAGGTGGTAAGATGTATTCATTCCAGATATACAGTATCAAGAACACCGAATCATACCTATTGGCTGACCACCAATGAAAAGGAAAAGGCCATGGGTAGACGCCCTTGCTATGTCTGTTTCATAGCCTATTGCATCTTCTATGCCAGTATACTTCGTCTACCGCCGAGCATATCTCACCTGCCGTGGACTGACACGACGTCTGATTCTAGGCTGTAGAGCCGTGACCATCTGCGCCTGTCTCATTCTGAGAATGTCGCGCCAGGCGAGCGATGGCCCCCACTTCTCTTCATCGTCCTTGCTCCCTTCAAGACGATGGTCCGAGGGCATCGCAGTGGAACCTCTTCGGAGCGTGAACTAGTTGCCTCTCTTGCCACCAGTGCTCATCAAGGTGATTTTCTGTTTCTGTTTCTTTTTCTTCTTGCCTCCACTGTTGCCCCCGGACGTCCCCTCTGGCGTTGCGTTCTCCACGCCCAATGCCTCCATCTGAACAGCCACCTCTGCTGCTCCAAGTGAGTCCAGGAACTGTTCGTTCTTGAGCCATCCATCATCCACATCTGCTGCTGGCTCGGTCGGGCCTGCTGTGGGAGAGGGTGGGATGGCCGGTGTGCCCCATATTGTCCTCTGCGTTGAGGGACTGGTGGACATTGACGCGAGCGGGGTGAAGCCATGTCGAGGGTTAGGAGGTGTCGTACTTGCTGTGCCAAGTGGTTGGAAATCGTCCATATTCAGGCGATCAGAGTTTCCCTCGTCGCTATAACGCATGGTGAAGCTCTCGTCCACAGCGCTTAGGACGGTCCTGCCCGGTCCGCGACGATATGCAGCAGACTCCAGGCGTTCTGCCTGAAGACGTTCACGTTCTTCTTGTGCCTCCTTGTCACGATTACGCTTCCGCCGCCGCTCGATCTCATCTTTGAAGTTATCCAGAACCTCGTTTGGGACAATATCGGTCCAGTCACACTCCAGGAAGGAAATGAGACATCCACGCGGAATGTGGCCGAGGTACTTTGCGCGCTTTCGTAGTGCGTCGTCAAGCGTGTTGCCCGTCGAAATGTGCTCGACCCTCGGCAAAAGCGTGGACGGAAACTGTGAGAACGAGCCATACTTTGTCTTGAGAATCCGAATATCCAAAGGCGAGAGGTAGAGATGCGGAGGCGATGTGTAGAAGTAGAACTCGTGCTCCGACTGTGCTTGCTTGCTGGAGCTTGAAGTCTTAGACGCTTCCGCTATGGCGACTTCAACTTCTCCGAGGTCCTTGACTTTGTCCTTGGCAGCTTCGATCGCCTTGACTGCTCGCTGCGTCCACTCACCGTCCTCGTTGAAAAGCAGCTCGTCCTCTTTCTCTTGCTTGGTCAGTTGTTCGATCTCGTTGTTATATTGCTCCGTCATGTAGTCGGTTGTGCCACGCATGATGCGAGCATAATCCAGAACGTTTGCTGCGAAGTGCCAAGGGATCTCGTCCCCGGAGCTCAGGACCTCTGCCCCGCCTTCCTTGGGTAATGCGAGCGTTGACTTATCATATCGCATCATGAGTCGGAGAACGACATCGTCACCGGGCCGCGGCAGAGGGCTTTCCTGGCCCGCATAGAAGCGCACTGGGCGTACTTCAGACACTTGTACACTGTCGTCGCAAATGGGACACTTCCTCCACCTTGCCTTCTTCTCATGCGCGCTGGCTTCCTCGCTGGAGGTCGAATGCATAAATCGAATCAGACAGGGCAAGCAGAATATATGGCCGCATGTTGCCATCCGAGGCGCCACAGGCTCAGAGAGGCAGATCGGGCATGATGCGGCCTGTGACTCGGCAGAAGCCAAGACCTGGAGCACATCGGCCCAGTCGAGATGCTCGTCCGCATCAACAGCCTGCTTCGAGTAGTTTCCCTTGGGCGAGACAATAAAGCGGTAGTTGGCATGCACATAGCGGGCCTTATCGGCGGTGTGGTACCCGGACCCCGGACCCCAGGTCGGATTGCGGCGATAGTTCCGATTGTAGGACGTGTGGTGGTTCTCGAAGCGGGGCCGGGGCGAGGAATAGTTCAGCAAATGGGTGATGGAGGTCTGGCCACGGCGACTGGAGGCGTTGCGGATCGCCCTTATCTCGTCCATCTCGTCCTCGTCCTCCCTGTATGAGCCGGCTCTTTTCTGGTTCCTATGCTGTTTACGCTGCCCCTGTCCCTTCCTGGGCGCGGCGATTTGGATTGACTGACTGCTCTGGGAGGGACGACGGTTGGAGTCGAAACTCGACGGTGCAGCCGGGGAGAAGGGAGGGGCGGCGTGGGCGGCGGAGGGTTGAGTCGATGAGGACTTGCCGCCAATGTTGGATGAATTCGACATGTTCCGAACAAGAATCTGAACGGTGTCTTGACCACAAAAGGGACAGAGAAAACCAAGGGCTCTGAAACAGCTGCTTCGACCGGAATAATGATGACTGTGAGGGCAACTGCCTCGCGGTTGATTGATCTGGGATGCGGACGAGACGGCGAGGGGCAATGGGGTGACGTCGAACGCGCTGGCTTGCTGCTGGATGCAATCAAATTGGACGTGATGATTGCAAAACCATCCTATCGGCAGGAAGTATCAATGAATCGCTTGATCACAGATGGAGACGAGAAGGTCTACCTGGGTAGTAGACCTGACCTTTGGATCCCGAGGGAACCTCCGCGTGGTTGGAGAAGACGGAACGGATGGCGAGAGTCATCCGGTGGATGCTGTCGGCGGGGCAAAGTCGACGCCCCAGGGACCTGCTCTCCCTCGATTAGTCATTGCCTGGGTTCGGTGTTAGTCTGTTGCGAAACCACGATGCTAGACCAACGAGTCTGGTAGGCTGGTAGCTAACTCCGTTCTCAGGTGACAGGAACAGGAAATAACAACCCATCATAACGCGTATCGGGGTCCCGGTTTGCACGAGTGCTTGTAGATAGATGATTGAAACACAGTCACCGAGGCTGTGACACCACCACCCGCGTGCTTCCAGTCAGTGTCTGTTTGACTGGTAGTCGCTCTCTACCAGGGCTGCTGGGCACTGCGGTACTCCAATGCCCCCAATACCCAATGGTATTGGAGACAAGAGTTGAACCCCTTTCTGTCCAGTCTTTACTGCCTTCTTGAGGACACCTGGGTAAGCTCTTCATGAGAACCAGTGGCTCTTCGGACTCTACCCCTAGCCAACGGTCACTCGAATCCGCCAGCTGCCGGGAGCGGGTCCCGCGACCAGAACAGCCGGACGTGTCAAGACGCGCGCCCACTGGCTCACTGCGGGCATCCACTCAAAGCCACGCCGGCTTTTCCATGTGGCTGCTACCTCCCACCCAGGCATATAGACGACACGAGTAAATAGCCTCAGCCTTTTTCTCGAGATCCTTGGCACCGTGTATTTTCAGCCTTATTGCATCATTAATATTACCACAATATTCCAGAAGGCTTCACATAGAACTACCTAGGTAGCTTCAGCCCACAGCCTTTCCAGCGATGGACCAGCCCGGCGAGCAACAGCCCCTCCTCCACAGCCAGAGCGGCCTGGACCGGCAAGACAGCCCAGAAGAGGCCAGCACATATGCCAGGCGGAAGGAAAGATGTCGGGGCCTGCTCGTGTCCAAGCAGAAGCACTACCTGGTGCTGGCCCTGGTCGCCCTCGACGTCTCGTGCCTGCTCGCCGACATCTTCATCACCCTGATCGACTGCGACAGCAGGATCAAGAACGACGCATGGGTCCCTGCCGTCCACGAGGCCCTGGAGGACGCCGGCCTCGTCTTCTCGTGCCTCTTCCTGGCCGAGCTGATCTTGAGCCTGTGGGCCTTTGGCCTTGAGTGAGTGCTGCCTTGCTGTCCGCCTATATATACATCCTGAGTGAGCTCTACTTAATCTCGGGCCAGGTTTCTCCATTCATGGTTTCACATATTTGATGCTACGGTCATCGTCGCCAGTTTCCTCGTCGATGTACTGACTCGTGGTGTTGTCGAGGAGGTCGCCTCACTTATCATTATCCTGCGTCTGTGGCGTTTTGTGAAAATTATCGAGGAGCTGAGCGTCGCAAGTTCTGAGCGGATGGAAGACCTCGAGACGAAGGTTGAGCGGCTTGAGGAGGAGAATACTAATCTGAGGAACAAGCTCAAGAAGCTCGAACCCACAGGTGAGAGTGAGCGTGAGTCCGGAGGCAACGACGGTGCTTGAGTGAGTGTGTGGTGCAACCATTATGGGAGGTTGTCCTTGGGAGGTTGTCCTTGGGAGGTTGTCCTTGGGAGGTTGTCCTTGGGAGGTTGTCCTTGGGAGGTTGTCCTTGGGAGGTTGTCCTTGGGAGGTTGTCCTTGGGAGGTTGTCCTTCGGCCCCGTCGATGGCCATCCTTCCCGGAGTGTTTACCGTCTGGGCCTCAACTTGGGCTTCTACGGCCATGTACATTCTGTTGGGTTCCCAGGCGCCCATGTGTGACTTGATCAGCACGGCCAACTGTCGACGTGTACGGGATAGAGCCTGTTGTATATGCACATGGTGGGGTGGACTGTCAATTTACATGGAACAAAACGCCTTTGCTCAGGTAGTCCTGCCTCGAGCCCTTCCAACACACTGGGATATCTAGAGTGCATGCTCAGAGCTTTGGGGTCCCGACGAATCGTCAAAGGAAATGTAGCTGCAGTGGCATCTATAAAACACGGCATATCACCACACCACCAGAGGCCAGAACTCGAGTCGGAGACTGTCCAACACGAGCGTGGAGGCAAACTCGCATGCGCTACGATCTCGTATCCGCACCTGCGTTGTCCGGCAGCACAGCCGCACACATGCCAGCCATCTGCGTCCTTTTTCGCAGCAGATCATCCACTTACAGCAACACCGTCTCGGACAATGGCTATTCTGGGAGCACGATTGGGGAGCGTAGGTCGCAAATCAGGGAAAAAAAGGTCATCAAGTCCGACAAAATGGATGGCTCAGTACCAAGGCTCGATCTGGGAAATATTACTTGTCGCGCATGATGAAGTCCCATTCAGCAGGGGTGCTTTCATTACCGCCATTTCCCTTCTGCAGCGGGGCCGACCGTCCGATAGCTGCATGCCACCCTCCGTTCCAGACCAGCTGCAGCTCCAGAAAAGTCTAAATAGAGCTATGGCTTGCAGGGGGGTCCCAGAGTCATGCCAGGTATTCACCACGTCAAGAGCTCGCAAAAAGAGGTAAATAAAACCTGCCAGACTGCAGGACGGAGTCATTGTGGAAGAAACAAATCCACAAAAGGGTGTCCCAAAGGAGTTTATTCCACAGAAGGTTATTTCATGAGGTTAATCCCGCAGAATACCTGTGTTGGTCAGGCTACATTCAGGTGTTTGGGATCCTGGCGAGATTGTACACGGCAACGGCTGAGCAGGAGGACCATGCCGGATTGCCCAGCCAACACATACCTCCTACCCCGTAGTCTTGGTGCCTAGGTAGGAAAAGAGATCCCGGGACGCGTCTCCTCCACTCCCAGCGAATCATGGCCGCTCCCCAACCAGAAGAGTCTCGTGCAACACGCTCATCTGCTTTCCCCCTTGAGCAGGGAAGCACAGCAGATGAGGCCATCATCAATGTCTTGCAAGCCCCCCGGCCGCCCGGACCCCAGTCCCCATAGACAACCCCATGCCCGGTGGCTTCATCCTCCTTGGCCTTTGCTGCCTCTGGCCTAGTTCGTATTTCCCAGGCCCTGCACCATTGGCCGGTCCGAGTGGATCGCTGGTCGGCCGGGGACTTTCTCTCCTTCTTCTTGCTTATCCTTGCTGTCCTTCCCCCGGGAACACGACAGGGGGTGGTGGATGGACTCCAGCCCCCCCTGCCCTTGCCTGGACTCAAAGAAGCTTCATTCATATTAGAAGCTTGTCGCGTTGAGGAGCGTTCCTTCCCTTCTCTCCTCCTCCCCCTCCTCCTCCAGCTGTTTCTCAGTCAACAGAATCTCGCAGATCGTGCTTGCCGGTATATACAAGAAGCTCCTTTTGAGTTTATAACCGTGTCTCTCGCTATCCAGTCTCTCGCTTCTCAACAACATTGAACTTCTCGCGTTGTCAACATTCTAGCATCACCCCAGGTTTAATAATTGCATTGTACTGCATAATAATCCCGCTTGCACAATCACAAACATAATTCCCCAAGCCTCAAACCACCCAAGCCAACAGTCAAGATGAAGACCTTCGTCACCCTCGTCGCCCTCCTGGCTCCCGCTGCCGTCGTGGCCCAGACCGCCACCACAACCGCCACATCCTCGTCATCCACCTGCGAAGCCGACTACATCGTTGAGGACTGCCTGACCAGCACACAAGCTCGCCAGGCAGAGTGTGGCAGCCAGGATTACACGTGCCAGTGTGCCGCGTACGAGGCCATCGCGACGTGAGTTCCCCATCCTATCCTTTCTCTTCCTTGCCTCCCATGAGGAGAAGGAAGGAAAAGAATAAATCCCGAACCCCTGGCTAACCTGATCACCAGCTGCTACAACAACTGCCCAAACGACCCCCGCGCGTCCACCGCCCAGGGACAGGTGACTCAGTTCTGCGCCCTGGCCAGCCAGTACGCCTCCACCAACACGGCCTCGGCCACCGGCAGCGCCGCCCGGACGTCGTCCACGGGTTCAGCCACGGCCACGGCCACGGACTCCGAGTCTAGCAGCACCGGCACCTCCACCAGCTCGAGCAGCTCCAGCTCCTCCAGCTCGTCCGCCAACTCGGCCGCCGACCTCGCCATCAGCGCCGGCGGCCTGCTGGCTGCCGTCGCCGGCGTGATGGGTGCCCTGCTGTAGGTGCACTCTAATCGCCTCGATGTCTATGTTGGAGAGAGGGTGTGCGTGTGCGCGCGCACGTGTGGACAAGGTCCGAGCTCTTTGGGCACTCGATACCTTTGAGAGAGTTAGGTACGACGTGATGACGGATGATGTGTGATGGGAAGAAGGCGTTGTGAGGGATCAACTATAATAGCGGAGGGACCGGGTAATTGTTTGCATTGCATTGCACTGCGTGCGTGCATGGCTTGATGTTTGTTCCCGTCACAGCTCTGGAAAGGCCCAATCGTAGCGCGAAGGGCAGGGAGGCAATGCATGCTTAAGATCGGGCAAAGAACGGGAGGAGGATCCCCTCTCCTGGATAACACATTTACCTGAAGTATATAGCCAGTCTCGCTAGTGTCTAATACAATCCAACAGATCCAAACCCTGCACTTCGTCTGTCTTCGAGTATGATTTGACGTCTTGGTCCTGCTCAAGGTTCTTTAAGACAAGCCCACGAGCACGCCCTGAACTGATCTCGCTCAAAAGCCGGAACGGCGTCGTTTAGCTAGGTGCCTAAGGTAAGTCTGCTCCACTATCCAGCACGCTTAGAATCTCTCACCTAGAGCCTAGCAGTCACCTCTTTAGGCCATCGCGTGTCTTTAGGACTGGTGGAGTGGACAAGGTTTGGTGTGGTATCTTGTCTTCAATTCATCTGATCGTGTATAGGGTATGTATGTACAGGGTAACAACAGGTATGTATCAAGGACACACTGTTCCAAGGCCTTTCTCTCTCTTTCCCGTTCCCGTCTGGTGTCCTGTGCAGAAGCTCCGCCCAATTTTCCTTGTCGATAAGTCTATTCATGACGAAGCCAGCCCCTTCAAAAACAACTTCGTCAATCTGACGATCCCAACAACGGGTGAACCCATCGTTGTGTTTTTCTCTATGTCGTGATTATCGCACAATCTGGTGTACACGGATACATTGCGCCCCGAAAAAAGGTAGGCCTTGATGATAGTCACCCATCATCACTTCATTGAGTGAAGAGCAGCTCTGATAGCGAGAGGCAAAGATCTCGGGTTGAGAAAAATATGCTTCAGCTTTGGTACGCAACAAGGTTCGAATCCAAAAAAGAAGAAAAGCGGCAGCGCTGAAACATCCGAGGTATTAAAAGTGTAATCATAACGTAAGCGCTCGTAAAATTCGTAAGTCGAGCAAATGTTCCGCGCCTGTGAATGCTCAAGGCTTGCGTCGCGCAGCGGCTTTGCCTGTCAATGGCGTGACGAAGGTGACGTGCCTATTCTCGTCCTTTGCTCGAGCACCGTTGCTGCTTCCATGCTGCGAGAGATCTTGCACCTCGGGATACTCGATATTGACTTCTGTGACCTCTGTCATAGAGCCGTCATCAGAAGCATCCGAGGACGAGCCATCGTCGGATTCGTCATCTCCACCGTCGTCGCTAACCAAGGACGGCGCGTTGTTACTGGTCGCAGTGTTCGGGCTGTGGTCAACATCCATCATGTTGGCATCATCGAAGCCAGAGTCATCGTCGTCGTTGATGGGAGCACTCGGAAGCAGCTTCGATGCTGTCGAAGTGAAAGCGAGATGCGGAGACCGCCCCTTACTGCTAGGTGGGCGCGGCCCAGCGGAAGGCGGAAGGACAGCTCGCGCGGGGACACGCATGACAGGCGCAGGAATGCGAGCTCCAGCCGTCGACACCTTGTTCACAGCCGGATGGTCCGCGTCCGGGGACATGAAACGTTCTCCATCATCGGACTCCTCGTCACCTGAGAGATAGTCATCGAGGTCCACCTTGCTCTTAGCATCCTCCACGTGCTTTTTGAGATCGCCCTGGAAGTCTCGTTTTTGAAGTAATTCGGAGAGGAAGGGGGTCCCAGGTACAGCAGCGAAACTCTTCAGCGGCTTTCCATCGGCCTTCACAGAAGGACTTGAGGACATAGCACCAGGTGTCTTGGGGGTAGCACCGTGGTGGAAGAGCTTGAGCGACTCGTTGATGCGCTTGAGAAGTGCCGCGTAGGCATTTTGCTCAACCGTTGCGTCTGTTCGTGCAAGAGGATGAACAATGCCCGGTGCAGGAGCGCTGGGAGGCTTTTCTTCGCTGGCAGTGGCAGTGTTGGTTGTGCTGGGGTTGGTACTGCTGGTGCTCTCACTGACGCTGATGGGTTGGCCGCAGTCAACAGCAGCCTCCTCGTGAGACTTGTACTCCTTCCGATGAGCTATTCGGCAGTGGTTGATGAAGCCTTGGGTGCTACTAAAATTGTCCCTATGACATGAGTTGCACACGAGTTTGACAACCACGCCGTTGCTCCTCTTGACAATACAAGGAGCCTTTGGTTTCGGTGGCGGGTAAGTGGTAGAAAGCTTCTGGCCGGTCTGTCCGCGAGCGACCCTCTTGCCGATGGTGGTAGCCTCACAAAGACTGTTCCTCGTCGTCCGCCCTTCGGCGGTGTTTCTCGGGACAACAGACAAGCCCTGCCACTCGGGCACCACGTCTCCAAATTTGGGATCTGGGATCAGCCACTTGGCATAGTGACGAGCATAGGGACCATCCGTCACCCCGAAAGGCGGAGCCCACTGTGCAGCAGGCTCTCCGGCCCTACTCTGGACGGCTGATCCCTTGCCTTGCGAAATGTCCAACATCTGTTGTGGGGTGGGACAGGAAGTTGGGTACGGTATGAGGTGACACCGACGCAGCTGCTCCAGGGCGACTTGGCATTTGGCAAGCTCCTGGTTGATGAAGCGCAGCTCCTGGTGCTTCAATAATATCTCTGTGCCAAACTGCTGGTTGATGATGTCAACTACTCGATCAGTGTTCGGCGCGGCTGCTTGTGGAGACTGCGATGCGAAGTACTCTTGACGTGGCATAGCCGGAGTTTCTGGAGGTGTCGCGACGCTGTAGTCAACCTTTGCCCGTTTTGCGCAACCATCATCGGTTCCGTCGTGTGCAGAAGACGCCTTTCTCTTGAGCGAGTTTGGACCCGTGGCAAGGCTGGGTAAGTCTTTGGAGCACATTGTCATGATCTGTTCGGCTTCAGCGAGCCTGTCACCTGCCTTTGCATCACCACTCCAGAAGCGGAACATATCACGCATGGTCTTGCGTTTCCGCGGCCACAGTAGTAACGCGCAAACTCGGGGCGGGCCTCGACACGGCGCGTTGGAGGAAGGGAAAAGGCGTGGCAGTGAACTTCTTTTGTAGTCGCCGAGAGGCGTCTAGGCAGCTGTCGCGCAGGCAAGGCTGACGTAACAAGGGATAGCGGCGCTAGTTGACTAGCGTGCTTCTTGGCTGCAGGCTGGGGTGGTGTGGGTCCGGGCTGGGATGCGTCGGATGGTCGGAGCCCCAAGCGTCTGCGTGCACTGCGTGGCGGGCGCAGTGACGATGATGTGGCCAGTTGCAAAAAAGGCCGACCGAGCCCGATGCGATGCGATGCACTGCGTTGCGTCACACCACAACACAGTCGTCGACGGCGAAGAGAAGAGAGACGCTGTCGCCTGGATGTGAGCAGAGAGAGGGAGGGCCAGCGAGAACTAGTAAAAGCCTCGCGGAATGAGATGAGCTTGCGCGACACAGGCACAAGGCTCAAAAGGAGCGTACGAAATGAACGAGGCGCAAACGAGTTTCGTGCTCTGAAATCGTGTTGTGTCAGTGTTTGACAGGAGGATGTTATTTTTCTTCGTGCTGCGGGCGGTTGTTTGTGACAGGAATTGTTTTGATTTCGGGGGGTTGCGAGGAATGAATGAGAGGTTTGGGGTTGAATACGGGATCAGTTGGGGGGGTGGCAGGGGGGAGACCGGGGTGTGTAAGAGAGATTGGGAGAGGCAAAAGGGGGAAGGGGCGAGAGTGAGTGCGAATGAATGCGTGAGTGAATTGGCAACCCGAGCGGCAGGAAGGAGGCGCGGGCGCGGGTGCGGGTGCGGGTGCAGGCTGCGCCTGACGAGAGTGCTTGGGGTTGGGAGCTCGGATTTGGCCTGGTTGGGTTGGGGACAGACAATCAGGGCGAGGAAGGGAAGGAGGGAAGGGGGTGAAGGAGCTGCTTGCTGCACCTGCACCTGCAAGTGCGCCTGCAAAGCAAATGCAAATGCAAATACTCGTACGGCACGGGAATCAAGATGGCGGGAGAAGGCGGGTGGGTGAATGGGAAAGTGATGTGATTCGGCTTTCTACTCACCCAAGTTGTGTTGCGCTGCCAGAGCTCGAGAGGGCGACACAAACAGACGGGCAGAGCAAGAGTGTATGGTGATGAGGCCTCTGTTCTTCTAGAATCACCACGAGGGCTCCCTCTGGCGGTGCAGGCGGAAGAGGACAGGACAAGGGCCCTCTGGGTCTGGGGTGGCCTCGACGTGGAAGTGGGCGTGGAGGGAGCGTTTGCAGGGTGCAGCAGCAGCGTAGCCGTGTCGCAAACAGAGCTGAGCTGAGCCGAGCTGAGCAGATCCGAGCAGAACAGGTCTCCCCGTGTGTTTGTCGTGCCTTTCTCCGCGCTTTGCTCTGGGTGAGAACGGTCACGGGCGATAGGGATGACAGGAAGGAGGCAAAGAGGCGCCCAGAGTGATACAAGTGTGGAATACGGTTGTTGTTGAATAAAGGAATGGCAAAATTCGCTGCGCAACGCAAACTATTGAAACACAGAGCTTCTGGGTCTGGTTTCCGGGCGAGAAAGTGCTCGAGGATCGAGCGCAAAAGGGCCTGGGGCTGGGGGGTGGGAGGAGGGAAGCTGGGAGATTGGGAGCCGGGAGAATGGGGGGGAGGACGCCCGACGATTGCTGGGTGGGCTCCTTTGCTGGGTAGGGGGTGGTGGGCGGGTGCGTGGATACGCTGATGGTCTACCTAGGTACGTACTGGCCAGACTGGCTGACTGACTGGGGGAGACTACCTGTCTGGGCCAGAAAGTTGGAAGGATGGGGAATGGGATTGAGCGCGGGTGCGACGCCGATTGCGAGACTGGCTCACGAATGTCACGAATGTTGGAGGAAGAGTGGGCTGGAATGAGCGAACGGGTCTCGTCCGGACGACGGGATTGGCTGTGGGACAGCATTAGGTGGATGATGGCTGAGTTGGATCGCTGGCCCCCAGTCCACGCCCCCGTTGGCTCGCTGGCTCGACACCCGGCTGCATCACGACGGGGTGGTGTGGGACTTGGTCTTACATGGCATGGCATGGCATGGCAACCTTGGTCCTTGCGACGGCAACCAACCTAACAAGCAACCAACCTCGGGGGCCCCCAGCTAAGGAGCTAAGGTTGGCCGGGAAGGGCGTCCTTCCTCTTGGTGGCACGCACACGCACACACGCACATACGCTCACGCACCTCCCTCTTTTCGACGTGCCACGAGTCGGCGCAATGCGTATTACAGGCGATAGTATTTAGACGGGGCACCACTAAGCAATATCGAGATCCATGGGCGCTGCGCTCGGAGCCAGAGCAGAGAGACAGGTGGCGTCGTTTTGTGCACTTGGCTTCTTTCTTGTTCTCGGTCTCGCTGTCTCTGTTGGCTGCCAGGAATGCAGCCCGTCCGCATTTTAGCACATTTGTACGAGCCAGACATATATTGTCATATCCCGTACACAGCTGGAGCTGAGCCGAGCCACGTTAGTGCAGGCTCACCCTCCACCTCGCTTTCTCTGGTGATATGATGTGCATCCGACTAAATATAGATGAAAATGATATAGATCAAGCGTCTCCCAATCCTTCCAAGTCGGCCGCATGCCGTTGAGACCTCCCTGCAGAAACGACCTGTACAGTATCACCCTCGATCCCGTCAATGCTAGCGACGATGGCGTTGCAGAGGCTAGCAACCGATTGACGGCCGGATTCAGAGCCGCGACCCATGTACCAAGTCGGGCCCATCCACCGCATAGTGGCTCTGCAACTCGATGATAAGTTTCAGCCGGACTCGTGGGCTAGAGCAGAACCTACTGGGCACATCTCACACGCCCAAGCATCTGCGTGTATGCTTACAAGGCTGCGGGTCTCGCCCTATCAGTCTCGACATGTGTCAGAGACGTCGCAGCCGGCCACATCCTGGCAGACGAAACAGAGGTACTGCGCGGCATCTGTCCGTGCTTTGAGCTCCCCGGCAAGTCATCGACGTTGACGTTGCGCATTTGCCGGTTTACTAAGCTTGACTATTCAAGCGTCTGAGCAGTTTTTCTAGACTTCGGCAGCGACAAAGAGATGGAGACACTGCTACTCAGTGTTGACCGCATCTCACCTCCTGCCAGGCCTTGTCCACTTCAGACCCAGACTTGAGCTGCAGGCTTCCTGCAGCCTGATGTGAGGCTCAGGGGGTCCCTGTCATTGTATCTGGGGTAAAAGGCCCAGGTGTGGGCCCAGCTGGTTCTCGGCTGCAAGTTGAATCTGATAAGAAACATGCCATGACACAGATATCATGGGATTCCAGGGCTAATCATGCGGTATGTGTAGTGAAGATAAGGATCTTGATTGCTCCTAATTGCTTTGTTCATACGAATGCTTACAAGTTCCTTCAAGATGCCTCACTGCCACCTGACCGTGGTCCTGACCTGACAGCCGACTGTTGCAGCATTTTTTTCTGGTGCAACCTAGAGCTGCAATTCAGCACTAGAGAACAAAGAAAGCTGCATGGGTGCCCTTCTAGCATGTGATGTCGCTGCCAGTAGTGCTTCAGTCCTTGATCAGTTCACACCAAACTTCTAAGCAATTATCCAGAGCTATCTGTGCCTTCAGCTAGAACACACCAAATGCTTCATGACAAGTGTGCCTCTTGCCACTGTTGGAACCTATCAAGTTGCACTACTCATGGGGAGAGACTTGAGTAGCTATGCCTGAACAGCTTCCCTTGCAGTCCTGGGTAATGCGTCTCTTATCGATAAACAATTTTCCCCGGGTGCATTTCTCTTCCCGGGGTGGTGGCGACGCGCCCATCACGCGTACATGACTGCAGTAGGCTCCAAGAGAGTTCTGAGCTCAACCTCAACCCTAATCCAGCCAACCATCTCAACCAGGCTGGTTGCCTGCTACGATCCTGACGGCATTGATCGCAGTCAGCCAATGCATGTTCGATCAACGGATTGCCCGTCTGCCCACCTCTCCACCTGCATACCAAGAATCAATCGAATCGTCACGATGCATTCTGCAGCAGCTTCGTCCAGCAGCGCCTCCCCCAGTACCGCCGGCGCCGGCGGCGCAAAGAGACCAGTTTCGGACATCGACGTCCCCGGAACCGAATCATCTCTAACCAAGACCAATTCGAACAAGAGGCAACGTGTTGGACGTTCGAACGCAACCATCCCCAACACACTGCCCATGCAGCCACACCAGGAGCTTCTGCAAGAACTCACGGGGAAATACAGCATCGCCACTACCTCGGTCATAGCCTCCTCCAAGATCAACAAGAAGGTCACCCAAGTCCTCTCTCACCTCGGCCATGTCGATCTTTTCAGCCAGTCTTCCGTCCCGGGGGTAATGATGGTGCACGCAAGGGCCAACGACGCGAACAAGATGGTCACAGCCATGGAGATCGCAAAGAGGCAGATGAACCAGGCGGGCCAGCCCTGGTACCAGTACAACAGGGTATACGAGGTGGCGGACGGACGCGGCTCGAGAGCCAACACCGCCGGCCAGGGAGCAGCCCAGACCATCATCGAGAACACCGTCCTGGAGGGCGTGGATGCGGACGACGACGACGAGGAGGAGGAAGACGCCTTCGAGCCCGTCGAGAACACCTTCGAGCGCGCGATCCGGGAGAAGCCCGCGGAGGAGTCGAAAACGACCTACATGAGCATCTTCCTCTCGCGGGTGCCGATGCCCGAGCTCCAGTCCAAGGCGTACATTACGCTCCAGACGAACGGGGACGAGATTGGCAGGCCGCCTCGCTCATGAAACGGGGGACTTGAGAGTGTTTGGGAGTGCGGGAGCAGGAACATTTTGCATGCCCTGCACGTTGGCCACGGTGTTTACGATGGACTTGGTTCGGACGGTTTCTTGGCTGTGCATCGGACAAAGCAGGTGCTCGCGAGACGGCCTCTCGCGCACCGCAAGGCGTACATAATTGGAAGGAAGGAAAGTTAGGCGTCACGGAACGTTGTCAATTACGGCCTTGATACCCCCATTAGAGAGGTGGAGACAATGTCTAATCTACCAGATATGACCACACTCATGAGATCATGCCTCTGTAAGCCTTTCGGTAACCATTGCACCATGGACATGAACGTTCATTGTTTCTCCACGAGAGTAAGGCGATAATTGGCGGCAATGACCCAAGTCTAAGATGTGCTCCTGGACCGAGACCATGTCTCCCAAAGGGATAGGATTTTTGGGTGATGTAGGCAGACCATTTAAATTTACGTTGAGCAAAACCTCTAGCAGGTTGAACTGCAGTTGTGAGGATCTCCCAGCTCATACTCCCGTCACTGTTCCCCAACCACGTACAAGAGCTCCGATGCTATTGACTAACGTGGTCTGGCACAAGGTCACAGGAGGGCTTCCCCAGAGGAAATACAGCATACGCGAGCCCCTTCAGCCCATGCCCACAGCCTTCTATATCATTCCATTCTGTAGGACCACGCGGCTCTGGGGTGACCCCTTTCATGGTTTCTAATTGAAAGTACAGCTACGCAGGGCGGCATTACATAGTCACATCACCAAAGTTGGCGTAGGAGGGAAAAAGGAAAAGGAAACAAAATAAGAAACAGCCTGTCGATGTGGGCTTTGAGCTGGGTGAGATTGTTTTCAGGAATAATTTGGACTGCTCCTTCTTCGAAAGCATCCCATTCGCATAGGGTGGATAACGGAGTCGAGGCGAGTCTATGGTTCTTGTTTGAGTTACACCTACCTATCTGTGCCCTTTCAGAGTCTTTCTCCCCCATGGCCTTCAATACCTACTTTTCTTTGTTGTCCACAGTGAATGCTAAATGTTGGCCAGTGTTGCCCTCGGAATATCAGACTGGTAGCCCAGCAAAGAACTTGGGTTTAGTTAATGGCATTCACTTTATAGATATGCTTCTGAAGTGTGCGATGAATGTGCTCAGGTGGAGAGATCTGTCCGACAAAGGTAGAAGGAATCAAATGTATATTCTGTATAGAGAGATTATATTTCTTGTAAGTGGCGGTAACTACCGAATAGTTGAATAAAGAGGAATATGTTGGCAAAAATGAGCTGTGCTAAGTACTTTTTGCATCTAAAAATGCCACAGGACTAAGCCCAAACAAGAAATCCGATATGGAAACAGAATGCTAAGTGCTTTACCAAACAGCTGGAGAAAGAAAAGGTTGCTGTCAGAAAACAAGACAAGTAGAAGATGGTACAAGTAATACATTCTCTCAAATCTACGCTTTTGCCCATTGTGTTCATATATGATGGCTCTATTTGATGGATACTAGTGGCCATTGATGTTGTTGAAGGCATATTTTACAGCACTCCTAGCTGGCTTTGGGTAGCAATGACTTCGTCTGCGGAATAGAAAACCTTGTCTTGTAGAGTTGGAAGCATAGATACATTTCCACTTCGTTCCTGTTTCTGTTCTAAAAAAGTCTTCAAGACATATGTATCGGCCAAGCTTTCTTAGGCGCCTTCGCTCCCTGATAACTCGGGAGCCAAACAAGATTTTTTTAAAGCACCCGATTGCCCACATCGTCCATGTCACATCGCGTAATGTTGCATTTGAATGGTGCTGCTTGCGGTAAGCAGCATTTATGAACAGAATAATATGTGTATTGAGGTGTCGCTTTCTACTGAAATCCCATGCGGGCACGTATAGTCGATGAGGCCCGGATTCTCTCGTGTATCTGCTTTCCCAAGTCGAGGGATGATGCCCTTTCCCATGACAATGCGGGACATCAGGCTGAAAGTCGCAGACGCTCTGCCCGCTGCGGTCCTCCAAGATCCTCCTCCCCGGCCCATTTACGGCGAACCAATGCACGCCGACATTACCTCTACCTGTATTCCTTCCCAAAGCTCGCAGGACGATGCTAGTTCATAAGTTTCCGGGTATCGTTGGTAATGCGTGTCTCTCCTGCGCCCAGTGTTTCACTCCCAGTACTCCCTGCCGCCGTGATCGATTCCGAGTGCCCAGGTCAAAACAAAATCCGAAACAGTGTCGTGTCGATAGCCTTTCCGCTCAGAGGTGCCTGCTCCTCTTCGTACCAGATCCTCCAAAGCTATCCTTTGATTGGCCGAGGTTGCCCAGGTCGAAGAACTCGCCGAGGTTGACTTTCCGCTTCGCGCCGGCACCGTGCCCAAGCCGGTTCACTGCTCGAGGTCCGCTGCGTCCTCCGCTGCCGCCATGCCGTGTTGCTCGGGTAGGGTGACGTGAGACGGAGATGGATGGAGGGGCCGAGTTTGACGACGATATCGAGTGGTCGTGCCCTCGGGCATCAGAAAGGCGTAGGTTCGCCAGGTTCAGGGGCGATGGGGCGTCCTGGGGATAAGGGTGAGGTGAGCGGAAGTCGAATGTCTCCTGCGTAGGGACGACAATCTCGGGCTCGTCGACCGTAATCTCCTGAACGACAGGCGTGTCGGGCTCCGTCTGTGGTTGTGTCTCGACGCGTGTGGTCGGGGTTGGTTGGTGTGCTGTTGATGTGCTGTGGGAACGCTGTATCTCGGGAGATGACATGGGCTCCGGCTTTTCTGCGTCATCGTCGCTCTCGATGACCTGTGGCGAGGTGTCTGTTGTGTCTAACCGCTCATTCGCCCAGGCCCTGATCTTCCAACCCTCGCCGTCGCCGAGACCGAGGTGTTCTTTGTCCAAGAACTGCAGCAGATCGTCGAGACACTCCTGGTACCCATCTGAGCGGGCCTTTGCTTGAGCTGTTATGGATGACTTGTACAGCTTTGTGACGGACAGGGCAGCGGTCCGGAAGACATCGAGCATCTGCTCGGGGGCTTCGTTGGCCATCGCTGGTTTTGGTGTGCAAGAAGTGAAGGTCGTGCTCGATTCAAAAGACTGTGTGTGCGTGCTGGCGGTCGGTGCGAGCGTGTGTACGAGGACAGAGTTGGGTAGGAGTCATATGTATGGCCGCTGGAGGGAAGGCGGGGCGTCGCTAGAAGAAGAGCCGCTGCGATGCGGGTCCTCTTCCGTTGGCAGGGTGGTGGTGGATCAGGCCCGAACAGTTCTGGAAACACCCTTACAGTTCCCTGCAGTGGGTCACAATCTGACGCTCAATCTCGACTGTCGCTCAGCGAAGGAGTGGCCTCGTTAGATAGGAGTTGGAAATTGACATGGCCGTGTCCGCTCAGAGAGTGTCTGTTCGAGGTCTGGGGTGTACACGATAGTACGAGTGAGTGAGGACAGATGGCTGGCAGGTGAGCCGAGCCCCGACGTCTTTCTCTGTGGTTCGGCGGCTTTGAGGCGGGATGGCAGGAGGCCAGGCCCAGGGCGGCACAATGCGGGAATACAAGGTGAACCCAGCATGGACGTCAGCAGCGGGCTTATTTTCCTCACGTGGAGTCCGTCCATCACTCGTCTTTGCCGGCCGGGTCTGGAAGGGAGACGCCCCCAAAGGAGTCCCCCACCAAGCAGCTGGGCAGCTGGCCTTGGCCTGTCGCCTCTCTGCAACCAAAACACCGCTCACGTCATTCGCGGCCGGCCGTTTATTGGCTCTACCGTTTTCGGTTCCTGTTAGCAAGCTTTCTCTTCACACAGACAAGGGTGGGGCAGATTTCGAAAGAGCCTTATCGGAACTCACCCCCACCAAAACTTCAACGTGTATGCTACCTCCTGCTCACCCAAGGAGTCGCTGTGGCTGATCGTCCACACAGATGGGATATAAATGAGTGAGACAAAATGGGCTCCGATCAAGCCACATTTTCCTGACAATCAACAGGAATTCAGAAGCTTCGAATAACCTGCTATAACCTGTATATGAACACCCCTAGCACACGTGGCCGGGGACTTCAACTGTAGGGTGGAATTCAGTTCGGTTTGACGGGACGCGACTAATCAACATCTGCAGGCCTGCAACAACGTCGGATAAGCTCTCAGGATGCAATCATAGTATACCTGAGCCACTCAACGCGATGAGCTCGTCCAACAGGGCCATGTCGCAAACAATTATTCTGGGGCCATATTGATTGTATGTCGCGGTAGAATCTACTAGCAGGAAACAATCATCGTTGGGCATATCGACTCGCTTCAACAGCATCTTGATTTACACGATGGCTACTCGCTAGTCCCAGTGTCAGCCGCGGCAAGTTTCTATAGCAAGACCAGTGTTGCCATGAGGGCCCAAGGAATTCACTTGTATCGAATCCCGAGCATCGCTGGCCTCGTCGACGTGGCGCAGCCCGGGCTCAAATGTCTACATCAGCTTCCACTGTTTCCACCTGTGAGGGTGAGCAATCTATAAACCCCATGTACCAACCGTGGAATGAGAAGTAAAAAGAAGACAGTCCTGCCTAAGAGGGAGCTGGTCGGCCGTACCATCACCCGTGGCCCGAACCCGCTTCAAGCAGTCTTGGGAACTTTAGTCCAAGTGAAGACAGCAGCCGCACTTTGATTGGCGTTCCTGGTGGTCCTTTTTAACACACCCCTGTCCCTCGACTCGCTTTTGGGGGTGCGTTTCTTCTCACCTCAACTCTTCCCAACTTTCCACTGCCTACCTTTTTCCCAAGAGACAGGACCCCTTGATCAGAACCGGCCCCAGAGTCCACGCACCACCTCTGTTCATCACGGAAGCAGTTTCGATCATCAAAACGGACTCCTGACAACCCCTGTCATCTTTTTTTTCGGCGCGTCGAAGCGCGTAATAGGGTATATCTCCCGCGTCGTCTCAACGTATTCACCATGGCGCGACCTCGAGGAGCGCCAGCGAGCGCAAACGACACCGACGCGTCAATGCAGAATGCCTCTGATGACGGAAGGAACGGAAATGACTCTATGGTATGTTCTTTTGGCGACACCTCTACATGGCCATGAGTGGCTGCGCTGCATGGATGCGTCATCACGCGCCAGTAGTTATCCTCCCTTTAGCTAACAAACAGCAGGAGGTCGACGAGACTCCAGACTACACAGACTCCGAAGACCCAAATACGACGGCCAGCAGCGTGATGGGTGAGCCGACAACAGATGGGAGGAGGCGACGTGCCGAGGCAAACCAACTGCGACGAAGCATATTTGGCAAGAAGCATGACAAACTAGGCGAATCACAGGTACGAATACCGGGCGCCCGGTGCGTGGCGCAGGAAACCAGCCGGAATTGGATCTGACATAAATGACAGGAAGACGACTCTCTCCGTCGATTCCGCTACCTATTGGGCCTCACGGACCTGTTCCGCCACTTCATCGAGACGAACCCCAACCCCAAGATCAAGGGAATTATGGAGGAAATCGACCGTCAGAACGCGGAAGAGCAAAAGGCAAAGAAGGGTGCCCGGCGCCAAGGCGGGGCTGGGGCTGAGAGGCGCCGCCGAACCGAAGCCGAAGAGGACGCCGAGCTGCTCAAGGATGAAAAGCACGGCGGGTCTGCCGAGACAGTCTTTCGCGAGTCACCACCCTTTGTCAAGGGCGAAATGCGAGATTACCAGGTTGCTGGTCTGAACTGGCTCATATCCCTCCACGAAAATGGTATCTCCGGCATCCTCGCAGATGAAATGGGCCTGGGCAAGACTTTGCAGACGATTTCGTTCCTTGGCTACCTGCGGCACATCATGGGAATCACTGGCCCACATCTGATCACTGTTCCAAAGTCCACCCTGGACAACTGGAAGCGAGAGTTTACCAGGTGGACTCCTGAGGTGAATGTTCTGGTTCTACAAGGCGCCAAGGAGGAACGACAGCAGCTCATAGCGGATCGCCTCGAGAGCGAGGACTTTGATGTTTGCATCACGAGTTACGAGATGATCTTGCGCGAGAAGTCGCACCTGAAGAAATTCGCCTGGGAGTACATCATCATAGATGAGGCCCATCGCATCAAGAACGAAGAGTCCTCCCTTGCCCAAGTCATCCGGCTTTTCAACTCCCGGAACCGTCTGCTCATCACCGGAACGCCTCTTCAGAACAATCTTCATGAGCTCTGGGCGCTGCTCAACTTCCTCCTTCCTGACGTCTTTGGTGATTCCGACGCCTTCGATCAATGGTTTTCCGCGCAGGACCGGGACCAGGACACCGTCGTCCAACAGCTGCACCGTGTTCTGCGGCCATTCTTGTTGCGACGTGTCAAGGCCGACGTTGAGAAGAGCCTGCTTCCCAAGAAGGAGGTCAACCTTTATGTTGGCATGGCTGATATGCAGGTCAAGTGGTACCAGAAGATCCTCGAAAAGGATATCGATGCTGTGAATGGAGCTGGAGGCAAGAAAGAATCCAAGACGCGTCTCCTGAATATCGTCATGCAGCTCCGAAAGTGCTGCAACCATCCTTATCTCTTCGAGGGCGCCGAACCCGGCCCGCCTTACACCACGGACGAGCACCTCGTGTACAATGCTGGAAAGATGTTGGTATTGGACAAGCTTCTGAAGCGGATGCAAGCTCAGGGCAGTCGTGTTCTGATCTTCTCCCAAATGAGCCGACTTTTGGATATTCTCGAGGACTACTGCGTATTCCGAGAGTACAAGTACTGCCGTATCGACGGCAGCACGGCCCACGAGGACCGCATTGCTGCCATTGACGACTACAACAAGCCTGATTCTGAGAAGTTCGTCTTTCTTTTGACCACTCGTGCAGGAGGTCTGGGAATTAATTTGACGAGTGCCGATATTGTGGTGCTTTACGACAGCGACTGGAACCCCCAGGCTGATTTGCAGGCCATGGACCGAGCCCATCGTATCGGACAGACCAAGCAGGTTGTGGTCTACAGATTTGTGACCGATAATGCGATCGAGGAGAAGGTTCTTGAACGTGCTGCGCAGAAGTTGCGTCTTGATCAGCTGGTCATCCAGCAGGGACGTGCCCAAATCGCAGCAAAGGCGGCGGCCAACAAGGATGAACTGCTATCAATGATCCAGCACGGTGCCGAGAACATCTTCCAGGCCAAGAAGACGGGCGCCGCTCAGGCCGACGCAGCCGCTGGCGACACTGACGTCGACATCGACGCCATTCTATCTGCTGGTGAAGACAGGACCAAGCAACTCAATGCAAAGTACGAAAAGCTTGGCCTCGACGATCTACAGAAGTTCACTTCAGAGTCTGCTTACGAGTGGAATGGGAAGGACTTCACCAGCACGAAGAAGGAAATCGGCATCAACTGGATCAACCCGGCGAAGCGAGAGCGCAAGGAGCAGATCTACTCGATAGATAAGTACTACAAGCAGGCACTGCAAACTGGCGGTCGCACTGCGGACACCAAGCCCAAGGCACCCCGCGCCCCGAGGCAAATATCGATTCAGGACTATCAATTCTATCCCGAAAGGTTGAAGGAGTTGCAGGACCGCGAGACAGCCTTCTACCGTAAGGAGATCGGCTACAAGGTTCCTCTGGCCGACGGCGATGAGGACAACCTCGCCGAGCGTGAAGCCGATCGAGAGGCGGAGCAGCGCATTATTGACGAAGCCGTGCCTTTGACCGAGGAAGAGCAAGCAGAGAAGGCAGAGTTGGCTAAGAGCGGTTTCGAGGAGTGGAACCGTCGTGATTTTCAACAATTCATCAACGGCTCGAACTTGTATGGGCGCAACAACTACGAGGGAATCGCCACGCACTGTCAGAACAAGAATGCTGCCGAGATCAAGCAGTATGCGAAGGTGTTCTGGCAGCGGTATGAGGAGATTGCGGATTGGCAGAAGCACCTCAAACATATCGAAGAGGGTGAGGAGAAGCTGCGCAAGATCGAGCACCAGCGCAAGATGCTGCGCAAGAAGATGTCCATGTACCGCGTACCTCTTCAGCAGCTGAAGATCAACTACTCGGTCAGTACCACGAACAAGAAGGTGTACAGCGAGGAGGAAGACCGTTTCCTGCTGGTCCAGCTTGACAAGCATGGAGTCGACTCTGAGGGCATCTACGAAAAGATCCGGGACGAAATCCGGGACAGTCCACTGTTCCGGTTCGATTGGTTTTTCCTCAGCCGAACATCACAAGAACTTGGGCGTCGTTGCAACACACTCCTCGCAACGATCGTCAAGGAGTTCGAGGATGTGCAGCCCAGCCACAAGGGCTCGAATGGCGTCAACGGCAAGCAAAAGAGAGAGGTGGAAGACGAGGAGAACGATGACGATAGCGTCCTGGGCATGGCCCCTGCGAAGAAGAAGTCAAAGACAAACGGTGTCAAGGCAAGTCCAGTGGCTACGTATTATTCATGAGACTTCCCTTGCTAACAGTGTGTACCCACAGAACAAGGCATTGGACAACGTGAAGTCCAAGGCTAACTCCGCGGCACCATCTCGTGCGTCCAGTGTTGCTTCTACCAATTCGAACGCTGCTTCAAAGGGCAAGTCCAAGGGCAAGAAGAAGTAAGCGGCTCTTCGGGACGGATGACCTTGTAGTGGGCCCTTTGTATGCCTACTATTGTCAATTGTCCCCGATGTTTCCAGAGGGAAGATCTTGGGTTCCAGGAGTTCAGGAGTCTGTAATGTGCGGCGGATGGCTACGTCTTGAGACGCATTTTGGGAGAAGGAGAGAGACAAAAGTACGGCAGTCGAGACAGGCTGATGAGGCGTTTGGTCTGTCATTGATAACCTTTTGTTGGGTGGCTGGCTCAGCAGCGTCTGGGGTTTGCCGGACAAATGAATTGTGACATAGATGCATTAACCACATAGATCTTGTGCACTGCTTAGAGACAGATGCAAAGAAAAGAATGCGACGAATGACTGTTTCATGAAGCCCCGAGTCCCGTTTCATTGGTTCCACGTCGTGATGGACAAGATTATCTACTCTCTGAACATTCCGGGCGTCACCTGAGTGGATCGCCCTCGATATACCTCACCTCGGCCCTGGCCTCCCGAGGTCACAGCGTGCTTTCTCATTCAAGAAATGCCTTCCTGTCAGCCCATGCTTCACCGACCGTTCCGGATATTCGATCGCAGATTCATAGGGCTGAAAATTTTCTAGACCGACTTCCTACAGTCTTCAGAAAAAGTCCACACCCGAGTCATCGCATCCCAAGAAATGACCCTGCAAAAAAGCATTTTCTTGCCAGAAACGCCTGCCTGCCTGTCTATGCTCCCCGAGAAGACTTTTTTCGACAAAAAGACGACTCTCCCGCTTGTCCCTTCCCTCTCCATCTCCTGTGTCTCGATTTCAGCCCGACGCGCAACATGTGCCGATGAATCACGATTGCCTGTTGAGGTGCTCCCTCTCGACCTCGTACAGGAAGTCGTAATAGCCCTTGTCGAAGTGGTGCACTCGGACGTAACCGTCCTCTCCTCCGGACGCGTAGCTCTTGCCGGTGGGGTCCGCTGCCACGGTGTTCTGATAACGCGGGTCAGCATGCAAGCATGACGCCAGCATCAGTTCGTCTCGAAAGGGGGGAACCTACCAAGGGACCGAAATGGCCACGGACACGGCCGACCTCCTCCTCGAAGATCTTGTGGTAGAACCTCGCCTCGAACTTACCCTGCCGGGCGGCGGTGGTGGTGACGTCCATAGCGGCCTGACCACCACCGAGGATGACGAAGTCCTTCTTGGGGGTGATGGTGGCGCTGTTGAGCGGGGTGTCGGAGGTGTAGGTCTTGAGCAGCTCGAGGTCGCGGGCGGAGATGAGCTTTGCGGTCTTGTCCTTGGAGGCGGTGATGAAGTAGGTGCGGTCCTGGCTCCACTGCAGGTCGGTGACCTGGGCGCCGAGGTCGTGCGGGGTGATCTTGTAGATGATGTCGCCGGTCTTGCCGTCGTACTGGGAGACGGAGCCGTCCTCGTGGCCGGCGATGATGTACTTGGACAGGTAGCTCCAGCCGGCGACGGTGGCCTTGCTCTCGTCGCAGACGATGGTCAGGACCTTCTCCGGGTTCTGCTCGGCGGCGACGTCCAGCTTGATGTCGAGCACGACGATGGTGTGGCCCATACGCTTCTCTGTGACGCCCAGCAGCTGGGTGCCGTCCTCGTTGAACTCGACGCGCTTGACGGCGGTGGGGAACTCCCATGTCATCAGGCACTTGCCGGTCTTGACCTCCCACAGCTTGATGGTGTTATCAGCGGCGCCCGAGGCGATGATGGTGCTGGTGGGGTCGACGTCGACGGTCCAGATGGCACCCTGGTGGCCGTGGTAGGTACCGAAGCGCTCGCCATTGTGGGAGAACCAGGCGCAGATGTGCTGGTCCTTTGCTACGGAGAAGATGAGATCGCCATCGCGGTTGTATCTAAGGGATGGGGTTGGAGAGGTCAGCAGGGGCGTCGTCGACTACACGACAGCCTGACCTGGTTCACCCTGAAAGTGGCCAGGCCAAGGCTCATGTTTGCGGTTTGCGACTCGGGGTGGTGGTCTGGGTGCAGGCGTACTTGATTTGGGTCAGGGCTCTTTCGTGGCCCGCCAGAAGGATAGGTCTCATGGTGGCGGTTTGTCTGGTTGTCTCGTCTGTGGTCGGGTTGGGGGTAGGAACTCGATAAATTCGTGGCCGAGAAGACGTGTCGTGGGCGGGAGGGAGGAGGGTTATTATGGATTATTTTCAAATCGAGCCAGGGCAGATGGTTGTTCTTTGATTTAGGTACAGGCAGGAGGGCGACGGCGGCGGAGACAAAGCTGATGGCCCCACCTGCTGTCGAATTATTTCTGTGCCCAGTCACCACCACCAGTCACACGCTAGGGAGGATCGCTCTCGAGCATGGGTTGGCTGCATGGGATTCGATGGCGGGGCTCAGCCTGGTCGAACCCCCCCAATCGCCCCCCTCCGAGAGCACGCCCCCCTCCCCCCTAACCCCAGGTCAAGCTCAGACTTGGAGTCATCCGCCATCTGAAAGAAGCGACGACAAGGTACGGAGTACGTCAAGGTCTCCGATTTGGTCGTGTAAATTGGCATCGCATCGAGTAGTCATGGCCCGTCTGAGCGTGATGCGGACGGCTCACCGTGCTCCTTGGACATCTCGTAATAGGGTTTCCAACAATCCAATCGGTTCTTGTCGCAGCTCAGGATGAGGCTGGCCGTGTCTGAACGCTACCGTTTCCTCCGTTGCTCTCTACCTGTTCTTGTTGACGCTGTGACATAATATCCGCCGGACGGTGGTTGACACGGCGAGTTGGTTTGACAAAACACCAGCCTGTTCCCAACTTCGTTCCTTCTCTTGCAGACTCAGCAGCTGTACAACTATTTTCCTGTTATCATTTTCGTCCAATTTGCCCTTCCAATCTGGATTTGGAAAGAATCGAAATTCGCGACAAGTCACGCCAACGAGTCACGATCGATGCACTACTGCTCCTGAGTCACCAAGACTAGGCAGGCACCTACGAGACCAGAGCAACAAGAGAAGAGACGAGACACGGTGCAGCAGTATCAGCTGTACTTTGGGCTAAGGTAGAGTCGTCGCATCGCCATCGCACTAGGCCCCAAAGGATCGGCCATCATCCAAAACCCACAGTCACAGTCATGGCGTCCATGTTGTCTCGCGCCGGCAGCAGTCGGTGCTTCTCAAAGCAGTCGCACCTATCGCTGCAGAGGTCCCATCAGAGACTCCAGCAGGCGCCGACGCGTAGAGGCGGTCTATGCACGAGTCGTCCCTGGCGTATTCTTCCTATCAGCTGCAGCTGTTGTCATCAGGGTCCCTTGGCGAGCAATTCGGGCCCCGACTCCGCCTGTGTGAATGCTAGACACCGAGCCTCAGCCGATCCTGACCAGCACCGCGTCCGCCCTGCTGTCACCCCAGCGCCCCTGGCAGCCCGAACCCCGCGATTTTGCCCGCCTGCGCCGATTCGGAATACCACCACTTTGTTTTCTGCCTGTCCCTTCACCTCCCCATACTTTTTGACCTCGACCTCGAGCTCGATCTTTCCACTCGCCCTCCACAGCACAAGGATTCCCCCCGCCTCGCATACTGTCCGTCCTCCTGCTGTTGGCAGCGACTCACTTGACCTTGGCAAGGCGTCCTTCTCAACGTCCAGACCAGTCATGACCGCCCAGAAGATCGATGGCACTGCCATCGCGAAGAGTATCCGGGCAAGGTTGCATTCCGAGATCCAAGAGAGGAAGAAGGCAAACCCGAAGTACATCCCTTCGTTGAATATCATCCAGGGTATGTCTTCACAGCGGGAAATGCACACACTGCTCGAACTGGTCCAGACTCGATTGCTGACTTTACTGGCCTTGGTTTCAAGTGGGTGACCGGACTGATTCTTGTAAGTCTTGCACCCACAAATTCTCCAAGTCGTCACATGCCAGGCACTAAGTCTTCTCCAGCCACATATGTCCGCATGAAGCTCAAGGCGGCCGAGGAGGTAAGCTGGAGCCAACCGATCGGACTGTAGTAGTGTCGCCACTCACGATATTGGAATATAGGCCGGCATCTCATGTGAACTCATCCATCTGCCTACCGACATCACGGAGGCAGAGCTCCTCCAAGAGATCTACAAGCTGAACAACGACACTTCCGTCCATGGAATCCTGGTCCAGCTTCCAGTCCCAGATCATATATCTGAGTATGCCATCACCGCGGCAGTCATTGCCGAGAAAGATGTCGATGGCTTCGGCCCTGAGAACATCGGTGAGCTCGCAAAGCGGACTGGCCACCCTCTCTTCACCCCATGCACTCCCAAGGGTGTCATGGTCCTGTTGCGAGAGTCTGGAGTCGACCTCAAGGGCAAGAATGCCGTCGTCGTGGGCCGAAGTGACATAGTCGGTGCCCCGGTCAGCTATCTTCTCAGACATGCTGACGCCACCGTCACGGTCTGCCACTCCAAGAGCACAGACCTGGAGGCTCATCTCAAACAAGCTGATGTCGTCGTCGCCGCTCTTGGGCAACCAGCCTTCATTAAGGGATCTTCGCTGAAGCCTGGTGTGGTTGTCATCGACGTTGGAACAAACTATATTCCTGACTCCACCAAGAAGTCTGGCCAGCGTCTCACCGGCGATGTTGAATTCGAGTCAGCATCCGAGGTGGCCTCCTTCATCACGCCCGTGCCAGGTGGTGTAGGCCCTATGACTGTAGCAATGCTGCTGGAAAACGTTGTTGATTCTTGCACGCACTATTTCGAGAAACAGAAAAACAGGAAGATTGTGGCCCTGCCATTGAAGCTGAAGGAGCCTGTCCCGTCGGACATCGCAGTGTCCCGAGCCCAGACCCCGAAGCAGATCACCCGCGTGGCTGGCGAGATTGGAATCGCTCCAGGAGAGCTTGAGCCTTATGGTGCACACAAGGCCAAGGTTGACCTGTCCCTGCTCAAACGTCTGGACCATCGCCGAAATGGCAAGTACGTGGTTGTCACTGGCATCACACCAACGCCCCTCGGCGAGGGCAAGTCGACCACGACTATGGGCCTTGCGCAGGCTCTTGGTGCTCACGTCGGCAGACTGACATTCGCCAACGTACGCCAGCCCAGTCAGGGCCCAACGTTTGGAATCAAGGGTGGTGCCGCTGGCGGCGGTTACAGCCAAGTCATTCCCATGGATGAGTTCAACATGCATCTTACCGGAGATATCCACGCCATTACGGCAGCAAACAACCTCTTGGCCGCTGCCATCGAGACTCGTATTTTCCACGAGAACACCCAGAAGGATGGCCCTCTGTATAAGCGTCTCGTGCCGGCAAAGAACGGAAAGCGAGTATTCGCTCCTGTCATGTTCCGCCGGTTGAAGAAGCTCGGCATCGACAAGACCAATCCCGACGACCTCACCGAGGATGAAATCCACAGATTCGCGCGATTGGACATTGATCCAGAGACAATCACCTGGCGACGTGTACTCGATGTGAACGACCGTCACTTGCGAGGCATCACCGTGGGAACGGCGCCAACTGAAAAGGGCCAGACTCGTGAGACGGGCTTTGATATTTCCGTGGCCAGTGAGTGTATGGCCATCCTGGCCCTCAGCACCGACCTCCAGGATATGCGGGAGAGACTTGGTCGCATGGTCGTTGCCACATCAAGAGGTGGAGATCCAGTGACTTGCGACGACATTGGTGCCGGTGGAGCTCTGACTGCCTTGATGAAGGACGCCATCAAGCCCAACCTTATGCAGTCGCTGGAAGGGACGCCAGTCTTCGTCCATGCGGGCCCCTTCGCCAACATCAGCATCGGAAACAGCTCCATTCTCGCCGACAAGATGGCGCTCAAGCTAGTGGGCACAGAGCCTGACGAGGAGCACGAGGCCAAGGCCGGCTTTGTTGTCACCGAAGCCGGATTCGACTTCACCATGGGCGGCGAGCGGTTCTTCAACATCAAGTGCCGAACTTCCGGCCTCGTGCCCGACGTCGTCGTCGTGGTCGCCACTGTCCGTGCCCTGAAGGTCCACGGCGGTGGCCCACCGATCTCCCCAGGAGCAGCTCTGCCACAGGTATACAAGGAAGAGAACGTCGAGGTCCTGCGCAAGGGCTGTGTCAATCTCAAGAAGCACATCGAGAATGCCCGTGCGTACGGCGTCCCTGTAGTTGTTGCCATCAACAAGTTCGTCACCGACACGGACGCGGAGGTCGCTGTCATCCGAGAGGAGGCCATCGCGGCCGGTGCGGAGGACGCGATTCTGTCTAACCACTGGGCTGAGGGTGGCAAGGGTGCCATCAAGCTCGCTGACGGTGTCATTGCTGCGTCTCAGAAGCCAAAGGACTATAAGCTGCTGTATGAGGTCGAGGGCAACACTGTCCAGGAGCGCATCGAAGCTATCGCCAAGAAGATGTACGGTGCGGACGCGGTCGAGTTCAGTGAGCTTGCGCAGAAGAAGGTCGACACGTACACGAGGCAGGGCTTTGGCAACCTGCCCATCTGCGTAGCAAAGACGCAGTACTCGCTCTCGCATGACCCAGAGTTGAAGGGTGCTCCGACCGGTTTCACTGTGCCTATCCGGGATGTTAGAATGGCAGCTGGCGCCGGGTACCTGTAAGTCCACTTCCTTGTTACGATGTGTGATTGTGTGATTGTGTGCTGACATGATGCCGCAGTTATGCCCTTGCTGCTGACATCCAGACCATTCCTGGCCTGCCGACCGCACCGGGTTATCTCAACGTCGACGTCGACGCCGAGACGGGCGAGATCGACGGTCTGTTCTAGACGACTTGGGCCAAACTACCAGCACCTCTTTTCTTTTATCGGAAGCGGGACTATCTACGATCTCACTCAACGTGACGATTCAAGTGTGAGCGGATTGGGAAAAGGCGAACGGGACATAGAGACATGGCATCTTTCAACACTGGCGCTGCACGGCGGAGGGAGACGGACTCAAAGATGCAAGACAAGACAAGCTTGTGATGATACCTCAACTGCATGACAGCATATTGTTAATACCAATAAAATAAGTTCAACACCGAGTAACAACTCAGACCGTCGGCCTTAGCGTTCTTAAGGAACAGCATCGGTGGCACGTGCAAGAAATGTAGAAAGCCACGGTGGCAGGAAGGATGTCAAGCCAGACGTATATTCATGAGGGAGCACGTAGGGAAATAAACCACAAAGAGTGAAGAATCCTTCAACTCAGACCACTGCCGGATTACGTGTCTATGAAGAGCAGCCAGCCTCGGGGCAACTCTTGGCCGTACGAGAACAATTGAAACAGTGTACTTTGACTGTTCAGTCCCCAGCAGATTAAGAGCACTGGGGAGTCACAGCTCGAGAGGAGGACAATGGAAGGGCAATCGAAGTTCGATTTTCGAGGGTTTATCCCTTAGTGTTGTCTGGGCTGTACCGTTCTACTTCGTTTCACAGCGTAGGTAGGAATCAAGGCCAGTCTTTCTAGCAAGCGAGCCTTCCTGGCACCCTCCCAGTAATGTGCAATTCAGAGAGCTGCGTCTACTCATGCAACGCCGCCCCAGCCCTCAAGGCCACCTCAACAAGGGCTGCCTCTCGCCGACCGCCCCGCGCCGCCTCTCGAGGGTGTGAGACAGTTGGTAGGCGGCATACGTCAGCACGCCGGCGATGAACCCCACGGCGTCGTTCTTGAAGGCCAGTATGCCGGCGGTCGTGACCAGCATGACGGTCCACCTCTCCTGCCTCTCCTCGTCCGAGATATCCCGGTGCCTCTTCACCACGCGGCCGACGCCGCCGAGGCCACCGCCGTCCCCTGCGTTGGCCGAGATACTATCCTCCCACAGGTCGGGCGCCCCGTGGTTGAGGCTCTGCCCGACGCGCGCCAGCTCGAGCCCCGCCGCGGCGACCATGATGCCCAGGATCGACTTGGGGAACGAGCCGAGCAGGTCCAGCAGCGTGGCGCCGAGGAAGAGGCCGAGGAATAGCTTGAGCGCCCCGAGGAGGATGATGCTCGCGCCGCTGCGGGCGCCGAACCGGTGCTGCGCCGCCAGCCCGCCCGCGCCGTGGCACACGGGCATGGCGCCGAACCAGCAGCCCAAGAGGTTCATGGCCGCCACCGAGAGGCCCAGCTCCGTCACGGTCGGCGTGCTGCCCGGGAAGGTGGGGCCCATGAGGTCGGATGCTAGTGCCGCGGCTGCGATGACCGAGTTAAGGGTGGTAAGCGGCAGCTGTGCGATGGCCATGGACCAGGCTTCAGCACTCCCGAACCCGGGGATGATGGTGTAAGGGTGCCAGACCTCCCAGCCCGGCAGGTGTCCGTGGCCGGCACCCGCGGAAGTCGCGACAGCCACGACGGCGAGGATCAGACCAACTACGAAGACGACCAGCGCGTAGGGGAACCGCGGGGCGCGGGCCGTGAGGATGAGCAGCAGGAACGCGGCGAGGGCCCAGACGCGGTTGTCGAGAGGGTTGTGGGCGCCCCAGCCCAGGCGCGCGAGCATGCCGGAGCCGGCGGAGAGGACGAGCGAGAGGCCCGCGCCGAACTGGATGCCCTTAACCACGGGCACCGGCGTCCACACGGCAAGCCGGCGAAGGAGGCCTGTCACGCTGAGGAGCAGGACGGCTGCGCCGACCAAAGCGCCCGCTGCGAGGGTGTCGCGTTGGCTGGCGTGTGAGGCCAGGGCTGCGGCGGCGATGGCCTTCACTGTAGCGCAAGAATCAGCTATCAAGGACCGAGGAAGTATTTCATATCATTAGAGGGAGGTTTAGGTCATTGTAGCCCGTCTCAAATATGCAGCCTAACAAGGCGTTTTGAGATTCACGCAGTTGACAGCAGGCTTATTCTTGAGAGGGTTAAATCGCACCCGGGGGCTGCTTACTCGGCTGGACCGGCAGCGGAAGACCGAAGGCGGCACCGGTGGCGATGTTGAAGAGGCCCGAGAAGACGAGCGTGCTGGGCAGGGAGACGGAACCCTGGAGGGCAAGGGCGATCATCAGCGGAAGGAGGGTGCCGAGGTCGCCCAGGGCGCCTGAGATCTCGGATAGGGGCGCATGGCGGATGGTCCGGAGGTTGTGTTTGGTGAACTTGGGGATGTCTTTCGGGGCCATGCTCGACGGAATAGGGAAGAGTCGAGATGTCACTTGATGTGAGGACTTTTAGGTGTATTTGTGTGTTTGGTCATGTGGCCTTACGCGAGAAATCTATTGATGCTATGCAGAGGGAACAAAATGGTATCTAGATGCTCGTGATGCTGCTATTGTGAATGCTGGGGTGAGAGGTTGAGATGTAAGAAGTGAGGTTCAAGACGGGCAGCCGGTTGCCGGAAGGAGATGTCGGAGATGCCAGTCATCGCGTCGTCTGACGGATGGGGCGCGATTGCCGCAGCCCCGTGACAGAATGCCCTGCCCACCCTTGATCTGGCGTCCAGCCAGCCAATGTGCCGGCCAGTGACATTTACGAAATGCGTGGGACGAAGAAAGTCACACGGTTATCTTCCACGTGGGGGCTATTCTCGTTACAAGATTCGCCCAAACAATTTACACATGTAGCGGCTTGAACCCTTGGGTTCCATGCTGCAAGGAAGAGGGTACAATAGTGGGGGTGTAAGTCCTTCTACACAAGACAAGACATATTTATGTGCACACCAGCATGTATCCTCACTTAGAATCTACCACGCAGGTCACTAGCAATTACGTAGAATACCGAGATTCGCACCTGAAAAACGGAGGGTAACACTAGTACATCGCCAGCACTAAACCACATGAGAATTCATATTCCCAACACCTACAGCCAACAGCCAACAGCCACGCCCAGTTCACACACCTAATTTTATTTACCTAGGTATGTAGAATAGGTGTGTAAATTAGGTATGTAGGTATTAGGTACATAGGTGTTGGGTGCATAGGTGTGTGGGTGTGGGAACTGCTCTGATTGACTGTAGCTATGGTGAGAGTTGATGTCCCGGTGTACCCTCCGTTTTTGCTGGCGCGAATCTCCGTATTCATTATGTATACTCTTGAGGCTGTAAGGGACCGGAGTCAGAGTCCTTCGGCACTGTACCTACATCATGCTTGGGCTTGGGACAAATCGTAGTATGGTCCACACCAGTGCAGTTTTCACATTTTTGACAGCAAATTATAGTAATACGCAAGTGGTATACAGCTTATATAGCAAAACATAAATGCAGCATAGGTATAATGCGATGGTATACAAAGTGATGCAAGGCGCTCAAACCCCGTACGCCAGTGTGGATATCTTCTGTCCCATCCTGTCCCGTCCCATTTGCCTCCAACACACCCTTTAGGGGCTCTCGCAGTCATCACCCTCCCATTAATTCATTGCCAACTCTCCCTCTCAAGATTGACCCCCAACTCTCCACCAGTCCCTTAGAACCACCTGCGCCTGCGGCGGGTCGTCGCTGGGGCGCCGTAGTCGGACTTGGGGATGGTGGAGGCGCGGTTCCTCCGCTTGTGCAGGCGCGCCGAACAGCACGTGAAGAAGACGATAATAGCGCCGAGTAGCGAGCAGATGCCGGCGACCAGGACCGTCCAGATGCCGACGCTATAGTAGGCGTGCGAGTCGTTGTTCTGGTCGTTGACGTTGTCGCGGATAATGGCGAATAGGACAAAGTCGCAGATAAGTACGACAACCGTCACCACGAATGTGACAAGTGATGTGAAGGCGGCTAGGAGTGAGCCGAAGAAGCCGGAACCCAGGGCCATAAGGAATGCCAGGAAGGCAATACCGGCAGCAACTGGATGCAGGATCATGACCTTTGTGAGGCCATCTGGGATGGGTTAGTGACCTGTTCTGGATGCCCAGGCGACGGAATATTGGCTAGGTTCAAGTATCAACACGTACGAGTGACTTTGCGGCTATAATCCGAGTAACTGGTCTCCTCAATGTCGGTCAAGACGTCGGCTGGGCGGTAGCCAATAGTGTGGCCTGAGCAGGCATCACGCGAATCATCGCTGGGGCAGGCGTATGTTAGCAAGTGTACTCTGGGAAGGATGAGGGAGGCGTATAAACATACGCGGTGTTCAGCACGCAGTAGCCGAATGTGCCAAACGACACTTCCGAGTAGTGGTCATTCGTGGCATTGCTCAGCTTGACCTTCAGCAGGCCGATGTCATTCACGACAGGCGCCGAAATGGACGTGACAATGAGCAGGATTGTTGCTGCCAGCAACAAAAAAGTGCCGATATGGTGGAAGAATCCTGTAACCGCCATTATTGTCGACGGGAGTCTTGCCTTAGCAGACGCTTGGCTGGGTTGTGGTAGTTTATTCGCAACGATGCCGTTGGAACAAATCTAGAGTTGATCGGGATGGCCTTGGGAACACATGTTCGTCCGGAAAACTCAGGAGAGCTGGCCCATCATATAGATAGGTATGGCGGCAGCACGGTCGACGGGGCAGGGGTTGCAAGACCCTGTGAATCAGGATCTGGGGTAACCGGCACAGCAACGACAGGGAGCCAGGAGCAACCGCGACGTCATCGGCGTGGTTGTAATCACTTGGGGGCGCACCAGCAATCCCATGTCGCACAGCAGCACTGGGGAAATTGGCTGATCTAGACCACTCTCGTGACGTTGCGTCGCAGGCTCGCAGGCTCGTGGGTTGAGTGTGTTAGTCCACGGCTGAGCTCAGTCCTGTTTTGATCCCCTGTCGGCCGCACTGGTGGCTGCAGGGTGGGTGACGTAGGGTCGCATTTGGCCGCGGCCTGGTTGGTTCTAGATCCCCCCCTGCACAGGCACATGGGCAGATGGGCTCCCTTGAAGCGCGATGCCCTGATTTCAGGTACCGAATGACGGCAGACCACCCAATTTGACCCCAGGTCACTTTCTCTTCGTTAATCTTGTCGCCTTCCCGTTCCGCGTAACCGTGGTTCCCTTGTGCTGCAGAGATCCAAGAGATAGCCGGCGATCCACAGGGACAATTGGCGTTCCTCGTAGCACACGAGTTTTGTCGCGTGGCTGACGTGTAATCTGATTGATCCAGAGCCATTGACCCTTGCGAATAGCTCGTGAACTTGGGCTGGTGCTGCCTCAACCGCCGGTCGTGAAGGCTCGATTGAGCATCGCATATACCAACCCAATCCAATCCAATCTCACCTCTCGCCGTCTATCGGCTCTCTTGGTGGTTGCGGCAGCTTGACGTTGTCAGCCTGGCTGTTGAGGACAGACTTCCATAGATACCGGTCCCCTGGGACGTCCTTCTTAGCGATCTTGCTGTGCTTTCCGTCTGCCAGAGGATTCAACTTGAAATGCGTGCGCCGGACCCAGGCCGGGCCCTTGGGCGGAGGATCTGATGGCCCAGCCTCCCGAGCCGAATCGGTGCTGTCCCCATCCTGAAGGTTTGACGCCGTCTCTTGCGAATCTGACATGTTCATAGACGCGCACAGCGCATCCAGGCTCGTCACGGCCGCGAGATCGCCGCCCGGCTGGGCCTGCGGCCCCTTGCCCCCGGCCCTCCTGCGCGCCTGGCGCTCCTTGATGTGCCACAGCCTGGCGTCCGCCGCCTGCGCCCTCATCGACACCGGCTCCCCGGACAGCTGGCCCCCCGTGTGCCAGTCGCACAGGCCCGCGCGGGCGATGGTCCCGGGGACGACGTCCCTGAGGGCCAGGAACACAAAGTCGCGGTCCTCGCGGCGCGTCTGCGCCGAGTCGGTCTTGGGCCACGGCCCGTGCGGCGACAGCCTGATGTTCGTCTTGTGCTCGTAGTAGCTCTGGCTGGGGTTGATGCGCATCGTAAAGGTCTTGACGATGTCGGTTGGCTGCGGCTCGGCCTGTTTCGCGACGCGGGCTTTGGCGCCTCTGCTGTCCTTCTCTTGGTGTACCTTGATGGGCGACGCCACGCCGATGGCGTGCATCCCAGGCTTGGTTTCTTCGTCGAGGGACTCTGCCGTCTCCGAGACGAATTTGAAGGTGAGGGGGCTGCGCTTGATCAACTCGGTCGCATGCTCTGTCTTGGCCGGGGCGCAGACAAAGGTCTCGGGGCTCTGTGAAAAGACACGTCAGCTGCGGCGGCGGGTGGGGTTGTGGGCGAAGACAACTGACCGGAAGCCTCTTGAAGACCTCGATTGGGCCGTGCCGTTTGAGGGCGTGCAGGACAGCGCGGCGTTCGGACAGGTTCGTCGGGGCCGGAGAGACGTTGACGAAGAGCGACCGAGCCCTTATAAGCTCGATGGCCTTGCTGCCGAACCAGCCCGAGGCCATTGCGCCACCACAAAATGGGCAGCTGATGCAATGGAGGGCCCAGCCGCTGTTGTGCGGCTGTCTTGAAAAGGGAAAGGTGGTGGTTGTTGGCGGGCACGGAGAAAGAGCAAAGGCTTAAGCTGAACAAGAGTTCGGATGGAAGCTTCTGATTTCGAGAACGCCCCAAGCTTGGCGGGCAGCGGGGCCGAGAACGCTCCGGGCTCCGGGGTCCACCAGGGGCCGGTTGGGCATGCCGACATGTCTGGACCTCGTCTCTACTGTATACATTCCTACCTATCCCAGTCTCTCCCAGGTCATCCCAAACCATCCATCCACCAGATGAGATGAACACTGCACAGTCTGGAGCATATATTCTGGCCAGAGTTTTTGCATACATTCAAATGTATATTTGCGCCATTATACCATCATCTAACTAAAGTGATGACACCTCGTCTTTCTGCTCTTGCTCACTCCACGCAATCCTGTAACATTCAAGACGACAATTCACCATTTTGAACTTAGGGACAGTCAAGGGAAAGAATGAGGAAAAAGAATACGGAGATTCGCACCTGCAGAAGCGGAGGGCTCACCGGTACATCACCCCAGAGTGCATCACCCAGGTATGATTCGCACGCCCACGCACCTACACATCCAACACTCAACACCCAACACCCCACACCTACACACCTAGTTCACACACCTAATCTACATAGCTAATTCACATGCCTGGGGCTAATTAGATGTGGTAATTAGGCATATAAATTAGGTAGGTCTTAGGTATGTGAATCAGGTGTGGGCGTTTGGTGTGGTCATGTGAATTCTTATATAGTTTGGTGCTGGCGATGTGCCAGTGTACCCTCCATTTTTGCAGGTGCGAATCTCTGGTTTCAAGGAAAATGACCTGAAATTGATGATGGTATTGATCCTTTACTCCGTCGCCGCCCGAATGCCCTTGCTTATTTATTACCCAACGCTGTACCAGCGTTTCCTCCTCAACTCTCTCATCATCTGCTTCATTCATCCATCACGCCTCACACATCTCGCACGCTCGCTCATGCAGTCCAGTCACACCACCCAGCCCAACACCAACAGCCAGCAGCCAACAACACTCTTTCGTTCTTTGACCGCCCAGACACCAAGAGAAACCAAGATGAAGAAAAGCACGCCCGCCCCAGGAAAAAAGAGATAAACCAATTGATTTTACAAAAAAATGCTTTAGATGACGATGCCCTCCTGCTTCAGCCGGTCAACATCAACCCCGGCCTCGGCCATGGTCTTGACCATCGCCTCGCTGAGCTTCCTCTGCCGCTCCATCGCCTCCTTCTCCCGCCTCGCCTTGGTCTTGGAGCTCCCGCTCGGCGCCACCCCGGTCATGAGGACTCCGTGGTCGTTGGGCGTGTAGTTCACGAACCCGACACCGCCACCACCACCGCCTCCCCCTCCTCCTCCGCCGCCCGACGAGCCCCCTCCGCCGGACCCGTCCCCCGCAGAGGACGAGGTGGACGTCGTGCGCTTCTGGCCCCGCCACGACGACGTGCTGCGCCGCTTGCGCACCGCGTGCGTCTGCGCGTCCGTCGTCGGCACCGTCATGATGTCGCTCGCCGACGCCCGGTGGTGCAGGCTGCCCGCGCGCCGCCCCGCCGACCGCGACCGCCGGCCCCCGGGCGTCGGGCTGGGCGACGACGACGAGCAGCTCGGCTGGCGCGTCTTGCGCGGCGAGATCGACGCCGGCCCCATCGCCCCGCCGCCGCCGGGCCCGCCGGCAGGCCCCATGTGGTGGTACCTCGCGCCGCTCGACGGTGCCCGCGGCTTCGGCCGCCGCTGCGTCCCGCCGTAGTGCCCGTGGTCCGTGTACGGGCCCCTGAATGAGTGCATGTTGTGCTGTGGTGTCGTCTGCTCCGGGAAGGGGTACTGCGGGACGTTGGGCGGGTGCATCGGCCCCACGTTCGAGGACAGCAGCGGCGCCGTGCCTGGTGTCCGCGGCTGAGGCATGTGGATCATCAGGCCGCTGCTGGCTAGATCGTCGGACAGCGGGGTGTGGTGCTGGCGGTTGTCTTGCACGTACGGAGGCACCTGGATGGTGAGGTTGTGGAAGTTCCGCGTCGAGGCGTGGGCGTCGTCCGCGGGCGCCGCCCAGTCGAGGTTGCTGCCGCTGTCCGATGACGGGTCGAAGCCCCATGTGTCCATGCTGATCCCGTCTGCAGAGAGAAACGACGTGGTGTCTATTCCCGTCGTCGTGCCGAAGCTGCTATCCAAATTCCACGTCTCGCTCGTGTTGAAGAACTTCGCGAGGTCATCCTCCATTGCGTGATCGGTCTTCATGTCGGGGGTGTGCGATGGCGTGTTGGGAATATTGCAGTTCTGGACGTTGCCCTTGCCGACGACCTGCGCCGCAGGGGCGAGACCGATCGAGTGGTTAAAGGATGCAGCAGGATCGAAGAAGGGGTCATCGAGATATCCGTTTCCAAATGTCGCCGCGTCACTCGGTTGGAGATTGCTCAGATCTGTCAAGGGCGGCGAGATAGGGAGACTGTCCCAGCTGAGCGAAGCTGCCTGACTCTCCGAAGCAAGCCTCCTCGTGGCCTTCTTGGCCGATTCAACATGTGAGGGTGTCATGGTCTGAGGGATGGGAGCCGTGCTTGGGTGCTGCTGCTGCTGCTGCTGCTGTGGCGGCGGCGGCGGCACTCGCCCTCGGGAGTGCCCTCCGACGGCCCTCCTGATGGTTGAATAAATCGTCTCAAACCGCTTCGACTTGTGATTGCGGGTGCTCTGCGCCAGTTGGTCGAGATTAACGCCCTCATTTATCCCAGCAATGTTATGAGCCGTCGTGGTTGGGGCACAGTCCTGCAGCGGCGGCGGCGTGGGTGGGATGGATGGACCAGATGTCTGCTGAGCTGCCACACCACGGGGCGAATTCACCGATAAACCTTCGATCTGGAGCAGCTCCGAGTCTGTGATCGAGCCACCCGCGGCCTGGTCCTGCCCGCGCCGGCCACTAAGAAGCCGCCGCCTTTGTTCGAGCGCGTCGGGGTTAAGCTGCCCTAGCACGACGTGGTGTGTTGCCTCGCCGTGGCTGCCGCTGGGTCGCTCGGGGAGTCTGCCGCGGAGCGGCTGGTGGTGTGCGGTCTCTGCTAATGAAATAGCTTTCAGAGTGTCCTCGACCGAGAAATTCGACGTTGTATGCGATACATCTGGTGCAGACCCGTTGGTGGAGGACGCGCTGGTGACGGCCTCCGTGACAGACGACGTGGGTGGCGAGAAATCGTCCTCTCCTTGTCCACCTTGCAGCGGCATGAAGAAGCTTGCACCGAGACCGCCCGAGTCTGCCCCATCCATGACCACATACTGGTCAAAGAAATCGCTGGGGGAGCGCGGGTCTTCGGAGAAAGTTCCCGCAGCTGCTGGGCCAGTAGCGCAGGAGATCTGCCAGAACTCGTCTTTGTCTATTGAGTAATCCATGGCTCTAGCAAAAGCCGTGTCTGATTCGGGAGCCAATGTCATGTCCCGCGGTCCCTCCGAGGTGATATTTCGAGGTTGAGTTGAGCGATAGCTCGATAGCTTCTAGAGCTGCCCAGCTCCTGTTTGTGGCCAATTGGCTGCCTTTGTCGTCAGTGGATGTTGGTTTTATATCTTGAGGAGCCAACCGTCCGTGGTTTGTCGCTGCGGTAGGAGCGGCGCCCGGGGAAGCGGTTGGAAGGAAGAATTGCCGCTCAGGAAAAAGTATGTCGTGCTGAAAAAGAAACTTTTAATTGTGTAGAAGGCTGCTGTATATGGATGGGTAAATAGATGCTTTCCTGCTATATGCCATGGCAACCAAAGATATGCAGGGCTGATCTTGTGTTGGTTGCTGTACGAATGCGTGGATGGCAACAGCTGGAATGCAGCCCACGCACTTGAGCCTCAAGTGGTGAGCACCTGCATCCTGCGAAGATTCCTCGGGCTTCCCCAGATAGATCTATCTTTTTGATAGCTTCCTGGATGCAGTCTGGGAGCGCCCCAAAGTTCCTCCCTTGGCCCATCCGACCTGGGTGAGCCACGGATCGGAGCACCATGTTCGAATGCACAAAGAGGCGAGCACAAAGACTGATGATTTTCCTTTGTGAATGACTTCGAAAACTCCATTTTTCGGGCCCAGGGGGCGTTATTCCAGGCGAGCATACCTTGCCGGCGAAGAAGCGGAAACCCTCCGACCAGTGTACTTTCGTCCAATGCGTGGAATGGGCGTCAATTTGGGGTCCCCGTGGACAACACCAAAGGGTTGAAACATGGCCTATGATATTGTACCACCGCCGTTGATAAAACCGCCCCACCATGTACCTGAACTACTGCAGATGCAGACACAGATGCGGTCTCGAACCCATGCGCCTGATAGCTGGTACCAACTGTTCCGAGGCTGCAAGGCTGTCATCCTTTTGACTAGTGTCACTATCTGGGACCATGTCAGCCAGATCAATCACAACCCCTTAATAGAGGGTGTAGCTTATTTGGTGGAGAACTCTGGCGACGAATCGTCTGGAAGCCAACAGGTGCATGAGCTGCTGCTAAGCCTTCAGCCCTGCGACAAGGTCCGAACATTTTTTAAGTTGCACTGCCCAAAATGTCCCTTTGCGGTGGGCCGCTGCATGATCACGATTTGGATGCCGTCGAGATTGCTGCCGTGGACACAAGAGATAATCGTATTTTCGAGTACAAAGCCCCGCTGGCATGCAAGCCTTTGTGCAGGCACTCTGTCGCTCGACTGGCCCGACGTGAGCCGTCATTGTCCTAGAATATTGTACCCATGTCCTCATGTACACCGAGGCCGAAAATGGCAGCGGCAGCGAAGTTGCAGCTCCGTGTAATCAAGTTCCCCCAACGCCATGACGTTGCCGTCGTTTTGTGTCTCCCATACGATCCAGTGTGCCGAGTGCGATAATGTTACAAATTTCCAACGCCGCAGACTGATTTGTCGTCCGGACGCGGAACGCCATGACCATTCCAAAGAAAGGGTATATCCCACTGCCAAAAGCCTGATCGAAGAAAAGCCAAGAAAAAAGGACAAGATAGTGAAAGGTGGAAAAAAAAAAAAAAAAAAAAAAAAAGGAGAGTACTGAAGGATGCCTGCCATGGTGGTTGGGGTTCCAGGAAAGGCCGTCACCGTTGCGAGTCCTCCGCCGATATCGTAGAGAGGCTCGGCTTTTGCCTTACTTTACGACGTCTCATTCTTGGCTTATTTCTCACAAGATTCTGACAGCGAAGAGCCGTATCGGTCGATGATCGGTAGAGTGGGAAACCACTCTTTCTTATGCCGAGTGTGCCACTTGCATGGCGTAATGACAAGAGCCTGTCGATAAGTACGACTCCTGACTCATCGTCGCCGCCGACACCCTCGTCAACTTCCAGGCCGGTTGCTCCCATTTTGCAATCGATGCCATCGTCCTCGTCGGCCTCAATGGGAACAACAGGTACCAAAGGCGGGGTGTACACGTTACACTGAGTGCCTGTAGATATCATCCCCTCCACACGTGTCTGGATGGTATTGTTGGCTTCAGCCTCATTGAGAAAGCGCGACGATGGCTTGCGACGTAATCGCCTGACATCCTGCTTAGGGTTGTGTGAATGTCCGGTGAGGTCAGGTTCCGTAGTCGAGGCTGTAGATAAAGTTGTAGCATGCCAATCTGGCAGACCGGATGAGGACGCCTGGCAGCATGGGACCGTTCCCAGAGTCGGTGCAGGGAGCTGGCCCAAGGAAGTCACCGAGGAGCAGGCAGGGGCTGAGTAACGGGACAAAGAAGGCGGGATGCTGTTGTCAAGACGCAAATGTGAGTTACTAAACTTGTGCGTGAGGACGTCCATGCTTGCTGTTCCTTCACGACGGAGTTTGATTTGTCGATCGTTTTTGAAGCCGTCGTCGGCACTGAAATTGGACGTACGCCATGGCCGCTGGTATTGGGCCTGTGTTTCTGCCTGCGTAACCATGGAGGTGGTGGAGTCATCCTCTCGGCCATTCTCGTCATCTGGTTCCTGGGACCTCGACTGGGTCCCGAGAGCAGAGTGACCAAACATGGCAGCCCCCGTTCCAGCTCGTGGGCGCAAGAGTCCCTAACATCAGGTCCAAGGCTTCAGTAACATGCAAGAGGGCGGCGCCGAGAATGCAGACGGCAGAAGACCGGGTGGGAGCTGTGAAGGGCTGCTTGCAGAGGGCGGCTAAGGAGGGACACAAAGAAAGGTACGAGATTGGCGTGTTTGCGTCTAATGGGCACGGGATCGTGAGGCCAGCGCGCTGTCCGCAAGGAGCGCGGTGGCTGTCACAACGGGCTGACTGGTGGGGCCTCAGGTCGACGGATGGGACACCAGATGCTACCTAGGTATGCTGACTGGTTGATGGCACAGGACTAGAGACGGGTGGCGATGGTCCAGGTGTGTATTTGTGTAAAGCTTGGAATAACTGTTGGGTTTCGCCGCTCCCAGATGTTGCTCGGTACGTTGCTGTACCGATGTGCTTTGACGTCGTCGATGTCAAGTGCCGCGGCAGGTGCAGAGGTGCTGTCAAGGTGAGGGTTAAGGCTGGGTCACGGCAATTTCGCCTGCTATCCGGAGTCGTCCATGTCGTGGAGGCGGAGAACCATGTATGGTAGATGTCCCGGAGTATTATGGTATGGTCAGACCTAGCATCGAGGTAGAAGGGACAAAAGAGAGAAGTTCTGCCGTGGGATGGGAAGGGGAATTTCAAAGGTGTCGTGAGATGTGCGCGTTGCTAGTATGTGATGAGTGTCGAAGACGACGGAGCCAGGAAAACAGGGAAGCTGGCTGAGGGGGCGAGGCAATCGAGTTTTGAGAAGCTGCGATTTGGCAAGCTCAGGCTCCTTCTGGAGTACTGTGTATTGCACGACACCACCCACCAGAACAAGGAACAGGGGGGCATGGCGCACGGGGATAGTTGGGAATAGATCGAGACGCACTGCTGCTACTACCTATTACCTGTTACCTGGAAGCCGGGAGCTGGATGCTGTGCCAGACGAGGCGAGCACATGGAATGTGCAATACTGTGCTATGTCTGCGCGGTGTGTGTGCTAACAAGGGCCAAGGGCCGTGGGTCGGGGCCTACCTAGGTAGGTCGAGACGGCTGCACAGACTGTAGGGATGACACGACGGGGCAGGGGCAGGAGCAAGGGCAAGGGCAAGGGCCCCGCAGCCCTGGAGAGCCACGGTGGGTGGCTGTGATATGATATGACATGTTAATAAGTTAAGTGACCACCGCTGGGCCCCCCTTCCAGTCACGGTGGGACGAGATGGGATGGGCTGCGGTGGACTTCGATGGGTTGCGACGGGCTCAGCTGCTGCAGTCCTGGGAGCGAAACGGCTGATCTTGGCCTCTCGAAGGGGAAAGGTGCTGGAATCTTTGCTCCCCCACTTGGAAACCCGCCTTCCTGGGCCTTGGATGCTGGCTGCTGCAGAGGGTAGCGCGCGATAGGAGGGACATGCAGACAGACTAAGAAGTGTGACGCTGACACGATCAAGCATCTTGGACTCAGTCACAGGTCGGAAAAAACGGCCAGAGTCAGACTCGTGGATACTGCAGACTGTGAGGGGACTTGTCAAACTGTAGATTCTCACTGTAAAGCGGATCTGAATGAGAACGGCAGGGCGGTTCCTTCCCTTCCCCTGGATCTGCCCTCCCATTCATTCCCTGCCAGGCTTGCAGTACCTCGCACTTCCCAGAAAAAAGAGCTGTACCGACACCGAGGAACTGGGAAAAAGGAAGGAGTGGGCCCAGTGGGAGCCAGAACAACACCTGAGTGGCTGGCTTGGTTGCAGGGGTGTGGAGCAGGGAACAGGGGGACTGTCAACGTACTAGACTGCCCAGTGCCTAGGTACCGTAGCATTCATTCGCCCGAATGACTGAGGACAACTCGTTCCTCGACCAGGAAGGCAGAACTCGAAATGACTCTGTTCCTCTGGCCGCCGCTACTGCTGATGAGCTATGGACCCCCATTCTCTTGCCGCAGAACGTCTTGGTGCTCGGGGAATTTGCAGCTATCCCGGACGACAAACCTGGAGGGGGAAGGCCACCACCCTCACATGGATATCCCGTCCGCGCCTGCTCTTTGTGTGCCTACCTACACCTTGCTGCACTGCACCGCACTGCACTGCACTGCACTGCACTGTACACCTGGGCAGTAACCGCTCGCAGTAACACAGCCGTCTGTTGCTATTTGTGATAGACGCGCGTCAAGCTCTCGTCTTCCTCTTCCTCTGTCTCTGTCTCTTTGCCAGCGTCTTGTCCCCCACCTCGGTCAGTGGCAGGTCTCAGAAACACTCCTCCTATTAGCTCCGGGAAGGCATCGCGCAGGTGTCTTTTTGGATGCCCATTGGTGCACGGCTACTGTTACCGTCGCCATCACAGTTACCGTCACCTTCGCCGCCCCGCCCAAGGCCTCGGGTTTCGGAGAAATCTAGAGCGCGGCCCAGCAGGCTGGTCTCCCATGTTCCCAGATCTGGTACATAAGATTTCATTGCAGTGGAGTACTCCCTGGGTCACCAGCCAGGCATGTCCAGGCTCTTTCGAGACGCCTGAGCTCGCCATCTCAACATCGAGGGATCCCGGGTGCGTCATCGTCCTAAGCCATCCATCCATCGCTGCATCCAAACCTTCGCGCCCCAGCCTTGCATCGACATGGGGCGGGGGTAGCTGCCAAGATCCGCACCACTTCTAGCGTACCTGTACAGCACCACAACACAGATCGTTGTGCAGGACTAGACCCCCTATGCCACGGAATGAAGAACACGCCTCGCGAGACCGTCTGGACAACCTCAGCTCACTCGCGTTGTTTTCCACAGCCCCTGAGTCCAAACTTGCCCGACGGGGCAGAGGAAAGACAGAACACGGCACAGACAATTATGGCGCAGGCACGGATGGTGTCGAGCGGTCATGACAGAACATGTCAAGATCGCTGAACGCTGTCACAATCTGACCGAGTGGGGCATTAAGGTTTGTGATCTTCGGCCCTGTTCTGTCTGTCAGTCACTTACGTCTCCGTGTCGTGGCGTTGATCTCGCCGTGACATGAATAGAAATCCTCCGAGCAAGATGCCGCACCGGGCCTTTCCTGGGCTCGGAAATTTAGGGCAGTCCAAGTCCACGAAAAGATAATTGGATTGGCTTTCGTCTCGCATTGTTCAATCTCAAATTTTGTCTTCGTTTTTTCCCCAACGGCCTCGGTAAGTCCACGCTACCACGGCGCCGGTATCCCCAAGTTTCATGCCCCCTTGGACAAATTTAGCGTCAGGGGAGCTCCCAGCATGCCTCAGCTTCTCCGGATTGTGGCCCCGAGCCTATATGGTACGGAACGCTTCATGAGCTCCCCTTGACCAATCTCTAAATCAGACCTGGCCACCCATACTCTCCTCAACCAGACCTTGTTGTGCAGGATGATCTGGCCGTCGCAAGAAATAACCTGCCCTGTGGCAACGGCGTCAGGTATTGCAAATGCAATGCAACTTGGAGATCCCTGCACAAGACAACTCCATCCAACCGGATCCGAAGCTCCAGATGCCATCAGCCTTGGAGTACACGGTGTGGGTCACAGGTGGGTGGACATGCCTGCGGCAGTGTGCAGCAATGATCTCCGGCTTGCCACACACGGCAGGACAAGGACCATCCACCGCGACGGACAGTGCCTCGCCCCCAACTTCCAATCTCTTGCATGCACTGCTGCATGTGCCTGGTCCACCCTCTTTCTGGCACTCGGGTAATACACAGAGGAGACAGAGGTCGCCAATCCGAGCATCATTATACAAGCTGCGAATAATCATTGGCCAGTCGGCACTGCTGTGAACCCTGCGGTTGCTCACCGAAGTCAATGGTCAACGGCCAGGGACGTCGACCAAGTCTTGCTGCAACCGCCGCAATGCCGTGCACCGACCAGCTTGGAATGCGTGGCTTGGGCTTGGGCAGAAGCCAACCTAGAAGCCAACCAGAAACCGATCGTCAGGACAACGTGGCTACCCGGCGTTTGAGATCCCCAGCCAGCAGATTTCAGCATTGGTCAGGCCACGCCGGGCGATCTTCTGGAAGCTCAGGAGGACGAGATCGAGTGTTCCTGTTGGCTCCCACCACTCAGCTTCTGGCCCCCCAACGCGAATTCAAGCTCCGCCACCCCTGCGGTCGATCTACGTCTTTCACACCGCGGCTGGAGTGAACACAAGAACCCAGGTGTCTCGGGTGTGAAGGACCCGCCATCTCAATTACATTGTCAAACACTTTTGACGAGCTTTTCTCTCGCAGTCGCCTTGCAGGTGACAAATTTACCTGTCTGTTTCGCACTCGCACTGATGGCCTCAATGTGGCAATCCGACACTTGGGCAGGTAACGCAGACGAGAAACGCTTGCAGGCTTGATACGCTCTACCAAGCTTTGTTTCACCTGGGCGAATGAGGTGGAGTGGCCAGTGTGGCCCAGGGCAAGTGTCTTCGCAAAGCTATGCACGCACGGGTCTTTTTATAGCGAATGCCTCTACGCGCCCGTTTCAGCACATGTGTGTGCGACTTGCGTACCGAGAGCTTGGGTCTTGGGTGGTGGGGGGATACGTCAGATATCTCACCAACATCTGCTCTGCCCGCATGTACCCAGGCCAACGACCCATCCGCACAGCCACCACGATGCAGTGGGGGCGAGATACTGTTGGTTGTCGAGGTGGTCGGTCTGTCGTTTGCATTCAGGTGAACATGGCACGCCGAGCTGAAATGCAGACATTCCAGTATGGTCCAGACTGGGGTTCAAGACAGTGGGTCGATATCGCAGGATCGATCACTGCCTACTGCAGATTGTGAACGGTCACCCAGTGGGCAGACACAAAGCGGAAAAGGACGTTGTGTCCCAGACCGACCGGCTGGTACTCACAGTGTTCAAGTTGTCCCTGTCAGTCGCGTCGAGTGACGTCTGTTCAAGAACACGGGCCGTGATGACAACCCCGACCTGGATATCCCTGATACATCCGGGCAAACTTTCGTGCCGCTGAGGAGTGATGGACAATCCCAAACATTCCATCCAAAGCACTCATTGCTACCTCTTGCGAGCGAAGCAGGAATCCTGGCAATGTTGAGTTTCGTGAGCACAACTTCATTAGGGCCATCGGCCTGGTCTTGTTCTACAAGACCAAGCTTATCACATGTCCATACATCACACCACCCCTCCCCAACCTTCCACCAAGCATACTGCCTGAAGCTGATGCTGAATTTGAGCCCAGACACCCAGGGAACTTCGACATTCGCAAGTGCAGTTGTGCTTTGACAGACTGTGTTTCGATGTTGTGGCAGCATCTCAAGCTCCGCCAAGTCTATTTGATTTCATGAATCTGCAGAATGATGCACTTTGCGTGCTGGCAGAGTGATGTATCGGCCTGGACAAGCCCGTGTGGCGAACTGGAGCGATGAATCTCAATGCAAGTCACGCTTTATACCGCCTCGTCACATATCGGCCGTCGGAGGCTCATGGTCGAGGGCGACTTTATTCGTCATTTCCCTCGCCGCCAGCTAGACCATGCCAGGGGCTCAATCACCTTCGGATGTCAGGACAGAGCAGAGCTGTGCCACACACTGAGCACACTCGCTCGGCATCCTAGGGGTTTCTCTATCCCCGAGAAGATCTTGAAACTTCGCCCAAGGCCAATCTGGAAGGTGCTGTGTTCACAAAGTCGCAGAATCTTATTTGTCTCCCCGCGGCCACACCGTACCGTGCCATCCGTAGAGACGTGCAAGGTAACTCGCAACGCTTGGCCAGGGCGGCTGGAGATATTTCGCGCGGCCGACGGCACACACCCTCCGGCCTCCCGACAGGCAGGGATGTCTGTGCAGTACTTGTGAGCGAATGCGGTGCTAAGTGGTTCGAGAAAGGACTTAATCAAAGTCGTTCGGGGCATAAGCGTAACCCCTTTGGGGATTATGTGCCTGAAGAATGCAGGTGAACATGCTGACATGCTCCCACTCCCATCATGGGGCTTCCTGGCATTTGACGTGTTTGCGTCGAGCTGTCTGAGTGGTCTGTTATGTCTGGCGGGCTGCGGCCTGTTTGTGTTGTACTCCCGCATGCCTCGATTCCGAGAGCGAGCTCAGCGGCAAGGGCGTATGCATGTCCTCTCAAATGGACAGGTCCAAGATGAGGAGCACGCACGTCCTATCTCCTCTCCTACTCTCCTAAACTGCGCACCTGAGACGAACCGAGACTTGAGGTTGGTCCTCAGGGATACCCAGCTTGACGCTCGCGTCTATCGAAGCTACAATGATCTCACGTAATTCCGGGAGGCCGTGCCTGAGCGGACCCTGTGGTCAGTGAGCAGGGCAAGCATGTCTAGGGAGATCCCAGGAAGGCATCGAGAAGGTTGAGAGGCTAATCTCTCGTGGGTATGAGCACTTGCCATAGTGATGGAAGGGAGATGGAAAGACGAGTTGATCAGGGGTCGACCGTTGTTCCCGTGCAAGCTAATCCTCACGGTGGCCAGTGCAGCCAAGGTGAGGTTAAACGTGAATTTGTTAGAGATAAGTGTACGGCTTTATTCTCGGGGCGACTGGATTGATTTGAGAAGGTTCACCAGGGACAGGATTGACGAGATACTATCTGAGGATGATGCATACTGCCTTCCCTCCTACCTAGGTACCTAGGAATCTCCACTGTCGGCAGCTCACACTTGATAGAAACTCATTGACTGGCATATCGCATGTACAGACGACGAGATGGGCCAAGGGCCACCTCGTCTAGTATTGTAGAAAGACCTATTACATCGAGATTCCAACTCTCAACCCTTGTTTTGCAGAGAACTGTTGTACTGTGTGCCTGATCATCAGCGGACCAAAAGCGACGGGACACGATGGACCTTGGAAACGCTCAAGATACCTGGTAAGTTTGTTGTCTGTACCCGGCATAATACGCCTTCAAAACAGTGAAGCTCATCCAGCCTGTATGGTATGTTCAACTTTGAAGACATCAACCGCCACAGCAGATGTGCGAAGGATTAGGAGGCCTTGGGCGAACGCGGCCCAGAAGGACATGAGATATCACGCATGTGGCCACTCTCCAGGATGAATCGTTGTTCAGTACGGCCATTTGAATGTCTGGATCAGATGTCCCACCAGGTCATGCGAGGACGACGTCGTCCCCTGAACCAAGACCAAGACCACAGGATACTCCGTGAACCTCCCTCCCCATGGCCAGCACCAGGCCCTACACCTCCCAAGTTCAGCAGCTGTCCCCATCCTTGATGCCCACAATCACATTCCACCCACCGTCGTCAAATGCCTGACCCAGCACGACGTGGCCAGTAGACGGCTTCCACACGCAGTCGTCGTCGTCGAGCACGGCCTGCGCCAGGTCGGCGACGTCCGACAGGCTGACGACCTTGTCCGCGGCCTCGTCGTCGTTGCACGCGTAGATTGCGGCGTCCGTGTCACAGCTCAGGCGGGAGCAGCACCCGCCGCCCGGCTGGTGGCAGAGGGTCGCCTGGGGAGGGTCGTGGCCCCGCAGGTAGCTGATCCCCTTCTCGATCCTGCCCTTGTTGGCGTGGTCGTAGCCGGGGGTGTCGCGGCAGATGATGTGCGACTACGGGCCGGGGGCGATGTTTGTTAGCTGGGGGGTTGTCGTCAAGGTGTTGTTAAGAGGGACCCGGGTGGGGGGGGGGGGGTAAAAGGCGAGGAAATTCGGGCAGGGTACGAACCAGTTTGCGCTCGGAGAGGGTGCTCATCGTGCTTACACCCACGCCCAACTGGGCGAGGAGCAGGAGGGCGAGGAGCAGGAGGGCAAAGAGGAGTATTTGCATGGTGAGGGCGTGTTTGCGTGTTTGTTGTCTCGATGATGTCTGGACGCAGTTGCCGGTGTTGTGTAGAAATCTCAGGAAGGTTTATACGAGGCGTAGCTGTAGAACGCTTAACAGGTTTCTGTCTTGTACCTGAACACGTCGTGGCCAAGGTTGCTGCTTAAGTAGGCCCCAGAACGGCAAGTGATACACGGAAAGAGTCCAGTCAGTCAGTCGGTCAGTCTTAACTCTTTGCCCGGTGATTGTGCCCTTACTTGATTAGAAGACAGTCGAGAAGGAAGACGGGCTGTGAATGAGCCTTGGGTCCCGACGAGCTGGATCTTGACCTCAGACGAGGTCCACCACCTCCCATGTCGGAGCAGTAACGTCTTGCTTCTCTGACAGAGCAACTCGCACAGCAAGCATACAAACGGCACAGTTCGCTTTTGTCACAATCGACTCTTCTCATGTTGCAATAGGATCGACTGATCTGGCGCAGGACCCTGCTCTAGGACACCAGTCCCCCCAACGCCAGGCTTTCATTGTGCTCATACCGCCACGGCCCCTGTCTCAAACTTCTCCGAACAAACACTCAAACCACGGCCTTCCACATCAAAAAAAACCTGCAAAGGAGGAGCTTTGTGTTCCCGTCCTTGATGACTTCCTCCTCACAGACAGAGAGTTCCCCAAGTCCCCTCACTACCAGACGCTCCCGAATTGTTGTTCAAGATAAGCGACATGTTGTCCGTAAGCACAATCACGTCAGATAAATGTAAGATACAGTTCCAATAGAAGAGAGATTAACGAAGGGGGTGGGGTATATGGGTAGTGTAAGTAGTAGAAAAGGGGTATCCGGGTTGAGGTCTCGAGTTGGACCAATGTAAAAAAAAGGTTGAAGAGAATTGCCCGGCGACCCCATCATCAGCCACCATCAGTTTTCCCCTGGCTCAACTTGCGCCACTTATGCGCTCTGGGGCAAGTTCGCCGGCGAGACCTCTCCATTTCCGATAAATGGGAACGCTCTCCTGCTCCCGACACTCTCCACCTTGGAGAGACCGAGCTTCTCTAGCCCGGCCACTGCACTGTCCTCTCCGTTTCCATTTCCATTGTAGATGCCCAGACCACCGCCATCTATGCTCTTGCTGGGGTCTGGCGACTCATCTTCACCGGCTTCCATCTTCTCATCCAGGTTCATCAGCGCAGGCGGCCTGTGGCGCATTTGGCGGGCCTTTGCGAGCGAGATTGTCTTTTGCTGATAACTGGTGACAATCGGTTGGTTATCGTCCCTGTCGATAGTTGCTTTCATAAGAGCCCCCATCCAGAGCCGGCCCTGCTTGATATTTGGCACAGCGAAGTAATGGACGGTCGGTTTGGTGAAGTTGACAGCCCGAGAAAGACCGGCCCTGGGAGGAACCAGTTTGAAGATGAATATCGAATCGGACGCTGCCGTTGGATCCGCGTCAGCCTCCGTGGCAGCAATTGTGCGTACGTTGCTGTTAACGGGCACGGCAGGTGAGTTCGATGCGCCAGTGAGTGTTGCATGGAGCCCGGTCAGTCTCTCGTTGTCAGCTGGCAGAACTCTGTGGAAGGATATATCGATGAGGCCTTTTTCTTGCTCGTCGTCCTCCGAGTAATAGTATGCGAGACGCCTGCCCTTGAGAACAAACAGCCTCGGCTTCCACGTTGTCATGAGGCCGTTGCTCTTCTTCTTCATCCAGCCGCTGTAGTCTGCGTCCACCATCGCTTCACGCGGACTAACCTTGAGCAAACCACGCGTGTATGCACTCGTCTCTTTCTTACCTTTCTTCTTGTTACCGCGGCTGCCCGTTGAGGCCAGAGTGCCTGGACTCTTCGAGACATCAGGAGACTCTAGCTCGAGACTCGGTCCCACTGAGGGCGTACTAGACCCTGTCCTAGAGGGAGACTGCATCGGCGAGTCCCGCAGCGGCGAGTCGAGAGCTGGGGCAATCTTGGCACGCTCTTGTCCGGTAACCGCATCAGATATGGCTCTGACCCCGCTGGTCTTCGTTGGTTTTTGCATCAGGTCGTTGGCCAGGGCTTGGCGGTGAGCTGGTGACACTGGCAGAGATGGTGAGGGGCGCAGGTTGTCAACGGACGCGGTATCAAGCTTTGTAACCGTTGGGGGGCTGTCTTTGCTTGGCACTGCAGGACGTAGGGACTCGGTCGTGTTTGTCGAAAGGGTCCTCCTATGACTCCCATTCGCAGCCGGCGCGCCGTAGTACTTCTGAGCTGCAGGCGACAGCGGCTCGCCCCGTATAGAACCAATGCTACCAAACCTGGAGTGGCGGGCCATGGCGGTTGCGCTCCTGACCCTCTGCTCTTCCGTGTAGCTTGTGTTGCGTGAGTGTGACGCCGTGCTGTCGCGCTTCTTAAGCACGTTTCGATTCCTACTGCTGCCCTCTGCACTAGAGAAGTAGCCGCGGTCGAGGTCCACGGCAGAATCCTGCAATTCATTCTCGGGAGCGAGGAAGTTAGAGCCGGAGACGGGCCTGGTGACTGCAGCGCCTCCTAGTGTCCAGTTCCGGTCAAAGGACGGCTGCTTCTTATGGGCTGACTCCTGCAGAGGGAATGTTCCGCTGGGCATCAACTTTGGGGCTGGGCCACCACTGTTGAGGCTCATCACTGGAAGCCGGAAATCCGTCGACGAATGTCTCCTAGAGTGATGCAGATCGCGGATTGATGCGGCTGAAGGACGCTTCTCATGGTTTGGCCGGGAAGGGCTGTCAAGAAGTGTTCTTGGTGACACGGGAGATCCTGGCATGCCCGCAGGCTCGAGCTTAGGTGTCGTTGCGACCGACCTTCGCTTTTGTTGCGACATGGGCCGATCGCCGATCGGGGGAAGCCTGCTTATAGAGGTGATGGTGTTGTTCCTGCTCCTAGTCCGTCTGCCAACATCTGACCCTGCTTCGCTGCCGTACGTCTGTGTAGTTGGTCGTGTGAAGATTCCATTGACCTCGTCTTGTAATGCCTTGACCTTCTGCCAGGTCTTCAGCCTCCGACCCACGGAGCCGAGGTCGAAAGCCTTGATGAAGAGCGACGTTTGATCCATACCCAAAAGCACCTCTCCAGTGATCTCCTGATCTCGGAATACCTCACAATGGTGCTTCTCGACCCCCGAGGTGAAGAGGTACTCTGCAACCTCGTCGGGCGTCCAAGACTCGACCTCGGAACGAGAGTGTGCACCTTCCTCCTCCTCGTCTGTCTCTTCGCCTGCTATGTAGGACAACCGGTGGTCTATGTTCGAGCTGTATTCGCTTCCAGAGTCGTTGGCGTGCCGCGAGACACTGCCATGTCTCGGGGTAGATCGAAGGTCGTCAATATGCTCGTCAATGACGTTGAGGGTCTCGTGGAGGACGTGATTGTCCTGACCCTGGTTGAGGCGGGAAAATGAGCCTATGCCGGCCGAGACTGGAGGGCTCTTGGACGGAATGGTGCCAGTGTTGGGGGCACTGTAGGAAGACAGCGGCAGCGTCACTGGGGTGCTGTCGGCCTTCAAGTCGGGCGGCGGTGATAATGCAGCTTGCGCAGGCTCGGTCGTCGGGGCAGCTGGCTGTGGCGGCGATTGGACCTGAACCGGGGTGGGAACCTCGGCAGACTGAGCGGGCGGGGCCTGAGGTTGTGATTGCGGCTGTAGCTGCGGCTGTGAGGCGGGCGTCGCAGCAGTGCTTGGAGCGGGCTTGATGGCGTTGTTGCTATTACTAGGAGCCGGACGGGTGTAGACTGGAGGAGCCCGGGGGTTAGCAACACCCAGACACTGGGACAGCAGGAAGCAACGGCGGACGGTGGGCGATGCGGGGCGGGGTGATATGGGGTGTTGGTGTTGTTGACGGTGACAGACAGCAACCACCCCCCGTCACTCCCCCCTCTTCCCTCAGGTCAGGCAAGGGGAAGGGGCGCCGCGACAGAACAAAGGGCATGGACGTACCTTCCGGGAACAGACCACTGTTGCCATTAACCAGGTGTTTGCCCAGGAACCACCCATCGCCAAACTCGTCGTCCCTCTCTACCAATTCGACGCGGTCACCCTTTGCCAGGGTCAGCTCATCGGAGCTTCGGGCAGTGAAGTCATCTGCAGGTGGTGCGCATCAGATAAGTTAGCCCACGGAAATTGAAGAGTCCTGCCAATCAGTCGCGCATCCCCGGCGGTGGTAGGCGAGAGGAGGTGGGAAATCGACCGAGGGGGGAGTGCGAGTGCGCGCCTCGCCTGGGCTCGCTTGGTGCGCTGCAGGGCTCGCGGCCAATTCCCGGTGGTCAACACTGACCAAGACCCCCTCTCTCGACCCCAGAGCCGAAACCCACAGCTCATCTCATCACAGATTGGGATGGTTTGTTGGGGACAAGAGGGTCCAGCACTTACGGATGACGAGCAGGATATCGCCCACCTCGGGCCTCGCTGCCGATGTCGCCATCGTGGATGCGCTGCGCGTTGTCGTTCCTTGGGGGTTATCGCCTCCGCCTCCCTGGGGAGAAGTCGTGGTGGCTCGCGGGCGCTCTGGAACGGGGGCGGATCAAGGGTCCGTGGCCACTCGCAGGCGTCAGTGGCGGCAAGACATAGAGGTGTTGTTGTTTGTTGATTGAAGATTGTTTGAAGACGAGGACGAGGACGAGAAGGGGAACGAGACAGACGCGACGTCTGTGGCTGTGGCTGAAAAAGGGTCGTTCGGCGCCGGGGGAGGGGGGAGAATGGGGCGGGACGGAGGTTGATGATTATGATGTGATGGGCTGGCTCGAGTTGGAGTTGGGGAGTCGTCGAGGTCGTCCCAAGGCCAGGCCACAAGGGTGGTTAATTAGCGGGCAGAAAGGATGGGTAACAGCTGGTAGGGTACTAAGGTTGGCTTCTTGGGCTGTTTGCTGTCTGGTCTGTCTGGTCTGGTAGCAGTAGGGGAGGGAATGGCCAAGGAAAAAGAGGCACGAGCCCGCCGGCTTTGATGGTAGTGCGGCCGTGATAATCTGAGAGAGATTGGGATCCCTGAAAATGGGGATCTTCGACTTGGAGTCTAGGTGCAGCCGTTGGGGGCGAGCCGACTCAAGCCCGAGTTGAGGACTCGCCAGGAATGGAGTCGTGCCTTGCGAGAGCCAGCTGTGAGATGGCAGAGTCTCACAAGAGGAAAAAAAAAAAAAAAAAAAAAGACCGTGACGAGCTAGGACGAGCAGAGGCCAGGCTTGGCCCCCCCTTTGAGTGCAATAATAAGTGCGCGCAGGTGGAGGATTCCCGTGCCGCAGCCCAGGCCAGCTCAGATTTGACAAATGGATCGACTTGAGTTCATCATTAGACTGATGATTATCCTACGGGGCTGACGGGCCAGGCGGGATGCGATACGCAATTCTTGATGCTGCAACACAAGTCCCCACTGTTTTCCCTTCCCTTCCCTACAGGCGGATGCCGATGGATTTCACACCTGGGCCCTGCAAGTCACACAAGCGCATTCTACTGCACAGTCACTCCCAGTCAGTCTACAGCATACGCATTACGCCTTCATCCGAACTTTGTCTCTATCCCCGCCCCTTGTAATATGTTGATTCACCGGGAGGAGGGCTCTCTGACTGCACTCTTTGGACTCTGACTGACGAGCGGCTCTGCACCTGTGTCGCCACCCGCCCCGCCCCGGAGACCAGACCAGTCGAGACCAGACGGACAGGGTGGCAACTATCTACAGGACCTACTGGATGGAGGTAGTCAGTCCACTGGTGGTCCACTGTACCGGCAGCCCACTCGACAGTACATGCAGCTTGGTGGTAAGAATGCAGGCAATGCTCCGTTGGACGGAACGAGTAATCCGCTGCCCAGTGGCTGGGGCTGGCAGGTGCATTGTGTCCGTCCAAAAGGAGGAGGACGAGGGAGTACGGGGATCCGTTATTTTAGGTGTGGTCGCACAGTAGCGTGTCCTCTCTCGATGCATGTGAGGCGAGCCTTTGCAGGGTCCCCAGGGCAGCGGGCACCTATTCTGAGATGGCAGTGGTCGCATTCGTCAATCAATCCTGTCCCAGCTGGACGGGGGACGGGGGGACGGTCGATAGCGCTTTACCCGTTGGACTAATTTGGATGGGCGAGGTGACGCTGGCACTGGGGTGGGAGGCCGTTTTATTTGAGACCTGGGTGACACCGTCCACGGGTGCCCCTTTACGTTGGACCCTCATATAGGCGGTTGGCTGATAATTGGAAGTCATCTAGAAGAAGAGATTGATGCCGGCCAGCCAGCCAGTCCATCAACGACTCTGAGAATCAAAGCTCGGCCTAGATCGGACAGCCTGACAGCGCAGCAGCCCCGGCAGCCGCCCAGCATGGATGGAGGAGTGCGTGTTGGCTGGGGAGACCCTGACCTTTATTTAGAAAGAGGAAAGCGGAAAGCGAGGGCCAGAGCATGGGCCCCGACGATCCTGCGGTACATTTCAACGCTGCAGGCTGACTACGTAGACGACAATCCCTTTTTTGTACTGTGTGTCATTGCACAGGCTGGCCCTCACTCTCGGTCTCACTCTCACTCTCACTCATCAACCTGAGGGCTCAGCGATCAGGACAAATGAGAAAGGGGCCCTCGAGGTCACACCAGGCGCAGCAGGACGCCTTGTCAAGTGAGATTAGATAGATGCTGTGTCACCCGCCCATGAACCACTGACGGAGCACAGCAGCTACCTGGATGCTTTGGCGAGCAAAAAGTAAATTTTCTCTAGCGACTCGGTGGAGCTGACATCACTGCCAAGTGCTCACGAGTTCACGGGCGGACGGGAGGGAGGGTTGCAGTCCGGGGCGGCTCGAAGAATTCACATGGGAGGCTGCCCAAGTCAGATACTCCGTTGTGCTGTGTGCGCGTGTCTGTTTCGCAGTGGCGTAGGTCTGAGGTGGGAGGCAACGCAATATTATCTGAGTAATGTGAAGAACGTTGCGCATTCTGACCTGCATGCGATCGACTCGTACAACCAGAACCACGGATAACAAGACATATGCGGACAGAGATGGCCTAGTCTAGAGGGGAAGTAAACCTTTGCATTGCATGTATGTAGCCTACCTAGGTATGTACTTGCGGCCGCAGGTCTTGGCAGGCGGCCCAAAAGATACCTCGGCAACTTTGATAGCCGCAACACCTGCGTCCGAACCAACAACACCACTCAGTCTACACATTCAACAGCTACGACAGCAAAGAATTCAAGAGCCAACGAAGCTCCCTCATGAATAGTTAGCCTTTTTTCAAAGTACCGATTATTCCACGCCCGAAAATATACAACAAACCAGAGCCCCCGCCCAGCCCACACGGCACAGCACCAAAGCCATGGCCGCCCAGCCAGCCAAGCCCCTGGAGGGCTACACCGGCTACGCCCACTTCAACATCACCAGCCCGGCGGACTTCGTGGCCCACGTCGAGATCAACCGGCCGCGAAAGCTTAACTCGTTCATCCGGGAGATGTGGCTCGAGCTGCGCTCCATCTTCAACCAGCTGTCCTCCGACCCGGACGTCCGCGCCGTCGTGCTCACGGGCGCCGGCGACAGGGCATTCACCACGGGGCTGGACGTCCAGGCCGCCTCCGAGAGCGATGCCGCCGTCCAGGGCGCCAACAGCGACGTCGACGGCGCCAGGACAGCGACCAAGATGCGCCGCCATGTATACGAGTTTCAGGAGTGCATCACCGCCGTGGAGAAATGTGAGAAGCGTGAGTTACGGGCCCCCCTTGTCCAACCCCTCCCCCGTTAAAGGCATGACTTTCTATGTCGTGAGGTGTTGGGAACGGCAAAGGCTGAGTCGCAGCGCCTACGGGCGCACCTACCTACAGCGGTGATCTGCATCCTCCACGGCATATCCATAGGCCTGGCCATCGACCTCTCCTGCTGCGCCGACATCCGGCTCTGCGCGGCGGACACGCGGCTGGCCGTCAAGGAGGTCGACATCGGGCTGGCGGCGGACATCGGGACGCTCTCGAGGCTGCCCAAGGCGGTCGGGAGCTCCTCGTGGGTCAAGGACGTGTGCCTGTCGGCGCGCTTCTTCGACGCCGCCGAGGCGCTGCGGGCCGGCTTCGTGAGCGAGGTGCACGAGAGCAAGGCCGCGGCCGTCGCCGCGGGTCTGGGCAAGGCGGCCCTCCTAGCCGGCAAGAGCCCCGTCGCGGTGCAGGGCACCAAGGAACTGCTCAATCACGCCAGGGATCACAGTGTGGACGAGAGTAGGTCTTTATTCTACCTGCCCCCCTGCCCTGCCCTGCCTCAGTCAGGGCCAGCTAACCTCTTGCTCTTGCAGGTCTGCGGTACACCGCGGTCTGGAACTCGGCCATGCTCCAGTCAAACGACGTCTCTTCCGCGCTTCTGTCTGGCATGCAGAAGAGGAAGCCGACGTTCGAGAAGCTATAGACATAGATCATGGTGATCTGTCCTCTCCGAGGACCTGTAAATATCTTCACAACCCAACCTGCCGCTTGTCTGTTGCTCCAGCGATCCATCTCGAGAACGTTCTGCCTTGGCCATGAACCATGTCCTGAGCATGTCGCGCCGGTAGCGCAAGGGTTGTGGGCGGCATTTGTCCGTAGGTACTCGTACAGTATCGAGCAGGCGCCAAAGGCCCCCGATTGGTGATGTGGCAATCGTGTAGATCGTGTGATCCGTAACCCAGTCCCACGCGCGCATCACTCGGACCCAGACTCGTCGCCGCCGTGCTGCTGAGTCGTCTCCCTCAGGCGGTCCTCCAGCATCTGCTTGAGCTTCTGCAGCATCGTCTCCTTGATCACGACGTGCTCGTCATCCAGGTCGTCGATGATGTACTCGTGGCCGCTCTTGGTGTCTATGTTGACGATGATGGACTTGATCGACGGGTCGCACTCGACAAGGACACCTGTGGGAGGGCGGGTTGGACTGACGTCGGCTTCGTTCCTTTCTCGCGGGGGCGGCGATGCTTACCTCTTATGGCTCGTGCTGGCATGGTATCGAATTGGCAAGGATCACAGGGGCGGTAGTATTCGTGTTGCTGGTGTATCCGAGTGTGCTAGGAGGTCCGAGGAGCTGGGTGTTCTGGGCCTCAGAAGTTGGGTGTGCTTCTGTGATGACGCCGAAGGTGGGCGGTAGACCTGGAGTCTAGCTTAGAACGACTCATCGAAAGCGACCCGCTTCGGCTACGGTCAGACCCCTGCAAGCCCGGGCCTGTGCACCTCAAGGCCCTGCGCAGGGGCCCAGAAGCTTGTTCAGTGGGCTGCATTTTCGGCGAACGTCCCCCAGGTCAAATAGTCTATTCGTCCACCAACGTGTCTGCTTGATATCATAAACTTGAATCAGATCCCATATGCCAGAGCCCCTCTCATAGACTACTATCTCATCCGGATTATTTGCATGTCATGCTCAACAAACTTTTCTCTGATGTATTAGAGCCTGATCATGAATCCCATACTAGCCTTTTGGCCAGTGACCAAAAGTGGACAACCCATAACAGCAACAGCCATAGATACTGTCCGAGTCTATTGGTGGTTCGTAGCCTACCACTGGGTGCCGTGGGAAATGTTTCCGGTCCTCTGCTGACTCTCTTGACGAGACTAAGCATGGTCCTAAAAGCGGGTATTCAATGAGAAATTATCCCATCAGAGGTTGCCCTAAAAACGGGTATCCCACAGTGGGTTATCCCATAGGAGGCTATACCATAGGAGGTTATCCCATAGGAGGTTATCCCGTAGGAGGTTATCCCATAGGGGCTACCCCAGAGGAAGCTGTCCCAGAGGAGGTGTCTTCTGCTCATAGGTAACATCATAACGGGCCTAGGGACTGTGAGCCAGCAATCCCTTCGTTCGCTACTAACTCTTGTATTAATTACCCACCTCAACAATGTGTACCAAACGCCGCATAGAACGAAACTGTGTCTACTCTTCAAAATCACCGGGTATGTGCTTCATCCATTTCACTGTCGCCTTTGTGTCCTCCCACTCCGGGCTCCCAGGCACGTACCTGGACCTGTCATAGTCCCACTGGCTCTGGTGTCGCTCTGCCCACCCATAGAACCTGTCCCAGTCCCTACACGTGTGCTTCATGCCCATGTAGGTCAGGTACTTCTTGTTCCTCTCGCTCCACTGCCACACCAGCGGAGTCGTATCGGCGTGGCACATGAGGTACTGCCGGATCTGGTCGACACAGTGGTCCACGTGGCCCCATCCTTTGCCCCTCAGTGTCCCCCAGGTGCGTCGCGTTCAGGTACAGGCTCTCCGGGGAGCCGCCGGCCCACAGCATCAGCCGGATCATGTTTAGGCAGTGCAGGTGGTGGAACACATCCAGCTGGATGTAGTGCTGGTCCTCGTGACCCGGCACCGGGCTGGACGGGACCTCGAGCCTGGCCGACGACGCTGGGATCTGGCTTATGCCTACTTTGTTATAGAGGTGGTGCCAGAGTGCGTTGTTCTCGGCGTTGGGGGCGCCTTGGTACGGCGTCTTGCCGTTCTGGACTGAGCTGTCGAAGACGACTTCTTTGTATGAGATGGCTTCGTTTGCTGGAGCTGCGGGATGACGGCAAAGCCTCTCAGTCAATCTTCTTCTGGTTCCTGCTGCTGAATGGGGCGGGCATGCAATGGTATATCGGGCAACTGATGAAGTTCGGTCTACCACTTACACCATTGTCTCCCAAGACTAGGATCAGTCACCGGTTGAGACCATACCAACACCAACGCACAGCACAGTAGTACGTTAATTGCTGCTGATATGCCTAGAGCGGCGCGGATGCACCGTGAGATCCCTCGCACAACGACGACGTCTCTGTACGACTCGGAACTGCTGCGAAGGAGCTTTTCCCTCGACAGTGCGGACTCTGTCTCCGAAGCTGAGCTCATCTCGTGTTTGGTGAGTGAAAAGAAACTGGGAGGAAGTGACGAGAAGGATTCGAATTCGCTGATGGACTATGGTTTCGCAATGACGCTGTCATCTCGGAGCCTCATGAAATCGTCAGCCAGGGAGAATCCGAAGAGCCAACGACCTGCCATCTCAGACTGTGTAAGCCTCCCAAACAGCAGTTCCTCTTATGGATCGCAAGTTGTTAGGAAGATCTAAGTTCAGGTCATTCTATGTGTCCTGATATCCCCTTTCCTGATGTATTTTGACTCAGTTGACACCGCAAGCATATACTCGAGTCAGCCAGCATCGACTGCTATATGTCGGTCGTGTTCATCCGAGCTCGTGAGGTTTGTCCGTGAAGTTCGTACATGAACCACTGTGGAATCGTCAAGCCTCCCGACACCCGAGATCTATCAAGCCGGGGCATTTTCGGAGGATTTCCTTACATCTAGCAGCTCTATCTACATTCCTTGGGACCGTCGCCCCTGCCCGACTCCCGATCTCTCGGGCCGGGCGAAACCTCGGGACCTGATTCCCACCGGCTGGTGAAATTTCGGGGGAGCATATTTAACGGGTCCGGAGGAGTCAAGCTTTGCGGGGCTCCGCGATACCCACCCGCACTTCCTACTCAACGCCCTGCCTAGCACAATCCTGGGGGCGGGCAGACTCTGGGCAGGATATGACGAGCATGGCCCCGGTGCGGGAGGGCTCGCTTACAGCCTTGGAGAAAGCTTTGTTACTCGCGTTACTCGCGTGACATGGTAGATCCCCCTGAAGTGCATGGGCCGGCCTGGGGACGACCTGGTCCTTGTCTTTGGCGCTTGACTTCACGATTGCCTCACTGGCCGGTAGCAAGGAATGTTAAGATAGACAGCAATTGGACTGAACCTTACGGCGTCGATTCTGTGTCTCGGAGGAGCATAAATAGGCCCTATTATCCCCCACATTCTTTCGATGATCTCTGATATCAAGTCAGTCAACCTTCAAGCCAGCTCCACAAACAAATATCTTCACCACTTCAGCTGGAACAATTTTCTTCAACCTGTCAGAATGAAGCTAATCACCCTTTTCGCAACCCTCCTCGCATCTTCCGCCCTTGCGGTGCCCACCCCTGACGGTATGTACATCCGGACTAACGTCCCAGGTTTTCTTTGCTAATTTACCCCCAACAGTTGACGCTACCGACTGCAATGTCCCAGGAGGCTGCTACAAGCGGGACGTAGATGCCACCGACTGCAACGTCCCTGGTGGCTGCTATAAGAAGAGAGAACCTGAGGTTGCCAGCGTCGACGCCACTGATTGCAATGTGCCAGGTGGTTGTTACAAGAGGGACGTGGATGCCACGGATTGCAATGTCCCGGGCGGCTGCTACAAGAAGGAGAAGAGGGACGTCGACGCGACTGACTGCAATGTCCCTGGAGGTTGTTATTAGAAGGGTTGTCGGTCATCTTGGAAAACGCCCGGCCAGACGGTGAGGTGGAGAATGCTGAGTACGCAATAGTTTAAGCAGACTCTTTGGGCATACACGGCATTTACAAGGCGAAGCTTGAAGGATCATAGGAGGTTCATTCTGCCACACTGGAACAATATGTTGTCATGACTTTCCGCTTAGAACCAACAAGACCGTTCCCTACTTAGGCAGCTCAGGGCTGTCACCAAAGCACTTAGCCAGCATTTGCGGCGGGTACCGCTCACCCTTGCCCCCACCGACCTTCTCGATCTCAGCCCTGATCTCCGCCACCTCGACCGGGCTCAGCTTCACCTCGATCGCCTTGGCGTTCTCATCGAGGTACTTGACGCGCTTCGTGCCGGGGATCGGGATGAAGTCCTCGCCCTGCGCAAGAACCCACGCCAGAGACAGCTGGCCCGGCGTGACGCCCTTCCTGGCCGCGATGCCCGCCAGCGTCTCCACCAGCTTGAGGTTCTCGGGGAAGTGCGTCTCGGAGAAGCGCGGGTGGCGCCAGCGCGAGTCCGTCTCCTCGATGTCGTCGCGGCTCTTGATGGTCCCCGTCAGGAAGCCACGCCCCAGAGGGGAGTAGGCCACGATCTTGACGCCAAGCTCGCGGGCGGTCCGGAGGAGGTCGGTCTGGTCCGACTCGATCTCCAGCGCGAAGGGCGAGTACTCCATCTGCACGGCCGCGATGGGGTGCACGGCGTGGGCCCGGCGCAGCGTCCTGGCCGAGCACTCCGACAGGCCCAGGTACCTGATCTTGCCCTCGGCCTTGAGCTCTGCCATCGCCTTGACCGTCTCCTCGATGGGTACCTTGTCATCCACCCGGTGCTGGTCTGGCTGGGTGTCAGCTACACATTACCATTGGACTCCGGATCTGGGGAGTGAGCCCGTGACGTACAGTACAGATCAATCTGGTCGACGCCCAGGCGCTCGAGGGACGCGGCGCAGGCGTCCTTGACATAGGGGGCGTCACCGCGCACTATGAAGTTGCCCCTTGGGTCTATGTAGTTGGCAAACTTGGTGGCGAGGAAGATTTCCTTGCGCCGCCCCGTCTCCTTGAACCACTTGCCGAGGAGCTTCTCGTTGGTGTGCGGGCCGTAGACATCACTCGTGTCCCAGAAGGTCACGCCGAGGTCAGCGGAGCGTGTGAGCACGTCGAGGGACTCCTTGTCGTCGTAGCCGCCGAACGAGGTGTAGCCAAAGGACATGCCCATGCATCCCAACCCAATGGCCGAGACATTGTCGTCGCCGATCTTGCGAGTAGGGAACGGCATGGTGGCGGGGTAAATTTTGTCTTCTTTTTTATATCAAGCTTGGGTTAGACTACGTGAAAGGGGATTGCCAAGAGCCAGCGTGCTTGTTTAAATATTCTTGAAATCTACTTATCCTCTCCAGTGATGGCGTGCCCGCTGATCTTAATGGAAGCCCACTGCGGAGTTACTAAGGGCCTTACTGCCGATGGGGCGGGGATAGTTTCACTTTAGCATATCTAACACCGAGGCGGAAACCTTATACCCGGATCCCTAACCCTCTTACTTGAGTTGCAATCAAGATGAGGACAGAGGCTTATGAATGAGCATGTGAACAGTTGCTGGCGGTGTGTTACTGAATCTTGAGCAGTCCAGGCGATATTGTCGCTGTCACCGCTGTCTCCGAATACGCGGCAGCTTGTAAGAGCGGCCGAAGACCGTCTCACCCATGACCCAATGGCGAAGCGAACGGCCCTTCCCGCTGTCTACAGACAGCCAAGTCACCTGGCAATATGAGGAATCGGGTCGGTGAAGGCGAATGACTCTTATTATAGACGAACGAAGGAAATCTAGGCAATGTATTCGAGAGCCTCGCTTGCGATGTGTAGTAAAAAGAAATCGAAAAAGTCCAGCAGCCTTCTAACTGAAGACAGACGGGAAGCACTGCTCCTTGGGTCAACGCCCCATGTGTTCCGGCGTGGTCGATGAGCGGTTTTACGTTGGACTTGACCATCTCGCGGCGGCAGTTTGTGCACTGTCTGGAATGTCAGCCGTTTTGCCGTGCACGGGGTGGGAGGGCGGAGGGGGCGCCCGCTGTTTTCAAACGCACAATGACCGTCTCCTTGGGCGGCTTGACGGGAAGGCCGTTGGCCTTGACTGGGGCACGGGTGCCGGCGAGGTCGGCCTTCTTGTGCTCGCGTTGGATCTGGAAGGGTCAGCACTGGGGCACAAGGGTGGGAGCTCAGCAGCAGCAGTAGAAGTTGCGAGGCTGGTTCAGGAAGATAAAAGAACCTTCATCTTCTTGGAGACAGCCATCGTGAGGTTGGGTTGTCAAACGGGCTCGAGGCGGGTCGGATTGGATTGGATCAGTGGCCTGGTTGTTGCCGTCGAGGTGTGGAGCGGAGGGAGTGTAGAGTGAGTAGTCAATGGCCTGAGAGGATAAGGGGAGGAAAGGCGAGGAATACCTAGGTACTTGAGCAAGTTTAATCGACCCGCGTCTCGCGTCCTGTCCCGTGAGAGGGAAAAAATATCACTAACAAGCCGTAGAAGGAAGGCGGTGTGTCACCCGAATGCATCGCACTTTGTTCTGCCAGGACCCACCTTACGGGTCCCGCTCCCAGGCACGCTGAGAGTCAAGCCTCTGAGGTCGTGAGATACTCGCTTGTTTTGCATGGACGGCTTGCGCTGAGTACATGCCCGCCTTATCCGGAACTGATTGCCATAGAGTAGTCTTGCATTTCAAAACATCTTTGACTGAATCCAGCGGGCAAACGCTACTGTCGAGTTGTAGATTGGTATCTCCGCCTCAGCACTACACAGGATACGCCAACAAATTCCAATCGGTATACACACAACAAACATGAGCCACGGTTTTACTCGGGCATGCCCTCAAAGGGCTTGGCCAGCGTCTCCTTCATGAACGGCAGCTTAGACTTGGTCCAGATCTCCGTGTCCGGCTTCAGCGTCTTCTTGATCTCCGTGTCGAGGGTGCCCGCCTTGATGGCGATGATCTCGGGTGCTGCATCTGGGTCGTGGGCGATGGGCGACCCGCACTCGGAGCAGAAGATGCGGTGCACGTCCTTGCCCGAGGAGCCCTTGCCGGCCCACGACTTGGTCGGCCCGTTGAGCGTGAGCTTGTCCTTGGGGACGACTGCGACTAGGGCTGCGAGGGGGAAAGTCGGGTCAGCACTCCACCTGTACACATGCAGCATAAGGGCATCTCTTCATGCTCGGTCCAAGGCCGTGCCCAAGTATGAGGAATTGTAGTGTAAGTTTACACTGGGGTCTCGTTCCACAATGCCAACGGCTCGCTAGGGCCTGGGCTGTGGATCCGCGAACGGAGCTTCCGCTTGAGGACAGGGGTCGGGTGAGAGCTTCGCGCCATCCGTGTGTAAGAGTTGCGGGGGTGGGGCCCACCGATTCCCGCCCCGCGATGACGACGACCAAAACTCTCAAGCTCTCCCTCGCCAGGCCGTGCGAAGCCAACGAGTTCCGGGAAACGCTCAGTTGAAACTTACAATATGTCGAGCCAGATTGCCGTTGGCAGTCGTCGCAGTGGTCATAACCCGTGATCAGAGGCTGGTCGACGTCGACCGTGTAGGTGACGGCCTTGCAGAGACAGTGACCCTTGAGAACCATGGTGAAGAGCTGTTCTGTGTGGTGAGGGATGCTGGTGAGACGTGGGTAGCAGCTGGGTTGCGAGTAAGTAGGTAGTTGAGAGCTAGTGGGAAGCTTGTCTGCGGTGAAGGGAAGCCCCCTCGCTATATATGGCCCTCCACCCTCGAGCTCGCAAGGAGCAACGGAAGGCGATGCGACTCGGAGGGATCAGCAGGTTGACGCAAGAACCCTGCCGCTGTCACTCGGGCTTCAGGAGCTATACCTGTTTGCCGACGCTATGATGAAAGCCCTTCGCTGTAATGTGGGCCGGTGCGTTTCTGATTTGCATTTCCCGTCCTCTGCCCAGGAGGCAGGGAGGAAAGCTGAGCAGGTCTTCCGCCAAGGGCCTAGATACATGCAACGCGATCCCACCGAAGCGGCGGCAATTTGATAAAGTCTGTCCCCCATCATGCCAGGATCAGCTCAGCCTGGGCTTGCACGAGCACTGAGTGGGAGCAGATCGGCACCACCCTGGGCTGCCGTCCCGCCGCAGAAACATTCTAGGCTGATGACAATCAGGATGACGACGAACTCTGCATCCCCGTCTGATATTCTCCGGGGGAGTGGGAGGAGGGGCGGGCTTCCAGAGTCGCACTAGCTTCTGCCTGCCAAGCCGTCTCCTCGCAGCAGTTGTCTTGCAGCATTCTGTCTTGGACGTTGGATCCTGGTCTCACAACAGATGCACCGCGGATCACACCTCGATTAAAACGGCGGGCCGTGGAACTATTGCAGGGCCCAAGTTGTTTCGCCCCATCTCTGAGCGTCTGAACAAAGATCTCGACCGGACTGCCGGGATGGCGCCGCCGTCCGGTTCTATTTGTCACGTAAGCAAATCCGTAAGACAGGACTTTCTTAGAGGATGCGTCTGCAGAGGGCTGGTTGGATACGCCCCGCGAAGCCAAGATAGGTAGGTAACGGTTGACCCACCGTCTGCACTGGTTATTTGGAATTGGGACACATAGTGATAACGTCGGTTTGTCAGGATTTAGGTGGGGAAACTTTCCGGATCAAGCTTTTATTCCTCTTGCTCAAGCCTCAACGTCCAGCGAATGAGGGCTGTCCAATCTTTCCTATTTGGGCATGTGCGTTGCCACACCACCTGCGGACAACCATCTCGTTGAATCTGTTTAACGTCATTCCCTTTTGAGGCTGTCTTGACCGGTGTCTTCACGGTTCGTAGTTTGTCGAACGGAGCAGGTGCGTTCGAATACAAAGCGCTGCTTATTGAGACACTGCGCAAGCTCGGCACTCGAGTGAAGATCGCACAGGCAGCTTTTGGCGATCTTAGTTGTGCAACATGACATGCACGCAGCATCTAGCAGAGGCAAAGAGGTAGTCGGGATTCGTGGGGGCACTCTGTGCATCCCCGGTTCAATAGTAGGGCTCTGCGAGTTGTGCGTCACCTCGCCTATTCATACCCACAGGCCCACAGGGCCGCGGCGAGCCCAAACATGCGTGTCTTGCCCTCACACGCAAAGGTCACGGTCCAGGCCAGCCACGTCCTTAGCACGATCAGAGCCGTGTCAACAAGCAGGAGATTTCCGAAGGCCAGTCTGTCGGCCACGAGTATTTTGAAAACCAGACTGCTGTACCGCTTGCGCATGTCCGCATCCTCTTGCTGTAGCATAAAGGCGTCCATAGACGAGATCCGGAAATCGCGGATATCCACCGCAGTAGTTGGCGAGGCTTGTTGCAGGGGTTGGCTAGATGTCAGTGGTCGCACAATTGCGTCCGGTCGTCGACGCATATACCTAATGGCCTCGTAATAGACAAAATCCATGGGGTTCCTCGCCTCCAGCACTGGTGCAGGCTTCTTGAATAGTATCTTTGGGAGGAGGTCTGGGCGTGAGACCCAGATTGTGCAGCTTTCGCGCAGTTCGGAGAAGAGCGCCTCAAGGTCGTGCGCGTAGAACACAAATCTTGTGTAGAAAACTGGCGTCAAGACTTTGAACTCCATTTCGTCAACATCTGCGTCATGTTTGTCTTTGGCGGCAGGCGACAACATCAGCTCCCTGCCAGAGTCGGCCAGTCCGCATGGGACATACTTCAGAGCGATGGGAGCCTGACACTGCTCAACAAGGCTCCGTAGGTATTTCCTGAACATAAGTTCTAGTTTCCGTTCGGCGGAGTCCGCATTGCGTCCCATGCTTTCCTTCAGGGGCTCAGGTCTATACCACACGTGGAGCTTCCTCTTGAACCAGAGACTCGCGGCTTCCTTCACGATCCTGGGAAAGGTGACAAATCCCACCCACCACCACGACAGCAGGAAGTGCCATTTCTGTGCGATGGTCATGTTCGAGGGATCGATCGGCTGGCCAGTTGAGACAAGCCGTGCAACGATCTTGCCGTGTCCCTTGGACGACTTCAAAGTTATGGTGGTATCGAGCCATTCTCGGCCTTCCGCCACGGACTTCAGCGGGTCAAATGCCTGGAGGCTGTAGGAGCCTTTTCGTGAGTTGAAAGGCGACACGTGGAAGTCCTTCGGCCACTCCTGCTTGAACACCGCAGGTGTGCTCGATCCGTTGGCATCTGCACGAGCAGCGCCTTGCGAGTCTTCGATTCGACCGCCATGTTCCGCTTCTGTTGGCGTCAGAAAGTACATGCGCCGCTCGTCAAAGGTGTTGTTGACCTCGACAACCAATGCAGCCAGTGACATATCGTCCGAGTAAAGATACCAGAAGGATGCTGGGTTGAAATGATATCCCAGGAATCTGGCTGCCGTAACTAGGTACGCATGAGGATAAGCCGCCGGGTCGGCCCTCTGATGGATCATGTCAGTCGGAATCCGGCTAGGTGGTCTGGTTCATCATCGGGAGCACCTACTTGCGATCTCAAGTAGACATCCAACTTGCCTCGCAAGCCTAGTTGCCTGTCACCCCGGTGCAGATAATCTGCGGGATCAACATGAAACCAGCCTCTCCTGAGTCTGGAAAACCATGGCTGCTCTGAGGAAGACAGTGAGACTATTCCTCCACAGACCCCTTCCCAGCCAACGGGAATGCCAACGACGAGATAAGAGTAGTCAAAGGAATGCTTCTTTGGGAAAAATCTCGAGTGAGTCGTTTTACTGGGGAACAGCAGGACTCTCCCATGGCCCGTCCATTTCGCAGTACTGCTCGTAGCAAGTAGGCACCGGGCCACTTGGAAGATGACGAGCGTGCTCAATGCATACTGTATGGCAGTCCAACACCAACTAAGGACCAAAGCCTGGGAGTGATCCGGCAACCACTTGAGTGCAACGAAGAGCGTGAACAGTAGCTGTTTGGTACGTCGTGAGTTGAAGCCGAGGCCGCGGATCAGGGTGCCGGCGGTGGCACACGACAGCCACCCACCAATACCGCGACTCATGTCCAGGCGAGAGGAAGGTCGCGAGACGGGGAAGACACCAGTAGATTGATCAACGCATCGAGCTCGATCGCAGAATCAGGAGTGCACAGAAAGCGAGACTTGGGCTGGAAAAAGCTTGCCTGCGGGAAGTCCGTGATAGTCTCGGAAGTGTGGTAGTCTCAGCGATGAATTACACGCTGACTTTCGTCAACAAACCGGCAGCTCCGAGCTGCTGAGACTCGGCCGATGTCTGCTTGCAGGGCCCCTGCCTCACAATGACCATACTAGGTACGTACCTATGGTACCTAGAACGGTCTTGCCGGTCACCATTGCGGTCGATGTCTTTACTAGGCGGGCTAATCGTGAGCGGCCTCATAAATACTAGGCAGCTAGCTAGGCCGCATGCCATGCGATCACTTAGGATAGGGGAAATTATCTCACATTCCACGGCAATGCCTCGTACGGAGAACTTCCAGGCGCTCACAGCTGGGCAAAATAATCCGAAGGTGCCTAAGTAGATGCACACAGCCGCGCCGGGCTGAAGACCCACTCACCGCTTATATGCTAACATCCGGAGGCGGGCCGCAGGGCCATTTGCCGTTAGTGACCAAGCACTGCGCCCCCGGCATCCGCCCCCTGTCCTCTGGAGCAGTTGGTTGCTGGCCTAAAAGGGCTGAGAGGCCAACACTGTCCCTTCCCAGTCGCCGGCTGACTGCTACGCCGGAAATGACCACCGATTCGACCGTCATCCGTCACTTTCCACTTGCCAAATATTTAACTTCACCCCTTCACTTTACCACAAATGAGCCGCACTACCCATAGTAACCTCACAACGTCGTTAACACTCATCCTCTTTCCACCCCGCGAGACCCATCAACATCAGCAAACCCTCCTCGAGCCCACTCCTGACCCTCTCGGCAAATACTTTGTGCCCGACCACGCCCAATCGCCTGTCTGATATCATAACCCCGCCAAACCCGACCAGGCAGCGTCGAGAACACGCGACAGTTCACCTCAGTCAATCAACGACTACAACAACAACATCACAACCGTCAAGATGTCTGACTGGGACCAAGTCACCAAGATCGGCAAGTCCGTCCGCGGCGGCGCCGGCGAGCGCGAGACCGTCGTCAAGGGGAAGAGCGCTCTTAACGCCGCCATGCGCAGCGGTGCCGTCATCGGGAGCGAGAAGAAGTACGCCATCGGCAACGCAGTAAGTTACTCCTCAGGCCCTCATCCCCATCGTCATAAGCCCCCAACGAAGAAGAACAACATGAGGATCTCTAACATGCGTTCTCCCCCAACCAACAGGGCAAGTCAGGCGGCGAGGGCCAGCGCCTGACAAAGGTGGACCGCAGCGACGACATCGTCAAGCCCAAGACGGTGGGGCCCAAGGTGGCCGAGGCCATCAAGGCGGCGCGCAACGCCCAGACCCCGACCATGACGCAGAAGGAGCTCGCCACAAAGTGCAACACGACGCCCACCGTCGTCGCCGACTTCGAGCGCGGCACCGCCACCCCGGACCAGAAGGTCCTCGGTAACCTCGAGCGCGTGCTCAACGTCAAGCTGCGCGGCAACGACATCGGCCAGCCCAAGTTCCCCAAGAAGGACGCCGCCAAGAAATAAACCGGCTGCTGACGGGTGCCTACTGCATGCGGGGGATAGAGAAGAAAACATAAAAACCTCAACCAAAAACAAAGGGCAGCGCTGAATAACAAGGTTTTCAAGCAATGGGAGATGAAGAGTGCCACTGTTCAGGGTCGGTTTCTGGGCCGTCTGGCCGGTCGGCCAAAGATTGCCACGTCTTCCTGTTGATGGGCAAAAATGGGAGTTGGTCGGTTGCCTCTCATTTGGGGGCCGGCCAGAGGGGCGTTGGGTCATCGACCGAGGACAAGGTCGCGCCCCGTCCTTGCAAAGTGATGATTGAAGGCCTCCCCAATTTCTTATCCAAGAGTGACACATTTAGAGTCGTCCATAGAGTCTGGGAATAGAATTTGATTGACATCAATTCCGTGTCTTCTTCGAGTATTTGCAGTGGCTCTCCTTCCTTGCCAATTTCCAACGAGCGACCATGTTTATATATCCAACAGCAAACTCCCTGCAATGATAGCAAATCCTCATAACAATGCTGACTTCGACCAACAAACACGGCCGACTCCTGATGCTTCCGTGAAGTAAGAACCACGCAAACGCCCACCATGACAGGCCAAAGCAATGCCTAGCAAATGCAATCCCTTCTCTGACAAGGGACAACAGTCACTTTAGCATACGGGCCAGTACTCCAGACCCAACCGCACCATGGCGGATACCATTCTCAACCAGACAACATCTTAACCCTCTCCACCACCTCCCCAGAGCTCGGCGTCCGTCCCATCTGCACCACGACGTTCTCCTTGCCGGCGATGACAACAATCTTCAGCCACTCAGGCGCCACCTCGCTCGCAAGGAGCCGGATGCAAGCCGCGCCTTCCTCCTTCGAGATGGGCAGCCTCAGCGAGTCCTTCAGCTTCTGCAGCAGCGTCACCATCCTAAAGGACACCCGCCCGCCCATGCCTGAGCCGCCCGATGCCTTGGCAAGCATGGCAACCACGGCTGCGACGTCGTCGGCTCGCTGCAGTGCGGCGCGGCGCTCGAGCTCGGCAGCGGAGGGCCCCGTAGCCGCGAGCTGAGCGAGTTGAGATTCCTTGAGGCGGAGCCGGTCGATGAGAGACAGCTGCGGGGCGGCAGACGTGCCCTCGCCCTCAGTGGACTGCAGAACGGCAGGCGTCTTGCTAGCCTCCTTCTCCTCCTTCCTAGCCGCGATGCCGGCCTTCAGCTCCTGCATGTTGCGCTGTCCCTTGGCCAGTATGGAGGAAGCTTTGGTCAGGGCCTCGCAGCTCGTGACAGGGCTTTTGGGTAGGCCCAGGACAAATTTGTTCATGTCAGCCTCCGCCGAGTCTCTGAGCTTCGTCCAGACCGTCCGCAGGTTGTTCTCAAACACGCGCACCAGGCTCCCCTCGTCCAGCGGCCGCCCGTGATGTCCGTCCCGTAGCTCGATGCAGATCTTCTTATTTCCGTAGTCGACCAGGTAGAAAGGCGACCTGACAGTGCTAGACTCGACGTCCATGATGCCGACGCACCGGCGAATATCCGCCAGGGAAATGCGCCTCTTGCCCCACGCCAGGCTGACAGGCTGGCTGATCTGGCGGAGGTCGACGGGCGTGTCGGTGCCGTTGTGCGCGTAGTGCACCACGATGGTCTTGAGGAAGGCCGTGTAGAGGGAGACGATGTCGAGGAGCTCCTGTGGGAGGGCTTGCTCAGGCTCGGGCGTGGTGGCGGCGGACTCATCGTCGCTCTTCTCCTCTTCCGTGTCTGGGACAACGGACGTCGCGGGCGTGCTAGCCTGGGTGATCAAGGGCGAGGACAGCCGAGGGACGGTTGCGGATGGTGAAGCCTGGATGCGCAGGCGCTTGAAGAGGTTGCCGGCCTCCTTGGTGCGAGGGGACTCGATCTCGGGCGACAAGGCGCGCTTCTTGTTGTTGCGGCGCGGGGTCGATGGGATCTGCTCTTGTATGCTCGGTCGAGGGACGGGCTCTGGTGCTTGGTGACGGGCTTTCTTTGCCGATTTGTTGGTGATGTTCAGGATCTGGCGCTGAGCGCGCGATGTCGCGGTTTCCTCAGGCTCGGGAGAACGGGCTGCCTTCCTCTTGCGCGTGGAAGGGGTGGCCGGCATGCTCTGGCTGATCTCGACGGTCTGGACGATCTTCTTGTCGCTGACCTCTTTCCCGATGGGTGCTGCATGCTTGGACACGCGGGTGAAGGTGCCAATGGTGGCTATTTCCGCGGGCGCGGCTGCCTTGCGAGGGCGAACTCGAGGTCTTCCGGAAGTTGCTCCTGGCATTTTGATTACGGGTTGTTGTAGTTTCCACACACAAGAGGATGGAAAAGGCAAGTGCAGATGAGAGTTGTGATGATAGTGAGGTGAAGTAATGTGGTGATGAACCCGTCAATGGGAAGCCGCAAACAATTCGAACAGGCAGCTGGTGAAGGTGCAAAGTCAACAACCAAGAGTTACAGCAGCAGCAATCCATTGGAGCTCGCCTAGGTATTTTGAGGCGGCTAGTTGCTCTGCAGGTGGGCCCGACGCGTCCGAAGCTCGCATCAGACGCGACACCACCGCGTTTGGGTAAATTGAAAATAAACTCAGTCTCAGACTACTATTTTCGCGCTCCGCCGCGCCAACTCTCCTAATCGTCCTCTGAGCTGGGATAGCATTCAGTGGGCACTGCCTGCACACCCGCCTCGGCCCGTCAGCGATCACAGGCCGCAACAGGGTCTACGGAGTAAACCAACACAACCAAAACCTTGTCATGATCCATGGTCAATGGAGATCCGCAATGGACTCAATACTCGGAACACCTTCACACAATACGATGATCTGGAGTCTGTGGGAAGGAGGATTCCATTGTCTCTCAGGGCTACCATCTCCAACGTTTCGCCCGCAGCCGAGAGGTGTACTTGGATGGCACCCTACTGCGTGGCAGGAGTCTAATTCTTGGTAGACATTTACATGTGTCTGCCCACGTCCCTTCCGCCGACGCATGTGCCTGCCTACACTACTGTATGGAGACTCTTAAAAGCCGGGTCATGTCGTAGCACCCGACACATCATCCACGCTCGCACGACGTTCGGTCCAACGCCGGATGCTCGGTATCTACGTAGACCTCGGGAGAAGGAAGAGACACGAGCCCGCCACAGGGAGAGCCCATCCCTGATAATTCCGCACCTCGGGCGGTTGCGCCGCGCAGTGAGCTACTCTCGGCCGGAGGGCGAGGCCGGGCCTGGTCCTGCTGCAAAGTCATACGTGCGTACGACACCAGATTCCCTGACCTACCCACGCAGGCACACAACCGGGTTTCCGCAACCCGGCATCTCCCCACCACTCGGCTGTGCACGCTGCTGCTGGGGCCACTGAGTACCGCAGCATCCGTGTCACCGACCTCACGACCAGGGAAGGGACACGAGGGGACAAGGCAAACACTCGTCTTGCCAGCAAAGAACTTCCGTGGATCATGCATCACATCCGTGGGGAAAGCAGGCCACTCCGGCCCCACGGGGCTCCACATAGGACCCGGTGTAATGGTTCTGGAACATCTTTTCCATTTTCGTATCAACGGGGACCCGACCGTCCCGTCATAAGCTCAACGCCTCGTCGTTCGGCTTCTGCTGTCTATGGTCTATGATGACAGGCACTCCTCGAGAGCCTACCGCCAATGCCGCCACGGTCTGCCCTCACATTGTGCAAGTGATGTTTTGGCTGCTCCGTGAAGAGGAACAGGAAACCCGTGGCAAGACCCTCCTCCCCTTTTCTCTCTCTCTGGACCGTGACCGTATCCCTGATCGTCAACCCTCCTTTGAAGGAAAATCCGCGAATGAATGCCCCGCTCCTTTTTGTCTTCTCATAATAAAAGTACAGTCCGTCGAATTCGCCAATCCCTTTTCCGCCCATGCCGCATTACGCCGAAAACCCCTCGGGGAGGAAAATGAAGAAGACCAAATGAAGTAAACCCTGGCATGAATGCTGCTGCTGCTGCTCCTCGTCTTCGTGCCGCGCGATGAAATGAACCGAGAACTCCCATCCGAATGAATTAAAAAAAACTTTGTGCAAGTAAGGGGTGAAAGTCCCACGGTGAAACTCCTTGTCTATTGCCCATGGAGAGCAGACGGCAGCCCATTAGCGGCGGGAGCTAGGCTTCTCGTGGCGGAAGCTGACGGGGCTCGGCGGCGGAGGGGCGGGGACGTCCCACTCGCGCGGCGAGTAGTCGTAGCTAGGGGTGGGCGACGACTGGAGGGTCCTTGGAGGAGAGGGTCTTGGTGAGGCTGGCGAAGTCTTGGGAGGTAATGAGCTGGAGCCGCTCGCGCGAGGGCGAGACGGCAAGCGGCGAGGCGATGTGGTTGGGCATCTTGACTCTGGCTTTGTTGTTTTCACGGGTCTGGATCTGACGTTGAGATGGTGTGGTGGGGTTGGGTTTCTTTGAGGGAAGAAGTCAGCCTCAGCTTTTATATATGTATCACACAAGGGGCGATGGGTGAGTCGCTACTTACAGTCGATGGTGAGTGAGTGAGTGATTGATTGATGGTATGTGTTTGGCGTGTGTGTGGTGTGGGTGACTGCAGGTTGGTTCTGATGTCTGACAGGATGCGACCGTTTGTCTTTGTCTTGAAGACCTGATCTTGACGTGGCCAGGAAGGTTTGGAAGAAAACCGGAATCTGGGGAAGCGGGAGGACGGTGAGGGAAGGGACGGGGTGAGGATTAAATAAATACGGCAGCCACTGACTGCAAGGTGTGTAGGTGCGCCTTTGGTGTTATGGTGCCGGAAGTGAACGACCAGGTAGCGTCTGCGTACCCGCAGCAGCACGTTGTCACTGCTTTCGGCTACCCAACAACTCGTTGGTGCTTAGGTGTGGGGGATGGTACGGTGTTGGTCCGCGGCGACCCCAGTCGGTACCTCAGGTACCTCGCCTTGCACCAAGTGGTCGAGTGGTACCACCACGTCGGGCCTTCACCACCCTCCCCCCCTCGCTTTACTACGATAGGAGCAGGTTCTATTCAAGGATTCACCAGAAACAGCAGCGGAGGAAGACAAGGGACAGGTGGCAGGCTGCGCTGTCGAAGTGTGGGGGGAGGTCTCACACACGTACCGTCTTTTTCCTGTGTGCAGTTCTGTCTGTCTGCCTCAGGAGGTGACGGGTTGGCGCCGTTGGTCCAGTCCATGTCCAGTCCATGTCCAGTCCATGTCCAGTCCATGCATGGAATGCTGTCGAGAGAGCCTGGAACCCGCGAGCATGAGACTGTTCCACAATAACATCGCACAGAACTACCGAGTGGAAGGTGTATCGCCGCTTTGGGTGGAGAACAGTCAACTAGCGACTTTTGTGTCCTCGACCCCCCAAAAATGGTGGACACGACAGGGTCGGGAGACTGACTTGCTGCCAGGTGGTGAGACTGGCATCCCTCGGTGCCCGGTGAAGCAATCGACGACCTCTTGCTACATACGTACCACCCAGGTGGACTAAAAGTACATGCCACCCCCCAGCCCACACATCTGGTCCTTGAGAAGTGGTTCAGGAGGCAAGGGGAGTCGTAAGGATACCAAGCCTAGGTGTGAAATCCTGCGCGCGCCCGGGCTTGCTCGGAGATTCTCTGGTTTGTGCCGCCCTCAGCTTTGGAATTCCAGGCCTCGGGTCACGGCAAGGGTGCCTGAGACCTGGGGAACTGTTTCGGTGTGGTCCAGGGCCAGGACAGAAAATCCGTTGGGCATATCATTGCTACTGTGCTGTATTATGCACGGTACAGCAGTGCTGTTCACAGACCGATGTGATGATGGGCAGTTGGTATGACCGACCTGGGCGAGGGAGTGAAGGAGCGATTTGGGTGCGAAGGGGGAGGAAAGGAGCGTGGCCCACGGATCGGGTCTCTGAGCCTCCTTTCTCGCCCTCCCCCCACCCTGCCTATCCTGATGTTCTGTTTCTATCTTTTGCACATTGCATCTTGCCCCCCTTCCTTTCCGAATGCAAATGTGACTTCATATGTACTTGTATTTCTCTGCCCCCAAATTCAGCCCTGCACTCACCTCAGGTATATTTGTTTTGTTCCTTTTTGTTCCGATGCGTCGACTCGGTGTAGGGAACATGTCTGTCTGTAACCTGCCGCGTAAAACGTGTATTGGACTCCAGTTGCCTCCGGGGAATGGGCCGGATCTTCCACGCGGCACTGGCAGCACCTTGCAGTCTGGGACGAACCTTGGGGCAGAAAAAAATGCCCACGATGCCTGCCCATGGCAACACCAGGCCGGCATTCCGATCGACCGCCCTGTTTATTATTATTGGCGTGTGCAGAGGGGGGGTGTGTGTGTGTGTCTGTCTTCCCTTTAAAATTACACCTTCCAGCCCTGTGATGAGCCAATGCACTCGAGCACAAAATTCGCCCGTCCCCCCTTACACCACAGCCGTGATAGTTGATGTTCGTGAGCATTGGCAGGTCTGGGCGCAACTCTGATTTCCGTTTCTGGGGCTTGCAGGGCGCCCGGGGTACAAGAGTGGCCAGGAGCCGCTGCTGTAACCCCCGGAATTCCCTTCCCTGACAAGCCTGCGAGAGATGCGAGGGAAAATGTGGAGGTTGCAGGGTCCCGCCGGCCTGCAGGTGAGACTTGTGGGGGGCGGTTTGTGTGGGGACTGGGGGAATTTTCCTCGCGCTGCAGTGCCCTACTGCCGCCGTATGCAGGTGTGCTCTGGGGTGTGTTCTGGGGTGCCCTCTGGGGGGACATGTTCCACTCCTTCCAGACCACACCCCTGTGGCTTCTCCCGCATTGTTTCCCACCCTTACACCCCTACATATCGGATCCAAGCCGTCGACGGTGTGATTGATGCCTTGACCTCAGCGTGGGACGGGCAGCTGGGGGCTGGCCGGCTGGGGCCCGTCGGATATTCCTCATGCCTCTTTCAATCTTTCTTTTCCCGTGCTCACGAATGAGAGTTGCAGCTTCAGGGGGCAGCCACTTGGGATCTCACCCGGTATATTGGCCCGGTGCGACCTCAGACTTCTGTCGGTGAGCGACCAACTTTGCCAACTTTCAGTCTCTCGGGGCTTCTCTTTGTCGTCCTCCTCTCGGTCCATTTCGGTCCAATCGCCCGCTGAGGGTGCATGGTTACTGGCCTGTGGCATGGTCTTGGTCTCCCCCAAAGAGGCCCGTCTGAGTTGGCTTGATGAACTGGCCATGCCTGCCATGTTGGAGCTTCATCGTCCCACTCAATGCCTCCCGTCCTTGGGCCTCCTTCCCTCAGCCTGTCCAGCGTATCATCCCACTTCCAACGCCGCGTGGACTGTGCCTCCGCCAGTCCCGGGCAGGCAGGGCAGTCTATTTGGGGCCCGTCTCTGCCGCGCACCTCTCACCTCTGGAGGAAGGATCTCTGAAATCCGGGGAAGGGCTGCTGCGCCCACGAGCTTAATCCAGCACGCCGATCTCCAACATCTCATCTCAGCCTGCAGCCTGAACTGAACTGAGCTGAGCGGATGAGCTGAGCTGAGCTTCACCCGCCGTTGCATTCCCCCTCCCTGCCAGCCTGCCAGGCCTGCCTCCTTTTCCGAGCGTGGGGGTTTGAGCTCTGCCCACAGCGCCACCTCCTGGGGGCCACCGAGACATGCAATCTCACCACCCCCATTCCTGCTGGACCCCGGCTGGCATGACCAGCACTTCCCTCTCCGGCCTGGCATCTTGAGTATACAAACAACACATCTCAGAATCGGGGGCTTCGCCTCTGTGACAGGCATGATGGGCAGCTCAGGGAACAGCGGCCCAGTGGTCCAGGCCCTACAGACCGCTGCAGAGATGTCTTCGACCTCAAATGTCTGAGATCGTCTGTGAGTCGGTGGCAAACATCATCATTTCTCAGCGGTCAGCTTGGACCTGGCAAGCCCAAGAGCCCGATGCGCCAGCACGGCGTCCGATTTACACCGCGCCTTTCCGTTTCCTCCTTGTCTTTATTTGCCTGGGCCGCCAAATGTGACGTTATACAAGTCGGAAACAAGGACCCCAAGTGTCAACATGTTGGCTGCCGGTTGCTTCTCAGTACCCCCCCCCCCGAAAAAGACAGGACAAGGGCCTCACTTGGGGCTTCATCACTCTTCCACCAAGTTCGTGGGTGTGGGTTGCTATTTTGAGAACATGTTGCGCGGGCTATTTGATATGGGAAAATGTGTGAAAGCCTACCATGCCTTGGTCCAGTCTACCATCTTTACACGCACTGTCATAACGTTCTCAGTATCTCCCGTGGACTGTCAGGGCTGCATGTGCTCGTCATACTCACACAGACACAAGTCGAAAGCAGGATATGGTCATCGTTGCAGCGGACCTCCGCAAGGCTTCGATCGCCACGATGACTTGAAAACCGTGCCCAGTTGTTCATCAGAGAGGGTCGGCGTCCTTCACTTGCTTGTCTCCTTGATATTTCACTATTTCCGGTCAAAGCATGCCTATGCCCGCGCTGTCCAGCTGATAGGGCAAAAAGGTATTGCGTGCGCCAGGCTCACTTGATCGGTTGCGGGCAGACCTATCATACGGAGCGAGCCACCATCGCTTGTTGGCAACATTGCTTGCCTGACCGTCAAGTATCAGACTTGTTTCCTTCATGGGGGTGCGAAGCTCATCGGTGCCCGTGACCCAACTGCCGTCAGCCGGTGCTCAAAGAGGCTGAAGGCGATGCAAAACATGACTACACAGAAAAGGGAGTAATCCCCGGTCGTGTACTTCCACACTCAGTTCGTGACTTCTTGTTGATCTGCAACCGAGCATGGAGATCACAAGCCGCTCATGCCTGGTCGGTGATCCATCAGCATTGCAAAGATGTATCCAAAACAGAGAGCGAAAGATCGCCACATGAGCTAGATGGTCGCAGACATCGCGAGCGGGCATGAGACCCTTCCTGCTTCTTGACTCACGATGGATCTAGGCTTTGAGAGACCCACAGTCAGTTTTAAAAACCCTGCAGGGTGTCAGATCTCGGGGTCTTCAAGTCCAGAAACATGTTGGGATACATAGGTTCCCTCACGGCCGACCCAATTCGGTGCTCGTTGCCTTGTCACTTTGATTACTGCTGTGGCCGTCTTGAAAAGATGGAACAAGTCCACGTAAGACGGCCTACATCTGATTTATAATCGGCGTTGCCACCTCGTCGATTAGAACTCGGCTGCTTAAGACGCCATGCACGTGTAACACAAGCTTCTTGGTCGGTGAGCTCCCGTCTTGGTCATCGGTCGTCCGGCACCTGGGCGCCAAGGCCAGACCTTCGGGACGGGGCGCTGCGCGACGGCTTCTTGCGAGCAAACGACAGACGCCGCCAGTGCATCCGGCCTGTCGATCAGGTGCACGCCACAACAGAGCTGGCACACCTTTCAGCCCGTGCCGTCGGTCTCGATCGTGTTCCTGCATATAATCGATGAGACTTGTACATGCGCAACTTGAAGCAGGAGCTGGTAGGTATCATGCCTACTCCATCGATATCAGTGTGGCCGGGTACCTCCGTGGCTTCACTATCTCCTCACATTGCCTACTTCCCAATGCCCCGGCAAAAATTGTTTGCTCTGGTCACACCTGATTCTACCAAACCATTCTTGGTGTCGTTTAACAGGCAAGCCCTATCAAGGTGCAGAGATCTGGCTCTGCTTACCATTCTACCGTCGCTCTCCTAATGAAGTGGGCCTGTCCGGCATTCATCTGAGACGCGTGCAAGGCGCCGTCAGATAGCCACGTTCTAGCGCGGCGTCCAGCTGCCGGAATCAAAGCCATGTGGTTCACTATTGACTTACAATCGGACGACGCAACGTCGCTCTCGACGGAATCGCCGATGGGCAAGCACCCGCGTTGTCTTCCCACCCATTCTGGCCGTCTCGGGGCCCTTCCTAATCTGCTCGTCTGGCTGCCCGTCCCCAGTCTCTGGAGATAAGCAAGTTAAGCTTCGCGTCCGCACGATATTACGTGACATTTACCTCCCAATTTGGTCTTTAGGCCCGGGCCCGTCCGGCGATACCCCGGCAAACCCCCTCTCTCCCGGCCCAGGAGTCTGGGTGTTCGTCCTCTTGCGCGGTATGGCGATGCCACCTCTTGCGCGGAGGGAGGCAAGTAGACATGGGAGGTGGGGGTTATCGGCGCATTTTGATACGATGCTGGGCAATTTGACTTCACTCGCTTCTGTATAGGTTGGAGCGCGAGAGTCAGATCTATGCCTCCCTCCACCATAGTTCCGAGTCTTTTGTTTGTAGAGACTCGCTCGTTCTTTCTCTCCTCCCATTCCGACCTACGGATAGCTAGTCCTCTTGCCCTCGTACTTCACGGCTTTTTTGCGTGACTGTGTAGCTGGGGAGCTTACCCCAAGGTCGCACACTGCCAGAGGCACCATCTACTCCTTCAGTCTTGCACGAATCCTTTCTTTCTGTCCACAACCAAATGGGTACCCCCACGGACAAGATGCAAGACGAAGAGAAATATCCAGTCGAGCCCAAATTGGTCGCCGGATCCAGCGATAAATCCTCGGCCAGCGTGGAAGATGAGGTACCCCCATATATGCGGGATACCAGCAAGAAGGGCGTTCTGGCAAAGCTGCGCGGGTGGGAGGAGGCCTTGGACCGGGAGATCGGCGTCGAGACCCATGGCATATCGCGACGGCGACCCGAGGACAGGGACCCTGCGTATGGGTCGTGGAGCAACCAGGCCGTGATGTTCCTGGTGAGTACTCCCATGCGAAGCCACTGCCGTTCTGTGCAAAATCAGTAGCAATATACAATTCTTTGTGAGATAGCCGGGTACTACGAGATGTATAAGGCACATACGTCCACCCACACTCATTACCTTCTCAATATCCCAACCATGAAATATCTACTAAGTAAATCTTAGATGTGGATGTCCGCAACAATGAACCTCAGCTGTTTCGCGACTGGGTTTCTTGGGTGGGAGCTGGGCTTAGACTTATCCAGAACTATCACCATTACAATATTCAGCACCCTGCTTGGGAGCGCAGTCACTGTAAGTCAGAAACATCCTATAGGGCTCTCAGAGGGAGACCTGCGGAAAAAGCACAGTTTGACTGATAGCAAACGTAACATAGGGCTGGTGTGCAACAATGGGGCCCGGTACTGGGCTTCGACAGGTGTCTATCTCGAGGTATTCAATAGGTTGGTGGCCGAGCAAGCTGATCGCGGCGCTCAACGTCGTCGAGCAGATCGGATGGTCCTCGGTCGGCTGCATCACAGGCGGGCAAGCCCTGGCGGCCGTGTCAGACGGGCGGCTAGGCTCAGAGCTGGGCGTCGTCATCGCGGCCGTCTGCGCCTTCGTCGTCTCCTTCGTGGGTCTCAAGGCCGTCTTCACCTACGAGAAGTTCGCCGGCCTCGTGCTCGCCGTGGCCTTCCTCATCATGTACGGCTACGCGGGCGCGTCGGCGGACCTCGCGACGCCCGCCCTCGCGGGGCCGACGCTGTCCGGGACGGCTCTGACGCTATTCGCCGTGCTATACGGTTCCTCGGCGTCGTGGTGCTCCATAGTCAGCGACTACTACGTCGAATATCCCGTCGACACGAGCAAGTGGAAGGTCTTCCTCCTCACCACGCTGGGCAACAGCATCCCGACCTGCCTCGGCATGATCCTCGGCTGCATCTGCGGCTCGGCCCTGAACAACAAGGCCGACTGGCTGGAGAGTTATGACTCGGGCATCGGCTACCTCATCCAGACCATGGTCCGCCCGGTCGGCTTCGCCAAGTTCCTCCTCGTCATCCTCGCCTTCTCTGGCATCGCCATGACGGCCATCGCCATGTACTCGGCCGGCCTGTCGGTGCAGCAGTTCGCGCGGCCGCTGGGCGTCGTGCCCCGCTTCATCTGGACGTCCATCATGTTCGTCGCCATCATCCTCCTGGCGCTGGTCGGTCGAGACCAGCTGCTCACCTTCCTGCAGAATTTCCTCTCCCTCCTGGGGTACTGGAACACGAGCTTCTTCGTCATGCTGGCCGCGGAGCACTACTTGTACCGCGGCGGGCTACGCTGCGGCTTCCAGGGCTACGACCTCGACGCCTGGAACAACCCGCGGCTCCTGCCTTTCGGCTGGGCCGGCGGCCTCGCATTCGCTGCGGGCATCGCGGGTGCTGTTGTTGGAATGAGCGAGACTTTCTATGTGGGCGTGCTGGCGGCCAGGATCGGGGATAACAGTGGGGATATTGGAAACCAGCTTTCGTTCCTGTTCACGCTTGCTGTATATGTGCCTGCGCGTTGGGCCGAGAGAAAGTTCACTGGGAGATAGATCATGTCTACATGAATAAGGGAAAGACTTTGCAAGGCATGCCGCGGATCAAAGGCTGATTCAGAAAATTATTATATGCAGTTCAAAGTAAATCATTGGATAGAAACCAGACGCTTGGCTGTAATATCTTGTAATCTCAACCACATACCAAAGCGCCAAGTAGCAGGTAGAGTATGCTGCGTATCAGGAACAGGGAAACACAGGTAAGTTGTGGGGGGTAAATGAGAAAGAAAGAAAATCCATTGAAGCGCTTGTAGTTTCTCGTGAAGGACGAAAGTTTCTCAACTGATGTACGTCGTTATCACTGGTGTGATATGAACTGCGTAAGTGGTAATGCTCACTCAACGTTTGAAGGCTCGTTCGAGCTGAAAATGTCTCCTTGCTTAATTGTGTTAGCATACCGACAACTTCATAGTCTATTTTACGGCCGTGGATATCCACGCGAGACTCAAGAAGATCAACACGTGTATAAAGATTTCTCAACTCTGCAAAGCCTTGGACAATGCGAACAAGGCACTTGAAGATGCAGCCTGTGATGCCCACCGTTTGGTGAGCTGGACGTTCTCGTCCTTTGCTTTGAGATCTTGAAATCACACTCGGATTTGGCAGGTCTTGTATCAGAGTATTTCTGCAGGATTGATGAACCCAGCCACAAGCCCTCCCAACGAGGACAATGGCGTGTGGTACCAAGTTCAAGATACACGGTATTGTTAATGATACGTGCTGGACGATACGTAAGTCAAGCGGCCCACATTCGGTCCACCCCCTGATTCGGCCCACGTTTCCCACCAAAAACACCAATATTTAAAGCCATCTAACTCAACCAGTTAATTATATACAAATTTCAAATAAAAATTACATAGAGTTTATATATATTAAACCTTATTTTCAAATTTCTGATTTTACGAGTATTTTACGTATTACTATATAAAAGGTATAAGTTTATAAAGCCCTTATACTTTAAATTCTCATATTTAATTAAAAATAAGAAATATAACTTTAAAATTAATTGTTTAAATAAATCTTAATATTTAAAATATAAATAAAAACACATTATAAGTTATATATATTATTTTTATATATAAATAATTATTTTAAAAAAGGTTATAAAATATATAATATATAATATTATATTATATAAAGTAATAAAATTTAAGATATTAACATTTTTATAATCTTTTTATATATGTTAACGCTATCTTATAAGGGTATAAATTTATAAAGTTTATTAAATTTAAAAAAAAAATATAGTTTTCCTTATATAAACTTTTATTAAAGTATAGAAATTTAAGGTAATATAGCTATACTTATTTTAAATATTTATAATATATTTAAAATGAATATAAAAATATACCTTAAATATAAGTAATTTATTTAATCATTTAAAAAGACTTTTAAAGTATTAAGAAATATTAAATAATGTTATGGGCTAGCCTTGGGTTATCTGCCGTAAGGTGTTTAAATGGGGTTTATATTTAAAGTATAAAGGAAAAGGTTCATTCCCTGTTTGCATTCGCGCTAAAGCCTATTCTTATAGGGCCAAAGCCCACTAACTAATTACAATGGGTAAAGCCCAAACCGTAATATATCCTTCTTCTTTAAATCCCTATGGCAGGCCTTAAAAGGTAGCTATATAATAAAAAATAAAAAACACTATAATTTAATTATGAATTAAATATCGCTCTTTACCTAGCTATTTAATTATACCTTAGCGCCTCTTAATTATGCTAAAGGCTTAGCCCATTATTTATAATTAATACGCCTTAGTCCTTATAATTTAATATATTAATTAAAGCAAGCTAATAAAAGATAATTATTTAAGCATAAGCTAGTAGCTAAATTAATAGCATTTTTATAATCTTTTAATGTAAGCCTTTTATATAAACTCCCTTACTTAAAACCTTAAAACCCGTGGATTTATTATATAATTCATAATTAATTAGCGCTTAATTATAAGCAATTTGCTTTATTAGCGGGAATTTCCTAGATTTTAAGTATTTTTATAGTGCTAAATTAGCTAATATATAGCTAATTTGCTTTAAGCTTAGGTTGGCGCTAAGCTAATATTACTTTTAAGCCCTACCCTATAAAAAATTTTATGCCCCCTTAAATAAACTCCTTTCCTTTGCTAATCTTAATTAATAAAAGCTATATTCTTATTTTTTTGCAACGATTAGGGTAATTATGCTTATAATGGCTAAGTTAGCTATATATAAAATACTTAACTTTGCTTATTAAGATTGCTATAATATTAATATCCATTGCTTTACTATTTTAAAGTTAAGTATTATCCTTTCCCGCTATAGCGTTAAAAACGTTCTTATATTACCGTAAGGCAAAGCAAAAGGCCTTAAATATATTTAGCCATTCCTTGCAATTAAGCTAAGCTCTTATTATAAAGGTTAAGCTGTTAGCCATTAGTAGTATTTTATATTTATTTAGCTAACTTTAAGTCTTTATTATATAAGCTAATTAATTAAATTAAGTAAGAAATTTTACCATTTCCTCTTTATAATGCTATTATAACGTAACTAAGCTAAGCTTAATATGCCTTTGTTTAAAAGAGTCCCTAAGCGCAAAGCAAACCTTTTCTAAGAAGCTTTCCGGCTGCCCCTTAAATATCTTTATAAAATTAATATAGGGTAAAAATTAATTACAGAAAGTTTTTAGCTAATTAAATATATAAAAGAATTAAGCCCCTTTAGCATTAATTGCCTCCCTATTTATTGCAAACTTAACCCTTATTTCTACCAGCTAAGTTATTAAGTATTCCTAAGATAAGAGTTTCTTTAAATAGAGAAGGGCTTAATAAATTACCGTTATTCTTTTTAAGTTTCGCTATATTAGGTTTTATATAGTTGCATTATAGGTCTATAATATAAGAAGACTTTAAATATATATTATGAGCTAGCTTTAGGTTGTTTACTATAAGGTATTTAAATAGGGTTTATATTTAAAGTGCAAAGGAAAAGGTTTACTCCCCATCTATACCCGCGTTAAAGCCTATTCTTATAGGGCCAAAGCCCATTAACTAATTACAATGGGCAAAGCTCAAACCGTAATAAATAATAAGGTATAATCCTTAATAGCTAGGTTTATATAGATATATATTATTCTTATAATTATGTATTTAGTATATAGATTTTTTTCTATATACATTATATAAAACTGTAGCCTTAAATAAATCCTTATTAATACATGTATTTAATTAGTGGAGATGTAGGCTTCTAAAAAGTGAGTGTTTTGGTGGGAAACGTGGGCCGAATCAGGGGGTGGGCCGAATGTGCACCTTTTGACTTATTTATGTAGCCTATGACGATTCAACTTGCGAGAGTTCCTAGGAGGCCCGGTCACTCGTGAGGAACATATCATCAAGCTATGTGAACATTGAATTAAGGAAGAGCTGGCACTAGACACTAAGAAGGAGACAACATTGAGAGCGGTCGTTGGCACGATCTTGTGTGCGAGCGACCAAACGTGCGTCGAGTCGACACGAAGGCAACACAATTACAACCAATTACCGAGAGTTCGGAGGCGCTAAATTCCAGTATTTTACTATACCTAGGTACTGTACTATGCAGGCAAAGCCCCGGAGCTATCTATCCGTGTGCGCACTTGGCGATCGGCGGTCGGCCAACCCCACAGTCGAACGAGCGGAGCTCATTAGGTCGTAAGTTGTGCCGAGGCACGTCTCGACGGACGAACACCGGGGCCGGGTATCGCACCCCTTGTTAGAAAAGGCAACTACCTGCCCTTTGTCAGGCCTTCCGGAAATACGCTTCATGTTCACTTACCTCTCCTAAGACTTGTAATAGAGTAAACTGCCCAAAATGTCAACAGAACAGCCAATTATCCTCTATCACTACCCCTTCTCGCCATATGCGAGGCGGATAGCGTGGTACCTTCAACTGCGCGGCATCCCGTACAAGCAATGCGTGAGATCACCCTCATCCCAGCCAACGTACCTGAACATGCACGGCTAAAGTATGAGAATAGACGCAACCTCCAATTATGCCGCGACCGGATGTGGCCAAACTGGGAATCAAGTACCGCCGCATCCCGTTAATGTCCATCGGCCGTGATGTATACCTAGACACACGGCTCATCCTGCAGAAGCTCGAGTCATTCCCCGCCAGCGCCCCGAGGCTCGGCGCCGCGGAGAACACGGAGCAGCGCGCCACCGAGCGCCTCCTGGAGGTGTTGAGCGTCGACGGCGGCGTCTTCGCCTGGGCGGCGTCCCTGCTCCCGCGCGAGCTGCCCATCTTCAAGGACCCCAACTTCCTGAAGGACCGGGCTGATTTCATGAGCGGGAGGAACATGCTCGCTCCGAGATCGCCAACGGCGAAGCCCGAGGCCCTAAACGACATCCGTACCGTTTTTGAGCTCTTGGAGACGACGCTGCTCGCCGACGGGAGGGACTGGGTTCTGAAGACTGAGGGGCCGAGTCTGGCGGATATCGAGGCCGTCTGGCCACTTCACTGGCTGAACGGGCTGCCGGGAGCCATGCCGTCCGACTACATCTCAAAGACGCAGTTTCCCAAGGTATTTGCGTGGATCGAGCGATTTGACAAGACTGTCAATGCAGCGAAACAGAAGCTGGGCAAGGTACCTTCAGTGTCCGGTGAGGATGCGGCGCGTGCTATTGTGCAATCCTCGTATTTCGAAGGCGCCGTCAGGGAGGTTGAGCAGGGTGAGCCGCTCGTAAAAGCCCTCGGGCTGAAGAGGGGCGACAATGTTGTGGTATTCCCACTTGATTCTGGATCAACACATAAGGACTCGGGGGTTCTCTGGAGCCTCGATGGCAAAGAGATTATTTTCGAGACGAAGACTGACCTCCAAGGGTCCCCAGCGATTCGGGTCCATGCACCTCGACACGGCTTCCGCATCGTTCGCGAGGATCAGGCTTCTCACCTCTGAGATAGTGAATGGTATCAACTTGGTTTAGATTATGGATGTAGTGGCTATTCGTGTGATGAGTGTCCTATCGAATCTGTGTTGTGACCTGGTGAAAAAAAGATTCGGAACCGCGTCGCATGCCCCAGGACCTTGTTTAGGACGAGGCTGTATGTGCGTGCGAATTAGCAGTAAAAGTGTGAGAACGATTCTGCCAAGGATTTATTAGATATTCACAAAATATGGGCATCTAACATTGCCTATCGTGGACCAAACCAACTCAGTCGTTATCTGACCTTATTAGGTGCTTGAAGTGTATCTAGAAGGCGAGCCGAGACAAGGCCTTAGGGCCGACCGGCAATCCCGACCTAGGCGAGACGGGACCTAGGGAGTTGAAGCCATGCAAAGCGGAAAGGCATGCGGAGCCGCATGTGGCGATGACGTCTTCTAGCTGCTGGCTTGGAAGATCTGATCTGTCTCGCCTATCACCGCGCGCGCGTGGTCTTCCAGGAATGCGCCAGCAGTTATCCCCGAAAGGCGTCTGTCTGCAACACCGAGTGCTTTGTCTTCGTGGACTCAGAGACTCGGCTCTCGTGGACTGATAGGACAGACGCTGATGGGCCAAGTCAAGATCTCAACTTTGTGTCGCCAAGGAAGCGTCCCCTGCGCCGGGTTGTGCAGGCAGGAATAGAGTTTGACGCACACCAGCTGGCAGTCTGGCAGTTCGTACAACCCCGCCCGGGTTCGAGGGACTGCCATGCCGCCAGGCCGCGTGGTGTCGCGACTTGCTATGCGCAATGGCCCTCCAACAGAAGCGGGCAGGGAGGGCAGAGGAGCTGTTCAGCGAATGCCGCCCGAGCTTTCCCACCAGCAGATCCTAGGCGTCGCGTAGTCTTCTACATAACAAGTCTGTGGTGTGGACGTGCTGCAAGCTCCGGCATCCTGTCCGTCGTACTCCAACTTGATTGGGCCGGCGTGCAGGCGACAAAGGTGAATTCCATGCAAAGGGATGTCTGTCTTGCGTCATAGGTCGGGATGATGTGAGGGTGGTCGCTTGTCAATATACAGTGTCCAATCACAGTGTGCGACGCCAGCAAGGTAGCGGAGGCGCGAAGTCCAACGCATTGGCAAGGAAGACACGAAGAAGATTAAGCCAGCCTTCCACACGTACGTGACCCCGAGTTGTGCTCGATCAGTCGGCGAGGTCTTGATCGTGGAGTCGACACCGACTTCTTCCTGCTGCGAAGGGGTCTGGAAGGTCAAGGGGACGGAGAGGAGGCGCTGCCTCGGCGCACGCCGGTCTGGCTGCGGAGGCACACACTGATTGACAACCATCGTGATCCCTGGTGCCGGAGACGCATGCAGAGTGTTTCCGCTCTGCGCAATTTCAGAACCGAGTAGGAGACAAGGCTCCGGATTGGTAGAGGCCGAAGTGGGGGTTTTGTCCTTTGTCACTCGATTCCACTGTGCGCCAAGCCTGAATGCTGTGATGATCTTGGAGGATTCCCACTCCACCGACGCGCCTGGAATTCCGTGACAAAAACAGGACCAGACTGTGACCGGGGATTTCCAAATCCTGGATGGCCTTGGGCGTGCAGGAGCTTGTCGTCCGTGTTTCCCGTCGGTGGCTCGGCCGGTTGGGCCGGTCAAGAGCGTGCCAAGCTGGGTTCGCACCAAGTACTAGAGATCGAGATACGATCCCAAGGCAGTGGCCTTCGTCTCCGTCCTTGCGCTTGTGCTCGTCCCGATTGCCACGCCCGCCCACGACGGATCGACCGCCGTTGGCAGCTCGGACCAGGATGGATGGATAGCAGTGTAAAGGGCTGTGTGATGTTGGAAGAGATGATTCGCGTCGTCACGTCAAGGTCAACATCATATGATGGTCTAACTTCTCTCGTCTGGGGATATTTGTGCCGAGTTGGATAGTGTTTCCATTCACAGCGCACCCGGAACCGGGTGCGGGATCGCAATTCGCACGGAGCCGATACAATGGTTGAAAAGGGGGTTGCACTTGCGACATGCTTGTACCGTTACCTGACGGCCTGAGTGGCAGAGAACTCCAGCGACAAGCTCGACGTCGAGCACGACAGGGCGACAGACACGACAAGCGCTGAGGAAGCCATGCAATGCTTGGTTCGGCCGAAACAGCACAGGCAGACTTGAATATTGGATTTCCTATTCTGCTAAATTGCGGCCAGGTTGAGCAGCGACGGAGATGGTGACCTGCAGCGGTGCGAGGCAGGCGATGGGTGACCCGGCAATAATGCGAGACTGGGAGTCCCCGCCACAGGGATTACATTGCTCCAGTCTGGATGCTTTGTAATGTGGAAACGATAACTTTGCCTCCCGTTTTCTCGAAGACGTGGAGCACGGCACTTTGTACTGTACATGGCGGGCGGCGGGCAGCCACTGGCAAGAAAAAGTATCTTCCCTGCTCCGTGTTGCACTCCTCTGCTAGGCCCTGTCAGAAGGGCTGGTGGCTGGCCCCATTTCAATCTCTCGAGTGGCAGGAAAGGCAGGAGGAGCACGAGGGAGGGAGGCCGGTGGCCCTGGGTGGGCGAGCGAGAGGAGGGCAGGACGGCAGGACGGCAGGAAGCAACGGGGGTGGGACACCGGGGCCCGTTCCTTGCCATTTATTACTGAGCCCACTTCCCACACCACGTCATCGCCCCAAATCCGTGACGTCTTGTTTTTTTCTCTTCCCTCAACTCTTTTTTCCTACGCACCCAGGCAAATCGATCGCACGCCCACGCCGCGCCTGCGCCCACAATCACCACCACACCGGACCTGGGACCTGGATCTGTATCTGGACCCGGACCTGACCTTGTGCTGCACGCATCCTGCATCTGCACGGCCACTGCCCACCCGTATTTCTGTCCAGGAGGTGGCATCGTCACTGCCACGTCGTCCCACCACCACCATTGACGACCTCCTTTGCCTGCCCATCCGGAGGTTTGTGAGACAGACTGCACGAGACAAGGACACAGAAGAAAGCAAGAGCGCCAGACAGATAACAAACCGTTGCATTTTGTGAACTCCCAGACCAGCGAGCCTAGCATCGTATCTATCCGTCTATCGTCCGTCTATCATTCAGTCACATCAGTCCATCAGTTAGCCAGCCAGCCTTAACCAGCCGGCCTAACAGACCCGGCCGCCAGTCGCTCACATTCCCTCGGCTTGTGTCACTCTGCTCCTCCCGAGGAGTGACCTCATGAGGACATTTTAACTTTCTCCCATCTAACCCACCTACCTCCTCTTTGCGACGCTCTTTCTTGCCCATTTCGTCATCGCCCTCACCCGCCCTTCCTCGTGCCAGATCATTCAATTCCTCGACCACAATGGCTGGCGATAGCGACTCCAAGTCGCCCAAAACAACCAATGCTACCACAAACCGCCCAGGTTAGTCATATGCAACCCCCTCAATCCATTCTGTCCGTTCCAATCATCATCACCGCCGTCATCATCATCACAATTCATCACCAGCCGTTTTACCACGGTCCGCCACCACCACTTCACCACCCATCACCATCACCATCACTGTCACCACGCACTTGATTCCTCCTGCAATCAATTGGAATACCATGCCGACGAATACTTTTCCCACATCTAGATGCCGCGGCCGACTCCAAACCTTCAGAGATCGTAGCGAAGACCGAACCGTCCAACGGCGAACCCGCTAAGCCACTTGCGCCACCTCCCCGTCCCAACCAGGCGGCGAAGGGCAACACGCCCGACTACTTTGGCCTGACAGGCCCCGGAGGCTCGTTGAACCAAGAGCCCAACCCCTTTGAGAGGTCATTCGGTGGTGATCCTACACTCGGCGCCAACGGTGGCCCTCCCGAGACCCCAGGAGGCACCAAGTTGCCTCCTGTCGCAGCCATCACCTCGCCGTCGTCGCTCCTTCCCGGCACTGGGTCGACGCCCTTCAACTGGGGCGGTGGGTCGCTGCGCACCGGGCCGCTCAGTCCAGCCATGCTCTCAGGCCCTCAGACCGACTACTTTGGCGACCAATTCCGCGGTGGCTTTCCCACGCCCAATGAGTCCTCGCTTCGAACTGGTTTGACCCCTGGCGGGAGTGGATCTATGTTCCCTGTGGTTGGAAGCCCTAATACTGCTGCCATCTTCAACCTCGCCGGTGGTGGTGCCACACCAAGCACTGTTGACTTTCACCGCACGGCTATGAGGGCGGCTGCCGCTGAGCGTGAACAACAAGCCCAACAACCATTGCCTGCGACGTCACAGCCACAGGAAATCAGCAACGGTGCACCGGCCGTCAAGTCTGAGGCCAAGCCCACTGGACCTTTTGATAACCACGACAACGACGCGGCCAACGGTCTGTTCATGCTGGCACAAGGCAGAACGGTGCCCAGCAACAGAGCCAGTATCCTTTACCGCCTCAGCCAGCAGACCACGGCCACCCGGCGCCTGCTGTCCAACATCCCAACCCCAACATGAACGGTAACTCCACTCAAAATGGCCGAGCATCTCGAGGTGCTAGTGAGGCCGCAAGCGCGCAGTCAGACGAGAGCGAGCATGCCCGACCCATCACCAGGGGTAAAGGCAAACGCAACTCGGGCTCGGGAGCTGCCGCGACAAACGGCAGGCGGAAGGCCGATGAGGCCCCAGCCAGGGCCCCTGCAAGCAAAAAGGCGAAGACTAACACTGCCGATGCCCCGCCATCCGTCGGATCTGACGAACAAATGGATGATGACTCTGACCATGATGACGCTGGCGGAGACAACAAGCCAAAGCACAAGATGACCGAGGAAGAAAAGAGAAAGAATTTCCTCGAGCGTAACCGGTGAGTAGAACAAAACTCAGCCTGATGAATCTCGTTAATCCGGATGCTAACGATGAACAGTGTCGCCGCTTTGAAATGTCGCCAGCGCAAGAAGCAGTGGTTGGCAAATCTTCAGAACAAGGTTGACCTCTATCAGACGGAGAACGACCAGCTGACACAGCAGATTGCTGCACTCAGGGAAGAAGTTGTCAATCTGAAGACGCTGCTGTTGGCGCATAAGGACTGCCCTGTGACGCAACAACAGGGGCTCCAAGGTGCTTACATGGCTGGGATGGAGCCATATAACGCCCAGATGAACCCGTACGGGATGGCTGCACCGATGCCAAACCACCAGATGATGCCTGCCCAAGCAGGTCAGCGTCGTTTCTCATAGCGGAAGGGGTCCTCGAGCGGGATGCAAAAGTTTCCCGCTGCGAGAACGGAAGGCCCGCGGTTTGGTTGTAACATATTCATTTCGTCACGGTGACATTCCCTGGCTTAGCGGGCATTGGCTGTAAAAAGTATACGGAGCAGTCCATCACAAGGGGACAGGGGAAACCAAGGTGTCTTCTTCACGGTCCAAGGGCATACATACGGAAAAGGGGGCGTTCTTGGTGTGGTCTGCACTCTCTTTCGGTGGCGTTCGGGAGGGGGTCTGGGATGGCCTGGATTCTCAGGCCTGGATATATGATATTGCACGCAGTATCGGCTACGCTTACTGTCGTATCTTCGCGCGAGAATTCTGTGCCTGACCTCGACTATTTGATAGCAGCATATGGCAAGTCAAGGTCAACAGGACTCAATTATTTGGAGCTCTACAAAGAAACAACAATAAATGTCTTACTGCAGCCTATGTAATCGACTCAAGTTATCGTTAGAATTGGCCTCAGTAAAATGCAAGGAATTGTGGCAACTGCCTTGTGGCTCTTCTGTTCTGGGAATGGCAGCTCCAAGGAAAAGAGTACAAGCCCTCGTCGAAAGAGTGAAATCATACCTGGACTGTACTATGTAGTAGGCTTTTCCCCGGTGGTAGGGGGGGGGGGGTGGTGTGGTGTAATGTCCCCACCTGCAGGCCGTTGCTGTTCGGCGGGTCTCGACAGCCCGTTTTGGCCTAGCGCTGGTCTCTTTCGTTGTACTAGCAGTAAACAGTCGGCTTTTGGGGGAAGAGACAGACACCTCTAGATGGGGGCAGGCCCGTTCCCGCGGCATATTGATGGACCCCCAGCACCACTGACCTCGCAAAAGCACGAAAGCCTGCGTCGCGAGCGCTCAGCATCGATTATAAGCGCGCAGAAATCCCGGCATCTGATGTGCAGTATTGAAACACACGACATTCCGAGAATCAATTCGACGATTCGACGCGTCTTGCAGCGCTGAGGGAACAGTCGCGAGGGGCACCACCGCCTTTGGCCTCTGACCCGCGTGCCCATAGCGACGACCTGCAAACATAACACGCGACGCCGACGACAACATACCGCCGCCATCCCTATACACACCCTCACTGAATGCGCTCCATTCTGAGATCCCGTCAATGACGACCGTCGTGCGGACCCGGCACCCTCTGGAAGCATTGAGCATGAGCAATCAGTCTAAGCCCAGCCGGACAAGCAAGCGCCGTGCGGGTATGTACAGCTCCAGCTTATGGCCGGCGATTGGATGAATGATGGTTACTGACGATGCTTCTCGCCGTTTTACAGCGAACTCCGTGTATGACGAGCAAGATGGCGACTTCCTCTTCACGCGCGGTTCAAAGAGACAGAAGACGGTGTCATCCCCAGCGTCCCCGCCCGCTCCAGAACCAAAACCAGTAGCAAAAGCTGCAGCGAAGAAAGCCCCAGGAAGACCACGTAACGGCACCAAACGCCCTGCGTCATCGCCGCCACCGCCAACGAGCAAGGAGGAGGAGCTACCTCTTAGGACCTCTAAACGGTCGACACGGAGGAAACTCGATTCTTCATCGCTCGCGCCAGATAAGCCATTGGTGGTGCCAAGGAAGCGCCCTACGCGGAGGACAAAGTCACCACCTGTCGAAGACATCGCCGAGGAAGAACCCGGGCCGGAACCAGTAACTGTACTCGCGCCCACATCTGCGAAGCGAACCAATGGGACTAGACAAGCATCCAAGGATGATAGCGCAAGGAAGGGCGTTCGCAAGAGCACACGCAAGCAACAAGCACCACCGGTGGAAGATGACTCGCAAGCGACGCCCGAGCATGTTGACAAGTCCCTCGAAAGAGATCCGAATGCGCAGAAGATAGCACTGCCGTTTAGCGACACCCCTATCAACGACCGGAACAAAGATTTCCGCAGGAACCGGGCCGCAGGCGCAGGTGGCGGGCGACGGAGCAGTGTAGGGCTGCGAGGGAGGCGGGCCAGCTCTCTGATTGAGAGCGGTCACAGCGCGATCCCGCACCGAGAGGTTGGCGCGTCGGAATTCTTCAAGCATATCGAGTCAGAGGGGCTGAGCGAACCAAGAAGGATGAAGCAACTTCTGACGTGGTGTGGGGAGAGGGCTTTGAGCGAAAAGCCGAAGCACGGGACAGCAGGAGCGCCCGCGGTGCTGGGTGCTCGCGCGATACAGGACGCACTGTTGAAAGAGTTTGGGTCCAAGTCGGAATTCTCAGACTGGTTCAGCAGGGAGGATGAACCGTCTGCTGCTGCTGCTCCAAAGAAGCCTGTGGTCATCAAGCCAAACCCGATCAATGTTGAGCATGAGGAGAAGATTGCTGCTTTGGAAGCGCGCATAAAACGGTAGGCGCTCCCGGTTCGACTGGCAACTCTGCGGGTGCTAACGAGACAAAACAGATTAAAGGAAACCCGCAAATCATGGCGTGCCCTGCAGGCACCTCTACCGCAAGTTTCACCTTTGTACCCAGAAGACGGCGATCCCAAGAAGGCGCCACTACCAGACACATCGCTTCTCGACGCAGAAGAGGTCAGAATGCTCGAATCTCTGACGGACCCGTCCTCGTCATTTGCACACCTAAAATCAACCACAAGAACGCGGCTGCAAACTGTCCAGTCGGGGGTGGAATTTAAGGTCGACCATCTCGCGGACAGCGTGCATAAGATGGATTTAAGAGTAGTGACGGCGGGAAGGCAGGCAGACAAGGTCCTCGCGTTGAGCTCGGAGAGATTAAAGGAACGAGAAGAGAAGGAGCGGCAGGCGGCGGGCACGAAAGCACTGCCAACGATGGAAGTGTTGAGGAGTCTGAGCAGGATATTGCCCGAGAATGGAGGATAGGCTCGACCATTGGCCATAAGCGCCGCCACAGGAACAAAAACCTAAGCCTGAGCCTGAGCCTGAGCCTGGTGTTTCAGGGGAAGAAGGTAGGCGGCTGGATGGCATCCACATACTCGCTCAGCATGAGCACCACCGTCGCACGCCCCCATGCGATAACCAGCGGATTGTCTTTTCCCCGGGAGTGGTTCCACACGATGTGACGACAGTTTATGAAAGGAGAGTCAAGGGTTGGTGGAACCTTTGTTGGATGTGCTGAGCAAATCCGGACTGCAGCTCCCCTTGACCCAGATAACCTGGCCTGGGGGCGACAAGGCTGGACTATTCTACATTGTACATACTGGCCTCCTAAATACCCGCACACAAATGACAATGCTACAGCATGACAGTGCTGTTGAACACCTATGAACCCGTCCTTACTATAGCGGTTGTCGGACCGCGCAGATGCGTCTGTCCGTCCATCCGGCATGCCTCAACAGCCGAGGCCGCAGGACTATCACAGATTCCAGCATGTGCACTCTTCAACTCCAGACCCAAGGTAGTCCCTGGCCCTCCGTATCGGGATCATTTCCTCTCCCCCAGGGGAGGCATGAACGCCATCCCCTCCGCCTTCTCCCTGTCGTTGTTCCCCAGCACGCCGGCCGCGCTCCTCTCCTTGACGTGCCGCCGCAGCAGGTCGAGGACCTCGCTGCCGCGCCACCGCGCGGGCACGGGCCTGAAGGCGGGCCTGAAGGTGCCGATGGTCTGCGCCCACTCGCCCTTGGCCGGGCTGGCCGGCTCCAGCTTCTCCCTCTTGCCGCCGCCCGCGCCCTGGTCGCTCAGGTACGGCTCCGAGTTTTGCAGGCCCGCGGCCGGGGTGTTGCTGCTGGGATTGTTACCGTCCTCGGGCTGCGTCGCCCAGTAGTAGATGTCCCAGTCGTTCTCGTCCAGGAACCGGTCGTACTGCGCCATCTGCTCGGGGGTCATGCGCGGCAGGTAGGCGGCCGCGAAGGTGCTGAGGAGGAGGTCCGACTCGAGGGTGCCGCGCTTGCGGGACTGGTCTGTTGGTGCGTGTGATGGCACATGTCAGCAGGATGAAGCACACAGGCATAAACTAGGGTGGAAGAAGTATACCCCTCCCACCACTGGGGAGAGTACAAGGGCGGGCGACGAGGAATCATCACGTACAGGTTAACCTGGCACGCATCGTCTCTGCGTCCTCGCCCGTGCGCCGCAGCGGCTCGATCCTGAACTTGGCGCCCTCGAGCTCGCCCACGCCCATCTCGTGGCCCGGGACTGGGTCGAAGGGGCCGCTGTTGCTGTGCTGCCACCGTGCCGGCACCGCTGAGGCGACGACGGGGCGGGCGCTCAGGATGCGCCGCGAGGCCGGGCGGAGGGCGCGGGGGATGGACATCATGGTGGGGGACAAGTTGTGTTTTCGGGTGATATCTAGTGTCTCCGTGAGAACAATTGACAATCACATTCAGTATCGTGGGGGGGGGGGATGCTCGGAATTGGAAATGGTTGTCAAAAGAATGTAAAATGTCCAACCCATGGTCCAGTGCCGTCATAGATTATCCACCAAACTACCTAGGTACCGAGGCCTGCCGTGATCCCGCCCGGCGCGTTCTCAATCTCGGCATCGGGGGCCCAGACACCAGCAGGGATCATTCCGCTGCGGGTGCTTAAAACTCCTCGGAACAGGTCGCACGGACCGATCTCGTGAGAGGTCTGACTTTGTGCAATTGGTTTCACTCCGAGATGGCGAATGCAGCAGACGGCCAAACACCCAGTGAGCCGACACATCTCCAGCCTGCCAGAATTGTCTCGACGTTGTTCAGCTCAAGGGCGATATGTAAACAGCAGATCAGCATCACCCGACATTTCACACTGTCCTGAACAGTCCATCAGAGTTCAGGTAGCCAGACCATGATCTGTTCATCTCGTAGCTATCCACCATTCCGTGTGTCTGCCGATTCAAGTGTACATATATCTGAGTAACTCCCATATGACCGTGACCGACTGCTTTTGCCCCAACCATATGCTTCATGAACTCCGGGAATCATAAGCCATCGTGCCCGACGGTTTCTCACTTTAGATAAGGTGCTTGGACCTGGACAAGAGAGCACAAGAATCAGTACTGTGCCATAGAAAAGATACAGGGCAGGGGACACGGACCTGAAGTACGCCCGCAGGTACAGGATCTGCCAGACCCAGAGCACGATCAGGATGAAGGTGGTGCAGAAGCCGAACCACTTGACGCGGTTGTTGGTGCTCTCGTTCGTGTCGCGCAGCTTCTGCTCGCGCGTCCGCAGGTAGTCCATCTCGCCCACGACCTCGGAGACCATCTCCTCCATACGGCGAAGGTCAGCCTCGACCGGCTTGAGCTTCTCAGTGGCCTGGATTGCGGACCAGTCCTTCGCGTCGGCGCCGATGTCGATGTCGAGCTCGACGTGGCGGGTCGTGTCGCCGACGTTCCTGGCTGTTGCGGGCTTGTGTGTCAGCGGCGTGTTTCTTATAGTGGCAGTAGTAGAGCTTGGTGGTAGCGGTTGTTGTGGTGGTGGCAAGCATTGGGGGGCAGCAGCGTACATCCTGTCAACAGGTTCTCGAAGCAGACATCGAACGCGGCGTCGGCGTGGGACGTGAAGACTGTCCTTTGCTCGCCGGCGACGTCTTGTGGCCGGCCGTACTCGTTCCCTACGGCATCACGGATCTGTGCATTGGCGACAGCAGCTGTCAGCATCATTCAGGACAAGACAAGGTCCTGTCTCGCAGCAGGACAGGGACGTCGGCGGTGACCAGAGCGACTCACGTGCATGTTCACCCGCATGCCATCTCCTTTGGTCCCACTGACGATCGCCGTCACCACCACCAATGTGTCCCTGGCGACGAAATTCCGTATGCATCGTTCTTTCTTGCTGTCGTGTGACTGTGATGTTGCTTGCAGGTCGAACTTCAATGCATTGGCGCAGGCGATGAAGAGGACCAGGCTGCAGACGTACTGCAGCGATCGTGGGAGCGCCATGGTTGTTGTGGTGGACGCTGTTTGTGTTTGGGCGGGAGGGAGCTTCTTGAGGGACAGTTACAGCCTGGCTTTCTCGACAGCGTTCGATACGGCCCTTACTGTAAAGGTGTCGCGTTCACTTACGGTCTAGCTCAATGCCAGGGGTAGCTCCCTCACCCCTGGCCTATCAGGGCAGCCGTATCAACATTAGTGTGGGGCCGATTGCCCCTCGAGCCTTGCCCGACTCCAGCCTTGCTGCTCCATGCTCCAGTTCTTTGTCGCTGCTGCACTCCTCTACCCGACCGTTCAACCTTCGCGACACCACCAGGACTAGGGATAGAGTCAACACAGCAACGCACCAGTGGAACCCAGAACAGCGCATTCAAGATGCCGAAGTGTAAGACAACTCCCAATGCTAGACACGTTATCAGCAGCCGTCAACTAACACGCAAGTCTCCGTACAGTCTTCTGCGACTACTGCGATGTCTACCTCACCCACGACTCGATGAGCGTGCGCAAAGCACACAACAGCGGTCGCAACCACCTGCGAAATGTGATAGATTACTACCAACGTGCGATACACCTGCTTCCCTCCCTCAGTCCCTCCAAGCATCACATCTCATCGCGCTAACACCCGAGTTCTTCCCGCAGAGATCGGCCACGAGAAAGCCCAATCAGTCATCGACTCCATCACCTCCTCCTACGCCGCCGAGGGCCAGGCCCAAAACAACCCCTTGCTGCCCGAGAACCAGCCCGGCGCCCGCGGCGCGTTCCCCGCCGGCATGCCCTTCCCGCCGCCCTTCCCGGGGGGCATTCCGCCGCCAGGCTTCCCGGCCCTGCCAGGTGCTGCTGCTGCCGCCGCCGCCGCCTCCGCACCGGGCGCCCCGCCACCACCGGGCAACTTCCCCTTCCCGCCTCCCGTGCGCCCCGGCTCCAACCAGGCCTTCCCGCCGTTCCCCCCGCCGCCAGGCGCCGGCGGCGCGCCCAACCTGCCGCCCATGCCCATTCCCCCGCCGGGCAGCGCCGGCGGCCTTCCGTTCCCACCGCCCGGTGGCCTGCCGTTCCCTCCTCCGGGGGCTGGAGGAGCCGGCGCGCCGCCAAACTTCCCGTTCCCACCTCCTGGTGGGTTCCCTGCCGGCATGCCGCCTTTCAACCCTGCTGGTGGTCCTCCCTTGGGGCCTCCTGGAGCAGCGCCGGGCGAGGGAAGGTGATGATGGGAGCGTTTCGTTCGAGAACCGGTCGTCAGTGGAGCAGCGGTACTGTCAGTCAGGGCTTGGGAGACCGAGACTGCTGTGTGTTCAAGCATTATCTTCGTGCGCCGTTGGTCGGTTGAGCTACATGCTGAAATGGCATGGTTCGGGAGAATGGCGTTTTGGCGTTGGGGAGCACGGTCGACACAGACATCAAAAGGGAGACATGGAGATTGCTGGCACGTTCAAGACGAAAGGAAAGGTGGTAATTCACATGGTCGCCATGAAGTCCGCAGTACAGGAGATCCTCGATGGACGGGCCAGACAGAATTCAAGGCTCCCTCGACAAGCAACGCATGGTCAAGGATGACAAAGCTGATACGCATGTCACTCTTTGCTTCGCTTTTTAGGCGGGCGGATCGCGTGCTCAGTTGTACAGTTTTCAAGAAGAGTGTGAACCAAAGCGTCGTTTTAGCAGATATGTTCCCATTCTTCCATACCCAGGAACACGGAATGAGATCATCCTAAGCAATTCAGGCTCCAGAATCCATCACCTGAGCGGAGCGTGACACAAACTTCTTCGTCAAAAGGCCGTTAGGTATCATTCATCAGCTGCTAGTCAGATACAGGGAAAGGCTATCTATAGTATACAGCAGGTAAAGGTCCAGGTCATTCCGTCATCCAGGTCATCCACCCGTGCCAGCTTGACATGCTCAAAAACAAGAAAAGGGAAATCGAGACACATAATTCCAAGGCGCTCTGGCTCTCCTCCGTAGCTTTTCAGTGAAGCAAAATATGCAAAACAAGGGACAAAAACACGTCAGAATTTCTTTTCTGTATCCTGCCCCCTCTCTCTGCGCGAAACATCGAGAAAGAGAGCCTAATGTGGAAAGCTGTCGCTCATACTGCCTCACCGCGCGCTTGTCGTTGTGATAACCATGTTCATGAGGGCCCAACGCCAAAGTCATGGTCCCTTCCCATCCATCGTCAAGTCCGTCCTCCGTCGCCCTTTGTACATCCTGTCGTCATATTGTCCACAACGTATCTGTGTGTGGATGTCGTTGCGTCGTGACGTGGAGCGTATAGGTGGGACCCATCATCATCAAAGAAAAGCCTTGGTTAAAAGAAAAAGTTGAAAATCGTCCGTCATGAAAAGTAAAGTCATAAAAGTGAAGCTCTTGGTGTAGATGTCTCCACGCCTCTTGCTTCCCGGGCCATGCTCCAGCCTGCTTCGACATGGAAAACCGGCCAGTCGCTCCGGGAATTTGCTGCGAATTGCTACAGCTTCAATGGCACCCATGCTTGCTGTACCTGGCTAGGACGCTGGCCATGCTCCAATGAGCTGGGTACTCCCATTTTCCTGGTTCAACTGCCATCAACCTGTTTGGGCATTCTCCGCGGCTGTGAGAACGCGCTCCGATAGCCATCCCGGCGGATGACATCAACCACGCCGTCACGAACCTCCCGAGGGCCAGATATCTTCTGCCGTAGCTCATTGCTTCTTTTCTCGCGTCTTTTATCGCTTAACCGCCTAGTCAGGGCCCCCAAGTTCTGAGACATGGACCACCTTCTAGTCTCAGAAGTCCGAGGAGGAGTCGCGCGATCTGCACTTCCGTTTCCAGTCGTACCGACATGTTGGCCCCTTATGCTGCCCAGGCTGTTTGATCGGGACCAGAACAGTCGACGGCGCCCGTCTCCATCAGGTGCGGTCGAGGGGCGTTCCGTTTTACTGGCCTTCTTGCGAAGGGAGCCCACACTTCCGCGGTGCTTGACCACGCGCAAATTTCCACTAGGGGTCCGTCTGATTGTCCTTCTGTCCGGACCGTCGGTGAAGTCGTCTACATCTTGGAGAGGCATGATGGCAAAAGTCCGTTTCATGCGCTCACTGAGGCTCCTCTTCGGTGGAGGGGGCCGATTGTCAATGGCCGGATACCGCATGACCTCTTCGTCGTCATCGTCCATGTCGTACACCCCGTCATCAGCGTAGTGACTCGAATAATACGATGGCCGCCAGTCAGGGTGAAGTCGGGTCTCATCCATGGGCTGTTCGTGTGGGAGCGACTCGCCGTATGACTGGTCCACCTCATGGTCGTCCATAGTGCCTTTGCGTATGTTCTTGCTCAGGGACAAGGTTCTCGCCAGAAATCCAGGACGAGTGTCACGGTTTGGAGAAGGCCCGTAGGATGCGTACGAGTGCCGCCGTTTGTTCAGTGCCCGACGCACTAGAGAAGGTGCCCGCATGGGCTTGTCATCCAGCTCATCGTAGAAATTGCCTAGCATTCTGGTCTTCTCCTCTGCAGGTGTCAGGCCGGAAGGAGTCGCAGGAATGAACTTGATGGCGGGGGGCTCCGGAGGCTCTCGAGGGTTTCTCAAGGGAGAGTCGACACTGTCCAGAGTAAACGTTGGCTGCGCTAGAGGTGTCATAGGTTCCTCGACGGAGACTCCATCGACCTCTGTGGTCGTGATGGTAGGCCGGTCCGGCCTCTCAGTGGATTGACTCCCGGGATCGCCATCCGAGCTTTCAGACGGCCTATGATCAACCATGAGAATAGACCTGTTCTGGTGAGGGAACATGCTGATTGCCCTGGCTTCCCCGATATCCGCTGCCGATGTCCCATTCGTTTCTACAGAAGCCTGTGAAAACGGTGTTGCCTTGGCGGAGAGCAGCATTTCTCCGATCCTCGACGCTGACTGTCGCGGGTGATGGGTTTCAGCTCGATCTTGGTCATCATTTGCTGGGATATGTTCCAGGGAAGGAACGGCGTGCACAGTGACTACCGGCGGGTGTCTCTGTTCATCGCGACCTGTCGGCTCCACTGCGGCACGACCTGTTGCTGCGGCTGCAGGCTTTGGGGGAATTCCGTTAGCTTGCACGGCATTATGAGCTCGGAGACTCTCCGCAGTCAGTGAGGGAGCCCGCGAACCATTCTGCGACGTGTCTCTCGACTGGCTGCGGCTAACAGGTCGACTCGTCGGCGCGGATAAAGAGGAGGACCTTTGGGGAACAACAGGAGGAAAGTCCATGGTGCGCTGATCTCCAGGCGTTGAACCATCCGACTCTGATATTGATCGACCACGCCGGGGTGGGCGGTCAAAATAGGGAGTCAAATCTTGGCCATTTGGTAGCTTATCAAGAGGCACAGACCCAAGACTCTGACTCTTTGATCTCCTGCTGTCGGCTGACCGTAACGAGCGCTCCCGGCTGCTGGATCTGTTTGATGAATGTCGATCGGGCACGACGACGACCGGGATGCCCCCATTCTTCCAAACGTCGCGACGAGCCTTTCGGCTGCCCACAGAGTTGACTGTCGAGTTGGATGCATAGCTCTCGCGCAGTGCATCTTTGCTCTGGTCTGCAGACTGTCGTCTGGATCTGACACTATTCAGAGTCGATATTGAGCCCACAGGCGACGGTTGCCAAATTGAATCGCGCAAAGCGTCCACTCGCTTGACGTGACGCAAGGTTCTCTGCCGACGCGGAGGAGTTCCGACCAGAATCGCTTCCACTACCGTCGAAGCAGCCGATTTGGAGGACATTCCCGAAAGCCTCCTGATGTCCGCACTTGTGGCTGCATCCACATTCGCTCTTTCCGGGGCTGTGAAGCTTCTCGCGGGGTCAGGAGACTCGTAGGTGAGAATTCTACCCTGCAGCGGGAAGGCGCGCAGAGCTTTTGTGGCATTCGTAGGTGAGACAGTGAAATCGTCCACAACCTCGTGTTGTCTTTCATTGACATGCGCGCTGGGCCGCCTTTTTCGCACAGTCACATTCCTCATAAGGTTGTCATCCCATTCCTGTTCGACGTCATTGGGCGAGCTCCCGAATTCGCCGTCAAACGTGGTGAAGTCGCCTCTGGCCTTGGGCGTGGCGCTATGCTCGTCCGCCAAGCTGGGCCCCAGGCCTAGTCCAGAGCCTGAGTGGTTGTGCGGAGTAGTCTGCTTCTCGTGGCCGTTGCCATTGGTGTAGCCTTTGGCAAGCCGGACCGTGACCTCGGACGTCCTCGCAGATTGCGCGGCTGGACGTAGTGTGGACCGGCCGTCCTCTTCGTCTGAAGGCTCGGGGCTCTCCCTTGCAGTCTTGAAGGATTCGGTGCGTGACTCAGTGGTACCTTTCGACGGTATTCGATCGGCGAGAGCCGGGCGCAGTATCAAAGGTCTGGGCCGGGTGGCACTCTGCGGAGGTGTTACGTCGGGTGTGGGAGGGCTTCGTTGATTCGGTGGGGTGCTTGGGCTGGCCTTGGAGGGCACGTCCTCGGAGCTTTGGGCTGGCGTCGCGAGGGGGCTCAAGCTTGAGAGAGGGATGGAGTGGCTGCTGGAAGACGTTCTGGAATGCGCAGGTGGAGTCGGTGGGAGTTCCCCACCACTTATCCTCCGGCGTTGATGTCGCAGTGTATGGCTGCTTGCCACGAGTGAGCGGGGCTCGATATACGGAACGGAATGAATATGTGGCAGTCTTCTTACCTCTGAGCCCCCGCGCTGGGTGTTCTCGCCGAGTCCGAGCCGCCGGAGAAGCTCCCATTTGCGCTCCTGGGATGCGGGAGGACCTTGTGCCTCTTGAATACCCTCTGGCTTCTCTGGCTCTCAGGGCTCGCATCAAAATCATGTTCCGACCCGGGCGGCACGATATACTCAACCCCGGGAATTGCCATGGTGCTAGAAGTCGAGAAATACGGGGACCCAGCCATACTGATTGTCATATTCAATATTGGGTGCTCGCGCAGCAGGGCTTGCCGCTGCAAGGTCCGTGGCTTTTTGTGGTCGTCGTTCTATACTGCGGCTCGATGAATTCTGTCTCGATACGTTGGTTGCATTGTGGTGAATGATAAGATAATGATACTAGGTCGTGAGTTATGGTTATGCTCCCATGCGAAGCAAGCTGGTGGTGATCGAGCCCTGAGCCGCCTACGGAAGATGCGACCGGCTGGCTGGGCTGGCTGGCACGGGCCAAGAAGACGTTCGAGACACACGAGACCCGTCCAACGTGGCTTTCCCTGGATGAAGCCGTGGTCCGTCGTCCCGGGGCAGCAACAATGGCTACGGGGCTCCTAGGGTAGCCGTGGGTGATGCTGGGTGCGTGGCCGAGAGAAGGGCGCGAAGGGAAATTTATGTCATGCGTTGTAACAACGAAAGGGGGGAAGAAGGGAAGGATGGTGTCGGAGAGGCTATTCGCTAATCGTGCATCCGTCAAAGTCGAGGCGTAGGCCAATAAGGGAACAGGTAGCGTTGGAAAGGCTGCGCATGGCTGACGAGGGACAGGCCAAAGTTGGAAAGGAATGGCTGACGTTTCTGGGAGATGGGATGGAGGATGTGCTGAGTAGGCAGAAAAGGATGCTATTACAGCAATACTCGCGGGTTGCCCCCAACTGGAAGGAAGTGCCGCAGCCGACGACGACACGAGACTTGGGGGAAGAACGGAGATGGGAGAGAAAGGGCGGGAGGGTGTCCAGGCTGGTGGTGACAACCACTTGCGATGCGGATGCGCACGTCAGGTCAGGCGGGGAGGGACTGAAGTCACTCACTCCCACGCTCAATCCGTCAGTAAGTCATGGACGACAGTGCGGAGCGGAGCGGTGCAGTGCAGTGCGGTCCAAGGCACTCGCGCAGTCTGCCATTCAAAACAGGGAACTTGGGCTTGCCAAAACGAGGGGCTGGGGACCTGAGGGCCTGATGGGGGCAACCTTGGGGTACCTCCGGTCTCTCTGGTCGTTAGCAGGCCGGGCCGAGCAGCAAGCCCTGCACATTATGCTACGCTGCTTCCTTGGATGCACGCTTGTTGAATCCTCCATGAATGCAGATTTCTGTCCCTCCGCGAAGCCTGGAAGTCGAACGGGCAGAAGCTCAGACCTGGACATATTTTATTGCAGGATCCAAGCGTTAGAAGTCGATGCAAGGGCCCAGGTCCCAAATGGAAAAGGCAAGATCGTCGCCTCCCGGTGGGAGCTTGGGCCAGGTGCGCGTGTCAACGACGACAGAGCAATTGTTCGACGCCTTTACAATCTTGCTACTCGGCTTCTTTCCTCGCCCCTGTTCACTGCCAAGTACACGGCAAATGGAAGCCACCACAGCAGGAAATACCTGTACTGCCTCCCACCACGACGCGGCTTTGGGTGGTGTGTGGCCGCCCATTGCCCACGACGCTTCTGCAAATCATCAAGCCAACGGCCTCTACAGGCAAACCCGTCTTCTCCTTGGCCAACAGCTCGCCAGCAAGCCGGCAGGTCTCTCTATGTACCATAGTACACACTCGAATGCAGTGGCCCGCCCACCTTGCATCGGCGCGAACCCCATCAGGCAAGTCCAAATGCGACCACACTCCCGACTTACCCATCCATTCGTTCGAGACCTGCACGCCGACTTGGATAGCTTGCAGCCAACCAGGCGAGTAGCATCACCCGCGCGCTCACCTCCTACTACGCACCTCCAGACGGGGGCGTGTTCCGGTGACAAAAGATCTCAGACCTCAACAGACGCCCCAGCGGCCTCAAGGTCAGTTAGTTGTTGGGGACGAGCAACGGCCATGGCATTTCCAAGACATGACCATGATGGTTGAAGTTCCCATGAGCGACTGTCTGGTGTGCTTGTGTCTGTCTGTCAGCCAATGACACCACCAGTCGCTCAGATTCTTTGAACATGTAGACATTCCACTCGACAACACACTCACAACATCGAATCGAGACCACGTGGTAACAATGCAGAGGAGACAAAGTTTTGACTTACCACCGAGCCCGAAGTTATCGGATGGGATGGGTACCTTGATGGCCGTCCCTTCCTTCATAAAACGCGCGGCTAGGCGCTATCCATTCGCAGAGGTTCAATATCTTCGATCTCTCCCGGTCCCAGGTTACACAGCAGCTTTTAACTTCTCTTTGCGGCGCGGGCCTTCCCTCCCGGCTAATGAGCTTGCTGATTATGCATTATATCCTACGACAATACCGGAACAAACCGTCCACAGAGGATGAACAGCCGGCCAAGGCACATCGGGACGATATCTAATGTTATGCTGGTGAAGGCAGCGGATGGAATCGGACATTGAAAGGGCCATGCGACAAGTTTGCTCCACGTTACCGCTTGGCATCAGGCTGTCTCGTACTCATCCAGACCCATGGAATCTCTCAATCGTACCGGCTTGCACTCGGAAATGACTGAGCAGAGAGACCAGACAACAGGAAGTCCGTTGGGGCATCATGCGTCCAGCTGAGTTCGCGCACACGTTCTGGCCTGTAGTTGGGTCGGTACCGGTGCGTGCCGCCATTGGGAGCGGTTCGTTCTATTTCTTGTCACCTCTTTCTTCTCCGTTTGAGGTGCTTTTTTGTCCCAGCTCAAACTCGACACTCCCTCACGAACTCGCATTTGTTGACACATGCCAGTCTACCCAAGTGGGCTTGTGTGGAGTGGGCATCGTTATGTGGAGCTTCGTCCCGAATCACGGCCAGTGCCGAGCCGGTCCGGACGTTCGCCTCGGGAGTGTCCCACTTGCTTAAATTGATGACGGCCGCGACGTGCGACGAGCCCTTCAATTGACGACCAGGCATCGAGGCTCTCTGCGCTGTTGAAGTATATCATCAATGTTCATCGGCAGTATGAGCCTTGGACTGCCAGAGCAGCCGATGAGAGCACTTGTCATCGAGCAGCATCATCACTGTTGGCCAAGATGCGGTCTTATCTTTGCTTTCTCCCAACCCCACATTTGACGCCGTTGAAGAAAACCACGGAACCCCGCCAGAACAACGGGCATGGCTCTAACACACGTCATTCATTGATGCTAGCTCAACGTTGCGGCTGGCCGGCCCATGGGCTAGTCGGATGGTTTGTCGGTTCCTGGCATTGGAGTCAGACATGCCTACAGTTTCTATTAGGTTTCAAAACACCTCACCCACGCAGCATGACCCGGGGCTCGAGGCCTTGGGTGAATACGGCCAGCTTCATCCATTGGGCAATGCCATCCTGCGGAGGCCATGCTATGCCTGGACAGCTGGCAGACCACTGACGCATGTCATCTCCATCATGATGTGCAACTACAGTACTATCTCGATGCCCCGCACTTCAACGGCCTTGACGCTACCGGGCTCGGTATCTCCAAGGAAGTGCCACTCGTGCCAATGGACGGGACTCCGGTACGGCCAGCTCTTTGCCCGGCAGCTTGGGCAATCCATGGGATCCCCTTGCCGCATTACTACGTCGACTGACTAGTCGATTGGTCTGGCCACATGAATTGGCGATGCTGAATGGTCAGCGGTCAGCCTGGAAAGCATGGTGGTGATAAGCTACCGGGACAAAGGTGCTCCATCTTGACCGCAAGTACGCGGGCATTGGAATGTGAGGGCAAGCTTGATCATAGCTCCAGCACAATAAAGCCAGGCCCAAACCCCAGCTTTCCAAGATATTCTTCCGCAGCTCATATCGTGATCTCCTTGCTTGACCAACTTCCCTCATCCGTTTCAAAATGCTGTCCAAGACCTCACTTGCTCTGATTGGGGCTGCCGTGGTGGCTGCACACAGCAGCCATGGCCCTCAGAGTCCGATCTCGGGACCCCATCAGTCTCTCTGGTACAATACTATACCCGGCGATGGAGGCACACAGGTACGTCATGCAAGGGAGCATAGACCCGAACATCTGGTACTAATTGCTTTCCCACAGGCCGACTCTGTCTTCTCCGGCATCTCGACCTTCGGGCGTCTGCCATATGCCCAATGCCTGTCCCCTCAGAGCGATGCGAAATATGACATCGCCTTCATTGGTATGCCACCCACGTTACAGCCTTCCTAAAGCCGTCAAGTGGAGCATTGGCTAACCAGCTACCACTCCGAAGGTGCCCCTTTCGATACCGGTACTTCATACCGCCCAGGAGCACGTTTCGGCCCATCTGGCATCAGGCAGGGGTCACGAAGGTTGAACCTCTAGTATGTGTTGCCCGTTTCAGCCAGGACAGTGACATAACAGTTTTTGTATCTGACCAGAGTCGGCTTCAGCGGAGGATACAATGTTCCCCTCGACACGAACCCGTTTAGCAGCTGGGCCTCTGTGCTCGATTGCGGCGATATTCCCGTGACTTCGTGTGTAGCATCTTTATTCCCGGTGTCCTACTCCTTTGTATTAACAGACGTGTGTCACAGGTATGACAACACATGGGCTCTTCACCAGATCGAAGAGGGTCATTACAGTATCCTCTCCCGCGACCCAGCCACCGACGCTGACAAGTTCGGCCCGGCAAAGAAGGGTAAGACCCTGCCCAGGGTGATCACGCTCGGCGGAGACCACACCATCACGCTGCCCCTGCTGCGGTCTATCAACAGGGCCTACGGGCCTGTGTCTGTCATCCACTTCGACTCCCACCTCGACACCTGGCGCCCCAAGGTCTTTGGTGGCTCGCCGTCTGAGGTCGCCAGCATCAACCACGGCACCTACTTCTACCACGCTGCCCAGGAGGGCCTGCTGAAGAACGACTCGAACATCCACGCCGGCATCCGGACAACACTTAGTGGGCCCTCGGACTACGACAATGATGGCTACTGCGGCTTCCAGATCGTTGAGGCCCGTGAAATTGACACCATTGGCATTGATGGGATCATCAAGAAAATCAGTGCGTTCAACAATACCCTGTCATAACTCCGTCATGTCCATCACGGGCTACTGACATCGTGTAGGGGAGAGAGTCGGGACCAAGAACCCCGTGTATCTGAGTATTGACATCGATACTCTGGATCCTGCTTGTAAGTCTGACTTCTTCCCTGTCACAAATAGTGAATCGTGTGATCACTAACGCTCTGGGAATGCAGTCGCCCCTGCCACGGGCACCCCAGAGACTGGCGGTTGGTCTACGCGCGAGCTCCGGACCATCCTGCGCGGTCTCGACGGCATCAACCTCATTGCTGCTGACATCGTCGAGGTTGCCCCCGCATACGACACGAATGCTGAGCACACGACCATGGCTGCCGCCGATGCTCTGTACGAGGTCATGTCGATCATGGTGAAGAAGGGACCCCTGAGTAAGACTGTGGAACAGGGCAAGGAGCCGGAGTTGTAGATATGGAGTGTGGGCAAGGGACCATGAAGTTGAAGCTTGACGTTGGTACATAGGTGGCTGGAGTTGTGTAAGGAAAAGTTGGCGTTCCTCGTGACGGTAGTGGGAGAAACAAGCAGGTGACGGGATGGATGTATCCATTGTTGTGACGCGAAGGTTCGGCTTCCCTTCAAGAGGCCTGGCTACTGCTAAAAGTTGTCTCTAGACCTGGACTAGCCCATAAAATCCATGGTATGTGGCAATCGAAAGACTGTATTGCCGTGCAATCTACCAGTCACTCGACTTCTCGTGCATGTGTTGGCTTTCATGATTGAGGCGATGTGGAGACGAGCAGCTGGAATTGAACAGGATTGAGAGGCCTGTGGTATAGTGGGATGCAAAAAGTCTGGCCCATAGTTGCAAACCCACTCATAAAAAAGCATTACACATAAACAAACCCTTTAAATAAAAACTTCTTTCCTATAATAATTATAGCCTTTGAAAAACATTCTTTTTTATTAAAAATATCTGCAAACTATAATATTTCTTATAAAGTTAATTTAATTTAAAAAAGTATTATTCTTATTATTATAAATTATAATAAATTTATATATTATATTATAATAAATATATATATATTAATATTAACATTATTTAAAATAATCTTTATATTAAAATAATAATAAAAGCATAATATAATAATAAGAAATAATTAATTTATAATTAAGTTTGCTTAAGAAAAAAAATAAAAAAAAAGAATTATTAAAAGTATAAAGTAAAGTAATTTTAAAGATTAATTAAGTTAATAAGATAAGTTAATTAAATAAGCTTAAAGGGCCCTTATGCATAATTAACCCCACGGCCTTAATATTATTACTTATTATAAAAAATTATATTTAAAAAAGTAATTATTTAAAATAAATAATAATAATAATAATAATCTATTCACGCTATTCTAAGCTATTACTAGCTAAAAACCATTTAATATATAGTTCTTTTGCTAATTCACCCATAAGGAAAAACCATGCTAAATAGCTAGAAAAAACCCCTATGCCGCAACCTTTTTGCAATAACGCAGCTACCTATCCACGCTACATTAAGTAATATAAGCACTATACCTATACTTAAAAATCCTTAAAAAGGGAAATTTTTCCTTTTACCTTATAACCTTTTTATAAGGTTTTTAACTTATTTATTTATTATTTCTTAAATAAAAAGGTAATAAAAAATTATTTATATAAGTAATATAATTTAAGCTAAGGAGTATAAATAGCTGTAACCCTTTATTTTTTTTTTTAATAATATATTATTTCTTAAATAAGTTTTTAATTATTAATAACTTTATAAAGTACCTAAGTATTTTATAGCGGCATTATAATCCCTTTATAGCTTTTCCTTAATATTTTTTAGCTTTATATCTTTATTATTATTTTTATAATTTCTTTATAACCTTTATTATATTAAATAATATTAAAAATATAGCTAAGGCCTTAAATTAATTTTTTTATTTTTACTTTATAACCTTTAGCAACTTTATTAAGTTTTTTAATAAAATTAATAATAATAATAATAATTTTTAAATAGTTTTAATATTTTTTTAAAAGCATTATTATATTAATATTATAACCCTTAAGAAATTTAGCTTTAAGGGCATTACCTTAATTATTATAAAAAGCATTATTAATAACTTTATTATAACCTTTTTAAAGGCCTTTAAGGTAATATTTATAAATATAATTAAGCTTAATTATATTTTAATTAATGTTTAAATCTTTAAAATATTAAAATAAATTCTTAATAAGTTTATTATAATTATTAGCTATTTTCTAGCTATTATTATTACTTAAGGTTATATTTTAAATAATATTTATTTTTATTATACTTATATTAAGGGTTATATTAATTATAATTACTTTATTATAACTTTTTATATTTAAGCTATAAGTATATTTTTATAATCTTATTATATTCTTTTTATAATCTTATTATTAATTATTTAAGTAAAAGGAAAAGTAAAAGGTTGTTATTAATATTATAAGGAAAATTATTAAGGAAATTATATTATTATAAAATTTTTTTAATACTTTTTTATAATTTATTGCTAACTTCTTTATAAATTTATATTAAAGCCCTTACTTTTAAAATTAATGCAGCTTTTTTTAATATTATTTATACTTTATGCTTAACCTTTAAAACTAAAAGCTTTAATAATATTATTAATATTATAACCTTTATAAGTATTTTTTATTTTATCTTTATAACTTTAACTAATATTTATAGCTAAATAATTACTATTATTCTTTCCTTAATAAATATTTATATATAGTTAGTAAGTTTAAATTTAGCAAAATAAAGCTTATAATTATTAAAATATTTTAAGCTATTATTTATAAGCCCTTTATAATCTTTAAGAATATTAATAAATTAAACCTTTAGGAGGTTCTTAATGCTATTAAGGAAGTTTATAATAAGATTGTAAAAAACTATATTTTTCTTAATTATATTTATTATAAGTTATACCTTTTTAATAACTTATATTAAGTTTATAATAAGTTTATTTATATTAAGAATAATAGCAATATTTTTAAAACTTTTAATATAAAGTTTTTAATTCTTATTATTACTTATTTAAATAAGGTTATTAGCATAATTAAAAATAAATAGCTAAATATTTATTATATCTTTTTTATAACCCTTTTAAGCATATTTTTATAAATTCTTATAATAATATTAACTTAATATATTAAGCTAATTAAATAATTTCCTTTATAAGCTTTGCCTTAGGTTTAGCATAACCTTAAATTAATATCTTTATAATCTTTAATTTAAAATTATTATATCTTTCTTTTCTTTTTATCTTTTAATATTTCCCTATATACTTAGTAATTTTACTGTAATTTTACTTTTAAGCAATAACTTATTAATAAAGGCTTATAATAAATATTAAGTACCTTTTATTAAGCTATATGCCTTAATTATGCTTTCTTAAAAAAGATTGCTATAAGGCTTTAAAATTTAAAAACCCTTTTTATTAATTAATAGTTAATTTGCTATTGCTTTAAGGCTAGCCCTTTTTAAAAGTTCCTTTTCCTTTTCTACTTTACCTTAAAGGGGTTAATTAAGATTTTAATGCTTATATTTTTATTTCTTTAAGTAATTTACTTATATAAGCAATATTCTTATAGCTTATTAAGGCTAAAAAGCTAATATATTACCCTTAAAGCCCTTTTAAAATTATTAATAACTTTATATAAATCTTAATTACTTTTAATTTCTAAAAATATAATATAAAGTTAAGATAAGAATCTTAAGTAATTAATTATTAAATAATATATTATTTTATATTCCTTATATTTATATTTAAGCATATTAACTTTATTAACCTTAGCTTAAAAAAGAAATGCCTTTAATTTAATTACTTTTATATATATTTAAGTTAATAAAGATGCCTTTACCTTAATTAATAATTATTTTAATAATCTTATAATAAAGTTAAATATTAAAAAGTTCGCTATGCATAATATCCTTATAAAGTAATTACCTTAAGCTTAAAATTACTCCTTTTATTAAACCTATTAATTTTTAATTATAGCATCTTATAAGCTTAATTAATTTCCTTGCTATTTTTAAATCTTTTAACTTTAACTATAATTAATTATCTTTATATATTCTTAAAAATATTTTTATTAACCTTTTCTTATTTATTATAATTATTCTTAAATTTTTACTTAAGTCCTTTAAATAATAATTAATATTAAGGATTGCAAAAGCCTTTATTTAAATATAGCTATTTACTTATTTAAATAAAAGTTAAATAGGGAAATCTATATTTTAATTTTAAGGTTGTAAATAGCTATTTACTTATAAATACTTATAATTACTTTAATATATTTATTTTAAGTTTCTTAAAGATATTATATTAACCCTTTAAGTTTCCTTTCTTATAACATTATCTTATGCTATATTAATATATTATAAATTAATACATTATAAATATAAGTAATATAAACTTATTATATATAATTAAAGCTATATCTTTATATTTTTATAGCAATCTTAATAAAGGCATATATTTAAGTTACTATTTTTATCTTAATATTAATAATATATATAAATTATTAAAGCTTTTAATTTAGCTATATTTCTAAGAATTATATTAATTTTATTAAAAATAAAAGGTTATTTAAGAGCATAATAAGTTTATAAAAAAGTTATTATTAATAAGTAAAATATATTAACTTACTTTTTATTATATTAAATATTATCCCCCTTTTTTATGCTTATATATTATATATTATTTAAGCTTCTTTAAGTATTTTATAAGTTTATTATAATATCTTATTAAAGGTAAAAAGGTTTATATTATTAGCAAATCTTATTATTATTAATACTTAAATGCTATAAAGTCTTTAATAAAATAATGTAATATAAATAATAAAAAGTATAAAAAATAAGGGGAATTCTTAAAATACTTTAGCTTAAACTTTATAAAAGTTTAATGTATTATTATTAAAGCTTATTTATAATAACTTTTTAAATAAGTAAGATTAAATTATTTATTATATTTATTTTAAAACTTAATAATTCTTTAATATATTTATTAATACTTAATAATATATCTTATTAAAAGCCTTTAATATATTAAGCTATAAAAATAAGGCTATTTTATAATATTATTAAATATTTAAGATAAGGTTAATAACTATTCTTATAATAAGCTTTATATTGCAATTTTTTTAATTTTTTATTTATCTTTTAAGAAGTATCTTAGCGTTTTTAATAAAGGCTATAAGTTGCCTTGCAAAGATTATCTTTATTATTTTTCTTAAGCTACTTAAAAAGGTAATAAATTTTTAACTCTTAATTTATAAATTCTTAATAATTATTTTTCTTAACTTTTATAATATAATTATTATTCCCTTTTTAAAAGTTTTTAAAAAGTATTTAATTTTAAAGCTACCTTAAATAAGGGTTGCTATAAATTTATAAATAAGCTTCTTATAAGCTTTAAAGAATTAAATGCT